AAAGGTATAAGAATATTTATATATCTGCTTATATAATTGGAGGGCCTTTTATATAACGCTTTTTCGTATACCGGAATATTAAAGCTTAGTTTTTTTATAAATAGCTTATATGCTTTAAGGAATTTAAGGTTATAGGTATACGTTATTTATTAAAGCGTTAATTTAAACGTTTTATTTTAAAAGGTTTAGGCTTATATATAAAGGCTAAATAAATTAACGTACTTTTTAATAATTCGAAGGTTATTATTTAAAATTATTTTCATTAATATATCTTTTTTTATTATACCTTTTATATAACTATAAGCTAGCATTTTAATATAATATTATAATTAAAAGTATAGTATTAATATTTTTTTAATATATTACCTATAAGCTTAAGTATATATTATTTAAGCATTTTATTTAAAAATTATAATATATTATATTTTTATATAATGCTTTTTAAACTTAGGCTATATTGCTTTTTAATTTTATTAGATGCCTATTTATAGCTATTCTATATTATATTTTATATTTAAGGTATATATAATAAAATATATAAAGTATAATTAATATAAAGGAATATAATAAAAAGCTAATTAATATATATATTCCTTATCTACTTTTTTATATTAAATTATTTTAATAAGCTCTTTAAATTAAATAACGTAAATATTGTTAAATATTATATTAGTTTAATAAACTATATTATAAAGGTTAGAATAAAGTTATTTATATTCTATATTAATATAATAAAAAATAGGTTATATATAAAGGGGTTTATTAATATAAATAAATAAATAATCTTTTAAAAAATAATATTATAAAAGTTAATAGTTATAATAAAATAGAATTATAGGACTTATACTTTATAATAAATGCTATAATAAATCGGCATAATAAAGTTTAATATATTAATTAATATATTATATAACTTGCTTTTTTCTATTTAAAAGGCTTATAAAATAAAAGGTATTATAAGTAATAGTTTTTTATAGGTTGAGTTATTACTTTTGCTTAAATAATAGGTTTTAATTAAGTTTGGTTTAAAAGCTAATAGTTTAAATTATAATATATTAAACAATTTTATATCTTTATTAAAAGTATATATATATTATTTATATAAATCATAAACTTTTACCTAATATAAAGCTAATTTTTTTACTTTTAAGCTAATAAATTCTTTAATAAATTCTATTAACCTAATATTTTATAATAGGTATTATATATAATAATAAGTTATAAACCTTTTAAATATAGGGGAAGTATCCTAAATACTTTTTAATAAATAGTTAGATTTAAGGAATAATAAAAATAATAGGTTTCTAGCATTTAATAGCAATTATAGTTTAATTATATAAAGCATATTGTAAAAAATAAAGTTTACCTATATATTTTTTATATATAGGTAATCCACCTTTGTAAGGGTAAAATACTTAATATAAAATTTATATAATGCCTTCTTTATTAATAAACTTAATATAATATCTTTTAATTTATATTTTTATAAAATTAAAATAAAGTTTTTAAAATATTTAAAACTATATTTATTATATAATAATTTAAAATATTTTTAAAATAATAAAATATATTTATATAATATATTATATTATAAATAGGTAAAGTATAGGGTATTATTAATATTTTAATAAATATACCGGGATATATTAACTTTAACTTAAATTTAAATAAAGCTTATAGAATATTATATAATAATATTTAATAAATATAATTAATATAATATTAAAATTATATAGTTATTTATAAATTATTATTATATTTTAAATAAAAGGTATAAGGATATATTCTTTTAAATAAATATTAAATATAGGAATATAAAATAAGTAATATTATTATAGCTAAACCTAAATATTTTAAGGAATATATTATATACTTTATATAATATAATAAAATTAAAGGAGCAATAAAGGTTATTTATAATTATAAATTTAATAAAAAGTAAATATAAAAGGGAAAAAACATTATTAAGAAAAATAACTAATAATTAAAGTTTAAATATAAAGCTATTAATATTATATATTTTTATAAAGCTTAGCTATTTTATAATATAATTATATTTTTATTATATAATTAATAGGGAAAGTTTTAATTTATTAATATTATTAAATTAATATTAAAAAGGGTAGCTTAATATATAATTATTAATATAGTTTAATAAAATATTCCTAATATTAATATTAATTAATAAGTTAAAATATTTAATAATATATCCTTTAGAAATAAAATCGGTAATCTGCTTTAATATTTAACCTTTTAAATATTTATCCTTATTTATAAATAAAAAAATAGTTAATAAAGGATATTAAGTATAAATATAGCTTTAAAAAAATAAATATTAATTTAAATTAAATATTTATTTTTTAAAGGAGTTAAAGCTTATTATAGTAATAGTTTTAATTAAATATAGCAAATATTTAGCTTTTAATATACTATTATTCTATATAAAGCATTATAGGGAAATATTAACTTAATTAAAAATATTACTATTTATATCCTATATTATATATTTTATTATAGGAGGTATAAATATTAAAATTATTATTTACTTTAAAAACTTTATCGTTTATATTTATATTAATATTTATATTTTTAATATTTAAAGTAATAATAGGATTATATATAATAAATAATACTATTTTAATATTAATAACTATAGTTATTTTATTTTTTATTATAATATTATTTTACTTTATATTACTTTTTTTATTATTATTAATTATTAATAATATAAATCTTTTATAAATAGGAGGAATATTATTCTTAAATTTAAATAGTTTAAATAATTAATAAAGGTTAAGGTTTATAAATTTTTAAGCAAATTGATTTAAAGGGGTAGCAATTTAATTTATTTAATTAATCTTTAATAAAAATAGTTAAATAATAATATTTAACAATTAATTTTTTATTAATGCTTATTTTCTTTATTATATATTATAACAGTAATAAAAAAGATTATTAAAAAGGGATAATAAATAATATATAGGTTTAATAGCTTTTATTATTAAATTTAATTAAATAATATTAATAAAGCTTTTTATAAAAGGGGTAAAATTATTAAATATCTATTAAAAATTAAAAGGTATTAATAAATAAAATTAACTATTAAATTATAATAATTCTACTTTTAATATAATTCTTTATTTTAAATATACTTTTTTTTACTTTTAATAGCTTTATTTAATATTAATTAAAGGTATTATTAATAAAAACTATATTAATAAAATTTTATAGAAAAGTATTAATATAATAAAAATATTTCCTATATTAAACTAAATAAGCAATAAAATAAATAAAAAATAGCTTAATAATAATAATTTATATAAAATATTTTTATAAATATTATATTTTTAAAATAAGAAGAATATAATTTATATATCCCCTTTTAAGTTTACTATTTAGGATTTATATTTTAAAGTAATTATATTAATAAAAATATAATATTATTTTATTTAATAATAAATTATTTATATATAATTTAAATATTAAAAGGGTTATATTATTATAGTTTATTTTATTATAAATTATTTATATAGGATTTAAATATTAAAATAGCTATATTATTTTAAAATTAGTTATTTAATTATAGGGATAAATAATATATTATAATTAGTTTATTTTATTTAGGTTAAATTATTTAAAGGTTAAAATTTTTATTATATTTAAAATTATTCCTTATTATAATACCTTTTATAATTAAATATAGGTTAAATAATATAACTTATTAAAATAATAATAAAAATTATTTATAAAAGTAATTAAAAATATATATAATGTTTAATTATATTATTATTCTTTATTTTTACCTATAATATTAAAGGACTTTATAATAAAGTTAAAGTTAAAGCTATATTAAATAATAATTATAATAAATAAACTTATATATTTAAAAGATTTAAAGTTTAAAGATATTAATATAATATTTTAATTATTTAATTTATATAAATATTAAAGCTTAAATAATAAATAGTTAATTAATAGTTTACTTTTAACCTATTAATTACTTATTTAAAGGTAAAAATAACATTAATCCTAATTAATTAATAATACCTTTAATATATTAATTAATAAAAAAGAACTACTATAGCTATTAAATAAGGGGGTAAAAAAGAAAATAAAATTAAATAAAATAATTATAATAGTTGAATTAATTAACTAGCTAAATTATAAAGCGTGCATTTTAAAGGTACGTACGTTATAAGGATAGCGATACAAAATAGTAAGGATAGCAATACGAAAGAAATAGGTAATAGCAGGGATAGCAATACGAAATCCAATGCCTTGATTAGCCCTATATGCTTTTAGTAGCCAGAATTTAACCTTTTTTTCTCCAAGTCCAACGCTGGCCGCGCTGTTAACCCTAACCCGGAGCCTGCGTAGATAGGTGCTTTTCCGGCTGCTACAGGAGCTACATTGTCAGATATGATCAACAATTCAGGAAAAGGCCTCCAGGGTCGGTCGCACCGGCTCCTTGGAAAGAGATCTCAGAGCAGCATGGAATCAAACTCATACCAAACGAAAAATATTGCACGGAATCAGACCTGCCAAGAATGAATATTTAATTCTATGAACACATTTCTGTTAATGATGTAGGAAAAGGCGGGTTTTCTGAGCTTTATACGGCATTTATACAATAAGCGCTTGAGTTGAGAACTTGTGATAGGCTTTAGCTTACAATAATCAACTATGGCTTCCAAGGTCATTTTAAAGTCTAATTGCGGCGGCTTCTGGCCTTGTAGGTGAACCTGACTCCATATAGAGGTGGAATACAATTACTCACTCTTTGGCTCTGCCAATATGTGTTGACTAAGCTAGGGTTTAATAGCTTCGTTTCAATAACCTCAACACATACGCAGTACAAGGGCTTATCTGCATAACACAGACCTCCTACCATGGCCCTAGTGCATGACGCCAACTGCATCCTATGCTACTAAGCCCTAAATTATATTTATCGCATGTTAGATTTCCTGTAGTCGATCGTGTGTTATATTATTCTGGCGCACCCTCCCCCCACTGTATGCGATGTTGGCGATAACTTGGCCTTTTATCAGCAATGTAGGATAGCCCGGATTCTAAGAGGCTCTTCTACGTATGGCCGGGATGGTAACTCGGCCCGTCTTACTTACGGTAGCTGGTACAGCATGCGACATTGGAACTAATGAGGGCCAGCTGAAAGCTTCAATCCCAAGTAGGAAGGTCTGAAATCATCGTAATATACACTACCCTTCAACTGTGCCCCTTATCCAGATACTGATCCGGAAAATTGAGGACGATTCATTCCCTGGTGGGGTCAAACTGCGATGCATTAAAAGGCATGATTTTCGACCTTCGAATGAGACCGACCTTCTCGATTATCGTGTGACTATTACCTACCATTCTCATCTAACGCGATGGCCTTTCCTGTGCTTCTGGCTGCACTCGCAGCAACAACTGCAATTGCGCAAGTCTTCCCGGCTCCAGGAGGTCCCTACAGAGTCCAATGGGAGAATAAAGAGCTTGTCGATGCGGATCGCGTCGATCCCTTCAATTCGTCCCATTCTCGTCGGATGTTGATCTCGCATTTCACACCGGTAGCAGAACAACATTGCACACAGACCTGTCGCGTGCCGTACATGCCTGAGCAGATCGCTGAAATAGAAGACGACATCTTGGCTTTCGCGTATGCGGATTATGACTGGCCGCAGGGACTGCTAGGCGGACTCGAGCTGGACATATGCTGCGGTGTATCGAAACGGACCAAAACTCCTAAATTTCCTACTTTGCTGTTCGGCACTGGGCTCAACACTACCAGGTTTTGGTATACCAGTTTCGCTATGGAAATCTCAAGCCTCGGCTACCAAGTTATTGTGATGGATCATCCGTATGAGACAGATGTGGTGTTGTTCCCCGATGGAGACATCATCTTTGGCGGAAACGTAGTGGGCGACCCTGATAACCTCTCTGCGATCGAGTTCGGTCTTGATGTACGCACCAGCGACGTATCTTTCGTCCTCGATACGTTGAAAGTGTGCAAGACGGTTTACTTTGGTCATTCATATGGTGGCGCATCGGCGCTTGCTGCCACAGCCGTGGAGCCTCGTATTAAAGCCGGCCTGAACCTAGACGGTGATCTCTGGGGACCGGTCGTCAATGCTGGTGTGTCGAAGCCGTTCATCAACTTATCGGGTAGTCTGAGCTCGACTCTTGACGAGAGTTGGGCAAATTTTACTAAGGCTCACAACGAGAAGTATCCGGATGTATGGTTCAAGGAATTGCACGTAGCCGACTCCTACCACGGTAGCTTTTGGGATCTTTCTATCATCGGAGATTTTACGGGTTTGAGGGAAAACCCCGAGCTCGTTGAGGATGTGCTCGGGGTATTGAGGGGTGAACGGGCAGTAGCGATCTTGCGAGCGTACCTAGACGACTACGTCAAATTTACCTTGCTGGGAGGAGAGGAAGGTCTTCTCGCCGGCGAAAGCGAAGAGTTTCCAGATGTTCAATTTATACGATAGAAAGGTGTTTTTAAACTATTCACCCAATGAGATAGATTCTGCGATATGAAAAATCTGGAAGCATCTGCCCTGGGCTTTAGGGTTGTGGACGTTTCTTGTTCTTTATTGATTTATATGTGAACCATGTCCCTATAGCAGTGGCTATAAACCCAAGGACACCAACAACAATACCAACAACATCACCGGTATCAAGTCCACCGCCACCTCCTTTATTGTTATTCTCGTCACTGCTACCTCCATTGCTGTTCGTATTGTTGTTCTCGTTGTTACCATCGTTTGATCCCGAGCCAGTGGGCGCTGACGTCTGGGTTTCACCGGGACGGGCCGAGTAACTAGGGTCTTCTACTGTATTAGAAGATGACGATGGCGTTGTGGACGTATGGAATGTTTGTTGAGGCTGCGACTTAGTCGAAGACAGGCTGGGAGAAGAACCTGCTATCAAAACACACATATCAATCCCACATCATTCTGCCAAGAGTTGCGAATTGTATGATCAGAGCCCGCATGGGTGACATCGCCCATTTTTGGGCTGATGAAGCCTTTACAGTCGCCGTCACCGTTACGGGAGCGGTGACAGTTAAAGGCGAGTCATCCGTACCTGATGTTGTCGTCGCTGCAACGTTCCGTATATAGCCTGCGGATGTACAGTACTCATCGTAGATCGAGACGGCGCTATTGGTGTCTAGAGAGTTTGCGGTACAGCCGCGGTCCACACAGGTCTGTAGGTACGCCTCTGCTTGATCTTGGAGATCTGGTCGACAGACACATTCATTCTGCGGGTTGCGATACTCGCATTCGATTCCATATGCAAGTGCACCTGCCGCCGTGAATATCCCCCCACCAAAACACTGCTGAGCGCAGGGTCGCTGTGATGAGTACGCCGGCAGCCGAGTGATGGTCACTGACTCAGAGGCAGCTAATTGAAGTAACAAAATAGAGGTGATGAGTGCGTGAACCATCTTGATAATAAACTATGATTCATTCTGACGTACGTCTAAAACCCAAGAACGTGCTGAAATATCTGAAAATGAAGATATAATACTCGCCATATTGTTCATATAGCGACCGTGACGAACGTTATCATGCAGGGAAGATGAAATCAGCCGCACCTGAGAATGCCTGTTCCAGGTGCAGACACTAACCCTTGTGAACCTCACCAAAGCGGACTTCAGCATCCGCCCACTAGAAAGTAACTGTTTCTGCCAATGGTGTTCTCATCCACGGTGCCTTTTCTCCTCTTCGTTGACTACCTGTGTTGTATCACGCAATGACACGAGCAGTTCATGTCCATGATCTTGTTCTACAAACAGCAATGAGAGTCACCAACAATCTCGGACTCATATTATTCCCGTTCATCTCTCTGAGGGGGGTATCAGATAGCTGAAGCCTAATCTAATTGAGATCTCGCGAGGTGCTATGAACATTCCTGGCATATCACCTGCCTGATTATCGCTATACCAGGCTAGTCGCATGCGTCACGCGCTCATCTCCTTGCGTTGGCACTCCAATGAGCTCTTTACTCTTCTCACTAGTCGAATTTCGTTGTTCATAGTCAACAGATAAGCTCTTCCAATTTGTCCAATACCAGAAATTATTCTCTCTATCTCCATCGCAAGTCGAGGCGGTTAGGACTACAATGTGTGTCCTTGGGAGGCACATAAGCGAACCAATTTATTATGATATCGAACGTCATGAGCCTAGACATTGTTTGATATATTTCTAGTACTCGAGGGTATCTTGTTTGCCATTTTGAAATGACAGGAAGCCTGACGTGGTGCTGGCTTCAATCAACTCGGTAATCTAGCCTGGCCTCCTAATGGATGTTGCTTCATTTGGCTATCAGGGTGCGCTCCATAGTGCCCAGGATTGCGAAGGTTGTAATTAGTGTACCATGTACCATCGAGCGTTTCGGCGAAATCTCTTCACTAACCCAATTTCGGAGCTCCGCCGCCAGTAGCAAATCCACACCAGACGTGCGTACTCCGTAGAGCTTCGTGAAGATCTACCACGTCCTCGCTCTGCAAGCTCAATAGCGGCGCTGTCAATCTATTTATCAGAGCGTCGGTCACGTATATAACTGCATCGCCCAGGGTTGTGGCCACTGCAATAAGCTGGCGAGACTTCGTATGAGTTCCACTACAGTCTACTGGCGCCAAGCAGCAGCGTTTCGGCGACCATGGTAGTGTACCTGACTGAACAATCGGTCGTCGTCTCGAACGTCAAAAACGACGCCATTAGACGTTCGAGCGGTCTAACGGTTATTATATAGCCCCACCTACGTTCAACACGTTGCGAGTATCGACACGATCTAGGCCTCATTCCTGATCAGTTCTGATGTCAATGACGGCTTGGCTTCCACGTGAAGACTCGAGTGGCCGACTTGGACTACAGCCTACAGGATTACAGGATTAGTCCAGTATGGTCTCAAAACTGGGAGCCCGTCACAAGTGCAACAATCCCGTAACCAAAGACCCGTTGCATCAGATCAGGGGTCTCTGCCAGCACTCCATCGCGAACGATGCCATCTAAGTCGGCTAACAGTCTTTTTGCCACAGCGCACCCATTTGCATGCGAAAGCATCCTCGTAGGTATTATCAGCATCGTAACTCAACTGAGTTTGGAGACCTAGCAACCCCGATACCGATGCGAGTATCATGAAGACACCTATGCCTCCCGGCATGGCTGTGTGTAAGTTACAGCCCCTCCCTCCCCATGCCTTTGTTCCCGCACCTTCCGAGTAGATTTTGTAGCTTATGCTGTCAAACAATGCCTAGGTACAATCTGCACATCATGATCAGTGGTCTTGGTTACTAAGATTATCGATAGCTAGGAAGCCACCTACCTTGCCGGCCATAGTCTCTTGATACAGCCGCAATTGGGTGGCATATTCACAATTGATCTGAAAACTGTCTGAACGGGATTTGTAACCGCGATATCGTAAAATGGCGCGTCTATGCGCGGCGCGGTCCGTCAACAGGATCGGATTCCCTACTGTTCCTACTAAACATCCATCGGGGAATGTTGGCCTCCCGCAATGACATAAGCAGCCGCTGGGCCTAGCATAAAGCTTGGTCCAATGGCTATTGGTATCTTCGCCCCAGACTCAGGTCGCAGGTCCATTATCATCTTCCCAATGACACGACCACTTCTACTTGTTTTCGAAGACATAGGCATCCAAACTCCCAGGTGTCGTAAACGTGCAGCGGGCCGGCCGTATACAAGTGTTATTAGCGATCATGTCGATAATGTTCCGCATGGACCGCGGAGCATCAGCCGGTTTGTCCCTTTTGCCATACTGCCAAACCAAAGTCAATGAATAATACGTTCCTCAAGAATGGCATTAGGGGCAAATTCGAATTGGCAGCGATGTCGGTCTCGTCGGTCTCCACGATGCGACTGTAACCAGCGACTAAAACTCCCGACGCCATGAGAATATCGCCTGATAATGAGTTGAAGACAACGTCAGCACCACGGCTTGCAATCATGCGCATGAAACCTTTCGGAAAGTTCGTATTGTGGCCACAAAGAATGGGCTCCTCTGATATACCATGCTTATCTTCAAGAATAGTTTCTTTTCCGCAGATCCCACCCATTTCATATACTGTTGATCCAATGTGATAAGCGATCTGCAATGCAGCTTGGCCCGTCCTGCCAACCACCGGGTACATTAAGACCGATCACATTTATGGAGTGCAGCTATTCTTGGAATAATAGGCGAACTGCCTGCTTACATAGATAAATGCTAATACTACCATTGCATGACCCCAACTAAGAGACATGTTGGACCACGCGGCAGCTAGCCTTCATATATAGATAGTATCCGCCCTGATGACACCACAAGATAGCACTACAGCTGACCATCGCAGCTTACCACATCCTTGATGTGAACTAAGTATAAATCATTAGAAGTATTAGGGTATTAGCATACCGCCGTATGACGTTGGCAGATTTTAGTAAGCTAACATTATGCTTGGCTCAATTTCTAAGTCCAATCTTCGTCTTCCCCTGCTTTCACTCATGGTCATTCTACCAGTCACGTCCTCATGTTGCATCAATATGGGGAAAAAGATGTTTTCGAATAATGAGTTCGAGATGCTGAACAAGGTATGCACTCACTTATCCGCAACACGACGTAGCCGGCATATAACGGACACTTACTCAAGCAACATGAGATAGACAATTGCCATAATCGGCGGCTCGCGAGGTCCAGGCCTCGCGGTTGCGTGTCAACTAGCCGCAAAAGGCCCGTGAGCAGCAGAGGCTTGCTGGAGGGTTCAGGCATACACACGTCTGCCCACTTCTGGTGCGTCAAAGCATTGCTCATCATTGGAATCATAGTTTCAACCATTCGACTTCTTTGTTGATTGTCAGTTGTAAACTTTCGCGTTCCGCTCGCACAGGACGCATAGTACGATGCATTAAACATGAAATGCAACGTTTCCATCAGATAACGTTGACTTGTCACTTCCGACTGAAGCTATGTGTGCCACTAGGGAAGTAACATGGAATAGGGGGCCGCCTATCATTTATGGTGTTGCGCTGTCATATCACCCCTAATATTGTTCATCGATGCGCCAGCATCCCAACCTGAGGTCTAGACAGGTGATAACTATATTCCCGGCTGCATGCATGACACACCCAACGTTCCATGGCTCGTTGCGCCCTTCTTAAAATAAGAAAAACCTTCTGATGCTTAGCGTCAGCAACGATAAGCCGACTTGAGTTCATTCGACATAGATCCTGCCGCGCCACTTGACGTTCACTTCGTCAATCATAGCATTCTCCTTGCTACTTATGGCCCATACTCTTGGGAAAGCAACTACTCATGTCTCTCCAATATCCTGTCTCAAGAAATGCAACTATACGCGGCAGCTGACCCAGAAGAACGGGGCGTGTACGCTTGCACACCATACCCCCTATTACGATCCTAGGCGACGCGTATGGGAAGAATAAGATCAACACTGATGTCACGAGAATACCCAGGGGGGGCTTTGACTTCAGAGGTCATCGTATGGAAAAGTATGCAGGCATTAAAAGGTGAAGGCGGACTTGTTACGACCGACTTCGAAGAACACTTGCTCAACCATATGATGCTTGGAAGCATCAAGCGAGCATTTTGAGGAGTACTCAGAGATATAATGTTAGTTAAAATCCCATTGGTTATGGTGGTTCTTATTCGTACAGAAAGGGACTGCTTACCCGAATGTTCGGGGCGGTCTTGGTCCACTCAAAAGCCAAACGACGGAATTACGATGTAGTGATGTCTTGACCGTCATCACGATGGGGCTTCTCTCCAACAACATGACTCTGGGAGAAAACCAGACGACGTATTCAACTACATTACTAGATGGCATTTATATTACGCCATCAATCAATCAATTAATTGTATGGTGAAACAGACCAGGCCAGAATAGGTAAGCCGATGTCAAGTTTAGAGCTTCGTGCCGAGTCACTCCCGGCAGTTCACATAATACCCGCCCGGTAGGCTTAGTTTCACCTTCGGAATAGCAACACGTTGCTTCACAATCTCGCATACCATTATCACTGGAAGAAGCGGGCAAAGCTCGGGCAATGGTTGATCCTATTGAACTCCGAAAAAGGTCGCAGTGCTGCAATATGCTATCAACCAGGTCCTGGTTGGGCTAGCGGTGGGTTTGCAGCGAGCGCACGCAGTTGTTCTGGGTAGTCTATGTCACAGGGTAGGGATTCGTGTTGATTAGGGACGCGAACAGCTTGCGACTTGTCGCCGTAAGAGGGAAACTCGCTGTCAATCATTTGATCAGCTAGCGTTGGTAAGCCTTGACACACGCTCAAAGATAACTACGAAAATCAGTCAATGCCACCTTTTCTATGACAGCACATCGGAGATGTGATAGTTTGAACACGGGTAATTGTTCGATAGTTCGTCTGCTAAACCATTTGGACTGCTGCGGGCATTTGTTATCACGATGTCACAGTACCTAATCTGATTGCGTATTAAGCTTTCTGCTACGCTACAGGTTGGTGGCGCAGCCAAATCAATAACCCCTGTTCTGCTGAAAAGCCCTTGGCAACGGGTACCAAGTCTTGGAAACCAGGCATAAACGGCTTGGCTATCAAGCGATCACTTTATTGTGGCTATGACTGCCTCAACTCCATACAAACATCTTGAACTACGTGCGCCATGCACTAACAAGCTCCAAATATATTGAAACTAAACTACGTAGGAATGCATCATGTAGGGATCACAACTGTGTTTCATCGAAAACGGTACCTGACAGCAAGCTTAATTTTGCGCCCAGATTCAGTACACACCTCCGTCGCGTGCCCTCGTAATCAACGATGCTATTCGGTAGTGGTGAATAAATGAACACGCAAACCGAGATCCCTGTCATAGGAATCCTACAGATATTTCGTGTTACGTAGCCATGATGATCATAACGATTTTCCTCACAAGTGCCGTAGGCGAACGAAGCTTAAAGGACCTAGAGGCTTGTGCCATATGTGGGTAGTTGCGATGTGGATGATACGATGGGGGTCTATGTGACGACGTACTCAAAATCTAGACAACTCAACACGTGGAAGATTGGTAGAAAGCGGGTGACCGTCCACCGGAGCCAGGGTCCTTTCACACGAAGAAGCTTGTCAAAGCCACCGGCGGTTTGATGGAGACTTGGTCGAGACTGGCACCGTGGGTTCGTTAACAACGACATGAACCAGTAGCAGACCCTCCCAGCGCACTTAGATAAGTAGCATTACATTGACAAGTTAGGTTATTTCTCTGGAGGTGTCACAGGAACACGTAAATTATGATTCGAGGGTAGGAGGTTAGTATTAAATATATGAACCAATCAAGGCGTGTCTGGATTCCATACTACGCCGATATACTCTGCGATGCCTAGATACTTGACCCACCATGTAGCTGTACACATAAGCCAAGTTAGCGATTTCGAGACAAGCTATTCCTAGATTCAAGGTGGCGTAATCATTGGTAAAGCCTTGATGCAAGCACCACAAATCCCTCAGTCATATAGCAACGGGTCTCAAGTATACCCGGGTCGATTTCCAATCAGGGGGTCTGGAACTAGGATACTAGGCTTAGAATCTTTATATCGCGTGAAATAGTTGAATACTATAGAACGAGACAGCAAATATAGAACAAGAAGTCATCCCTATAAGAGTAGCAAGTTTACAAAGTTATTTCCAAAGTCGTCGACCTGACAAGTCATCATCTTCTATTTGACACCTCCTCCAAGATGCTGCAGCACCTTAGTAGTCAGCGGCCACCGAGTCTGCTAGACTTTCTCCGGCTACATTGTCTTCAGTCGAGCTCCAAGCCGGCACTCAGATATTCTAACTCCAAGTCATCGGTCACTTATCAAGAGCTTTACAACTTCACAAGAGACTTCCATATAACCACCACAAACAACGGGTTTCTAAGAAAACCAGTAGTTGCTATCATCTTACCCAATGGGCCACTACTCGCCGCTACAATTGTCGCTGTATCGAACCTATATATCGCTGCGCCCATCAACCCAGGTGCAGGCCCCGATCAAGTAAAAGCTGATATTGAACTCTCGAGAGCCAATGCCATTATCAGTTGGGACTCGGGGGTTTCTAACCTGCAACTTGGCCAGAATGGCCTTGATATATTTCTGGTACACGAGGTCGAAGAGCCAGAGAACCGGTTCGAAATCCGACAAATGACGCCCGTTTCATTTTCACAACCTCAAACTCCTAATGGACCTCAGGATATCGCGATGGTCCTCTTCACTAGTGGAACCAGTGGCAAAAAAAAAGTTGTTCCTATTACCGTGGGAACTATCTTACATGGCGTTAAGCTTGTGGTCGACTCGTGGGGTTTGACAGATCAAGACATCTGTCTTAATATGATGCCATTATATCACATGTCGGTATCCCCCTACAATTCTTAGTCTCTGACACTGATTGATCTGTAGCGGTGGGATAATACGTAACCTCTTCGCACCATTGTTCTCGGGTGGCTCTACTATATGCTGCCCAAATTTTGACCCAAACCTGTTCTGGGATCAGATTGAAGAAGTACAGCCTACATGGTACTATGCGTCACCTACAATGCACTCGATGGTCTTGGATGAGGGACGTAACAGATTAAAGGCTTTGGAGATATCGTAAGTGCTGCTATATTCTCTTTCGATTACTTAAAAGCGCTCCAAGTTTGAGTTTTATCAAGGAGCTTCCCCCACCTTAGTCATGTGCTCATCAATGTACGAAAAGAAAGCTTAACTCACCGTTTATGCAGGCGAATACGTCTAGTCTGTAATGCGGCAGGCGGCCTTCTTCCAGCACTAGCTGAAAGAATAAAGGATACGTTTCGATGTACTGTTCTCCCAAGCTACGGTATGACAGAATGCATGCCAATCAGCAGTCCAACCCTATCGTATTCTTTGGACCGCCCAGGGACTTCCGGATTAGTCACAGGTCCCGAGCTAGTTATCTTGGGCGGCAACGACAATGAAGTTTCCCCTTTCCAAACCGGACGCATATGTCTTCGTGGGGGCCCCCTCTTTCAAGGTTATCTCAAAGCAGATGGGTCGCTCGATAAATCTGCATTCAATTCTCAAGGGTGGTTTGATACTGGCGACACGGGCTACCTTGATCAAGACGGATATCTCTACATTACGGGGCGAAATAAGGAGGTTATTAATCGCGGCGGTGAGATCATTTCGCCCTTTGAAGTGGAGGATGCGATTGTAGCGGCGGCGGCGCGGGCAGATTCACCAACGTTTGGAAGGATATCGCAGGCATTGGCCTTCTCTGTCCGACATGAAACGCTTCAAGAGGCCGTTGCTATTGTTCTCGTAACAACCCCGGGAAAGCCGAAAGTTGACCTGCGAACATTGCATAAGTCTTTGCGGTCATCTCTGCAACAGGCTAAGTGGCCCGTGGTCATCGTTTATATGGATGACGTCCCAAAAAGAAACAACAAAGTCCTCCGAGTGAAACTCGCCGAGCGCCTCTATATCCCTTCAATAGATGACTACACCCCATTCTCTCAAAGACACTATTCGGCGCAGTGTCCTCCGACGGACACTGAGCTATCCGTCCCTATTCCATCAACGCCTTGTCTCATAACGCCGCATACATCATATGAACAGATACAACAATTCTTTATGCCCTTAGGCTTCGAGATACACATTGACACACAGCCTAATACCGGAGTTTTAACAGCGTACCTAGCACCAAAGTCTGGCGACGGTTATGAGCCCGATGAAGAGGATATAGATTCGCTGACAAAATTACTGTTCAAGAGGATTGATGGGTATTTGGTCCCGCACTCATTCATCGCTATGCCAAAGGCGTTCCCCCGCAATGTCCAGGGTGGCCTCGATATGGTTGTTTTTGCCAAGATGATCAAGGAAGCACAGCTATCGGAAACATCAACCCTCGTCGACACAACCACGCAGAAACTTACCCATCTGTTTGCAGATCTTCTACAGCTTCGAAACAAGCAGGTACAGTCACACAAAGACTTTTTCGAGCTTGGTGGCGATTCTCTGAAAGTGGGAAAACTTCTATCTGCGATTCGCGCCGAGTTCAGCATCCGGGTCCCGGTCGACTACATTTTCAAACATGGCTCTGTCGATCAGTTGTGCGAATATATAGAGAATGAGCTCTCAGAGCGAGAAGGGAGCGGCGTCAGAGAAGAGAGCCAGCCTCTTCTAGATACTCAGCCGACATACAGCTCTACCAACCCTTACCTCCTGGTGCTACAACTTGTTCCTATCATGATCATCTATCCACTTCGACGCGCCTTTTCATGGACCCTGTTTATATATGCGTTATTATTCTTCCTGGGTTCCAGTACAAGCGAAAGCCTCATAGGCAGGTTAGTGAATGTGGTGATAAGCACCGTTATTGCTCGACTAGCCTCAAGTCTTGTCATCCCCTGGTTCGGCATAACCGCCAAATGGCTCATTATCGGTCGATACAAAGAGGGGTTATATCCTATGTGGGGGCCTTACCACACTCGATGGTGGCTAACGCAGAAAATCATAATGATATGTGGAAAAGGAGCGTTCGGCTGGACGGAAATGTCGAAAATTTGGTACCACCGTCTCTTAGGTGCGAAGATTGGGACAGGTGTTACTATGAAAAATGCACGACTAGGCGAGTGGGATCTCCTGGATATCGGTGACAATACGGTAAGTTATTCTCCGAATACATGATCTCCCGTTTAGATTATTGCTACTGAGGCCAGCTCAGAGAATATCCAGCCTCTGCATAAGAGTAGTTATTGACTGCGATATTGACAGACCCTCGACGAGTGCACTGTTCGTCCTATGGCAGGCGAGAGAAACACCATGATGTATCTTGCAAAGATCACGATAGGAAGGAATGCGTCGGTAGGAGTGGGCTCCACGATTGCGCCTGGGGCTATCGTCCCAGATTCCACTTGCATTGGCGCTAGATCATCGTCGTGGGAGCTTCAAGATGCCAGCGAAGAGAACCGTGACCTGTCTGCCACAAAAGCCCCAAAGCCTCATTGGGCTCTCTCGGTGTTCCTCACCCTCCCTCTCCGGGTTATTGTCATATTCCTCTACAACCTCCCTTGGCTACTCGGTCTTATCGGCCTGGTTTCATCTGAAGCCCAGCCAATGCGAAGCATGTTGGTCAGAGTTATCCACTGGTTTACACAAGGCGAACGAGTAGGATGGTATTATCTCGCTCGATCTCTACGCTCGTTCTTCGGTCCAATCTTTGCCTTCATTTTCGTAGTCATCGTCAGGAAACTCCTCGCTTTCAAATTCGGCCCCTTACAGCCGTCAGCAACAAGAGAAACAGGCAATATCAAACGATGGAGAATGACACTTATAAAGACTCTGTGGCCAAACTCGAGCCTTTCAGAACTCACAGATCTATTTGGACAGCATTATGAGTCGACAAGCGTGGCGATAAGGTTACTTGGCGGCACGGTCGGTCGTTATGTGTACTGGCCTGGAACAGGTCCTAGTTTCGGTGATTACGAGTTACTAAATGTCGGAAACAGTGTCGTCTTCGGATCTCGAAGCCATCTCATCAATGTTGATGCTATTGGCTCCGACTTCATCACGATCAAGGACGGCGCTATGATTGCAGACCGCGTTATCGCGTATCCCGGGGTTGTTGTTGAATCAGAGGCAACTCTCGGTAGTGGGTGCCTTACAAAACGCGGCATAACCTACGAGCGCAACGGCATCTACGTAGGCTCTAGAGGAGGAGACTCCGTCTTTCTTGGCACTCGCCAGCGTGAGGAGAAGCACGTCGCAACAGACTCTGAAGATGAAGGTTTCAGGAGATTACGGAAACGCATTTATCCCGGCGAGAGTCGTGTACAAAGCCTGCGTCGCCTTTGGCCCACAACCATCAAACCGATCTTTTCCGACAAGGGGTCCGAAAGCAACTACGATAATAAGAACTCACTAGGCCATGTGACGGTAACTGGAATTCCGGATTCCGAGGGATCTTCGGATACTATATCCCCATTTGGTAGAGCCTTTTATCAGCGCAAGACACCGTATTTTGTCTGGCGTCAATGGATGATCTTCATGTACTCATCTCTCAGCGTCGTATTGACTCATGCCTACTGGACTGCCGCCTCGATCTCGTCAATTCAGGTCGTGGCTTCGGTTGTCGTCAACACCCCTTGGCTTGGGAACGGCCGCTGGTCCGACCCCTTCATCTTGTTCTCGCTGTGTGCTGCCCTGCTATCCGCTCTTATGGCAGTGCAGAGTATTGTGGCTCTCGGCATTGTAATAGCCGCTAAATGGTTAATTATAGGTCGCAGACAGCCTGGGAACTACGACTGGGATAAAAGTAGTTATTGCCAAAGATGGCAGCTCTTCATGGCTATCGAGCGAATCCGGCGTAACTGCTTCGCTGGCCACGGTATCCTTGGGCTCCTGACAGGAACAGCATACATGACCTGGTACTTCCGGGCACTAGGGGCTAAGATCGGAAAAGATTGTGCCTTGTTTGTCAGTGGACGGCCAAGCTTATTGTTTACTGAACCTGATCTACTGGAGATGGGGGATCGGGTGGTTGTCGATGATGCAAGTCTTGTTGGGCATATTAATACTCGTGGAAAATTCGATTTGAACAGGCTGTATGTGGGCGATAGATGTGTGCTGAGGACTAATAGCCGGCTGTTGAGCGGTGCGAGGATGGAGAAAGACAGCTGTCTCCTAGAGAACACCCTGATCATGGGAGGAGACATCGTGGAACAAGGAGAGACAATGCAGGGCTGGCCAGCCAGCAGGTTCAGAGGAGGAAGAACTCACAGTAGATGAAGGGTGACTTTCATAAGCACATATGGTTTTCATAGCGTATATCTCCTAAGCGTGTTCCCTTCTAGCACGTACGATTTAGAATAGTTAATTTTAATGCTCAGATATTATTAACAAGTAGATATGACGATTAGACGTTTATGAATTCTGTCTTGATCGGCTCTCAAGTGAATCATTTCAATGACTGAGGGCGTTCGACAAGTTCGAGTTCGACGTAGCTTACTGGCCCAACTCCCTTGAATGAAACTATTACTGGCTGGTGATAAGTTGTGTTCCAGCTACGCTGGTACTAAGAGTCCCGAGTACGTGAAGAATTCTTCTTAAAATGAACCTCGACTACACGGTCGCTTTAATTCAGTATGAATCAAGAAATTATGTGAAAGAAGATAGGATGAGGCTTTACACGACGTACCATTTACACCGGTTAAAGGGGATGGCCGTTCTAGCCCCATGCACGTAATCTAAAGCAGAAGCTTCTCCTTCCGCTGTCTGATTGAGTATGTCTAAAGAAGCACACTGATCATATCCTACTTCTCAGTGAGAGGGCTGTCCTAGTTCCACCTCTACGCAAGAGATTTACACACCATGTTCTGCTCGTCAGTATCCAACCTCGTCATTGCGATCGCGTTCTGCAGCCTAAACACTTTAGCTGCGCAATGTACAGCTCCAGCACTCCTAAACGCGCAAGAAAATATCTGGAAGAGCCGAGCATTGCACCCAACGTCACTATACCAACAAAAGATACAGGAAGCCATAACAGCTATCAAAGATGAAGAGCTCAAGATCCAAGCGTCTAGAGTTGCTGATTTCGGGACCTTTACATGGATGTCAGTAAGCGCTTTACTGTCAAATGACCAAGTCTAACAGGGCGAAAGAAAATCGTTAGAAGACATCCGAGCGATATCCTCCATAGCAGACGAAGTGCCATGCGATGAGATCCTTGGATTAGTCCTCGACCATCTCCCCTATAAGAACGCAGCACCGGACGGCTCCTCACCTCCATACGATGCATACACAGAGGATGAGTATAAATCATTTTATATCGAGCGTACGTGCGCAATCGCAATCTGGCAATCAAATCCAACACTAACTAACAGCCACAACATAGCTCTTGCGACAGTAATAAAAGCACATCCCACCACGGCCTTTGCAGTGGTCGTCGAACCGGGCGCGTTTCCTCAGTATTTCAACGCGTCAACAGGATCAACAATATCCGTGCACTCCATGAATCTCCTACGCAGCTACCGCGCGAACATCCCTGTCGCTTTGCAGGGATTGAATCTCCCAAACGCAATATTCTATCTCGATGCAGGGCACAGTAACTCGCTAGACTGGTCCTATCTGCGCAACCACACGGCGGATTTGTTCGCAGAGATGTACAACATCTCAGGACGGCCAGCACAGATGAGGGGTTTCGCGACGAATGTTGGGAACTGGAATGGGTGGTACGTTCATATCTCACCTCGTTATGTTGTCTCCTACTGGGGTTTGAACTTAATACGTCTCAAGGGATCTCTCACCGGGAGAATTCGCCCACACAGAGGATAGCAGAGACATACGTCCCAGCAACGAGAAGAACTTTATCCATATCCTCTCTTCAACCCTTCAGGCTCGCGGGTTATCAATGCACGCTATTCTCGATACGAGCCGCAACGGCGTAATCGGGCTGCGATATTCGTGGGATGAGTGGTGCAACGTCGACGGCGCGGGTCTGGGAGTTCGACCGAGCGCGGAAACAGGCGATGATGCCGTTGATGCGTTTGTTTGGGTCAAAAGACCCGGCGAGTCGGATGGCGTGAGCAGTGAGAGGGGCGGGGATGAGGTAGGATGTGCGGCGAGGAGCGCGTTTCGACCAGCGCCAGAGAGAGATGATTGGTTTCAGTGGTTCTTTGAGATGTTGGTTAGGAATGCGAAGCCGAACCTGTGAGTGTGCTTGGCGATGTCACTGTAGCATAAGCATGAGGTATCTAAGCCGATATATTGAACGAATAAAACGGAGCGTTTCAAGACTCTCAAGATGTGTGTATGGGTTGGAATCGTATTCCGTATTGCCTAATCTTGTTGCTCTAATATCTATCGTCTATCATTTACCGTCTATCGTCTAGTATCTAGCATGCATGTTCTATCTATAATGTGCATCTAATATCTAGGGCCGTGTATGATGCGCTATCCCTTGCTCTAAAGAAGGTAATGCCGACGTATCATGGCAAATCGCTTATCGTCCGCATAGTAGCTCTAATTCAATGTGACATATCCATTAATGCCTTTCTTCATCTCAAGAAGCCCAACCAATTTTGAAGAGCCGATACTCGCTCTCATCCCCGCGTCCAATCCCTCTCGGCCGCGCAAAGCATTCCTCGTCGAGGATCGTAAGCACGCAGCCCTGAGGGTTTCGAATCCCATCATGCCCGCTGAACGACGCGCGCACCGTACCGCTGATACCCTCGAATTTGCCCGTCGTTCGTACCGTCAGCATCAACCAGAAGACGCCGTCTGGCTTCAGCATGCGCGCTGCGCAATCTCGCAGCCAGACTGCATGTTGAGGACCGTAAATCACATCCGTAGCGACGAGTACGTCGGCCTGCTCGTCTAAGGGCGCGGACAAGTCCGGGGTTTCCCAATCAAGTGGTGCAGCTTGGATAGACACCGAATCCTTGCCCTGACCGACGGTTGAGAAATTCTTGACTATGTTCGCTTCGAGATTCGCGAGAACTGTCGGGTGAAAATCAGTCGCGATGATTCGGGGCTGCGCCACGCCTAGGCGTGGTAAAATCTTGCCTAGTGCGATGCCCGCGAGCCCTGTGCCGGCCCCTAGCTCGATGATACGCGGCGCAGGGCCGAGGGCGTTTCGTGAGAAGTTGAAGCGTGAGGGAGATGCACACATCAGTTCGGTGAAAATGAAAGCAGCGCCCCAGCTCTGCAGTCCAACGTCTGTGTGATCGGTGTTATCCCTGCCAGCTAGGCCATCTGTGAGTTGCACGGTGATCACTTCGCTTTCAGTGCTCTCGTGAACTTCCTTCGCTTCGCTAGAACCGAGATTCAGGTTGAAACGATAATCTCTTGTGATTTCAGTGTCCTCTACATTCTCTTCCTCATCCTGGCGGAAGAGTGAAGCCAGGACACACGACGCCTTGTCGATAGCATGCTGCTGTGAGTCTTCGCTCTCAAAACAGGTGAGTTCCTCAGCGCGGCCCAAGAAGCTAGTCAACCAGCGCTCGGCGAAGGCGCGCTCATAGGGATCCTCGCGAAGTTCGAAGCCGTCTTCATATTCGCTCTTGTCCTCATCGTTATCAGATGCATAACCAGAATCTGCCGCAGCTGGGGGATCTTTGGGCGTCGAATATATCTGAAACGCCAATGATGTCGGTAGGGGGCAATAGAGAGCGTAAAGGTCGCTTAAGGCGGATAAGATGCACGCTTCCGGTTGGCCATTGAGTGATCGTATAGCAGGCAAGCTGCTAGATGGAGGCAGCGGGCGCCTCGCCGCGCTCATTTGAAGCAATCTGCCCTTGTGCCTTGTCGTGAACGTTGGAGTTGGATAACGGTGAGGGACCCTGAAAGTGAAAGGGCGGGATAAAAATAGTTATTTTAGGTTGTGATAGACTGTTGCTGAGACGGAGGCGTGGGTGTGGGGGCGGGGAATAAATTCTGGACCAGTCGAAATGAAGCTATCGCGAACGTGGCAAATGAAAATTTAGGCCCCGGATTTCCAATTGTGGATTTGTCAAGCCGTGCCCTGGGGCTGACTGACTCATTCCCTCATCCTTAAGCTCCGACCCTTACGTCTGGTTACACAGGCAAGCTCTCACTTTGTTGGTCCAAAATCAAGAAAGACAGAAGAAAACAATTTAACATGTTGTGAAGCTTAATCTAAACTAAAAACCTAACTCACAAGCTCAGAGCTTCTCAAAATGTCGCTCAAACATCAAGTCCAGTCTCACAGTGAACTTTTCGCCATGCTTCACCTCTTGTCCAGAATGCCAGAGCATTCTCTGCTGAAACACCAATGCCCTGCCTACCTTTGGCTTGATATCAAGGAAAGACGTTTCCTTGTTGTGTTCGGTTTCATCTTTGGTCTCAAGGTCTTTTTGCCGTTTGCCTACTTGACTTGTCCAGAATCGCGTCTCCCCTCCACTTGGGTCTCCACTGGGGCCTTGGGGCACATCATTCAGGTAAATCTGACACGTCAAAAAACTCCTCTCATCCTTTCCTGGGCGCGCAAACAATGCATCGCAATGTGGTTTGAAGTGATGGCCGGGCTGGTATCGTAAGAAACTAAGTCTTTCATTCGCTTCTTTGATGCGCCAAACAGTTTTCCTCGCTCCAACGCTCGCTCTGAGGTGGGAAGGACCGGCAATGATCTCGGCGACTTTGTCATCTTTTCGGAGAGCTTTCACGTCTTCAGGCAAGTGGGCAACAATTCGATTATATAGTGCAGAAGCCCATTCTGGAGAGAAAACGAGGATGTTTTGGCATTCTCGAAAGGAATTTCCCTTGCTCAAGGTTTGCCAATCCTGTCCGGCAGCGCTCTGCAGCCTAACACATTCCTCGGGCGTGAGCAAGTTGTCTAGGGTGATGGCGAAGAAAGAACTGTAGTCAGCCGCGAGCCGCGAGCTACTAAAATCAATAGGCGTTGCTATGACAGCTGGCCGTTGAGGGCCAACAGGGTCAAGCAGGGGCTTATGGCCCTGAGATGCTGATGAATCCATTGTGTTCCAAATTGATGAAATACTAGCCTCAGGTTGGTATTGTCCATGATGGCCCGGGAAGAGCTCAATTCAACAAAGAAATTGCGTATTGAAAGTCGTTGTCTCTGGCTAGAAATCCAACGAGCGGGCATCAGCTCTTATAGTTGCATGTGTAAGGTTAGTGCCTTGACTGATGACTCAGACTTCTGAAGCAGTGGCAACGGGCAACGGGCAACGCTGTCACGATGCGATGGAGGCGTAGAGCGGCACAGCCTTATACACTGTTCTGTGCTCTCTTGTCCGTTGTCTAAGTAAGTAGAAGAATATGATGCCTAGCAAGCAGGTAGGTAGGGACTTGTTTTGAGCAGGGGTCTCTGCTGGGAAACTGTATCCACAGGTACATAAGTACATAGCTAATTGTCAACTCAATTCAACGAAGCAGATAGGTATTGACTTGGAATTCCAACATCTGAGTAGATCCGTGGTAGCTGGCCTAAGTATACACATTGGGCATCTTTCCGTGAGACCATCATACAGCTAAAAAGTACCTAGGTACATACATATAGCCACTATAATTAGACTTGCAAGCTAAGATATACAGTGTATATGGATGTGTATGCATATATGCACTGTATACGTTTCATCCAACCAGAATAAAGCGTAGCAGTGAAGTACGGGTCTGTACAGGTGCCGAAAGCGTGGTCATGATTGATTCAAACTCGAGGCAGCCCCACTGCAGAAATCAGGAGGAGGAGGGAAAAAAAAAAAAGAGAGAGAGAGAGAGAGACAAGGCCTGAATTCAAAATACCGGTACCCTCTTATTGCGACGACGAAACGCAAAGACGAGGCTATCCGACGACTAACGACTATCTCGCCCTAACCACCATTTGGACTTTGCCTGGAGTTAAAGTCCCTTCCTTCCACTTCTCCGTTTGCAACCCGACTTGTAACCCGACTTCTGGTGAAGTCCCGTCGCTGAATCGTTCATTACCTACGCATTGCCCCTACTGCCCTCTCCCCCTCTCCCCCTGCCCCCTGTGACAAACATTCCTTGTCTGGTGTAGCAGGTCCCGTTGCTGCGACACGATCCCCCGAGAGCGCGCCTCCCACGATATCTGACGACGCACCCACCGACGAACACCTTGAGGGCAAGGCTGCGAAGCCATCCATCAAAGCTGCATTATATCTATATCCATATATATATATATATATATTGGTCCTATTTGGCAGTCGCTATCTTCTGGACATCGTCTCCTTCCTTCCCCCACCTTGATCAACGTCAGGCGCCTCCAAGAAAGAAGGTGCCCCTCCCCCTCATCCTCTCGCTGCCTCGCCAATCCGACCGAGAGAAATTCGCCTGGCATTTCTTCCGTCCATTCATCCATCTGCCAACCCGCCGGTCCGCCTCTCGCACAATCAGTGACTTGTCTTTGTCAATCCTGACGCCCGCCCTACATTCACGCACCACCCAACATGTCTGAGCAAGTCGATCTCACCACAATCCCGATTTCGCCCAATGGCGACAAGCCCGATGCTGCCTCGTCAGCAGAGGATGGCAACATCGTGACTGTCTTCCACGACAAGGACAACTTCAACGTGAAGCACCCTCTTCAGAACAAATGGACTCTTTGGTTTACCAAACCATCGAGCGGCAAGGTAAGTCTGCTGTGTGTCTGTTATAGTGTCCTTGTTCTCGCTGCCCTCTTTCCGCAACCCAAGAACCCACTGTTTCTGTCTGTACTAGCTCATATCGGCTGACATCTCTGTCCACGTCTAGGGCGACAATTGGAATGACCTGCTCAAGGAAGTCATCACTTTTGACACTGTCGAGGAGTTCTGGGGCATTTACGTGAGTAATCTTCCGTCTTCCACCTACCTCTCGGCACGATCGAGCAACGCAACTTCTCCCGCTCATACGCTAAGACCAAACTAACGGACATGTGTCTTGTCTCTGATAGAACAACATTGCGCCCGTTTCCGACCTAGCCATGAAGTCCGACTACCATCTCTTCAAACAGGGTGTGCGACCCGAGTGGGAAGACCCCCAAAACAAGCATGGTGGCAAGTGGTCCTATCAGTTCAAGGACAAGCGCAGCATTGACATCAATGAGCTGTGGCTAGCGACCATGCTGGCCGCTATCGGCGAGACTCTTGAGGACGAAGACGATGGTGAGGTCATGGGTGTCGTTGTCAACGTTCGAAAGGCCTTCTTCCGTATCGGTGTCTGGACACGCACCATTGGCAAGAGTATCCCTAATCGCGGCGATGGCGATGTTTCCGGTGGCAAAGGACGATCCCCCGAAAAGGGTCAGAAGATCCTCCTCGCCATCGGCAAGCGCTTTAAGGAGACCCTAAAGCTTCCGGCCAACGAAAACATTGAATTCTCAGGCCACACTGACGCAGCTCATTCCGGCAGTACTCGTGCTCGCGCCAAGTTCGTTGTCTAGACTTAGGCTCATGGTATCAGAGCTGGCTCATGGCGCAGATATTACCAGGATTGCTTGGCAGGGGCTTTCTGATCAGCCAAATATCTCGATAAGGCATCGTCCATGTTGGCTGAAAACTATTCGCTTGTTGTGTTGACAGGGGAGAAAAAGGTGAATGGTATCTATATCCGGAATGTGATACCAACATGACACCTTCGTTGACTTTCCATACTACTGTACCACATCGTAGCCCAAAATTGGCACGTGGTTTTGCACTATTCTATTGATGCAACGCGGAGTAGGAGGTTTAATTTGGGACACGACAGCAGCCCATATTTCATAATGAAAAGAACAATGATAAAAAAGACATATTTGCATCAGTGTTGAACCCAAACCTCGTGTGAGATATGGTAGTGAATTTAACTTGCTCTAGTGTTGTTACACTTTCCGTAGTGCTACCACTATAGACTTTTGAGGTGTTGCCTAATTGAGGGCATCCCTAGAGAATAGCGCGCACGATATGCCTGTTATAAGCTTTCATTTCCAGGCAAGTAAATTCTAATGTGAAACTAGGAAACTTTCTACGAAACAATGTAAATGTGAAACTATATCTTATTACGATGGAAACTTGGGAGTAAAGGGTAGAAAGACAGACTTGGGGAGAATGGGAAGTGGACTACTAAACATTGAAGACTTCGGAGGGGTATGTAGAATATGGGCTTCAGTGTTTAAGTTGGTCTAGGCATGTGGAATTGTGATATATGTAGGTTGCTGGCTAATATTATATACAGATGAGTGAAGTTGTCCTGCAGAACTAGGTATCAAGGCAGCCAGGTTGGTAAGCGGGTAGGTTAGTAATAGGTATATGATGCTCCCCATTTTCAGATGCAATATGTATATCTCCAAAGCGTCCAAAACCCCTCCAAACCTAAACCTATGAGATGGTTTAAGGTACTTTACAGTAGGCGACCCGGGACATTACCAAGTGATCAAGTCGCCCTTCTATTGATTTTTACTCATCCTCCTTCTATGTTCGGGAACTCACATCTCGTCCCCACTGAAATCGTCCGAGAAGACCTCACGGACGAGATTCTTCTTGTTGATCTTGCCCATGGCGTTCCTGGGGATGTGGTCGACAACCCTCAGGACCTGGGGTATTTTGTAATTGGCCAATCGGCCTTTGAGGGCTCGGCGCATATCCATCGGTTTCCAGCCCTCGGGACAGATGGTTCGATCGAGAATAAGAACGGCACCGACCTTCTGTCCCCATTTGCCTGACGGCACTGCTAAGACCGCCGCCTCAAGAACCTCGGGCAACGATAACAGTTCACGTTCGACTTCTAATGCCGAAACCTTCTCACCGCCGGACTTGATGATGTCTGCGCTCTGCCGTCCTAGGATGAAATACATGGGACCCTTAGCCCAATCTCCACTTGCTGCGCTGCCGGCGGGTGCGGGCACGTTCCGGCGCACTGCGACGTCACCTGTCTTGAACCAGGCACGCTTGCCATCACCAGCAGGCAAGAATTCTTTAGCAGTGGCTATGGGGTTGGCCCAATACTCGCGGAATACATTTGCACCACGTAGTTGGATCTCACCCGCTCGGTCAACTACGTCTTCGGGGATGATTTCATTCGTATCTGTGTCGAACAGGCGCGCTTCAACACCTGGTAGAGGCCATCCCACGCTACCGTCAATGCGATCGTCAAATTCCAGACCACAGGATAACGCCATACCCACTTCAGTCATACCATAGCGTTCGAGGAGCACGTTACCTCGGCTAAGGTCTTTCCAGGCCCGCTTCACCGGCGTCGGGAGTGCGGCAGAACCCGATATGGCGACCCGCATATGTTCAGGACTTATAGCGATACGACCAGCTTGGGCAATTCCTGGAGGCAGCGTCTTGTGTGTAGACAGAAGACGAGTATAGACTGTTGGCACCACAGTGAAGAACGTTATCTTTTCCCTGCACATATTGGCGAATTTATCCTCCAGTGCCGCATTGGTTGTTGTACCATTTGAGGTCACTGTCCCATTGGGTAATGTTATCGAACGAGTGGCTTGTGGGCGGACCACTCCATTCAAGTCTATAGCTAGTTGGCTGATTCTCGCCGACTCCTGAAGCGAGAGAGCCACGCCGGTTGTTTCGGGGTTATTTGACCCAGACGCTAACCGAATGATACCATATATCTCGGCGGCAATCTGACTTATCCTGCTTGTATCCGCTGGTGGCAGTCCCGTCTCTATACTAGCAGGAGTAGTAGCACCTGTGCTCCCTGTTTCCGAGACTGTACGACTCAAAGCACTGGGTAGCGATATGTATGGAAGAGGCTTTCCTGGGATATTTTGGGCACTATCGATAATGTTCGAACCTGGAGATTCGAGGAACGGGTTCGCAAAACGTCGCCATACAGTATCGGCATTGAAAGGGAAGAGAAACTCGATTACACTTCCCGCAAATAAAGGTGTAATGATGGCGTTGACCGTACCGTGAATGTGGTGTAAGGGCAAGCAATGCAGCAGCCTGTCTTGTGGGGTGTACTTCCAGGCTTCGATCAACGCACGACTTTGTGCCGTGAGAGCGGTTTCGGGGATTAGAACCCCCTTTGGCCTTGCCGTCGTCCCTGATGTATACAGCATCATGCCCGCCCCCTCAGTGTCGTTATCCTCTATGATTTTAACAGCATCAAAAGTGGCATTATCCCGACCCAGCCCTAGGTACTTGGGCAGTTCGAATGCCTTGAGGGTTGGCTTGAACTCAGGGTCTGTATTAGGCGAAAGTTCAGGCCATGGTGTTGTGAGCACTTCTTTAGCTTTTGATGCGAACTTGGCAGAATGAAGCAATAAAGATGCCTGAGACTGAGTGAGAATATACTGCAGTTCTGGTGCAGGAAATGGTGGCGAAAGAGGTAATGCAATTGCGCGCGAAGCAAGTATGGCGAGGAATGTCACTAATTCGCACAAGTAAGCGCCGGGTTGTAATTGACCAAAAATTATCATGATAAGTAGGTCTTCAATTTTGGATAGCTTGCATACCAACATAGTCGTAGCCATTCTCTACGAGGAAGGCAATGCGCTCCCCACGGATATCCGTCTTGCCCACAGCAGCGTATATTTGCTCGCGTGTTCGACAAACATCTGGAAGCAGCTCGCCATATTTAAATGAACGTCCAGAAAGACAATGCGCAATAGCCGTTGAATTAGGGTCGTGTCGTGATATGGCATCAAAAATGGGGAGTTTAGGCAAAGCGAATGTGGAAGCCATCCTGTAGGAGGTGAAGGACGCTGACGCTGGGGGTTGTTGAGTCGCGAAGAAACGCTGAGAGCATGTGGTAGTACCTGGACGACGAGAGCTGGTGGTATAAGTAGCGAGCGCACAGCCCGATGCAGGACCGAGATTACTAGGCCCGATGGTATGGAAACTATGAGAAATAGTGCCGACGGACAATGAGTGGAGAAACGAGCATGGAGAGCGGCAGGTGGTTGTGGTGGTCGAAGATATCGAAATACAGACGATCGGACGCAGTCTTGGCCCTCCAAGCAACCGCATGCCGGGTAAGTAATCGGTTCGGTGTGCCGCCGATTCAGGGGTCTTTGAATCTCACCAACAGTGGCAGAGGGGTGGACGGACTGGGGGTGGGTGAGGAGGGGAGGATGGCTTTCCTACCTAGACCGCATATGAAGTGGTTGTTCGATGTCGAGTGGGTTGGGATGTCTGGCCATGGGTTACGTCGGTCGAGGCCAGGACCTGGCCCTGAATGCGACTATGTGACATGAAGACAGTACTGGACATGGACAGTACGGGACGATCAGTACGATTGCAGCATCAACGATAGCCAAAGACTGGGATGAGGGAGGATTCACACACACACACACTCTCTCTCTCTCTCTCTCTCTCACGCATGTTCTCATGTTCTGCACATGTACAGCTAGCTGTAGAGGTGTGCAGAGGTGCGCATCCATGCGGGCCAAGAGCCGTTCCAAGAGTGTTTAGCCAGGCGTTGAATTTGCCGGCAAGTGACGAGAATGGTAGCATCAGCCCACTCTACGCATGTGCTATGTACCTAGATAGATACCTAGGTACATATGTAGTACCTACATGAGTAGGTATGCGAGATGTAGATTCGTCAGTAGGTATGGGCTCGGGTATGGGTAGGGCACGGTAGAGGGGGATGGATGGTGTGGTTCAATCCCGACGATTACTGCCTATGTATGATACAACCGATCATTGATGATTAGGTAGTTTGGCGGTTATTATCTTTTTAGCAAATTGTTGTGATGATGATGTCGATTGGACTCTTCTATGTACTAAGATACCTTACCTATGTACTTAGGTACTTACTTACCTCTAGCTCTCCCACTAAAACCCAATGCTAGGTACCTTATCCGTCTACCATCTGCGACATGACGACAATTCCAAGTTGAGTCTTTCTCTTTTCCCTTGGATTTCAAGCCGACTATAGACATAGAAGCCCTCGTCGTATTTCCCTCATTAGTTTCTGCTCACAGCTCTCCAAAAGCACCGCCCAAAGTGTACCCAGAATCACCCCGGAGGACTGCCGACGGCGTGAGAATCGTGTTGATAGGGCGCCACATCCGGACACCGGGATTCCGCCAGGTCGCATTCGATGTTGCGCCGAACCACGGCCGTAGTTTTACCACTGGCTAGGACAACATTGCCTGCTTTACTATTTCCCAGACGTCTGCTAGCCACGGCAGCAATGGCATCTCAGACTCCCATGGAGGATGCTATCCGGACCAAGGTGCGACTGTCTTTCTATCCGATCTTACTCATTGACCGCGACACCAATTGAAATCTCTTGATTGGTAATATGTATTGCATGCTCAGAGCTGGTCGCATTATGAATGAACCAATGAGGCCAAGGAGTGGACCAAGGAGTGGAAGAGGGATAACAATCATATCGGTAGCTGATTAACGTTCCGATCGTGTATAGGTCACAGATGCTCTCAACCCTTCACGTCTAGAGATTTTCAACGACTCACATAAGCGTAAGTCTCCCTCTATACTTCATGCTGAAACACATTACACTAACACCTCCTCAGACGCACACCATAAGCCCATGCAAGGTAGCACATCAGGCGAGACACACTTCCGCGTCGTCATAACCTCCGAGGCCTTCAGGAGTAAAATGCAGCCCGCACGTCATCGCCTCATCTATGGTCTCCTGCGTGACGAGATGGCGGCGGAGGGTGGCATCCACGCCTTGCAGTTACGCACCATGACGCCTGAGGAGGAAGAGCGTCAAAATGCGAAAGCGGAAGCTGAGAAAGCATAATCACCACGCAAGATTAGCGAGAGGAAGAATGAAACATTAGAGACGATATGACTGATTCAACTCGCTTGGCTGTATGATGAAATGCTGTAGAGTATATGTTGGATACCACTAGATATCTAATGAGACCAATATCGATGCTCAGTTCATTGCCAATCCTGCGTTAAGCTTGACGCCATTTGTATAAAATTCAACGAAGCAGATATAGGGGTCCATCCATGAATTTCCTATAGAGCACCTCATATAGTCTGCCAAGGCGGGGAAGCGAGCGGGCAACAGTGTACATAATAATCATAATCATCATCTCTGAAAGGCAAACCTGCTATACTTGTGAGATCTTAGATCAACTGCAAAGCAGTTCTTGCTCGATGAACTCTTCACATTCCGAAATAGTCTACGCCGTGAACCAACCACGGCGGCTGGGGGGTATATAATCTCCTAAAATGGCAACAACGAATACTCCGACGCCTCCAAGAACTCCATCGCGTACCAATCAACGTACTTGCCCATCTCCGTATCTTGCAATATACTTAATACTTTTGTCCCGACGTAGGGGTGTTCCTTATGGGGGCCGGGCTGGCGATACTCTCCCTTCCAGACAACCGCTTCTTGATGTGTTTCGCAAGTCTGCGTGCACGCCTCCCCTCTGGGTCCTCAGCGACTCTTGCCTTCACCCGTCCTGCAGCAGGTTCAGGGGTAACAGAGGTTCGAGCGGTGTTCTTAGACCGGTTCGAATGGTTGCTGGTCGTGCTGCCGGAGTCAGACCACATCCTACTCTGAGCGTCGGGGAGGAGGCCCAGCGAGACTCGCTTAGTTCCTTCAGACCGGAGCTCGTTGGTCGCAGTCCGTTTCCTGTGCATAGTCGATTCTGAAAGGGACCGCGTTAGACTTTCGCGCTGGGCTGGTCGTGCTTCTATTCCGCCAAAGGATTTGTGGACTGGTATTTGTTGGTTAGCTGCCATATGAGGTAATTGTCGAAGTGCGGTGGGCGATAAGCTAGACACTCGGGCGTCCATCTTCGGTGCTTCAACTGGCTGCCGTATTGGCTCTTTTCCCTTCGACCGTTGCGAAGGTGAAGCATCTGGCTGCACATTATCCCGGGGGTGTGGTTTCGACTGGCCATTAGAAGTTTGAGACTCATTCGAGCCTTGACTGTTAGAGTTTTCTATTTCCTGCCGCACAAGCTTAACCTCATGGGGATAACAATCAAGTATCAGTTGGAGGTTATCGCGTGTCACGACCCTCTCAGTAAATAAAGGATCATCATCAATATCATTGTACCATTCAATCGCCGTCAGCGCTTTGCGGGGAGGTTTCGTCTCATCGCAGTCGTCGACGTAAGGCAAGTATCCATCGACCCAAGCTCTAATGAAATCGTCGTACAAGGATGTTCGAATTCTGCGCCTACGTTGCTGTTGCTGGATAAGTATACATGCCATAATGAAATGATGTATCGTTCCATTATATCTCGGGTATGTAGCTGTATAGTGGACGAATGGAGCTTCCCAGCTCTTCGACGTTATGGCTGGCGGAGCGACCGAATGAGCGGCCGGTGTTACTCCTTGAGAAGAGCCGATGACATTGACTGGTGCAGGATGCATTTGCATTGAGGGTTCGGACCCCGAAGCTAATATACTGTGGAAGTTGTTTGAGCTGGAACCTGCCAGCTGGTAGCTTGACGCCAAACCCGGGCCTAGAGTGTGCTCTTCCCTCTCGGGTGTTAGGTCGTTTTTGGTAGACGGTATGACAAATGGTGATATAATGTTTGTAGGCAAAGAACTCTCGATATCGGTACTACGACCTGAGGTAGCTGCGGCTTTGTTCGGGGTGGCATTGATCTTCAAGTGTGACGAGACAGTGTCTGTTTTAGGTCCACGGTACAACTCGGGCACACGATTATACCTGTGCCTTTTAATAGCGGGGTCCAATTTGGGATTCTCACTTTTAGAAGCGCTCATAGAGCTACGCTCCGAAGACTGTTCTAACGTGCATGGGACAACCTGAGCGGAGGGAGGGGTTGCTAGCATTGGCAAGGATGGTTTGTTAATAGGCAGGAGACTGTAGTTGAGGGCAGCCGGGACTTCAACTTCAAGCTCATCCTCAGGTCCCTGACTGCTCGGTGGAAAATCTGGCAGTTTGGGGTGTTCTGGTGATAAAGTCATGGCGGTAGGCTGTGGTGGCGACTTCTCAGGAAGTTGTGTTAGGAAAGGTTGATCTGGCTTCTCGCTTTCAGCCCTTGGCAGTCTGACATGGTGCTCAGGGCTCGGTGGCCATGACAATGTCTCGCCAGCAGCGTCATCGTCATCGTCGTCGTCGTCGTCGTCGTCTTTGTCGCCGCCCTGGGCATGCGGCTGGGGCGATGACTGGCTTCCAGATGGCTCTGGGACATCCGAATCATGCTCTGGCTGACTCATGGTGTCGGCAGATAGATCCAAACTGGATGTTTTGTTCTGCCGGACATGGGAGGCTTTCACCTGATCCAGCATCTCAGGGGGTACATTGAGAAAGCCGTTGGCGCGTCGGCTAAGATGACTTGCCCATGACTCATATCCGCTCAGAAGTATCTTCTGATTACTGGGTATCTTGACAAATGAGCGCCGAATTTTGGTGTCCCCAAGGATGTCAATATTCGAAAGAGACGAAGCAGGTGTTGAGGAGGCAATCCTGGGAGCTGGGCCAGAGTTGCACGCCATACTTGATTTGCTCTCTTCTTTTCCTCGTTTACTATGTCTTGGAGAGGTTACAAGTTACTGCGGCTCGTAACATGACAGCAAAGGACAAGCCTTTTAGATTCAGGGTTGAGTGGCTAGTACATGACGCATTATCGTTGAGTCTCGCAATGAAGGTGGCATTACGCGGGCAAGTGATGGTTAATCGGGTATGCATGCGAAGTACTTAATTCAAGTGCCATGAACAAAGGGGCGCGCGCATGTCAACGCGAAAAAGGGCGGCTGCGGGGCCGAGATCAATGCGAATTCACGTGATATATAGCTACCTGCCTAGGTACCTTGTACCTTGGGAAGCCGCCCCACGCGGGCGGGCACATTAGTGCCTGGCAGCTAAGGTATTTAAGTACCTACATATATAGGTACCTAGGCACAAATGTACTCACCCAACCTCTACGAAGTACCTAGACAACTAGAGTTGGATGTTCACCTGTGATCTGCTCTACAGAGTCTCTTTAATGGAGCGGGTAAGTACTTACCTTGTCACCTCTAAGAATTGCAATACCTACCTAGAGATACCTACATGTACACGTACCTAGATACTTATATACCCTAGGTAGGTACCTTATATAAGTAGATGTAGGTACCTATCACCTTTAGCTCTGAGCAACGCCGCCACTCCATCACTCCACCACTCCACCTAACTGCGTCACCCAATGCTTCTAGTCTTTGGCTGTCTCAGAACAGAAGTGTATCGCTGCTTTCTCTGCTTTCTCTGCCAACTCTGGCCAACACATTAGATACATACAGCACGATTAAGCATTCCTGTAACGATCGGTTCATCATTTCAACACAATTCTAATCCTCTGCAACCTCCACCACGTTTGAAACCGATTCTTGGGCGCATCTCTCGTCACAGGAATCCTTGCCGACTTCACGTCGTGTAGTTTCGTCATGCTCCTTACAACATCTAGGTAGGCCACTTCCACCAGTAGCTGCTGCCAGACTGCGAAGGAGGAGTTGCTGCCACTTGTTGCTGCTGTCGATGTTCTGACTATCCTTCTCCTTAGTGCAGTTTCCTCGACCAAGTAAGCATGTTGCCGTAGAGCTAGATGATGAACCTGTCGGGACGGATAGATTTACACCATCCATTCTCTGCCACGCGTTTTTACCAAGAGGCGTTACACCAAAACCATGAAGCACTGCAGGTTATGACATTGCCGTGTTTTATAAATCGGAATCCATCGAACCCGCCATTCGACCTTTGAATTCGGGTATTCTCTCTTGACCACGCCGGTAGTCTCGCCCGTTCCCCGTTCTCCTGCTAGCCGGTTCGATTCCACACGACTATGTCGGCGAAGAAACCTCTACCCTCACCCTTGCCTCATTCGAACGGTCTGTCTCCCAGTGTTAGGTCTCGTCGTCCTTCCGCAGCGTCTTCGATAGCCGCTATACCACAAGTCGACAAAGAACACCTTGCTCAGGCACTCGACAAGATCCATACCTCATCCAAAGAGGAAGGCGTGCTTACTACCTTCAACGATCTAGCTCCGCCCGAGTCCATCGATGATGTTGAGAATAAGGGCTTCACGGGGGACTTAGTTCAAAATGGCTTCAGTGGACTGTACTCAAGATTCAAGGAGGCTGTGGGGGTAAGTGGTAAAGACAAGGACAAGCCCGTGGTCGCAGTGTCAGGGGAAACCCCTGAGCTCGTCTCTGCAAATGCCGCCTCTAGAAGGAATCAGGGTACAGGATCAGGGTCGGGGTCGTCGAAGAACGGTGCGCCTTCGTTACCACGGGCGGACACCGGAGTGACTGATACTACTTTCCACTCGTCTGCATCAGAGCCTTTAGACTCCACTGCTACATCGTCCGGCATTTTGGCCAGCGACAATCCAACACAACAGCGTCAATCTATTCAGGCGTCGTCGATTGCCAATCTCCCGGCCTCAACATCCTCGAAATCTGCCTCGTCTAGTCGCCAGAGTCTCCCGCATATGATTAAATCCACGTTACCTGTCCCGACCACGAACGTTAGTAACGTTAGTGCTTTCCGAGATGTGTCGCGTCCGACCTCCTCTCGTACGGAGGAAGATTCTAATCGGAGCAGTCGCATAATAACTGTCACTAAACCCAATGAAGGGCAATCGGCCACATCCCCTGTGTATGCCGATTCTATGGGTCTACCACAACTAGACAAGACATCAGTTTCTAGTCGTTCTCGTCGCGATGATGCGTACAGCATGGATGGTAGTCTAGACTTACCAACGAGCCCTGTCAAACCTCTGAGACCCGCATCGAAAGCTTCTCTCCCAACAACCCCATCTGAACCGAATTTGCTCAGCACGCAGGCTAGACCAACCGCTAGACCTATAACACGACGACCGGCAGTGATTGACCGCATCAACCAATCCCAGGGCTCAGGGAGCCAATCAAGATCATCATCTTACTCAAGAGGAACAGCGGAAGCCAGCCCTGTGAATACGTCTGCGCATAATAGCGTTCATCACGAATCATTTAGCCATGCAAATCGACATGAGCGAATGAGATCGGGGGATTATAGGATTCCGGGTACAACTGTCGACGAAGGGGCACCTGAAATTGTGAGCGCAAAGCTTGAGTCGATGCGTAAACAAGTGCTAAGTAAGCAGTTTTGGATGGCTGATGAGACTTGCAAAGAATGCTTTTTATGCGGTTCTCCATTTACAGCTTTTCGCCGTAAACATCATTGTAGGACGTGTGGTTGCATTTTTGACAGCAGCTGTACCTCTACTATATCGGGTCAACGGTTCGGAGTCCACGGTACCTTGCGAGTTTGCAAAACCTGTTTGAGCATCATCCTCCAAAGACAGGATGGCAACATATCAGAGGAGTCTAATGACGATACATATTTACCTGCGCTATTTCGGGGAAACCAGCCCAAAATTGTTACTCCCTCTACCACTGCAAAGCACACCCGCGACGACGCAAGCTCAGAGCGAACGGATGATATCAATGACGACAGCAGATCAATGACTACGCCTATGATGGCTATCCCTGCGACAAAACGAATTGGCGAGTCGTCTAATCGTAACTCTGCAGTTTTAGAAATTGATACTCACCAGCTTAGTCGACCGAGCTCTTCAAGGTCTCTGCGTTCAATTAATTCTGGACGACCGCAGTCCTCTGGTCACAGGCGCCAACATTCCAAACACAATCTTTGGAATCGTCTGAAACCCCCAGTCAGTGAAAGAGCCCCTTTTCGGAAGTCTGTGAGTGAAGAGGCGACGAAAAGGCCTAGTCTCTCGGCTTTTCATGACGACAATGTCATCGATCCTGATCTAGCCCAGTACATGTCTGATGAGTCGAGCGAAGATGAACACATGAGTATCATGGGAACCATTTCTGGGAGTGAGAATCACTCTGCCAGCATCGATAATGAGAAGTCTAACTTTGGCCCATTCTTGGGAGTCGGCCGCAAAAGTCGGAACAGGGCACTAGCCGAGAAAAGTATGAGCGGTTTTAGCTATACCAGTCGCGGTGTGGATGAATACCATCCACGATCTGCTAGACGCAGAAACTTGAGTGCCGTCAGTGGCCCCCAAGTCTACATCATGCGCTCACCACGGCCAAGAACTGCAACCGTTAGAGGCCCATCTGGGTCGAATGAAACTTTGCCATATTTCGATTCCGCTGGAAGTTCCAGTGTGGCTCGATTAACTCGAAGCTCTTCAATGAAGGGAGAGAAAGAGCCTCGTTTGGAACTCAACCCCGCAAGTATGATGCATGTTCATAAACTCCTACGCCAACTCCTGGAGGATTCGGGGATTCGAAATGTGGTTGCTTGGGAAAAGGCACTAATTCCTATCCTTCTGAAATGTACTTCATGCGTTGATCCAGATATACATCGCGGGGACGACATTGATATTCGGCATTATGTGAAATTGAAAAAAATTCCTGGTGGTCGGCCGAGCGATACCACTTACGTCCCCGGTGTGATTTTCACGAAGAAGCTTGCCTTGAAGACCATGCCTCGCCGCATGTCTAATCCTCGAGTTGTCATTATTTCATTTCCCATCGAGTACCAGCGGCACCAGCACCATTACATGAGCTTGCAGCCAGTCATTGAGCAAGAAAGAGAATTTCTTAGACAACTAGTTAACAGGATCATTGCCTTAAGACCGCAATTGCTTCTCACGGAAAAAAGCGTATCCGGGGTTGCGCTACAGTTTCTTTCTGAAGCGAAAATTGCAGTCGCTTATAATGTCAAGCCATCGGTGCTCTCTGCTGTTTCGAGATGCCTGGAAACCGAGATCATATCATCTGTTGACATGCTCGCTCTCCCTCCAACCCAATTTCAAACTGGAAAAAGTACCGGCTTTGAAGTGAAGACTTTCGTCAATGAAGAAATCCCTGGGCGTAAAAAAACGTACATCTTCCTGTCTAGCAATCAGGAGGATTTAGGCTGTACGATTGCTCTAAGAGGAGCGCCCACTTCAGTGCTTGCAAAGTTGAAGCATATAACCGAATTCATGGTATATGTTGTTTATAACTTGAAACTCGAGTCATCCCTCATGCGTGATTCCCTCATTCAACTCCCTACCACTGAAGATTTGAGTAGAGGTTCTACCCAACAACACTCAGACGAGAATGCTTCTTTCACTGGAACTACGGAAGCGGATGCATTGGAGTCTCAAAAAAGGGCGTCACTCACAACGACATCAGAGATTCCTGTGACGAGCCAGCCTAGTGATGAGACATCATCTAACACGATTGAGCCAAGCATCGGCGGTCCGACCGAGGACAACTCTTCACAACCTAATGACCCAGCGCGCAGGTTAATATCCCTCCACGAAAAGCATTCTTCCCACGACAGCCTGGTCCCAGAAGACGTACCTGCACCTACCTTTTATAGTGACATGGTCGCAAAATACGAAACGAAGATTCTCTCTGCTTCGCCATTTGTTAAGTTCGCTCAGCCTTACCTTTTAATGAATGCTCGAGAACAGGAACGCAGATTAGTTCATCTTAAACGGCTTCGCGACCAAGATGTCATTGAAGAACGTGTCGATGAAGAGAAACCCAAACCGCAAAAATTCCAATTGATAAAGCCGGAGATGGTGCATCAGACTGGCCAGAAGGCACCTCGACACATTATGGAAGTGCTGCATGCTGTCCATGATGCCGAGTATGACAAAGCTCTCTACAACTATCAAACACAGACGCGTTCTTGGGAAAATTATATCCAGGGAAATCTTGACCTTTTCAACCCATACGCTCATCAGAATATCGTAGTGTTGTATTCTGTGACATGCACAGATACTAAAATTCCGTGTGTGGAGCCACAGCTCATTGCTTTAGGCTTCTATGATGATCACGCGGAGAATGGGAACAGTCTGGATTCGGACTGCACATTAGGGCAATATATTGAAGACGTGTGTATGGGCGCTGAAACGATTTGTGAAGCAGAAACCTGTGATCGCAAATTGTACCAGCATCACAGGACTTACGTTCATGGTGAGGCGCGTATCACGCTCTTCGTCGAGTACGAGGTCAATGACGTATACCGAGGAGATAGCATCATGATGTGGAGCTATTGCAAAATCTGCAAACGTGAGACGCGCGAGATGGAGATGTCTGCGTCTACCTGGAAATACTCGTTCGGCAAGTATCTCGAATTATCATTCTGGAGCCGGGGCACCCATTTGGTCAGAGATGAGGAGTTGGGGGGTTGGAACTGCCCCCACGACCATCACCGAGACCACATCCGCTACTTTGGCCTCGACGACAAGATTGTTCGGATACACTACGACCCAATTGACCTGCTAGAGATCATTGTACCTCGCGCCAGGATTACTTGGAAAGTGGAACACGACCTCAATATGAAAAATGAGCTATTCACTCACTGCCAAGATAGGTGGACACGGTTCACTGCTTCTGTGAAAGCTAGGCTCAAGGCTATAAGGCTCGACAACCTTATCCCAGAGAAAGTCGAACCATGCAAGGCAGAGATCGAACGGTTGACGAAGAAAATTCAAGATGAACATACCTCTCTTATTAAAAAGCTACAAGAGAAATACATGAATTCAAGGTACTACGAAGTAATTCCTTTTAACATCGTTATCCGCGAAATGTTAGTCAAGGTAACTGAATGGGATGCCACGTTCGCCAAATTCGAGGCCGACTTTCTCCCTTCTGACAAGGACATACGAAGGCTCACCCTGATTCAGCTGCGTAAGATGTTCACAGATGAGTCAAAAGAAGCGTTATCTACACATGAGGCTGCTACTGAAATGACAGAATTAAAAGATAACCAACAAGTCGCTGCCGAGAGTAGTTTGAAAGAAGACATACAACCCCAAGACATACCTATTGATAACAGTCAGTCAGAAACAGCTGACGCAGATTTGCCTCGGATTGCTACTCCCCAAGAAGGTACTTTGGGATCTACCCCGGAGGCCACGCTGGAACGCATTGAACCGCTAGATCTAGCCACGCCAAAATCTCCAGTACAGAACGCCCTCGCTCCAGATCAGGCCCCCAAGAGCACCGTAACAACCCCATCGCTACCAGTTCCCGAAACACCAGAAACGCCTTTTACCCCACTGCCCATCCCCTTTAACCCAATTCCCAAGACCCCTCAGATGTCGGTGGCAGAACAAGTTGAACAATTACGCCGCAAGCAGCAAGCTGCGTGCCTAGAAAATGCCGGCCGCCCAGTGGCAAAGGCTAGCACACAGTCAGGTACCACAGCAAGCTCTTCGAAAATAGGTTTGGAACACGGCTCAGCCCGTAGGATGGGATCGAACGTGTCGCCGCCTATGGTCCGCGCTATTTCACAACCAGTGAGCAGTTTACCGACACTGCATCGTGTTAGTTCTGCTATGGGCAGGAAATCAATCGGCATGACTAAAGAAAAGGACAAGACGGCATTGCCAGATGTCCCAGTTGGCAATGAACTTCGTAAGGCCGCGACCAGTGAGCTGATCAAGCCTGAAAAGAAGCTTTTTGGCTCCAAGCAACACCGCAAAAGCGGTCAATCTTCTATACCACGGTTTGTAGGGATGAGGGAAACTAGGGTTTCCACCATCCGCAAACACTTCGAACAACTAAGCCGCGAGTTCGAAAAGGAACGTGAGAAAGACAGGAAGAAACGGGCAGCAAATATGTCGCATTCCCGACCGTTCCTTCAGCACTCAAAAACTAGGGCTACTGTTGAAGTCTACCAAGATGTTGATGATGCAGTTAATGAGCCTCTACCAGTGGAAGATGACCAAGCAGCGGGAAAAGACATAGTCGAATCAAATGCCCCAGTATCAAACTCGGTCACTGTAGCAGAAGCTGCCGTAGCTCAGGAGCTGGTACCGACTGCTGAGCCAACTCCTGAAAGCCCTTCTCAGAACGAGGAAACCGCCGAAGTCGAGGTAGATGACCCAGCTCACAACACAAGCGTTGGTCACACAGATGACGAACAAGGGGATAGTGACACGGAGAATTCCATTATTGATGGGAGTACTCTGGAAGAGATTGCCGAGTCTCTTGATTCGAGCACTGAAATACCACTCGAGCTTCCCAAACATGACAGAATGAACTTTATGAAAGCGCTCTCAAACTTCTGGAATGAACGATCTGCGAGCCAGTGGCCTCCGCTGGACTACCCTCTTGATGCTTCTGATCATATTTTCATAGACTCCGACATCATTGTTCGGGAGTATGAACCAAGTTCCGTTATTGCTTTCGCTCTCAGCTCTGAGGACTACAAGAACAAGCTCCAGCGATTTCACAACCGAAAGCCTGGCCAGACAGCTCAATTGTCGTCTTCGGATACGGATGGGATGGAAGACAGTGAGCTCGACCTTGAGGGGCCGGTGACAGATGGACGTCTAGAGACAAGCCTGATTCATAACTCTAGTAGCCACTTCAAGTATCAGTTTGCCGAGGGATCAGCAAAGATGCTTGTTAAAATATTCTATGCCGAGCAGTTTGATGCGCTTCGCCGCAAATGTGGTGTAGCAGATCGAATAGTGGAATCATTATCGCGATGTGTACCATGGGATTCGAAAGGTGGCAAGACGAAATCGGTGTTTCTCAAAACGCAAGACGATCGTTTAGTCATGAAGGCAAGTCGGTGATGTACTCCTCCCTCGATTTGCGTCTCAAACTAACTCTGGCCTGGATAGTCGTTGTCGCAGGTCGAAACCCAAGCTTTTCTGAGATTCGCGCCAGCATATTTCAGCATCATGGCAGAGGCTCTGTTCCACGAATTGCCCTCTGTGATTGCCAAGATGCTGGGTTTCTTTCAAGTTGTCATCAAGAACCCGGTAACTAACACAGAAATCAAGCTTGACCTACTGCTGATGGAGAATCTGTTTTACGACCGTGCCCCGACACGCATCTTCGATCTCAAAGGTTCAATGAGGAATCGAAAAATCAACGCTACTGGCGAGAAGGACGAGGTTCTGCTAGATGAAAATATGGTGGAGTATATCTACGAGTCTCCCTTGTTCGCGCGAGAACATTCGAAGAAGCTACTAAGGGCATCAGTCTTCAACGACACACTCTTCCTAGCACGGCAAGATGTAATGGATTATTCGCTGATGGTCGCCGTTGACGAAGCGAAAAAGGAGCTCGTAGTAGGCATCATTGACTGTATTCGCACCTACACGTGGGACAAGAAGCTCGAGAGCTGGATCAAGGACCGTGGATTTGCTGGCGGCGGTCGAAATCGGCCGACCGTCACGAGCCCTAAGGAGTACAAGTCACGGTTTCGAGAAGCTATGTCAAGGTAGGTGATTCTTATGTTTTATACGTGGAGACTTGGTGCTAAATTTCCTTCAGATACATTTTGCAAGCGCCAAACTGTTGGCATCAATTTAATGCACCGACGGCTTTGAGCAGGCAGCGTAGTGATGCGAACCATCAAGGCGACGATGGTACACCAAACGAAAGTGCGCCATAGGGAGTGGCTACTGCATGCTTATAGAAATATGAGTGTAGAATATATTTCAAGGGAGAGAAATTGGGAGGTTTGAGGCGTCACGAGGATGAGCCGTGGGTGTGGGTGGTGAGAAATTGAGTAGTTATATGACGTGGTGACGCACAATATGGACATTCGGATAATGAACGAGTATACGCCTTTGATTTTAGAAGATACCCACATGAATTAACTCTGTCGTTTATGATCAGTTGAGATATATGAGATTTGTACGGTGAATGGGGGTATCAGTCAACTTTATGCGGCACAGTCCTAGGCACAGTTCTAGGCACAGTCCTAGGGCTCTCACGACGCATGTGGTGATATGCTTGTATCGAGGGTCCAATATTGCATCGAACAGCCTACCTAGGTAATGGGTTCCACTCTTGGAAACATTTGAATTTCTGCCCTTTGCGTGTCAGCCAAGACGTCCATTCCAGTGTACCTACTACTAGATACGTACTTCATCCATAAATACCTGTAGAGAGCTAAATTGCATGCTAAAAAGAAGGGACCTACCTACCCGACCTAGGTAACCTGTCAGGAGTTTATGTAGGTACTTGCTTAGGTACTTACTTTGGGTATTCGGTGTCAATCAAGGACGAAGCTTCCACTTCGCATCATTGCCAGTTTCTGGAAACCCTCCAGTGATATGCCTGAAGTCAGTTGAATCTACCTGTGCGCGCCTTAACTCCATCTTCAGCTCAAGGCATAAAAAGAATGAATGCGACATGTCGATAGAGCTGAACTGGGATACGCTAACAGGGGGACCTGACGGTGCTGCCTTGGCAGAGCGTATCCGTGATTTCATCCACGTCAAATTCCAGGCTGTGCCCTTGCCGCGCTTCATCAAGTCCGTCACCGTCCACGAGTTTGACTTTGGGAAAATCCCCCCCTCCGTGGTTCTCAAGGACATATGTGACCCTCTGCCTGACTTCTACGAAGAGGACTACGAGCCCGACGAAGAAGACGACGCTGAGGGCGATGACGACGATGACGACGGCGTGCCAGATGCTATACGCACTGCAGAGCGAAGGCGTAGGGCTGAGAAGCGCGCTCGGGATGGGGGAGCCGGCGACCATGTTCCCGCCGGGGGCCAAGGCGGTGCCAGCGGAGCTGCGACGCCGTTCAGCGAGGGCTTCTTCCCGCCGCATATTCACATTGCCGGCCTCAGAAATGCACCTGGACCAGCTGATCTAAGTAGCCCGTTTCTCGGCCTAGGAGTACCGCCACATGGGATGCCTGGCGGCCCTTCTACAATGCATTATTTTCAGTCGAAACTCATGTCCGGTACCCAGACACCACTGGCCGCTGTCGCCGGCGCACATCGTCTGAGCGGCTGGCTCGACGCGACCGCTCAATCGCGAGCACAATCAAGTCCTACTCACCTCTCTGCGGCGTCGAACTCGGTCCACGGAAGGCACCTGTCGCAGGGTTCTATATCAGTGGAGAACTACCCGAATTCGTTAATGGTGCCACAGACACTAGGAGAAAAGCACAGCGTCTCAACATTGTCGCCGACGGCATCGCGCCCGCCTACCCGCGACGCGGGGACAAGTCCACGCCTAGGATCAGGCTTTGAAGCGCGTTTTGGAAACGACGCTTCGCGTACCTATGCTAGATCCAAGGCAACCGTAGCCGTGGAAGATGAAGACGACGATGACGAAGGTGGCGAAAGATTTCACCAGGAGCCACGGCCCGACGACATGCAAGCGGTTTTCCGCATCCGATACGCGGGGGATGTGCGGCTTGAGCTGACGGCCATGATCCTCCTCGACTACCCGATGCCAAGCTTCGTGGGGATCCCGTTAAAGCTTAACATCACCGGCCTGACGTTCGACGGTGTGGGTGTCATCGCATACATTAGGAAGCGTGTGCATTTTTGCTTCCTCAGCCCCGAGGACGCGGTTGCTGCCGTTGGTGAAGATGACGACGGCGAAGAAGATGAGGCGGGGGCTCAGATGGCGGGGTATGCGCATGCTAGACCCGGTCATCAGAGTACGGGCAGCGAGGACAGGACACATAGCTCACCCGGCCCAAAGGGCAAGGGGAGAGTAGGTGGCTTACTTCAGGAGATTCGTGTTGAGAGCGAGATCGGACAGCGCGAGGGTACGAAGCAGAGCCTGAAGAACGTGGGTAAGGTCGAGAAGTTCGTACTCGAGCAAGTCCGACGGATATTTGAAGAAGAATTCGTATATCCTAGTTTTTGGACATTCTTGGTTTAGAGCTTGTATGACTAGAGAAGTGAGGTTCGGTAGTATTAACGCCGTATAGATTGAACGGGGGCCTTATCATTGGCACACAGCGTTATAGAGGTTACGAAAAATACGAACCCAATACACTCTGGGTCTGGACTACCCATAGTATAGAATGTATCATCTCTCACTAGTTGAACATAGCCTTCAACAGTCAAGCAATGTAAGCAAAACATCGGACTATATATAAGTTGCTAGCGCAGTGATACTTATATACTGACCTATGTAAAAATCGGATATATGTGCTACCTGCTATTACAAGGCCAATTATATATGGAACTTTGACGATTTGTTAAAACATTAGGTTAGGCTGCTTCAGCTATAAATCTTACATGATACAAGTTTAGGTCTCGGCGCTATTACGTAGATCATAGGTAAGAGGAGAAGCCGGATACCACGCCACGATATGACATTGAAGATAAAAACCATTGATAATTTTTTCGACAACAAGGCTATATGAGTCTCAGTATCATGGCGGCGCTAGATGATAAGGCTCGGGAATTTATTAGGTTAGTATTCCCTCCTCAGCTTAACCATAAATATCTGGGTTCAAGACTCCACGGGCTACGATATACTGAACATAGGGCCTATACAATAATTCATAAAGAGCAAGTATTGTAGATGTGATAAGAAGCCATGACCCTATTTCCAAGTGGCCTATTTATGTCATTGTATCTGAATACAAACCTTCCCGGAGTATTTTCCTTTCCTTAGGTACTCATACGCTTCTTTAAACTCTCCTATAGATAAAGTCCCTAATGTACAATACGTGAAGATGAATAATTTTAAATTAGAATATGGCTAGACTACTTGCCAATCAATTACCATTCCCCCTCCTCTTCGCTATCCCCCTCTTCGTCGCTATCCCCCTCTTCATCGTTATCCCCCTCTTCGTCGTTATCCCCCTCTTCGTCGTTATCCCCCTCTTCGTCATTATCCCCCTCTTCGTCGCTATCCTCCTCCTCTTCGGCGTCATCAAGCTCTGCAAAGAAATCGTCCTCACCATCATCGGATTCCTCATCCAAGTCATCAAGCGCAGGACACTGAGCCACCAACTGCGGCTCCGGCTCGTTGATGAAAGCAATATTCAGTCGATATTTCTCCGCAAGCTTCTGACGATACGCAGAATTGCCGGCGTAATTCAATATCTCGAGCACGCGGTCTGTCCCAGACGCACCTTGCTTGTTCCTTTGTTGATATGGAACACCCCGTTCCACACACGCAACGATACAGTAAGCCGAGTCTTCAGCAGGAGTGTCTAGGCCCCAGGGATGTGTTTCGTCGTTGGGTTGATAAGTCTCAGCGACATCGCATATCATATGGACGAGCGTGTTCCCATCTTCGTCGTGAACAGTATGATCCAGGCCGTGTTTGAATAAGAGAGAAAAGGCCACGGGATCCTGACGGCGACAAACAGCTTTTGCGTAGTAGAGCATCAAGTCCCTCCGACACTGTGGGATTTGCGTTACATCTACACGTTGAGTTTCATGGTCAAGCAATGGATCCGAGAACATTGCCCGGACCAATCTTAACGATGAATTTTCGATTGCCCATCCGAGAGGAGTCGTACCCTCAAACCCACGTATGGTCACGGAACTAAGCCTACGCTGAAGTCTTAGGGTATGATGTTGGCTATTCGATCTCACTGGAAGTAATTTGTGAATATCAGCATCGAGCGAGACTAGTACGTGGACGAGTACGACCCAGTTGAGTGCGGTAAGCATATGCAATGGAGTTGCTAGGGCCTTACTAGCCTGGTCTGGGACTGTAAGAATATGATCAACATTCAATGCCCCAGAATAAACGAGGGCATCAAACATTTCGAGTTGATTTCTGGGGGCATTGATCAAGGTGTGCCAATGTGTTGAGATTTCCTCGTCAGTGGGCGTGGAGTAATTCTTGTGGCGAACTATTTCTTCCACAACATCATCTAGTCCAAAAGTGATAGCCATATCAAGTAGACTCATGTCAGAATCCAGCGACTTTTTGCTTGGATGTGGGATATTGTAGATAGAAGCGCCATATTCCAAGAAGACATGGATCATCCCAGTGTCACGCTGAAGAGCAGCTACAGTCGTCAGTAGTCTTCCGTCTTGTGTATATTCGTCGGGATCCGCTCCGTTTCTCAACAACACCTCAGCAGTGCTGGTTTTTTGGCTCGAACAAGCAACAAAAAGCAGACTCTCTCCTTTCTCATTCCGGCAGCTAAGAGAGGCTCCTTGTTCAATCAAAAATTCCAAACAATCCTCACTCCCAGTGGCAACAGCATCAAAGAGCAGCTGGCTGCTGTGAATCTGAAGAGTGGTTTCTGGGAATTGCTTCAATATGTAATAGAGCCCTTCGCTTATATCTATGGCGATGAAATCATCTATAAGGTTCTCAAGCATTTCCCTGCACGGTGGGTTGAATCCGTAATCAAGTAATAATTTAGCGATGTCGAAGTTTGTTTCCCTTATGGTTTCCGCCACTAAGTCAGGTCGGCTCTCGAATGCGGAGTCTATAGCCTTTTTGTGTGGGAGTAGTAGAGCTGCTACTTGAGACTGGTCCTCGTGTGATCGTGGCAGTGTACAAAGTAGGCCGAAGGCCTGGGCAATGTGGTCATCGGCAGGTATATGAGGCTTTGTACCCATAGGCCCCATGTTGAGCGCAATGGCGGCAGAATCAGTGGCTTCTTCCATTGCGTGAAGCAGCGCCCGTGAAGTGTTAAGCATAGCTCCGTTTGGGGCCTTTCGTACCTCCTCCGACTCTAACATCGCGGCCCTTTGGAGAGCCCCAGTGGGGGGCAAAGATCCATATCCATCAGCAACAAGATGCACATCAGCGCCTAAACTTAATAGCGTCTTGACCACGTCAGCTCTGTGGAATGAAGCAGCTTCCATGAGGGCTGTGGCTCCATCGGCTCCCCGTTCATCAACACCTATTCCATGTTCAATGAGTCTATTCACAAGCTCCAGTCGGTATTCAGTCTGGTTTGATGAGCGAGGTGATGGGAAGTCAGGAGCCCCTGCAACAGCAATGAGATGGAACCAAACAGGGTTGGGTCTATGTTCGAAAAGGTAGGGTTGTGGGATGGCACCAAGATCGAGGAGCCGCAGAGCCTCGGCATAATAACCGACTAAACAGGCATGTCCTAAAGCATTGAATGGCCCGAGCTTATCATTTATGTCTGCGCCGTGTTCCAGAAGGAGGTCAATAATAGCCCAATTGCCTCGAAAAAAAGCATAGGCTAGCGGTGTCATTCCATTGTGATCACGAACTGTAACATCAGTCTGGTATCCTCCGTTAAGTATGCCCAATACGGCATCCCAGAACTCGGCGTTACAGGCGGCATGGAGGGCAGTGAACCGATCATTGTCCGTTCCCGTGTATCGCGTCGTCAGATTCACGGATGCCCCGCGCGAGAGAAGGAGTCTTGTGGTGGACTTGTGTCTGTGGCAGATGGCAGTATGAAGAGGGGTCCAAAGAGGTGTGCCTTCGAAATCGGGAAGCATAGCACACTGACAGAAGTGGCGCGAGAGTGCATTGATGTCCGCGCCATTGTCTAGGAGCAAGCTGACGAGCTCGTCATTGCCCCACGCGGCAGCGATATGAAGAGGAGTCCAATAGCATTGATCTGGAAAATTCAGGCCGACGTGCGAGCCGTAGCCGTCCAGCTTATTGTACCGGTCCTCCAGGAAGTAGTCTACTACGTAACTGCCGAGGCCAACATGCTTTAGAATCCATGGAGGCAATCCAACGACCATTTTTACGTGGCGATCATCGCGCCGGACGAAAGAGAGGTGATTTTCCTCCTATAAAAAAATTAGCAATATGCGCAAGCTCGAGTCCATGGATAATAGGGTGGACCTCGAATGGTTGAGATTGGAGACGGGGATGAGCATAGCGCAAGTCACTTAACGTCAACCATCTCGAGTGTCTTTGGACCCAGGCGACATCCGGATTAGCACCGGCATCCAACAGGCGCTGAACAATGCTGACATGACCTTCATCACAAGCCCAGCACATGACGGCAGGGTCTTCCTGCACATAACGGTACAAGAGGGGCGTGAGGGCGGCGTGAAAAGCACGACAGGACCGGGTCCATGATGACAAGTCGGCCGGGCCGTCAAGATAGCCGGCTATCTCGTACAGGAGCTCGACGGGCAGATGGAGAGCGGAGGGCATTGCCGGCAATACTCGATTCTTTCTTGTTCGCAGTCGGGTGGCATTCCGCTGTCTGCTTGATGAGCAGTCCAAACCAGCGGCGTTGTTGCCAAGACCAGCACGCTTTGAAATTAGGTACCACGTCACAGAGCCTGGGGTACCGGTATTAGCGCCATAAGTAGCTACCTAGCTGCTGGATGTAGGAGTTCAGGAAATATTCAGACCTCTGGAACTGTCTCACACGGGGTTATTCAGCTCACGGTGATATGAGACATATTGACATCAGGAGAGGGCTGTGGAAATGGATTGGCTGTGTATCTACATACATACCTACAGACCCTAGGCCAGTCCTATGAATTTTGTCGAATGATTGTAGACTTGTACATGTCATAAAACCTATGGAAAACTACCTACCAATAGATGTTCTTTTAGCATGTGACCTAGTGGGCTGCCTAGGGGTCAGGTCTATGCCTACCTAGGTGCTCGGGTCCTTGACCTAGCGCTACTTTGCAAGCTTACAGCATGAAAGAGCACATCCAACTTTTCAACAATGTTACATTTTGAGACTTGCATACAAGTAACGCGCCGTTGCATCGTTGTGTTTCCAGTTTTGTTAATATGCATTTCTGATACCCATTATAGCGTGTACGGTTGGCTTGCGCATGATGGCTGGCTTTTCAGCCTGCTTCTTAGCTGAGACAGCTGGCAAACACAAAGGCAAAGACATATATCACACGACTATGTGCTTTTAGGGGTGGCTTGATCTAAGCCGCAACTCATTCATCAAAGTCTAGCCAGCTGAACCACCCTGAAGCCAATTAGAGGATATCATACAGAGTTATCGGACAGGACAAATATAAATATGCCCCCCCTCCCCCCCTTGCCTCTCCCGAATTACAGGGTGATGTTCTAAGAGGTAAGCACGATTAGGAACGTGGAGGCATCTTCCGCCCCCCATCAAGCCCATTCCTGCATTGCTAGGTAAAAACAGTTTTGGCCTCTTCATAAACCCATTAGAACATCGTGGTCATACCCCCTTCCCAGTGAGCTCTCTCATATGAGCCAACATGTCAAACAACCCTTTACACTCGACGCGACTTGGGCCAGACACTCCAGTTATTAGAGGCGAATCCAAGCGCGCGATAAGAGAACGAACGCCCGTGCGACAACATGATGATCAATTGAGCGGGAGACTGAGTTCTGCTGTCTCGTTATCTAGACTCAGGCTCAAGGACGAATTCCACTACAAGGAACTGCAAGACCAAGAATTTCGCTTAATCCGGCTAGCCTCCTCGACTTCGTCAGGCATCGAGTGCGAACTATTTCATGCGCCTTTGAGTCAACCGCCAAGCTACGTTGCCGTGTCGTACGTTTGGGGTGACCTTGATGATACTGTCTGGATCAGGTTGAATGGGTGTGCATTCAGAATCACATCTAACCTGCATGCTGCCCTCAAGACTCTGCTCAAGCGACCCGGAAATGCCGTTCTATGGGCCGACGCCATATGTATAAACCAAAGAGATAGGACAGAGCAGTCGCAGCAGGTCAAGCTGATGCCTAAGATCTACAGCAGTGCGCAAGAGGTCGCCATATGGCTGGGCACGGAATCAGACGATAGCAAACGAGCCCTAGACCTCCTGAAGACAATTACCACAGTAGCCGTTGCAAGTGCCGGAGACCACACTGTGATTGACACAGTGATAAAATCGAAGGAGTGTCAACCTCACTTCACGGCACTCGTGACGCTTTTTGAAAGAGACTACTGGAGTCGCCTGTGGGTAGTGCAGGAGGTTTTGAATGCGAAACGGGTTGAAGTATACTGTGGAGAGTCCCAACTCCCTTGGACAGTCTTCCAAAGAGCCTGCCAAATCTTCCAAAAGCACGAAAGTGCCCTTAAGGCTCAGTTCCCCGGCGGCCTGGTGCCGGGTTCCAGACAGGGCTTTTCTTACGCACATATTCTGAGCTCACAAGGGCCGGCAAGCCTCGATTTTCTACGGCGCGTGAGAAACGTCGGGCCAGAATCTCTCCTTGAAGTATTGCATATATGTAGGAAGAAGCTTACAGCCGATCCCCGCGACAAAGTCTTCGCCGTCCTAGGTATTCTGCCGGAACACATTCGCCGTAGATTCCCTCTTGATTACAACGCATCTATCAAAGAGGTGTACACTAATGTTGTCGCTTTCTTACTTAATCAGACGCGGCGGGTTGATGTTATCTGCGAGAATATCTATTTCCCCATCCACATCAGCAATATCAAACTGCCAAGCTGGGTGCCTGACTGGTCTAACTCGACCCAAGTCGCAGCGCTGGGTTTGACATACGGCTTCTCGGCATCACGGGACACTAACGCCAACTTTCGATTCGTGGATGATCCGAAGCGAACTAGGTTAGACCTTTTGTGTATGCGCCTCGATACGATCAACTCTCGGGGAGTGGCGGTTGGAACTTTCTGTGGGCTGGACGACCTCTTGCTAGCGTTCTTGCATTGGCGAGCCAGATCTCTGCAGATGTCTGTAGCAACCGACAAACATTACAAGACACAGGAGTTACGAGACGAGGCATTCTGTCGTACTTTGAATTTTGGTCAACCCTCCGAGTGGAATACACCGAGTCGGTGGATGCAAGTGTGCTACCATGTATTTGCTTGCCTGCTGGGCGACCGGCTGCCCCAGATACCACTGGACGACGAACTTCAACAACATGCCAATTTAGACCTGGGAATCGCGCCAGAGAGGCGAAGAGGTATCATTATGGATAATTGTGCTTCTGCTATGATGGGTCGCTGCTTCTTCACGACACATGGTGGTCTGGTTGGAATGGCGTCGGGGGTTATCGAGACAGGAGATGTGGTCTGTGTGCCATTTGGCTGCAGTACTCCTGTCGTATTGCGCCCAGAGGGTGGAAGCAGAAAACACAAATTTATTAGCGACGCTTATGTCGATGGGTTCATGTATGGCAAAGCTCTCGAGTTATACCAGACGGACCTTGAAATGGCCACGATCTACACGTTGATTTGAGAGGTTTACAGTTGACGTGCGCCTTACATAGTATGGTTCGGTTCTTAGAAGTACTAGATATCGACATTCCTCGTCATTACCATAATACGGAGAAGAGGTACTTTACTATGAAAACCAACTCCGTTGACGAGCCGCATAGGAATAGGATGAGACCCCCCTTGCGGCTACCTCAATTATCACTCCTCGTTCTGCCCTGGACCCGGCGAAGGAATCACTGCTAAGCCACCAAGCCACGCATCACCTACAAGCTTATCGACCGTCGGGCGCTCTCTCGGCGATGGAATCAAGCAGCTCTCGATAAACTTGATGCAACCATCAGACGTGCCATGAGAGCGCAGTAGCTCCTTAGACAGTGGCCTTCTCAATATCACGAAGTGCGACAAGTCTTGGCTCTCTTCGAAGGCGGCTTCGCCGGTCTGCATCCGATACACCATCAATCCTAATGACCAGATGTCCACAGCCATGCTGTACACTGGTATCGTTCCGCGGGGAAGCGCGAGGTCTTCTAAAGTGAAGATGCCTAGGACTTCGGGGGCAACGTAAGCCATCGTTCCCACTTGGGTGCGCAGTGCCGTGTTACCCTCGACACGCTTGCTCAACCCGAAATCTGCAATCTTCACCCACCAGTCCGGGCGATCTCGTAGAACAAGGATGTTCTACCATAGCAACGGTCAACTCGAGGTGGTAGACAGTGAGAGGAGCTTGCTTACTTGTGGTTTGAGATCTCGGTGAGCAAATCGCTGCTCATGCATGAAACTGAGGCCTTCTACAATTTGACTTGTTATCTGCCTCGTATCATCTTCAGGTAGGGGTTCTGCGAGGTAACCCTGCAAATCCCCTAGACTCAGATATTCCATAGCAATATAGACACTTGATTCAGTATCCCACCAACCACTCGATTGCACGAAACAGTGACTATACTAGAGCAGGATCTCATACGTTAGATATCAACAGTATGGAAGATATGACCACACAAGGGACATTAGGTCACTCTACCTTGCGATGAGAGAACTTGGCCACGGCCTGCAATTCTCGGCCGTAGTCGATGGTATCGGCCCACATATCCTGCTTCTTGATTTTCTTGACTGCTCGAAACTCACCTTGCTTCGGGCCAGACACGCACACCTCGAGCCACACAGTACCACAGCCGCCGCGACCTAAGAGTCTCGATTGCTTCCAGTTCTCCGTCACGGGAGCAGCCCGCTGGCCACTGCCCGGTTCTGCATGCGCGTACGTGTGCTGCGTGACGCCATCATGACCGACGGAGGACTCGAGGCGCAAGTCCTGGACGAGGTCGGAAGAGATAGCTGACGGCTCACGCCTTGCATTATGCACAGTGAGCGTCCAGTGCTGGCCAATACAGTTTCCCGGCGCAAGATGTGGGCCGTAGCTATCGAAATAGACGTCCAGATTCTTCTCGTCACCGGTGAATACGTTGGAGAAGCGGTAGAAGCCGTCGCCCCAGGCGTCGACGCGCCAGTACTGTCCGTCATGGGAGCTTGTCTCGACTAGCACCGGGTGTCTGAATTCGCCCTCCTCATCAAACACGTCGACCGCGCGGGAGGTACCAGCCTTGACAGTGTGAAGGCGGTAGTATCCCGGCCGGTTAGTCTCACTGAACTTCCACTGGCTGGTTTCATCACAATCGTCTATATTGATCATAGACAACGATCGAGAGTCCGGGGATGCTAGGATCCGGCGAGCTCCGGACCAATTGTTGCTCAAGACGTAAGTATTGCTTGTATTCAGTGTTTCAGGAGCCATCTTCGAAAGAAGACTCTCGCCGCCGATAGCTTGTACGATTTATTTTGTGTAATAGGATAGCTAGCTAGGTATGCCTAGAGTTGACCCCGCCCTACTGGTTCGCAGAGTTGCTGACACCCTCCCTCCCTTGTGACCGGACGGACGCCACTCGGCACTATGAAAACTGCACCTTGCGGCTGAAGTTGCACTAGGACTACCGACTACATCTAGGACTTTACATGTTGTCTAGCCTATACCAATGAGTGAGATGTGATGGGAGGAGTATCCAAATGAGACACAAGATAATACTTGTAATAACCGGACTCAGGACCCTAACACTCCAAACCTCCCATATGATAACGATAATCTACAGTTCCTAGTTGTTGTTTAGGTAAGTATAGGTAAAGTAGTAGGTACTTAAGTTGGAGGCTAGAGGTAGCTTAAAAGAGAAACTGGCCAATCATATTATGTGTGGTAGCCCAAATAGAACATGTCCCCTTCCTTACTTACTATGTAGTTGACAAGCTGTCCACAATTTTATCTAATCACTTAACCCAGTCCAGATCAACTGCCTCGGGCATCGTCGCCGTGTTTGGATAGCAAGATGCTTAATCGCACATCAAGTTGCCATGGGTCACAGGGCGTCGCCTCGCCCAGGATGGCGATCCCTTCTTAGTCATCTGGCCGTCATCAACATCTACCTCCCTGCGCTGGCGCAGGCATACGCCCAACTTTCCGACGCCGCTCTTCGAAATGTTCCCAACGGCGCCGAGGCTCTGAACCCGCACACCGGCTCGCTGCTCTCTCCGATCCTGGTCCCGCGAGTCCCTGGGACGCCCGGGTCCTTCGCCGTGCAACGTCATATCGCCGACTTCTTCGCCCGCGAACTCCCGCTATGGCGTCTCGAATGGCAGAACTCGACATCTCGCACCCCTGCGACGGGGACAACGGACGTCACCTTCTCGAACCTCATCTTCACGCGCGACCCACCGTGGACTAAGGGGAATGGGGACGTCGGACGCCTTGCACTCGTCGCGCACTACGACTCCCTCTATAAACCCGAGGGTTTCATCGGTGCGACTGACAGCGCCGCACCATGCGCCATCCTCATGCAGGTCGCGCGGGGCATTGACGCCACCTTGACAAAGAAATGGGAGGCCATGGCGGAATCTGACGACGCGGGGCTGGGACTGGAGGATGACGAGAAGGGTGTTCAAATACTATTTCTCGACGGCGAGGAGGCGTGGGTGACATGGTCGGACACAGATTCGCTGTATGGCGCGAGGTATGTGTAGCAATGAATGCTTGAGAAAGCAAGCATATCAGACAGTTATGAGGATGAAGGCTTACTAGTTTCACAGATCCCTCGCCGAGAAGTGGGAGGCAGAAATGTACCCCGCGCAATCGACATACGAGTCTCCGCTCAGTGCCATCAACCTCTTTGTCCTGCTGGATTTGCTAGGACACGTGGATCCGCACGTGCCATCATATTTTCCCACCACGCATTGGGCGTATCAAGGCATGGCGAAGATAGAAACACGAATGCGAAATTTGGGTTTATTAGCTACGCAGCCGCAAAACCCGTTCTTGCCCGAAAGCGACAAAGCAGCTGAACGATTCAGACGTGGTGGCTATATCGCAGATGACCACGTCCCATTCATGGCACGCGGTGTGCCGATACTGCATGTCATCCCCACGCCATTCCCGCCTACATGGCACACTATGGACGATGATGCTGATCATCTTGATTCGGCGAGCATTGGGGATTGGGCGAAGATTGTCACCGCTTTTGCTGCCGAATGGCTTGAGTTGGATGGATTCATGGCTCAGGCAGTCCATGAGGGAGAGAGGCAGGCAATCAGGGACAGGACAGAATTATGATATGTGAACCAACCTAGGACCAAGGTGCTCAAAATTCTTCAAGAATCTACACTTTGATACTCATCATGGTAATGTGAGTGAATATAATATAAAATAATTGTAACGTTAGTTAACTATAACTATACTTTTATTTTAATAAAAGTGTAACTATATAAAGCTATTTGAATAGCTAATATTACTACTTCTCTTTATATAGATGCTGCAAGTTATTTCTGTCTGAAGCAGAGGGGCAAAGGTAAATGGAGATTTTCCAAGGTCATTGATAAGAGAGTGCCTCGAGTGTTGATATGCAACTTCCCCCGAGTGAAAGGAGGAGGGAACCGTGGCCTTTGAGACCCTACCTAAAGTGAATTATTAGTTGAATTGATTCCGGTGACAGATACGGTGGGCGTGCCTATGTTACCCATAGGCACCCTTCCCAGTGGATTCCGTATCCAGATGAACCTACCTCCTTGCTATCAATTCCTACCTAGATTCTAGGCCCTCACTTAGAGCCGTTGTCACATGCAAGCAGCGGTGCCGCAGCCAAACCTTTGAGGACGTACGAGTAGAAAACGAGGTCGCTGCTATGTGCCTTATGCGAAATACTCTCGGCAGTCTTGATACAATGCTGGTACCTGACGTATTTGCATGGGGTCGAAGAGATGTATGCTCAGATGATGCGATGGCAGCTTTACGATTCCCGAACCTCGCCAATTTTGAATGGCTGGGACGATCAACTGCAGAAAAGACTGTATCACTTTCTTGCTGAAGGCATTGTTCCACTGGTCCGTAACAATTCGGTGGCACGCCAAATATTTGTCCACGGCAATTTGGGTAAGATTACTTAACACCCATATTAATAATATAGTTAACACGCGTTATAGATACTTATAATATGTTGGTCGATCCTATTTCTAAGAAATTGACAACAATCCTTGACTTCGATCTATCCCACGTTGCCAGCCCTGCAGAAGAGTATTTTTACTCTTTAACTAACCTGGGGTCAATGTTGGCCATATGCCTGGCTGGGTAAATGGTCACAAACAGGAATTTATCGACAAGAAGAAAAAGGTCATACAATCTACCATTGAGAAGTCCCTTGATGAAGGAAAGAATCCAGGAATTCATAAAAGTCTTGGGCAATGGAAGTAATTTCTCAGACAATGTTCGAGGGGTTCTCAAGAAAGAATAAATGATCAGCGTTCTCTTTAGGGCTTGGACTCGGGTCATACTTGCTACCATTCTACACCCATCCTAACTCCTGGTAAAGCGTCATGTTTGCTCTAGATCTTGAGAGATGTGACATGCAGTGTGATATGCGATTTTACATTCCTTAACCTGCGCCCCAGGCCAGCAAGTTGGCACACTAACAGGAGATGCTTCATTCTCCTATACAACATCACCCGATGTGTATATAGTCACATCCGAGGTTTCTTGATTTTCAGGCCTCATTCCCTAGGCTTCATCCAGTGGTTTCTTGATTCCATGGGAGCAATATGACGTTGTCCAAACTATGACATAGAATTATCCGAAAGCCGCAAGACTGGTATACCACGGCGTCTATTGGGACTCCTGGTAGTCCACGGCACAACAATTGACTTTGGATGAAAGCCAGAGATGTCAGGTCACCGTCAACTAGGTCTATCACGGCAAGCAACTTATATTGCGCATAGAAAAGCGTTGCAGCATCAGAAAGGGTTCCATAAACAGCATCCTACACAAGCTAAAGGTGAAAAGTGATTGCCTGTTCAACACTTGTCACTTGTACCTCAGTCTCTACAGTACATGTTGGTGTCAATTGAGCTTAGTCACACTGTAGTAGTGCCAAGGTAGCCGCAAGGGACCTCCTGTGGGGTACCTACTTTCCTGGGTGGAAACAGGTGTTCAATTGAACGGCGGCAAGAGCCACGCCGCCATCTCCAAAACCACATATCAACCCACGCATAGCACAACTGCGCTACCAACTTTAGCCTCGTCGCGCGAGTTGATTGACAGCGACCAGTTTTCGATGTGCTGAGTACATTTACCCATCCCGTCACTCATTTCCTCAATTACGCAGCCGTCATGCGTTTCCTCCGTTCCTTCCTGACTCCCCTGCTCCTAGCTGCCGGTGCGGCTCAGGCTGCTTCGTCATGGGGATTCGATGATGCGACTGTCCAGGTGAACGCCAAGAAGGCCGCCGGCACCAAAGAGAAGTACGGTTTCGCCGTCCAACACAACTCTGGCAGTCTTCCATAAACTCTTCAGTTCGTTCGTGCGACGAGATACCATCAGGAACGTGGGCTCAGCATGGCTGACCATCTGAGCTTGACCGACGGACGAACTGGAACGAGATTCCTCTAATGGCTTGCTAATATGGACAACACAGGTTCTCCGAGACAAACCCACTATCTCAGCCTATCGCGATTAGCAATACGGACAGCATAAAGGTTCTATTGGTTGCTAAGGACGGCGGCAAGGGCAAGCGACCGCACCAAGCTTTCGTAGTCTTGCGGGATGAGCTCTCCGGCCTCGAAGCTCCATTTCCCATGACGGTCAAGGAGAACGGCAAGGCTGTAGTCGACATTGTACGTCACTACCGCCTCTACACGCCTCCATATCTTCCCAGATATCTTTGCCATGTCATGACGACAAGCTAATACCATCTATCTGGCTTAGAAATATGCCGATCTCCCCGTCCAACTCGCGACCTCGACCGCCCCCCTCAAGGCATCCGTGGTGCTGGCCTCCTTCGGATCATCGCAGGGAATCAACAAACCCGCCTTCTCCGTGGAATTGAAGATTGACCCCAATGCGACACCTCTGATCTACGAGAAGCCCCTTCGCTACGGCAAGCGCGAGGCCATCAACCATATCTTCCGCGCCGATCCTAAGAACCCACCCAAGGTCATCTCAGCCTTCTTCATGCTAGCTGTTTTGGCTACGGTACCTGCATTATTCATTGGCGTACGTCCCGTCTACTCCCCGTCTACTTCCCCATCACTAGCCCATATAGAATGCGTGTCCAATACTGCTCAAGATATCTTGAGGGTTAGGCAAGGCAAAAAGATTTTTTTAAGTTCACGCTCCAATTGTGCAAGTAAGCTAACCTCAACAATATACAGTGGCTCACCCTAGGCGCCAACGTATCCCATCTCCAGAGCGCCCTCAGCACCGCGCCCATCGCCCATGGCGTCTTTTTCGGCTCGCTCGTCGCCCTCGAGGGCGTCTTCTACCTGTACTACGTCAGTTGGACGCTCTTCCAAGTTCTCCCTGTCATCAGCGTCGTCGGCGCCGCCACCTTCCTGAGCGGCGCCAAGGCCCTTGGCGAAATGCAGAGCCGAAGACTCGCCGGAGAGAGGTGATTGTTCTCTCCATAGGGGAGCCTATGCGATGAACCTGCTAGTAGTTCAGGGTCTAAGGAAAAGCAATTGATTGAAAACAAGGGAGCTGACGCTCCCCCCTGGTAGTCAATCGCCCGTTGATTTAGTAACCAGGAACAGAACAGAAATGGTGCACTGATTGATTGCGCTGCTTGGCGCGGTAGTGTACTTACTACCTATGAGCATGACACAAAAGATATGAGATACCGTAGACTACTAGAAAATATACTCATTTCACTGTACAAGTGTGTATATATATGTATATAGTGAAGCAAAAAAAGCGTTGATTCAAGTTATTAATCTGAGTTGCATCCCCCAAGATGTAAATATTGACATATTCTCTTGCTATTTTATGTGGATCTATCCTATTCCCACCTACCTACGTCATCTCTTGCGTGCTCAATCTCCAATTCACCGCGTAATATGTGAGGCCGCACTCGTGTAAGACGTATGTAGGTACACAGATAAACGAGCCCTTCTCGTAAATGGAATCTTATGTGGTTAGTCTACTTCATTGCCGCTACTTCACTTAACCTGGACAAGCGAGATATGTAGATTATTCATCTTTCGTCAGGACATAGTATAATAAACCGTTTCGTTCGCTGTGGATGTGTGTATGAATATACGTGTACGTGAAAGGCGTATATCATACTATACACAAACCAACTGAAAATCATGCCAGCATCAAATTGATCCCGTTCTCTCCCATTTGTCTATTCTTCCTCCCCCGAAACCCAGATAGAGCGAGAGGATAAACGTAAGAGTAGGAGGACGTAGTTACCATGCTCTGCCGTTACCACCTTGAGAACTCCGTAGGCCCTCCGTTCTACATTCAACATATGCTTGCCCTCTCATCAGCCGTTCGCTCACCCGCCTGTCTATATCTAGCGCCAAGCAGTGTCCTTGCTTCGCTTGGCTTGTTCTAATCCTTGTGTGGATTGCTAAGTCTCATTACAAATTATATATCATAAGGGTGGACGAAAGTCAGGTTTCCAGACCACGGGGTGAAGAGTTAGTTGTCTAAGGTGTTCCACGGTCCTCGGGCAAATAACAAGGATGAACGAATCATCGGCAAGTGTTTCCAGAAAGACGTTTGCCGCCTACCACAGCGCATAGATATGTGCGGGAGGTGGTTTGATGACGCCATGCTGGTCATTGCATCTTTTTCCCGTTCGCTGTTGCGCGCTTTAATTCTAGGGCTTTCCGTTGGTTCTCGACCTGTTTCTCGTGGGGTATTGTGAGGCAATTGATGCCGAGGAAGTCGCATATACTTGTGGTCACGAGGAACGCCCAGCGGAAGTACACTACGAGGGAAAAGAAGAAGTAGGCCCAGAGGTAGTAACGCTCGTGACGGGCTGAAATGGCCGGAAGACCGAAGCGCGGGAGGTTGCCGAGAATGGCACCGCCGACGAGCGGGATTAACATCACGGTCCAGTATGGGAAAGGTTGGCGGGTCAGATGGGCGAGTATCATCTTGGTGGTCATGCGGCCGAAGACGAAGGACATAGTTAGGCAGAAGAGGACCAGATGATTCTCACGCATCAAGGTCGAGTGGGGCGAGTACAGCCATGCTCCAATGGATAGTGTATAGACGGCCATAGGGATCCATTCGAGGAAGACAGGAAGGATGGGGAGGTTGTTCCTCCGGCGCGCTTTGACAACGTTCAATACGCAGAACGGCATGTGGCCCAAGACTAGTGAGCCGACGATCACGAGGATCCAGATGTCTCGAATCGAATGGTCTCCGACAAGGTGATCATATCCGAACAAGTTCTTTTCGCCAACAAGATCAACGATTCGTTCAGTCCAGATGCCCGGGCCGTAGATACCAGAGAGGGCCATGACACTGCATGCGATCAATATACCCTCAGTTGGACCGTTGAAATATCCGAGATATAACGTGTGCGTGTGGTATGTCTCCCAGGTCGAGAAGAACATAGCAAGGCAAGGGCACAGGGCTGTGAATACGCCGGATTTCGAAGTTCCCAGGGCCATCGCGGCCGTCTCGAGCAGGCTCCCCAAAGTACAGTTTAAGGAGTCAATGCCGTGGTCGAATAGCTCGCCTAGTCCACTCGAGGTGCCCGTTCGTCTTGCTTGCTTGCCATCTACATTATCCATCGTTTGGTACATGAAAAGGCCGAAAGCGAAGCTGAAATATAGCCATGACGGACCCTGATAGTTGACACGGAGCGGTCAGTTGTCAACCAAGCTAGGAGGTGTAGGCTGTGGGTGTCATACCGGACCAACGAGATCTGGCATTACTATGACAAGTAACGCAACATTTGCCAAAATGAAGCAGAACCCCAATAAGGTCACCATGTTTGGCGCAAGCCATAACGGCAGGAGCTCAACAAAGGCATTCCACTACCACGCTTGTTCAGTATTCGTTTGTTATCAGGGATCGCACATGGAAGGCGAGGCGAGACGTACGTAGGGTCGAAGGATATAGTTGGATACGGGCGACTTATCGACGGCCGAATACTTGTAGGATCGGAGGTGTATGAGCGCATCGTCGGACACACATTCGGCCGCAGCCTTCCCTGCATAGAGAAGCGAAGTCAGCCTTGCGACGACAAGATTCTCCAAGGACGTAGTAGCACCATGTTGGGCTACTTACTGCTGTTTCGGGTCATACTGGCTTGGCTAGCCCGAAGGGTGTTTGTTTGATCTGAGGGCGATTTCACAGACACAAAGTATGGTTACAGCTGGTCCCCCCCGGCCCGGGTATACCTTGCCCAACGTGGCAGATACCGGCAATCGCGAGAATTGCTTACGTGCCGAAGCTGGTGACTGAGTGTGGGAATCTTGCTCGGTGGAAGTCAGAAAGCTGTTATAGATCTGATCGCGGGGTTGGCAAGACACACAAGACAAGGTCTTTTCAGGGGAGATTCATCGTGGGGTAGCTTTAAACCTTACTCACCTAGTAAGTACCATTCAGACACTCCAGACACTCCGGTTATAAGCAGCGTAGGTTTGGATAATATCGGGGGTAAAGGCGCAATTGTGATGAACGGAAGACAGACAGACAGACAGCTTTGATGACGGTGGTGATTCTTGACAAGTAATTTACAGATGACCTCTATGCTGCACCTTAGAGGATACCTACCTCAACCACATGCAAATTGGCGAGGCGATTTGAGCCGCGGGAGCTCAGCTGTGGTGGGTACCTCTCTGTACATTGATTTTACCGCCGGAGAGAAGTAGCCATTTGGTGTTTAGCACTACGTTAGTACCTACCTAGGTACCTAGGTAGGTACATGTAGGTGGCTTAGGGGCTTCCGAGAATATTCTGTACCGGGCTGTCTGTACCTTAGGTACCTAATCTAGATCCGAGCCGCCCTCACCCTTCCCCAACACCGCCATCAACCAAGATTGATCTACCGAGACTTTGCCAGGAGTGAATTCAAACTGTTGGTCCAAAACTTGCTTCTGCGGTGGTATTCTTGCCAAGATTTATATACTGCCTGCCTACGTATTACTGTGTCTGGATCAAGGAGCGCCGCAAAAACGCACACACTAGGTAGACCCACTGTCAAAAGATCCCTGATGCTACCCCTAACATGCGACAAGGGGATGGGCAGGGATCCTCGGATATTTAGCGGAGTGTGGCAGACTCTTTCATGACTAGTTAGACAGCAGGATTATCTTGTAAATTATTAAGTGTAGTAAGGTAGGGGGACTGTCTGTCTGTGCTGGGGAAAACAAATGGCAGTAACTCTATCCGCATCGTAAAACCTCAGAGATGCCCATCATGATTCAAACAATTATTCCTGAAATGAGCTTGCGGTTGTTCCCAACGCCAGTCGCTTTAGTGGTAAATCAATCTCATCTAGCACCGTTTGGCTCGTCATGGGCAATAAGCCGGCCAAGATGCAAAAACAATCGCGTGCGAGCGTCATCTTGGAATCCGTTTCCCGTGCACATCGAGTATCCCATCACGCCCTCCGGGATTTAGAGAAGGAGAGAGCCCAGGCCAACGCACGCGGACAAAGCAAGACCACCAACGATAGTGCCGTACTGCAGGAGGGAAGAGGCACCGTTCTTGTTCGAGTCTGAATCCGAGTTCGAGTCGCCGTCACCTAGACCATCAAATATCTGACCCGCACTGGTTGTAGCCGCTGCTGTTTCAGTGGCAGTGGTTGCTGTCTTCGTCTCGTTGACTCGCGTTGGATTCTGGGCACCGCACGGGTGGTTCTCTCGGCAGTCGCTCGCGCAGGATGCATCGCCACTGCACTTGGCCACGCATTGGGTGCCCCATTCCTGGCAGATGAAGAATGGCAGAGTGAGCGAGTACTCGGAGAGATTCGGCGACTTGCCGTCCTCACAGACGCAGCCATATGTCAGAGCCATCTAGCACCAGGGGTCAGCGTTGCTATGTTGTTTTCTGCAAGGGAGATTATAGACATACAGGATCACAGTCGTTGACCTGGTAACCTCCCGGTGGCGATTGCTGGCAAATCAGAGGGCATGTGCTCTTCTCCTGGTCACACCAGTTGTCTACATGGCAGCGTCAGTATGAAATCTAGCGTGGCACATGGGTTTTGGAACTGTACCTCTGGTGCTCAGCGGGACAGTAGAGGGATCAATGGAATACTGCTCCTGGGCTTGAACCGAGGAGAGGAGAAGAGCGGCCGTAGCCAAAAGGGTGCTCAGAGAAGGCATAGCGTTTTTCTCGTTGAGGGTTTATGTGAGCGTAAGAGTTTCTTCGATGTAGCGTTATTTAAACGAGGGCGGGAAGCGAATTTGATCAGTCAGAAATGAGGCATGGCACTATATAATAATATATGTATCTCTCTCTCTCTCTTTCTCAGTAGATATTAAAACAAGTAGTATGATTAAATGGGAAAGTTGGAAGAAAGAAGTAAGTCTGAGGAAGCCAACCGACCAAGTTAAAAGCGAGGGGACTGGGTCAGGGTTGACGGAAAAACAACGAAAGAAGAAGGTTGGAGGCTGCGTACTTACAGCAGAGTGTTATGTATGCTAATTATGAGGAAAAGCTTCAGGCCAAGTCAAGTGATCCAAGGGGTCCCGGGAATAATACAGACGATTAATTCCCCATACCATCAATTCGACATGTCGAGGTCCAGGAGAGGACAAGCTCGGACAGGGGAGGTCTCCAGATGGCGTGCCATGGAAGCAGGGGGGGGAGGTGGTGGGCATTTGCAGCTTCGCCAGCGAGACGACATTCTCCGACACTGTACATGATAGCACATATACCGGTAGGTACTTTCTCCATACCTACCGCTCAAGAAACAGGGCACTATGACCATTAACTAAATAATACTATATTCTTTATTATTATCTACCGCTACGCTGCAGCACTGACGGTTAACGATGAGCTGGGCTTCTTTCTACATGTACAAGGTTGCTTAGTCGAGATGAGGCATTACAGGGGTCTGGCCTACATACTTACACTAGGTAAGTAAATAAGTAGGTAGGTACATATATAGTACTTTTAGGTAGGCTAGCATGCCAGGTTCCCAGGTTCCGCAGCTGATAGTTGATCTTGATTTCGAGTGTCGATAGAATCGAAAAGCGGCAGACTCTTCCTGTGCAGAATTAGTGATTCCCACCTATAACACGGTTTCATTGTCGAAGCAACGATTCAGTACACATACTTAAGGTGTCTACCTAGAGTACTGTGCAAGTAACCCTCGGTCCTCGAATACCTAACCCCCTTCCCCGTACTGTATCCAGCTCCCCCTGCTATTCCCTGCTATCGCTTGTCTACGCCACGCTAGCAAACCGCTAGCATCTCAGACGAGCAGAGACGGGCATCTTCGCACCAGCTACTAATAGGCTACCGTACTAAGTATGTATACTTAGCGTGGATGATGATAAGTGAACAAGTACCGACAGAGCCTAGATTCATTCAACTTTTGCAATTCCATTTTATTGCTGCCATTTTGCACTGCTCTACGTATCTGTTTGTACCCTTGGTTGGAATGCAGATGCCCATCGCCATGGCAATATACCCGCACATTACCTATGTATGTACCTAAGTATGTAAAGGACTCAGTAAAGACATAGTCTGCCCTAGTCTGCCCTGGTATATCCTATCCTATCCTATCCTATCCAGATGACTCCTAATTCACATCGACCCCCCGTCCCGTCGTATTGAGTAAGTAACAAGCAGAACAAGAAAGCTTATATGCAGCTCATATCGAGGAGAGGGGATGGGCTCGTGTTCTCTGCCCCCCTCCTCCCTCCTCCCTCCTTCTACCTACGAATGAATACCTATGTAAGTACCCCTTCGTACAACATCTGTGCAAAGATGGACAGGCGATCCAGGTCTTGCTCGTCCAGCTTCTCCAAGCACCGACAATTGGCTGCAGGCCTCATCCACATGCCATAATGGGGTTGGGGAAACGCCCACTCACACTCCGCATTGTGCCCTTCGCATCCCAATTCTCGTATTCTCGAGGCGCTATCGGTAGGTATCAGTCAGTCTTAACACCCAGTCTAGTCTAGCCGACACCTATCGGCCATCGCCAGATATGGAGTCACATATGGGCGGGCTTCTGCAGACACCCTCTGCCTCGAGGCACCGCCATGCGTGGTTATTAGGTATAGTGCAGATATCGTCGTGCGTGACGGTCCGTCTCGACATTCGCGCATCGTGCTACAGTAATCTACATCGAGGTACTACTAACGAGCTACTAACTACCATGACTTCTAAATGTAATGTCACGACTACTGTATGAGAGTAGGTACACGGTAATTTTTACGTAGCATACCAGGTACATGGTGGTAGACACGCCGGATCCCCCGCCAAGTCTACCCATCTACTCGCTACTCCAACCTTTTCATTCTGAAACTCTGCTCTGGATCGGGATATTCGTGTGCACTATCTGCAATACAACGCAGCACTGTCAAAGTACCTCGATCTGAGGAAAGGTGGTACATAGCCCGTTGCCTTGGATCCCCATTGTCTCGGATCATTCGATACAACTACTTAGGAAGAAACACGGCTCTGTGGCAATTAGCCCGATTTCTGCCAATCCGCTTTCAACCCGAGACCGACCAGCGAGTCAGTGGTGAGCATCCCGCCACCAATGGCGCTAATCACTCACTACGACCGAGAGCATTCCAACCGGACTGGCGCCAACTTCGTATAACGTTCGAGATCCCTCGCCGGCTACTCCGTAAATCGTAATGACGTTGGCCGGGTACGTGGACCGCGCCTTACTACGTCAACTTGAATGTTGCACATCAACAATTTGCTGCCATCACAGATGAGATGGCTTGCCTCTCGGGTAACACAAATCCTTACGTAGTACCTAAGGCAGCCTGGGGCTTGTGATGTGGCTCTCTTACATACATTCAGCACGCACACATGGGCTGTCGTGACAGCATCTGGAAATTCGACATTCCCACTTATACCATACGGTAGCAGTATTGAGCAGTCGACGACAGACAAACGCCCCAAGTTCACAGGGCAGAAGTCATCGCTGGTCACCGCACCACCAATTGAATAACGCATGTTAGCCTAACGGATGGCGGCGTACAGCATCTCCGGACTACGGCTTTTGCGTCCGGAGATGTCTCTTGGGTATTACATAGAGGCGGGCCCTGTATTAGTGCCGCTGTTGGATGGGTTGTCAGTTTGCTAAACAATGGTCGCATCATATGCTTCGTATACCTGCAGACCACTCTCAATATACCGGGTGAGAGCAAGTGTGATCGTAATGCGCAACACTAGAACGGCCAACCAGAATGTGAACCACCTCTCTCCATCACGCCTGTCATACCACCACTGATTGATAGTTCTTGGAGTCGCATCGACATAGAGCTGCTTGAAGGTGATCAGCCCGTCCCTCCAGAATTTGAATGATTCTAACCGCCCATCTTCCGCTCGAAGAACGCCACAGAGGGTAACGCGAGGACCAATAATGCAGGACTACATGGAGAGCCTGTCTTCTAGAACCACTTTCCTTTCATTTTATCGCCCCAAGATGAAGAACTGAACTCGGATTGTGGGAACAGGAGAGCTAAGGTCCGGAGCATTTCATCGACCAGACCGTCTGGGTAAAGACAACTGTTGTATTCAGGACATATGTGCTACGTTGGATGACAACGACATGGTCCAACTCGACTTAGAGTTTCAAAAACGACGCACAGTGGAATACAAGGACAGCTAAACCGTCAACAATCAGAAGGAGATGATCAGCAACAATATCACAACACTATCCGTGAACCCGGGAATGCACCCTTGTTGGGGCGTTCTGGCACAAACCATGAAGATCGTCCATGTTCCACATCAGACAGTGACGACTCCTGTTTCGAGTGTGAACCGAAGAGTACAAGTGGTGGCAGGAGGACCCCGGATGGAACTTCATGGGATGAGTCTCCGAGTGACCACATAAGCCCGGAGAGTATGGATAACTGCCACGCCGGGATTTTTCTGCGGCTATCTGCCTAGCGCGGAATCATGTCAGGTTTCGAAAGACTACGCTATGGTTACTGTTTCTGCAACTCCTCTCAATTCTCCGGGATTACCTATCTATCTATCAACGTTTGCTGCATCATCTTCCCATCGAGAACGCTTCGGAAAGTTGGACGTGGATCTAGTATTGTTGTCGTCTGACATTCGACCCACATCCAAAGAATCTTGCACCCGGTAAAAACAGTCTTCAGGAGCTCCTGAACTCATCAACTTAAACGTCTCATCCTGAAGAGAACAGTCGAACAATGGAAGTTCGTGACGTTTCGGACACGCAACCGCAGAAAGGACTTGTAGAGTTCGCCCCAAGTCTCACCTGCCATCTCGATACCTTTGGTCACTTCTCAATCGTCATAATTCCGCATCAATCGCTACAAAGAGAGAACATAAACAGAACGTCTCTGGAGCTTGTTTACTACAGAGGTTCTGGCAAACAAGACCACCCTCTAGGGCTTCGATTGCTCAGTCAACTTATTACACATAGACAGAAATTCTTGAATCTAATCAAAGGTAAACTTGATCTCTTTTCAAGTCAGGGTTCGCGCAAGTGTACGCTCGCCGCCGAGTTCATCCCATTTGGTGTGGCGTTTTCCGAACAATCCGGTTACTTCAAAGATCTCTCTCTTTACAACTGTAATTCCAATGTGATAAGCGAATAATTCGTTCCCAGTTCTCTAGTTGATGCGTAAAATTTACTGACATGTAACCTTGGATGGTTAGGCTTATTGAATAGTAAGGGTAGCTGAAGTTGGTTGTCGCTCGATCCCGTCTCCATGATTGGTCTTCTGTCGCAGGGGGTTAATTAAAGCGAGCTAAGGTAAAAATCTGAAGATCCGACGAAATTGAAATAGTACTGTAGGTACTCGTATCTCTTATTTATACAATCATTCTAAATTTCTCGAAACACTTTATCAAGCCACGACGATGAGACTTTTTTTTTTTTTTTGACAACTTTCTCGGGAGGATATGAGTCAATCTTGATTACTTTTGGTTGGTCCAAGATGGCCCATTTTCCCTCCCCAACAAGGGTATTTTGAGGAAATATATAGCTTCTACAATCACACGTCATGATCTTGGGTTTTGAGGCCTTTCTGTAAGGGCTAGTAAGATGGAATATCCTTGCCTGGTTCGAAGCCTTGCGTGTGCCTCTTGACGGAGAGTCTAAGGAAATTGTATCTTGCATGTCCACGGACTGATGCTTCAACATCATACTATTAACTTCCGATGGTAGTTGGATGCTCCCACTGCTTGCTTAGCTGGCAGAGCTGGTATGCGGTTTTAATGAAAACATTTCAGATGAGGCAGGCCTAGACGAGGCAGCTTAACGACAAGGAGTGAGTGTTTAGATTGGTATTTCGCTTCGAAGATATGTGTTCAAGATTCTCTTGCGCAGGTGCCTAACAGTGCGCCTTAATGGCCTATCGCAAATGTGATCTCCCATCGCGCTAGTATATCTTAGACGCAAGTACGAAGGCATCGAAATTGAATGCCAAACTGATACCTGCGGTGTTTTCAGAGATGAAACTTGAAGAATCTTCAAGACCGATGATTGAGGGTGAACAGTGTTTCGCTTGCTGTAAGATAGACTGGCTTTCTTCTCGAAGCAAAAGCTCTTGTTGTTGCGTGAGAGTGTTGCTATCGCTAAGTTAATACATCATGTATGTTGGTCTGAAATAGAACATGAATGAATTACCATCGAACAGCTTGTAATAATAGATTCAGTTGCGTTTGCTTGTCGATGCAGTAAGATAGAAAAGTTTGACGTTTCGAGCTAGCCCTAGAGAAATCCGAGTCTCTCTGTTGTGGTCATACTATACTCTCCTCTTATCCGACAAGGTGACTGATTCAATCTGTTGGGCTGATATCAATTGCAAAATGGCTGCCATTTTGAACGTCACTATCCCATAACTCCACATATAACCACTCAAACTTCGACAACCTTATATTATCAATTGAATACGTCAACCGGGAATTTAAATCTTGTGATGATTAACATAACACTCAATGTGAACCTTCTGCATGAGTATTGTAATCCCTTCCCGTTTTCGGTTGCGTTATTTCAACGAACTCGCGGCAAGTGCCTTTACTCACGAGAAGAGATCAATTGCTTGATAAACGAGATTTTCACAAACGAGTACTCAAAGTAGGGGAATTGACACCCATGCTGACTCTCCAACGTATGTTCTTCTGTATTCAGTGTTTATTTCCCACTATGAATCGTCGCGGCCAGTTCCCTACCACCGAAATGCTTACTCAAGCAATAAAAAGCCAAGAATGGTATGTAGTACAGATAGCACTGCCAATTTAAACGCCTTGCCTCTATTCTTCCTATGACAACTACTTCACCGGTTATCTGTTCTTCGCCTGATATCTGGGAACTTATTGTATTATTCCCTTAATGAGATCAAAGTCGTTGTTGTCAAACTACTTGCAGTGGGAAAAAAGGGAAGCAATACCTCAAGGTCTCAAGAAGTAGTGGATTTCTGATTATATGGTTGGACTAATTGCCCTTCAATCTCTCCATAGAACCCTTGAGTAGTGATAGATAGACACTGGCCACAAAGAGCTTGATACATCTGTAAAAGGGTTTCTTCAATTCTCTCAAAACTTAAATCATGATATAAATATTTCAAGTATTCATTATTAAAATTCTTCATTGTTCATGATTTAATTCTACATGATGATATTTATCTTCCATTTTACTGATAGGTTTAAAAAGTCGCTAATACACATTAGTCACACTTTTTCTCAATATGTCTATATAATAATAGGCCTGTGTTATGTTCAAGATTGGTGTAATCATTTCAGAAGATTGCGGTAAACCGGATATCAATGGATACAAGGGATCAAACCATAATCCCCGTTTTAAGACGCCCTAACACCAGAATATGCATTTCTATACATGCCATCCTCCGAAGCTCTAATTTCAGTGGCCCTTTTTGGACTTCTTTGCCTTTTTGTGTGGTTTATCCCCGAATGCCTCTTCATAAACCTCGGCTGCTGTAGCACCAGCCTTTCTTTTTACCTTACTAGACTTGATACTGACTACGGGGTTGGCCTGTCCTCGCTTGGCGGCGCTTCGCACTTGTTTCTCAGCATCATCCCATGCAGGTGTATCACCTTCCACCTCATACCTAGCTTCGTATCAGTACTTAAGTTGCATCATTGGGTTGACATCAGATAATGGTAACTCACTGGTCTAGCGGTAAGGAATCAATTAATTCCCTTTGCTTTTGTCGTATCTCTTTCAAAGCTTCGTCGCCGCCTTCTTCCAGCTCTTCCTCTAACGACTTCTCAAGGGGATTAAACCGAGTATCTATAATCTCATCATCGTGCATGCCACTCGCATTAGCAACGCTGACGCCAATGGTATCTTTCGGCAGGGCAGCTTCATGTGCGCCTGACACTAGTCCTTCGAAGTAGACAACGAATTTCTTCACGATCTTAATGAACATGGCCAAAGTTTGAGAACTAGAGACTGAACGTTCTGCTGCAAAATCATCCAGTTCTTTCCGTTGCAAAGATATTGCCAATAGCATAGCTCGCTGAAGACTGCTCAGCTGAATGCCACTTAAGCGTCCCCGAAAATAAGGCTCTGATATACGGGGCATCAAATCAACTATAATGAAATCAGCCATTTGTCTGTTTGAGCAATAGATATCTGTGGGTACTTTAAGGACTCGGAACTTGTGTTATCTTGTAAGGGGACAGCTGGACTTGGGCATAGGAATTCGAAAGAGGCATTATGGTTTTACTTACGTATAACGTGATAATCCAATAAATTGTTAGCGTATGCTGCCAACCTCTTTAGATCAAATGGCGTGAGGACTTGATCTAAAGACTCTTTTGTAAATGGTGCAGGGTTATGGGAAGGGTCCAAATGAGCCCCTGAGGTAGCACTTTCGTTGATACTCAGTGCTGTTATCGAATCAAAAGTTCGGAATCTGTAGGATAAGAGCGAAAGGAACCGGCTATGGAAATCATTGGCGTATGATCCTAGCCATGTTTTGTCGCTTGATTCCAGTGGTCGCAGCATAACACACGTATGTTCACCTGTGACTATTGAGGAAGTTAGTGGCTATTAACCCAATAAATAGTCTGGTGAGTTTGGAAATTCGAAACAGTTTGGCCCAAAAGCTTCGATGATGGCATCTCATGGACGATTGTAGACGAGACTTAGTGTGAGGAATTCTCTTACGGTCATTGGCAGTTTGTCTCAAGTAAACTGGCGAGAAGCCATCTGTTAAGCATAGTGATTAGCAAGATTTTTCCGATATAAATCGAGAATGTCGACATAAGTTATTGGATAACTTACTTTTCCGCCAGAACTTATGTAGAGGCTGTGTGAGGCCGTAACTGACACCAATGTATTCTATAGCGCTTGGACAACACTCTGACAGCTTGGAGAAGAGAGGCGGCAAAGTGGCAATGTCGCGAACAGTAATTTCATCCTTTAAGGTGCCGTTCTCCAGTTCCGCATCGGTCACTCGGACAATGCTTGTTTCATTCTCGATTTCCGTCTCGGACAAGCTTGCGAATTTGCCTTCGTAAAACGAAATCAGATCCGAGAGTGCTTTCGCTCCATATCCCATCGATGTGAATTCGGGGGAAGTTGCAATGCGAACAACACGAGCACCGCTCAATGACGCAAATTCATCGTCTTGGTATTGTTGGCTTACCAGCCAGGGAATTAGGTCACCTGCAGGTCTGGAACCGCGGCTGAGACTGTTGAGAACACTTTGACGGGAAATCTGTCCTTCGAGGGCTACTTGAATTGCACAGAGGGGCTCCGGAAGCCGGTTTGAATTAGGATCAATTGGTGCACACAGAACGTAGAGTTCATGTGAAGGGGCGTCACTAAGCAACTGCAGGTCGTCGGGTGTATTCTTATAGTGGCTTGCGACGAAAAGTTGTACGAGCTGTTGAAGAAACTTTTCCGCGACTGGGTGAAAGCTGAAAAGTGTGTCTCTATTGATCTTCAAAAGATGGCAGCTGGCTGGATCAGGACAGCCTTTTGATAGCGACCTACCGGGCGGTGCGTCTAACACCAGAAGGTTGTTAAGCCACTTCTCAACCGCATCCCCCTGAGAATACCTGATAGGCTCCTCGAGTGTGATCTCGCGCAGAGAGCGTGTACCCAGGAGTTGATCGTCTGCCGAGAGTTTGGAAGCTTTGCCAGTCGACCGGTCAACGGTTTCTGTATCTGTCGCAGTTGCGCCAACACTTGACTGCTCTCTCAACTGCTTTATGAGCTTTAAGGAAAGAGATCTGCCAGTACCCTCATATCCATTCACTGTTGAGGCCATGAAAACAAGATAGCTACCAATCAACTTCTTGACCAATGGTAGCGGGATCGCAGCGGCTTCGTCGATAACCAGTAGTTCACACTGCCCTAAGACATGAGCATCTTCCGGTCGGATATACTGGATAGTTTGACGGTGTGTTCTCGTTATATTAACCCTCACGATAGCTTTCTGGAAATCAGGGTTGGTAGACTGGACGATCTGGTAATCTGTGTGGTCCTGATAATTGAGGGTATCGAACCCCTTGAATATGAATTGAAACAGGGTTTTCAGATTTTCACTTGGGGGCATTAGGAGTTAGCAATGACTTTTACCATGGAATGTCAAAGCAATGCCAGGTAGTTACAGCTCTCAGGGTACGAAGATCGACTCTGGTAGAAGAAAAGCGACATGAGATGGTTGAGATAGTACTTACGGTGAAGGAGATGTAACAAAAATGTTCGAATAACCTAGTGCAACAGCTGCCGCAATAGCGAGACCCAAGCATGCCGACTTGCCACGACCACGAGCGGCCGTTAACGCAACTGTCCCTCTCAACTTCTTCTCAGTTATGGCATCAATGAATGTTAATATGGCTTTTGCCTGATCAACGGTACGTGCAAGGTTGACTAAAGATCCGACAACTTCGGTTTCCTGTAAGGAGTCCTTGATCGAACCAAGCTCCTTCTGGGCCTCGGTCTTCGGCTCATCGAGATCGGGAGGAGGGAGCGGCGTTACCCCTTTCGCCCCACTTATAGGGAGTACATTCAGCTCATCGTCGATCACAAGGCAGTTTTGGCAGCCGCCAAGAGAAAGGAGGAAGCGCTCGTTGAAGCGGGCGACGACGTCTTGGTGGGCTTCGGTACGGAACCTAGAGTGGACGCTCATGGACAGCGTGTAAAGCTGCTTAAGGTTGCTGATCCCCCTGAGGAGGAGAATACAGAGCCCACCGCCTTGGACGGTCTCGATGGTTCTGGCCAGCACATTGGGTGTGATCCCCTCGAAATCTTGCAGGATTGCCATTCCATAGGTATTGCCTAGAATCTTGTCCGTCTCTTTATAGTAAGTGTAGCGTATGTCGGACACGGAAACGAATAGTTCAAAGGGATCTTCGGTGTTCGGTTCGCGAATGCCTCGTTTAATCTCCTTCTGGATCTTCTTCTCTCTCTTGGCCCTATGACTCGTGAAACCTGTGTGTTCCGTGTCAAGGTGAGTGATGACGAAGAGACACCGAAATACTTACCTATAAGCTTCTTCGAGTATGCCCATAGAACGCTTTTATTGCATTTTAGGTTGAGTGTGGTCAAGACGTAGTATAGCTTAGCTATGACATCTTTGCTCTCGTCGCCCACGAGAATGAACAGCCCACGCTGGTTGGTTTGAATGCAATTACTGATCAACGTCGGAATGCGGGAGTCACTAGACAGGGAAGAAGTCAGAATCTACTTCTATGATGGTGGCACAATCCACTACATGCGCAGACTTACACCTCCTTTTGCGGCATCTTGGCGGCGATGTTCCCCTGCGGGAGCGATTGGAACTGGCGTTCGCGATATGAGGCACGACCTATAATACCTACAACCTTGCGCGGGCGCGCAGCGGCAGCAAGCTCCAGCCAAAATTTTGGCGGCGAGCGCTTTCTGCCAGGCGGTGACGGAGGGCCAAATTCCTTACTTGGTTAGATCATCTTGATAAGATAGCTTTATCACTAGTGGGGGCCATGAGGTGGGGCAATTGTTGCTTGCCCTGGGTCTCCCCTTGGGAAGGGATGAGAGTTTACCTACCTACAACCTTGATACATGTACATTCTACTGTAGCTGTTATACCGAGTATTGGGAAGTATTATTCGACCAACGGCAGTCTATCTACCTATTTGGGTGGCTGAAGTAGGATGTAGAATGGCAGATTTTGGTGAACGGCTAGAATACCTACTCATTAATACCATTGTTGCCCGTCCGCACCCTTCCTTGTACCATACGAAGTAGTACGTAGATAGGTATAGGTACACGCATGTACATGTACTTGCATGGTGGACAGCTACCCCGGATTTGCTCTGGACTGCTGTGTCCAATCACCATGGCTTGATTACTAGATTGCCGGCCCCATTTGCTGGTGTTAAAGCATCCCATCCAATCCCATCCAATAGCCTCCGGCCTATGATGTAATAGCTATCATCGTGACCTTCAGCTTTCTTTTTCCCCTTTGTCTGGACATTGTAAAGGAGCTGCTATCTAGGACTGCTAGGACTCGCCAGCCCTCGAGGCATGGCCTCTGATCCATGTTTGATCTTAGCCCGCCCTTACGTAGTTATCTTCTCTCGCTTCCCTCATCACCATTGCCTAAATATCCTATTTCTCCCCTCATTTTCATTCCCATCCTGATTCTAAAACAACTACACTAAACACTAAATACTTTGCTAAACATAACTAGTCAGACCCATACATAGCTGGTCTCTTGCCTCAGATACATACTCTCCCACAACATCCATACCTACTCTCGACGCACACGCAGGAAGCATCAAATCCCGCGCACCACAATTCTACAACTTTCATACTAATTATCGTCTACTACTCTCAACATGTCAGCTCAAGTTTGTCCCGTCGTTGGCACCACCAACAGCACCTTGCCCCCTTCTCATCCTGATGTCGACCTATCTCGACCTGGTCAGGTTAGTACCCTGGAGTCATGTATCCCCCCTCCCTTTTCTCTTCGCCAGCTTTTGGGCTTCATGACTCCTGCATCATCCCGAAACATGGGATGAATCCCTTCCCTATCTGGCAATTTACTGATTCCAGCCTGTGTAATAGACCTGCCCTGTAGTGGGGGCCAAAACGGAGCACCATGGAAACCTCCACAAACACCCTTCTGCGCCGAACAATCCAACAACCCAATTTACGGGTTCACCAGACGCCAATGCCTGCCCTGCTCTGAAGAATGTTGTCAACGAGGCGAAGAGCAAAGAAATGGACGACGTGGTCTGCCCAGTAGCCGGACCCGTCACCGCTGTTCTCCCACCAGACCACCCCAGTACTCAAGGCAAGGCAGACGATGCTGAATGCCCCATCACGAAAGCCAAGATTGGCCATCACAAGGACAAGGTAGTCGTTCATCCCAGTATGAGTAACGTCTCTGGCGTGTGCCCTGTCACTGGCGCAAAGCAGTCATAACTGGAAAGAGGATTGGCTACACTCCAATAGTGAAGAGCACTATTTGAAGAGATTAGCATATAGCTTATGAGGACTGGGAGCTAGGCAGCGCTCCATTATCCCAAGATTACTTATTCATGAGTTACGCATTCTGTTTATGTACACTAAGTTAACGGATTTTGCCTACGGTTTCAAATATCGTCAGTTCATCACCTGACATCTGTTCTATTATATCAAAGCCCATAGGAGTTGGAATGTGCACAACAGTAAACTCAAGTAGCAGCTTTATCAAGCAACATTATCCGTTTTGCTACCCTAAGTTGACTCGCAATTTCGAATTTCTAATACGTCACTTTGACACCGATAACTCTTCACATAAAACCTGATATATGGTGACAAGGTTGATAGCCGCTAGGTAGACGCATTGAAATCGATATATCACCAAACGGCTAATTCTCTTTACTGCTTCTATCATTTCTATCAATCGCACACCTATGAAGCTATCAACGTTAGTATATTCACTAGAAAGGAGCATCAGCGAGTCGTCGTGACGAACAACACTTGTCTGCTCTAAATCAAGAACCCACGACCAACTCCATAGGATTATGGACAAGCTGGATAATGTCTAACTCTTGTTTGTCTTTGGCAGGAAGCATATACGAAACGCGAAATTCCCATGTTCTGTTCGCGCTTGTTAATGTCTATTTGGTTGATAGATAGGGTATTATTCCATCTGAAATCCTGCAGTCCACTCGTTGGGATTTAATCAGCTCGAGAAGCGCCACACAAAGGCTAGGTCTATTTCTCTGTATGAATGCTACCTATCAGGGTCTTCCTATGGCTTTCGTCAGGCACTCGTGTATAAGATAGCTCGATACGTTTATCGGGTAGAGAATGAGAGATCCGCGTGTTAATCCTCACTTCTCTAACCGTAGCGACAACTCTGCCGTCTGCTTTTCAACTAATCATACGTAAAAGTTCTTATAGGAATAAGAAATTAAGTTCAGTCGGATCATAGCCAGGCCAACTATGACTACTCACAAGCTTAGCCTCAGTTAAAAATCCCTAAGAGCTACCGTTTTTAGTTTGAATAATCTAAGCTTATGCTTTAAGGTTAGAAGACAACTGTCGTCGACCTTGTTCCGAAATGATACCTATCCAATCACACTTCTTCAATTCTCGAGCCTCATACGGCTTATATAATACGAATCAAGGGATTTTCATCAGCAATCGCCACTATTAACCAGCTCTAGGAAATTACGAAGATACAAGAGCCTTACTACAACTTTAGTTCTATATCCTAGCTATTGGTCCGAGGATAAGATGACAGGGCAGTGCTAATGTTACCTCGCTCCCCACCCTTTGACGATATTCCTGTATATAGGCTTGGGCTACCTGTAGGAGCTGGGTTGATTTCCATTCTGATTGCCAAAATGCTCTAGGTCCTCTACAGCCACTACGAATATATTCATGTAAACCAGAAATATATACAGCATATAACGTGCACCTGTATTGACTCCCGTATCCCAGGCAGTGAGGATATGGCACACAGTAGTGATAGACTTAAACAGTGAATTCGGAAAAAAATATCCTAGAGTTATTGGGTGCTCGACGCCATTTTCACGTCAACCTAACTCCACCTATGTTACATCGCATAATATCAGCGTAAGTTTCCCTCCTTATGCTTTTCATGACTTGGATTTTGTGCTGAAACCTACCCCGTCGTTTATAGTCACCACATGGCACTGACTTACTTAGAAAGCAATTGCTGTTCAACTTTGAAAAACTTTAGGAGGGATGGGAAAAGAAACAAACAGAAAGAGTGTAATTGGCGTCATGTTTCTTTTTCTTTTGATCAGTGGCTAATCCATAGTTGTGTTGAACGCCGTAGAACATGGTTTGTTTAAAGCATCATCCCCGAGGCTTCTATTATAAAAAGGGGAAATAGCACTATAACTAGATCATCTCATGAAAAATAATTACTATGAACTAGATCCATAGGTTATTTTACGACAGAGGCCCCGTCCCAAGTCAATTCAAGCAGATACAAGAAAGAAGGTTCAAAAGACTCACCACCTGGCTGCTTCGTTCCCAGTGCAAATATGAGGCTATTTTAGAAACAATATAACTATGTAAATAGGCCTAGGGCTAAACCATTCATTATGGACAAGCTTACCTCTTTAGAATCCCGGGATTCCGCGCGTACCTGGAGAAGTCTAATTAAACTCATCCCCTAACAGTTGGTCAATGACACCTACCTTGTTTCAGAGATGATACAACACACCACAGTAGAATCTGGGACCTTCATAGGTCTATCTGTTACAGAATATTATAGTAGTTACTGTTTACAAAGGGGCTGGTTGTAGGGCTTGGAATTGAAGGTATTCACAATCAAATTTCTTTTAGGGCTATAAAGGTCCTTAAGCATCAAGCCTCCTCTTGGCCTTGGTGGCAGACCTGACTTCATACACAATGGTTCGCCCTTTGCCGACCTTCCAAAAGCCCGCCAGTATGTCTCACGCCAGCGAAGTCTGTATAACTTCATTTTCAATGTTTGGCCACATGTCTTATTAGGGGACTTTTGCAAGGAATGCCGCATGCGCCTGTAGCTGTAGGCGAACTGCATATTCGGTCGTACACGCATGTACAATATTTTCCTCTCTTAATTTTTTACTATATCTGGTTAGTAATTAACAGTCTGTTGATGTTGTGTACAATTGTGAGTAAAATGAGGGAATCTAGAGGCAGTTGCGAACTAGGTCAATAGTAGACCGGTCACAACTTTGCCCACATAAAGAAGTTTAAGTTTCTTATCAACTCACGTGTTACTGTGATTTACTAGCTTGGCCACATCTAGAAGTGTTTTGGTATTAGTGACGCCTTTCTCAAGTATCTGTGTCTTTCTATAGAATATGATAGGCGACCTAGGAGAAGTATAATCACAACACCACTTTTCGTCTTTGTACTGCACGCAACTGGCTGAAATGGGGGTTTAGCAGCACTATTTTGAAAGTAAGTTTTCAAGCTTGGGCATATGACCCATGCCTTTGCGAGTTCAGGGACAAGGTGAAGAACGGGGGAATTATAAGGTTGCGTACCGTGAAGGAACTGGGTAACATTGTCTAAGCACATAATTTACGTCCGTCGGTATCTGGCGGTGAACTGAACACTGTAAATGAGTTATGTTGTCAAAGCCCTGATAGAAAAACAAGAATAGAAGTCGCCGATGAGACCGTGCAGTACTCCAAACACACGATTCGGTTACTTAATAAGGAGGTAGATAGTGGAAATCACTTTTGGTCTCTATGATTCAGTGGCTCATACAGCATCAACTATTGCTCGGCTTTGCAACTTTCACCGTGATAGCTATGATGTATTGATCATTTGTGTAATCTACTGTCCTTCAGCTAGGGAACCACTTACAGATGCCATAGACATATCTTTTCGGCACACCGAGACCTGACAGAGGTGTATCGTGCATATTCATGAAACCGACGGACAGTGACCTATCTGCCCCAAGCCACCGAAAGGTGCAACCCGAGCTGAACAGCTCCGAGTATCGGAATCCGGTAAAACGAGCCGTGCGTGCGTGCGCATACGCATTATCCCGTTCCGAGGAAAGCTTTGGCGTAAGCAGGGTGCAATCAGGTAAGCAAGCCTACCTGGACATGACGATGTCGACGGAGTACGGGTTGCGCCAGCCAGTGCTGCTGTGGATATTCGCATAGGTGTGGAGGCTGGGGTGGCGCGCAAATAAATACATGCTATCCTGACCTTGCCTGCCTGCCTATCCACCACCTGTTACCTTGGTCAGGTCACCTTGCGTACATGGCGGCGGCGTTGGCGCTCAGCGAAACAGGGCCGCGCGCACCGCAAACTCATACCTGTACACGCTCGCTTGCCTCGATCGCTGATAATTACCCAGGCGGGCGTGACGTAAGTCAGGTCATGCTTAGCCGGGATAGCGATCTTCTATCTAATCTAATCAGGTAGGTATAACGTAGGTCTTTTAAGGTTCTCATCCAAGCTTGTGAGATTCAGTGACCCGTCTATCAGATTGACTGATTATCCGACTATCTGTCGTCGACGGCTAAGCCCGTAGCGCGTGCTGCGAAGGTCGCACGAGCCTCACACCGAAGATGCGGGATTTCATCCTCTAGGATGACCAGCGAGCGGCGTGCATGCGGTTAACCTCATCAAGTCCGCTGCCTACCTATACTGGGTCCTGTACCTACACTATGTATGTATGTATGTATGTATGTAGGTCTTAAGGTCGCATCGATGTAGCCCTCTCTTCTCTTTCTCTCTTTGTTTAACCTCATACCTACCAACTTCGGCATGCTGGAGGGGTCTCATTTCCTTGCCTTGGGAGATGATGGCTCGGAAACACGCATCGTGAAATGATTGAAATGCTGAGCTGTAATTCGTTCGCAGAAAAGGCCTACCTAGCTAAACACTCCTCCCCCTCCCCCTCTTCTCTTGGATTATCGCCCACGCTCTACAACCTTTCCCTTCTTCCTTTCCATGCCACCTTGTCTTTTGGTGTTCCGTTGCGAAAAAGCTCACCTCCTACTGTGTCCTAGGCTAATGCAAGCCACGTGAATTCTCGCCCGGGTCACATTCGGGTGTTTCTGTTTCGTGAATTGCATTATCGCCGTGCTTGCGCTCCTTGCACACTAAGTCCGAGCCAACTCCCCCCTTGGTTTGAGATATGTAGGTTTCAGGTAACCTAGGCCAATTCTGGATGTGCGTTGTTGATAATAATCCATCTACCAAGTAAATTACACTACCTTACCTAGGTATCTGTAAGCTGTACGAAGTATAAGTAGTGCATCTCTATACATGTACACTGCACCAGGTTAGTTACGGGGAACCGGGAGTCAGAGGACCCCGACTATCTGTACCTAGGTTAAGTCAGGACTTACGGAAGTACCTGTCAGCTAGTGGAGCTGGACGCGGATCATTTACTGACTTCATTCGCAATGGTGAGGTACCAGTAGGAAATAGATGGAAAATTATTGGTGCGAAGGCTTGATAGCAGGTAAATTAACCCTCGCAAGGCATTGTGAAAAAAACACAAAATCTTAATCCCTCTGGCCCTCGCTCCAAAACCCCGGCCAGTCCCCGGGACAGGCTCCAGCGGTGGGCTGTCGGCCCGCTGTGGGGAGAGCGAAATTCGTCTAGGCCTAACCTTGGTTGTAGTTGGGGACAAGACGGAGATTATCCAGGTCCAGCCTCATGAAAGAAAGACATTGCTATGCAGGTAGGCAGGCAGTATAATATAAAAAAACCAAGTTTCAAGGAAGAAACCAGATGAGGACTGGACTGGGAGGGCTACCCACGCTGGGGGAGGGAGAGAGAGAGGGGGGGATTTTGATTTATACTATACTACTTTGGTGTCTTGTGTCGTAGTCTACGTGTAAAGATTGCCCTGCCTGTCCTTGCCCGTGCGTCGTGAAGGTGACGGAAGCGAAATGCTTCGGCTGTTGTCGGTGGGGATTGTGCCTACTTACCTATTTATTGTCATTGGCACTATTGTTGTTATGACTGCAAGCATTGATATTACCATTTTTATCCTCTAGTATACTATGTACGTCTGTCATCCTTCCCCGTCGGCTATCTATCTAGACCTTGCGGTGTGCGTCAGCGTGGGTGAGGAAGATCGATCTTCTAGCCGCCCCCCTCCTCCGTCCCCCCCTCCTTCTCTAGACGGAAGGCGTGTGGTTTTCCTAACATTGAACAGGGCTGACGGGAACAGGTTTTCATGGGATCAGAGGTGGGGGGTGGGTAGGTGGCATTGTATACAATGGTATCAGGTGTGTAGATAATCTAGAGACAGACAACGGGAGAGGAGGAAGGGAAAGGTAGCGAAATACTGTACGACTCTTCAACCTCCCTACCGTTCCGCGATGCAGCCAGCAGACGGCGGCTCGGGTGCTCGGTGAAGGGCTGCCGAGGCGAGCCGCGGCCACTCACGTTCGACCGACCTTCCAGAAGAAGCCGGATTGGTCGCAGGTAGGGGTCGCCCCAGAAGCAAAACTGACCACTGGTGACCGATTTGTATGGGCTCGTCTCTCAGCTGCACGCTACGTTGCGCTCTCTCATGGGCTGTCTCATTTCGGCAAATCCAACCCAAGCCCGCGTCCCCGCCTGGCTTGGAGCTTAGACTAAATACAGAGTGAGGGGGTAGATAGATGGAAGAGGAACCATAGCGCGTGATTATCAATTACACTACGCTATTGTACAGATACTTCGATAGTATACATTAGCGTAGCATGGCAAGAACGAGCATATCTAGGTAGTATGTGGGTTGAAGTGTTGTAGACGAATCTGGGGAGGAAAGAAGGGTGAAAATGACTGATACTCAGTCTCGGATGACATAATCGAGGACAAGTAGAAGTATTATATATAGAGTAGAGTATAAGCTAGGCGAGTGGAGGTTTAATCGTAGGTTAGGTTAGCATACTTACGTAGTAGAGAAACGCAGGGGGGAGAAGGGAAGAAGGACAATAAAAAAAGTCTCAGAGATATTCGGGTAAGAGTTGGAGAGTTGCCGGGATTGGTGCATCCCGCCGTATCTGACCGAAGGGACCAATCGCATGAGCAAATGACTAAAACATGCCCCATGCAGTCTACTATACCATATCCCGTACCTACTTAACCTCACCGAGGCAGTCTCAAGCGAGTGAGACGACGGAATGATAGGTATGTGTGTACGGAGTAGTATGTGTGTGTGTGCTTGCTTATGTGTGCGTTTGTTCGTGTGCTTGTGTGTGATGTGAGGTAAAGCAGCGCGGCAAAGACTGTCGAATGCGCAAACGCACACCCTCGGCACCTTTCCGCCGGATGTGTCAGGTGAAGACGGAACAACTGACCGTGCAGCAACAACAAGCAGGCTCATTACCAACCAAGAGCTTGCTCGGGGTCTCTGTTGATTATCTTGACGATCAGTCTCAAGCGGCCGTCCTGGTGTAATCAGATGACAGGCAGACTGCATTAACCCAGCAACCGGTTGAGCGAATTAGTCAAAGTCGGGGCTGACTGAAGGGAAGGAAGCCTGATGAGACAGCGTACCATCGGCATGCCGTGCTTGGGCTCTCCTTTGAGTGGTTGTGTGTGAGTGTGTCTGTGTGCGTGTGCGTGTGTGTGTGTGTGTGTGTACGCGTGTGGGTGCCGGACGAGAAGAAACGGACAATTTCCCCCCTTGGCTCCCACGATTACTCGTCTACCCCTCGGTCGAAAGCAGCGAATCCAAATGCAGGAAAATACGACGTGACCCTATTGGCTGAATATTGCTGTCGGGTGATGGCACAGCAAGGAAACAGTGGAAGGGAGCAGCAATTAAAAATACACAAAAAAGAAAAAAAGAAAAAAAAAAGAGATAAAAGGACAGGAGAGGGTCCCTTATACCGATTTTCTGGGGCATGTTGATGGGAATGGTTACATACACTAGAGTATATGGCATAGTGGACGTTCGCGTAAGTCAGTCCCTCCCCCCGCGTTTCTGCCGCCTCACTGTCCTCTCGACCGTTTGTTTTATTTTCGTCTTCGCGGTATCTCTCTCTTCCCCTTCTGTGTTGCAGTTGCGACTTGGGAAATCGCCGAGGGAATGGATGCAGGCACAGAGGAGCGTATCGCTGTCTGCTGTGTGAGAGTCTCCATCTTCGGCGAATCTGCATGGATGATTATGCCGGCGACGGCTGTGATTGGTAACTTGCGGCTCACTGATGTTTCGAGAAGCAGCATTGGATGTATACCTAGATTTTGTACGTCACATCCGCCGTAGCCCGGGGGAAAAAAAAATTCGTTGTTTAGATATCTATGTAGGAGATTCTGATCACCTCGCGCTTCCGTAGCAAAGACCGTGCGCTTCGGCGTGCTAGGTATGCTGTTTGAGGTGAAGCTATGCAATTCGGGTTATACTCTTGAAACGGCCCTGATCCCGGACACATGTCTACATAGCGTAGCACGAAGGAAAACGCAAGAGGAGGAAGACGAAGAAGGAGAAGCTGGAGAGAGAAACATTATGTGATCCTGGTAGCAAAGTCGCTTGAGCGACTAGCTAATCACTTATACATAGTAAGGCGGTTAGACACCTCCCTACCCTGGGATGGATACGTACCGCCATACCAAGCCCCCTAGTCAAGCCTAGTCCAGATACTAGACTCACGATGCTCATGTGCGAGGATCCCCGCTGCATAAGTCGCGTCCGAATTAGTCCACTTTTGGGTTTCCGTGGGGAGAACACAACGATGTTGCGGCAACGGGCCTGATAGCGCTGGACACTAGCAACCCGTTACGTGCTCAATACTTCCTACTAATAATAAAAGCATGTCATCAGCGGCATACATAGAATGCCAATGCCAATAAAGGGGGTGGGATCTGGGAAGCGGGTCAGGGCTCAGATCGGGGACCCGCCTTGCCCTCGAGCCTGTCATAGGCCTGTGACAGCGACGAGCAAGGAGGGACGTCAGTCTTGCTCTTCCATGATAGGCAATCGAATACATGATGTCCCTGGTGGCCCTGGTGGCCCTGGCGTTTCTGTTCTGCAGCGCTTCGCGATCCCCGAGTCGCGCGCTCTCAGCTCTTCCCGTTTCAGGGACCTGGGACTTGGGCCTGCCCTGCCCTTGTCTTGATCATGAATGACCGTGAGCTTGGCCTAGGACCATGACCATGGCCATTCTACTGACCTACTTACCTTGCTTCACTTCACCACATGGCGACCCAGCGTGACCAAGTACATGCTGCTGCTGCTGTACCATGTTGGAAACATCCCCACACGCGCCGCGGTACATGTCTTTCCAATACATCACAGCTATCTCTAGCTTGTAGCGTAGGATCTCGCTTGCTCATGTATCTCGTATACCCATACACCAACTTTACGGGTGATGAGAGCAATGGCGGAGGGGATAGGTACCCGGGGTTAGTTAACCAGTCGGCAGTCGCAGAGCAACATTGATAGACTCAGTAATAGCAACAGTAGCAACAACATCTCATTGTCCCTGTTAATGCCAATGGCCACTACTAGTTTATATGAGCCAAGAGACAGATACTGGAGCGTTTATAGAAGAGAAAGTGGGAGAGGAAAACAAAGAAATGTAACATGAGAAGAGAGGCGAGACAAGACAGATACCGAGCAATGGGCGAACGGACGAACGAACCCCCCTGGCATTCTTGAATGAGAGAGCGAGAGACCCTTCTGCTTCTGCTGTATGCTGCAAACTGCCTACCCACACTGATCTGTCCGTGGAGTCATTAAACAATTTCTATCCACACTTGTGCCAACCCCCATCCTGTCAGTTGAGCCGTACCTGGGCGCTCGCAATAACACCCGTATACTGCCTCCACCTATCCTCACCTATCTCTTGTATACGCTGCTACGCTGCTATTTTGCTGCTTGGATCTAGATCACGGCAGCTCCAGGTTTCCTCGTGCAACCGTGTGTCAAGACCCAAGACCTCCCTATAAGTCATCTGTATCACATTTGGGAACGGATCCCCCATACATGTAAGTTATATATACCTGCATATCACCCACGCCCGTTGTGGGTTATAAATCAAAAGTAGACACGCGGGAAATCTCATACGTACCTACATATCCCATACATATCCCATACATATTCCATACCACCTTTCCCGGGCCATGGCAGGGGGATAGTGCTGTACTCGCTTCTGCATATCCGCGATAGCCTTCACGTCGTGTAGACCACTACCTTAAACTGCCTTGAACTACCTTAGACTACCTTAGCGACTTAGCAGCTTACCTACCTACTTCAGGTAGCTTGTGCCCAACGACACATCCACTCCCCTCCTATTCGTCTTTTGGTCGTCTAACACGGCATTCGTCTATTTGACTCGCGCCATCTACGCACTACACCATCCGCGCGTGTGTTTGTTGTATGACAGCCCAACTCGAGCACACAACACTGCCGTCAGCGTTGGGCTTCATTCGGTAACCTGAGTTTGGTCTCTACGGAACAGCGAGGCGAGAATCAACGTGGCCGCCAGTCCTTCAGTATGAGGTAGCCATTATACCCTGACGAGGAGTGCCTAACGATATGCATCCCGCACCGTCCTTGGCAGAGTCGTTCCCCAAAAGCACCAAGACGGATGATAGATCTCAACATGTTTACGAGACTCCCCAGCAGCCTCGCCTGGCACACGCCGCCCACCTTGGACCCCCCGAGCCCTTGAAGATCGAGAATCACTCGGATCATTCTGTCAGTCAGTCTTCGCCGCCCATGAGGAAAGATACGGCTTCCAGCACTTCGACCAATGCTTCCGACACGACTGTCGTTACGGCTACATCGACTGACACTTCCACTACAGCCTACAGTGTCGAGTCGTCACAGTCTATCTTTTCCGTCAAAGATGGTTCGGAAATTTCGAGTAACCGTCGAGCAAGCCGTCGACGAACTGGTCCTCTCTCCGCGGCGCAAAGAGAGAAGGCTGCGCTGATTCGCAAGTTGGGCGCTTGCCCTGATTGCCGTAGACGCCGAGTCGCTGTAAGTACCTAAGATTCGCTGAGGATGAGTCCCAAATCCGTCCGGCACCGTGTGAGGCGTGTAACTTACCAGGTATCGCGTTGAAGTGCCATCCCAACCATCATAACATGTCATGGGAAGAGGCGGTACAAAAGTATCGCTCTTCTAGCCCGCTTCAGGAGCTCGCAACTCTGGCTGGGCGGCCAATAAGTCCGGCCCCAAGCCAGATGAGGCCACCTCCTCCCCCTTATGCTCAAAACTCGCAGGAAATGGACGTTGATCCCCCAGCTGCTCCCCTTAATCCACGGACCACTTCAGGTCGGACGTCTCCGAACGAGACGAGGATTAACAGAACACCCCTTCCCTCTGGACCCAGGATAGATAGGCATCTCTCGATGCCGAGCCCTCTTACAGCGTCTCAGTCACCGTACTCGATACCGCACCTTGGTTCAGTCAAGCACGACCTAGAAGGCATAGCTTCCAAGATTCTCTCTTCGCCATATAGGAGTCGTTATTCTAATGTCTACGCGCTCCTAATCTATTGGCAAGACGAGCATGAATCGAGCATAGCAGGGGCTGTGGAAGAGCTGGCCGAGGTGTTCCAAAAGTGTTATCATTATCTGCCTGAAATCATCAAAATTCCCTCTGCAGCACGAAATGGTTACTCTAACCCTTGGAGATGGCTGTCCAGGATAATCAACGAGTTCGTCGACAAAAGCGACACCAGGGACACTCTGAAGATCGTATATTACAACGGATTTAGCTATTTGGATGACAATCGAGAGATGGTATTATCAAGGTGAGGAGAGTGTTTTAGTTTCGCGTGGTGTAGAACCCGTTGTTGACAAGGAATTAGTTCCAGAAACCGAGAGAAAGGCGAAACAATCCGCTGGAGTGGCATCCAGCATATATTGGAAGAAGCCAATTCGGACACATTAATCCTCATGGACTCCATATACTATCCCGCGACAAAGATGGTCCGTCGAAGAGGTGTGCTGGAACTCATAGCAGCCTCGGCACCAGAGGATTATTACCATCTTCTCGAACGCGGCGTCTTCACCAGGGCACTAACGGAGCAGCTTCGCACACGAACAATCCAGCATTTTCCTAACACACTCTCAGCAGCCGAATTACATTCGAAGCTGCTTTCCCTCCTTCCAAAAATTATCCTCGACAGGCATCCAGAAAAGGGAGCGACGACGGCAATTCCATCCCCTTTGCACATGCAGACCTCGGGCAATGCCCGGTTACCTTCTATTACGTTATCACCACTGCCGCTACAACTCCCGAAACCGCTCTCGAACTCGGACACAAACCACGCAGGCCCGCAAGTGACGCTGCAAATCAGGCTCACGGACGAATCGCTTAGTCTCGAGAACTGGACCGAGTGGTTTCGGATGATGCCCGAAGGCATTCGTGACGTGAAAGTCGACGGTCCCTATACGTTTAGATGAACGACGGTGTACCGGAACTTGCTGGCCCTATCACGTCGTCTTGAATTTCTTCCATTTTCTTTCCTCATAAAGAATTCATTGGAGAAAAAAGCATCCTTATTTTTTTAAACAATCATGACGCTACGATCTACTCTCCCCTATATTCTATATATTTGAAGTTTTCATATCGGCCTAGTTCAAGGCAGGAATGAAGAATGGAATGGCTTTGTTGTAATTCTTGTTTTCTTGCTTCTCCGCCTACGATATCCGTGCTGCGCTAGAGTATTTTTACGACTCTCTGATAATGGACAACAATTCGCTGCATTCTCGTTTTCTTGCTCTTTGCGTTGTCACCTCGTTAAACAAGAATGTTTGATTCTTTTGGGAACAGGAAGTAAAAAGAAACAGAGAGAAGAAAAACTGGCTGTTTGGTATTGTTTATTGCTCAGTATCTCACGACAGAACAGATATTTCTTTTCCCCTGGCACTACTGAACTTACAGTTTCTCTTATAGAAAAAAAAGCCATATTCAACTATAACCGAGGAAAACCAACAGCTTGCAGTCTACAGCAAAGCTGCGAACCGGCCAAACCAGTTCTCGCGAAGCCCTCCCTCAACTAAGTGCAACGAGCTCCAAGAAAAGCTTCGCAAAGTCTTTCCCGTCCAGCAAGCCAATGTTCCACGCGAGTGCGGTTTTCCGTTCTGAGTCAGCCGATAAATAAAAAAGTAACCATAAAAACAAAAATTCCATAAAAAACGACCCAACCCCTGGATATTTTCCTGCAGAGGGAAGTAGACGAAAGAAAAGCAGTAGCAACGACATTACTCCAAGAGAAAAGGCAAGCAAAAAAAGAACCACACAAAATACCAGCACTGCACCGTAGTTCTCCTTCGTGCAAAATAACTGGGATTGATCTTACCGCCCACCCGCCCACCCGCCCGACCGAAGTCCGACTAACCGGGTGGCCAACCGCGTCTTATCTCACCTTCCATTTACCTATCAATTATCATCCACCTTTCTCCCTGACTCACATATTGTATATACAAGATATATACACATGTAAAGGACACAACATGCGTACGTACGTAGTAGCCTGCCCTTCTAGTATGTATGTATGCATGCTCTGCATACAAAATGGCGTACTCCATGGGAACAATTTGGGGTAGCAGTAGTAGCGTGTATGAATGTATCTACATATGGATAATTAGGTAGTCTTACCGTGTTACTGCTGCGTATCATGTATTGTATTTCTATGTACGTATGTACGAAAGAAAAACTATTGCTGACGTGCGTTTGGTACGTACGTGTATGTATGTGTGGTATCTATGATGCATATCTACGGTCTTCGCCTAACGGTACAGAATCCTACAGGCGTACCAAGCACCACAGCAAGCATTTTGGAACTTGATTGTACAAACGAGTGGTGTAGAAACATTTTCTCATGTCCAGGTCCATCATTGCATCCCACCGAGGTAAGGGAGGCGGTAAAGCGAGGTCAGAAGGTGTGATTGTGTGAGTTGAGAATCTCGATCGAGATTCCGGTAGATATCACCGGCGAGATATGATGTAGGCGATCGGTTCGGGGTGAAGAGATTGTGTAAGGGTCGGAGGAGAAGCTCCAAAGACTGGTCGAAGCTGGGCATTTTCCATCTCTCCCGCTCTCTACCTTTTTCCTATTCCGTTGTGTTCTTTTCTTTTCTTTTTCTTTTCTCTTCCTCTCTCTGTTCCTGATTCCTGTTTTCGCTTAGACCTCTTTGCCACCTGCTTTTCTCAGTCAGGTCGTATTTTTCGACCTCACCCGTTACTGACTCGGCATGATTATTGGAATCACGTCACGCTATCAACCGAAGTAGTACAGAGACGCATTGCATCCCGGGCAGACAAACCACAACAAGCAGAATGACACACCAGACAAACAAACAGACACGCAGAGAAACTGACCGACAGGCAGACAAATAGAAATAATCGTTATACGCGCCCCGGGCTGACGTGCAGGCACACCTACCACCAAGGCGGGATCGCTTCCCCTGTTTGCCCTCCACATAGCCTATCCATTGATAGCACACGATTACACAATATCTTTGCCCTCCTATCAAGCTATCTAGGTGTCTATTTTGCTAGCTCATCCCTCCTGACGAGTTACATGGGTACATGGCGTATGGGTGATACAAGACTTGCTTATTCGCTGGGTTAGGGATTCAGAAAAAGCAAAAAGAAAAACTGGCCTACGACAGGGTGTAGGAACAAAGGCAGAGAAATAAAAAAAAAACGGAAATATACCCGCCAATATCCGTCATCCTATCATTCCTCAACCAATCTCGATATTTCATTTGTCCTCCTGTCCATTCCATTCCCACCCCCTTCCTCTCCCAGCTTCCTCGCCCCCCCCTTCCCTCTTCTATCTTCCCCACCGATCGATCCCATGCCCTGTCGATGTTCCCCTGCCTGCCGGCCCTGCAATGCATACCAGCCCGCCCGCATATTCCTTTTCGATATCAGTCGGTATACAACAATATACCACAGGTACACTGTACTTGTCACTGCTGACCTAACACTCGATACACTGGGCGGCAAGTTCCGCTGTTACCTTGGACCTCGGCTTAGCTCGGGATGCCTTTCTTCCTTCCTACCTACCCAATCCTACCTACTTTACTCGCCGATAATCCGACCTATGACAATGCGTTTGACACGTACTCTCGCGTCTAGATCTGAAGCTAGTACACTAGTAAGGCTGAGTCGAGTTTCCTATTCTAACTCTCATTCTCAAATCACGATATTCTGTAGAAATATAAATGACTAATAGTAAAAGGCCTGACTGATACTTCTTGTTCGGGATACTAGAAAAGGAAGTCAGTTGATACATCTGAAGAGAGTGCTTTGATCCACTCACACAACACTACTCGTATGCTTCGTTATCGTTATCATGATGAAGTGAATACAGAATGTGTAGATCATACATACTCCGAGAGATCCCCGACAAATGAACAACCTGTCCAGCTACGATTATATTATAAAACTTACTGAGTGTTCAACGTACGTGGGGCTATATAATAACCGTTAGACCGCTCGAACGTCTAACGGCGTCGTTTTTGACGTTCGAGACCAAGTGCTATGGATAACCCTGAGGGATTAAGTATTACAGTAACACTTTGTTGTTGGCGCGAAGTCTAGATGGTTAAGAGTTAGTGGTATTGAGACTCCTTTAATCTATGCACTTTCAGTTTCTATGATCGCCCAGATCCCTAACACCAAGCTTCAGACTATATGAATAGATCGCTACCTGATCTCTACTAGAAAGTGTACACGTTAGCTTTGTATGGAAAAACCCAGTTTAATTACTACGTGAGAAGTGCGCGCTATCACTATGGCATCTATCAAGACCAATACGGATACCTAAGATAAAGCTCAGTAGTCAGCCGCAAGCAACTCAGTAATACCATTTATCAGGGGTCTAGAGAGGGGAGAACAAAGAGATACATCGTATATGGCCAGAGAAGTCTGAATGCCTTCAGACTTTCGACCTCTTCTAGACTTTGTGCTACAATTAGAGTTTTGCTATATATCTTGTACATCCTTTCCGACACCATGTATTAATCGAAAGACCGCTGGCGCAGTCAATTAAGATAAAATTAACTCAAGAAATCATCAGAGGTCGCGTGCAAGTACACGGTAAAACCATGATTGTTACACGAATTTCTAAAGGCTAAAATGAGGATATTGAGGCTCCTTCTGACTATATATGCTTTCAAATTATCTCTGATCCTAGCAGAGATTCAGAAATACATAGGAAACTGTCAGGATTTGGAACAAGGGAACTGGAGGTATTAGTTAGAGGGAACCTGGACACAGTCACTCTTGACCTTTTAGACTTCGCGCGCACAACAATAAAGACTTATACGATCCCTGATAGAAACGCAGTTCAGCAAGGTTTACACCTGAGCTCACAGAATCTCGTAGTGTCTGACATAAGTAATTCAACGGATTATTCTATTTCGTAGATGAGAAAGGGTATAAACAGAAGTAGCAGCCGCAATAGTGCAAACCCATTCGCTTTTCTTTCCAACACTCTACCAGATGACACTATCGGTCTTCTTCTAGCAATGGAGGTACGCAATTCAAAGCAAAAAGGACAAGAGGGGAATTCGTCGAACCCCGAGCTAAATAAAAATGGCCCCCGATGATGAGATTCTGCCGTACTAAAATTCGTCGTGGAAGGAGAAATATACAAATAAGGGTATAGTAAGTAGTATGCAACATCTACCCCATCTATTTATAATGCAAAGATGCTTGGATGCAAGATTACAATGCAATTGCTAATACAGTAGCAATGCCGACGACACCCCAGACCAACCCTCCCGCCTCCACGCTCAAGCCGGCGCTGATGATGGCCTCAGGGTTAAACTCGCCAACGGACGTGGAGTCCGTGGTCCCGTTCCAGCAGTACCGCTCGAAGCACGACCGGCAGGTCTCAGGGATAGCGGTGCCCGTGCGTTGGAGACTGCGGCTCAGCACAGCACAGGCCGCGCACGCGGGCCATTGCGCGTCGACGGTGCCGTTACCCATGGTCGCTACATTGTAGCCGTTCTCGATGAACGCGTTGCGGTCGGCGTCCGAGTACGTCGGGTCGAAGGTCGAGGCGTTACTGTACGCTGTATACGGCGTGAGCGGGACGTACACAATCAGTGGCGGGATGTTCGCATTGCTGTCATTGCCTGTGAATTCAGAGGTATTGCATCCGAAGAACGTCGGCTTCTGGTTCAGACCCAGGTTGATGAAGGTCTCAGCGTCGGGCACTGCGGGGAATTTCGTCCCATTACCGATCTCGCCTTGACTGCGTTCGTACGAGGCGCGCAGAGCCGTGCCGTTGGGGAAGTTGTGCTCCGTGTCGGCCGAGGAATCAACGGCGAAGATGACGTCGACGGCGCGAATGGGTTGAATTAAGGGATGCAGGGGGATGTTTTGTAGATCCTCGCCGCCGTCGATGAGGGTGAGTAGCTCGGTGTTGGCATTTCCGTTTGTGTCTGGGTGATACTTGTAGAAGGGGTTAGGCCTCCACTCAGCAATGTCGTCCTCATCGCTGCCGATACTCTCGAGAATAGATGTGATGGGGTCGAGGATAACATCAGGTAGATCAGCACCTCCTGCCTGGAGAAGGATCTGGTTGAATAGAGAGCTGCTTGTTCCCATCACATATCCGTACTGATCGAAACCTCGAACACATACGCCATCGTCGGGAACTGCACCATTGCTAAAGTTGGAACCCACGTACTTCATGGGTGCGAAGCCAAAAACGGTGGGATCGAAGCTTCCCATTTCCCAGGGGTTGAACTCATAGACGGTCGAGTTCAGGGAAATGATGGTTTCGCCAGGATGACGCTCATCTGCGACCAAGATCGGCATGGGTGTATCGGCGTTGGCGAAATTAGCTGCATCAGCAATGGACGAGAAAGTATAACTCGGACCACCATCTCTGTCGTTGATGAGCTGGTAAGACAGTGCACGTCCCCAGTAATCAGTAATTGAGATGCCATAGCCGGCCTTACGCTTCTCATCGACCTGATCGGCTATGTCATACCAGTACTCTGCCGTATTCAGAATGGAGAGGCCACTGTCCTCGGGACCTTGAATAATGTTGTTCCCAAATTTCCAGAGAGATGAGCCATCTTCGCCATCGCGTAGATCAGGGATGGTTGAGAAGTTGTTGGCGAATATGGAACCGACAAGCCATCCGCCGCCCGACAGGCCGGCCAGATAGGTGGAAGCCTGAAGGAGATTTCCAATACCACCAGCGTCGGTTGAGCCGGGCGTCCGAGCGTCAGCTGCGGCGATGAACCCGGCGCCGTTCAGCAGGGCGCGATAACCACCTCCGGACACGGCAATGCCGACATTCGGGACGACGGAAAAGTTGTTCGAGTTGGACTGGACGTAGTTTACGGCATCAAAGTCGGGAATATTGGCCAGCTTGAAGAATGACTTCATGGGATCGAGGGTATTGGGCCGGCGCTTTTTCAGCCATGCTGTCTCGGAGGGTGACAATGTGGCGGCATCTCGGATGGTGGGCTTTTGTGACGGACAGTCGACGGTAGCGGGCGCATAGCCACCGGAGGGGCCATTCGGCGTCGCACGGCGCAACAAGTCGCCGGCTAACGCTTCTCGAGATCGCACATCGGAAATGGAGTCGCTCGGCGCGCCGAGGACCGTGGGAACAAGTAAAAGGAACGACAGAGGGAGTGTTGCTGCGGCGGGTATGGAGCGCATTCTCACGGATACTGTTGCTGCTCTGTTACCTGCTCTGTTACCTGCCTCAATCCGGAGGGGTCGGGTAACGTGTGACGGAGTAGCGGAGTAGCGGAGTAACGGTGATCTATTAAGGCAGAATACGAAGGTGAATGCGAAATTAGAAGGGAAAACGACAGAATTACAGGAAATTGAGTACGGCAGAGAGAGAGAGAGAGAGAGAGAGAGAGAGAACGAGACACACGAGCAATCTAGAAAAAAACCGAGAATGAAGCTAAAAGAAAAGAAGATGATTGACGTTGTTGGATGCGACGAGCGAAGGACTTGTTATTTCTACGTGGTGCCACGGCCCAATTTAGTGTACGTAGTGTTCTCCAGATTTAAGGGCTGAGGCAGTTAGGGGGGACCCTTGGATGCGGGCTGTTGCGTCAGAGGTTGGCAGGCAGTTGTACCTGACCTTAGCTTACAGTACCGGTAGGCGAGCTTAGGCTAGCAGTTAGTGAGGTCTGTACGCTATCCTATAGGTAAACGGACCCCTACCACCTACCCAACTAGGCAGTGTAAAGTACCCGCGTACCTGATTGCTACGTGCTTAGCTCGAGGCAGACTGACCCGAAAAGATAGATGTTGTGGTTACTCTATCATACGTACGAATCTAGTACGAAGGTCCTACTTTGTAGAGGAGATATACATAAGCAGGGATCCTGTTGTGAATACCCCGAACGGATACGTGGATACGGGCTCTTCCCATTGGCTGCGCCATCAAACAATGTCTTGTCAGGAGCCGATGCTGTATGTCGACAGGGCTTAGATAGCAGACGAGGAACTAAACTAACAAAAATCAACAACCCATGTGCCGACAGCCGTCTTGGAAAATGCCAATTCACATGTATCAAGAAGAAGTCAGGTTCGGCATTCCATCATGTGTCTATATCAGGAGCTGCTATTGTCTTTCCTTTCCGCATGGGCCAATATCTATCTTGTTGGGCATCTCCCAATATTTTAGTCAACCAACTTGAAACGCCTCCAAAATAATTGCGACCTTATCTGACAACTCGCATCACGGGGAGTTCGAGAAGCTATCGTCAGGATGCTAGGAACAGGGTCCTTCTTACCGCAAAAGGAAGAGGATTTCAGCTCCTGTGCTGAGGCGGTGTTTCACTCTCCAGCGCAAAAGATGGGTCGGCCGATCAACATCTGTACGTCCAGCACGTCAAGCACGTCAAGCTCCATCGTCTCATTATAAATACCCTGCGCTTAACTACTTCGATGCACTTGACTGGGTATCCCGAACGGTGCTGGCGGGCGGATATGCATCCCTACATTTTTAGCGGCTTGGCCATTTTATGCCCGCAAAACATCATGAGCATCATCTTGGTAGGCATTTACTAAGTAATTGGCATAAGACCTGGGTCTGACCTGTTGAGAATATTGAGTCTTAGTGTACAGAAAATGTTAGATTAATTGCTGTACAGTCCTACTATGTAAGCAGTATGCCACAAAGATGTGGAGTATATACTTTATGCGCCGTTCCTGGCCCAGTAAAGGCCAACATCAGAAGCTGAGCCACGCCAACACATCTGATGATATGATATGGGTTCGTGACAGCTGGGAAACATTCCGAGCCTTCCGAACTAGCCTATACTAGCCACTCACCTAGTCTCTTCGCTTGAGTCAACCTTGCCACCAAAGGCCACCCAGAGTACGTGTAGGTTGGAGCTTCGGCATTTCCCTTTCATAGTACCAAATTCAAGGTAGGACTTAGCTACCGAATCCCGACGCAAGATATCCATCTACACTACTGTAGGTTCTGGCGGATATCCCGCTTTACACTACCGGCAGACCAGGCGCCCAAGTTAAACATAGGCTCAAATACGCGGACATGTGGGTTTTGAGTTGTGGCCGGGGACCAAGCAACCTACCGCGAGTCCAGAGATGTTCGGGTCCTCGGTGTCCGAACTGTCCCTGGAAACCCCTCGCATCGTTATGCACGGACTTACAGGAGGTTGAACTGCCCGAGATCTATTGTACGACGTTAATAGTCACGTGCTGCGAACGACCCTGGATTTCACTCTGCCACGACTGAGACCAAGCGCTGTTGATTCCCTTATTGCCTTATTGATGATGCTGTCTATGGTCTTCACTAGCCATGCTGGTGCATGACTACAGTAAATGAGAAGTGGACTCAGATATCTCCAATCACTCGGGACACTTGACAGGCTCCCATCCTACGTTTAGTAAATGATCTCCTAGCAATTTCAAGTCGCGGATCAGGAGGAGACAGCCTACCCTGAGCCACGTACCTAGCATCACCGCCCAAAGAAATATGCAACTCCCAGAACAGACAAAGGAGGTACTTAGTATATGATATCAGGTACTTATGGGATAGCTACATGTAGGGCTCATGTAACAACAAGAGCCATTCACACCCCTATACTTAAGGTTGTGACATCCCGTATGCCCCCTTTCCCGATACCGAGCAATAATATACGAACCCAAAACCGGAGCTTTATATTCTATATTTCTTTCTTTTTCTTATTTTTTCTTTTCTTCTGAGCATATATTGGGGCGTGTTGGCTTACCGACCCTACCTAAAACCCCCTCCCCGAAGCTTGCGTTCCTCTTTATTAGGGTACATGAATGGTATTAAGATTGAAATGCCCCTGGGAGCGAGCTAAGCGCGGATATCAGTACGTCTAGAACGCCTCATGCAGAAAGGAAGATTTGATAAGATGCCACGAGTGCTGTCGCAATCAGCACACTAACAGAGCTAGTTTGCCCAGAACGCACTCCCCCGACGAGAGTCACATACAGGCAGAGCTATTAGCTATCGGTAAGATGTATATAATAGCCAGAGTGGCCTCGACTCATGCGTGCTTTTGCTCGAAACGTGCGTCGAATCACTCGAAATGAATTAAGAGCCGACTAAACCAAGACTGGGGGGTCTCTCTGCCCACAGTCTTTCCAAACGCCATTTTCCTTGATTGTATAATAGTCATAAGGCGGGCTCCCTGGATCTCGAAGGGTTTCGTGTGATGGGTTGTATCTCTTCACCCAGGTTGAGTCATTGAAGGACCATGTAGGTTCCTGAAACGGGTCATTCCATTGTATTGTTGCGCTTTTCAGTAAATGCACGGTGTATTTGTACATCACGTAAATGCGTATCTGATCTTTAGAAGGGTTGAAGAAGCCAAACCCCGAGAACAGAGGGGGTTTGTTCCAGAATGCAAGTTGGTCGATTTCTTGTTTAGGTGCTATAAGAGTACGCGTATAGCGAAACCACAAAAGTCGGTAATGGGGCATGGCATATTGCCGCATCTCCCGACATACGTGGGCCATCTTTGGAATTGGGAAGCCTAGCTGATTGTAATGTTGATAATTGAATTTTGGCTTGATATGCCGGGTTTGGCTGGGAGGATTAGGATGGGTTTTCAGCGGAGGCCATGCAACACTAAAGTCAAAATTTTGAGCAGCTGGCATTGAGACATCATAGATCATAACCCTGATATTTTGTGGCAGTCGTCCCAGCATTCCGAGGCTAGACGTTGCAATCGGATGGTCTGGTGTTTGGTGCTCTGAGAAATTGTACCATTTCCGTGTGTATATCTGCGCCAGAGTTAGTAATTGGGAGATAGGGAGGGGGTTCACCTCATGTTTCGGGAGTTTTATGCAGGAGTAATGAGGCCCGAAACTGCTTAAAGGGGAAAGAAATGAGTCCGGAGACCTAACCTGAATGTTAAAAGCCACAGGCTTGCAAATACCGGTAAAGTGACATAGTAATCGCACGTCATCGCCCGTATACGGGTCCTTCTTGGTAGGATTGCTATCCATTGAATGTAGTAACAGAAATATCTTGCCAGATAGATCTCTGGATGTGGGTTAAAGTGTCATCGGCATACGGAGACTAGGGGAACACAGGAGAAAAGGAAGAAACACCGCCAATGCCTCGCACTTGGCGTACCGGAGTTTATATAAAAAAAAAAGCATATCTGCATATGCACACTATGGCCAGCTTTCATGCTGTGAGAGCATTTGTGACAATATAAGGTATTGGCCTACCTGGCCTAAGAACTTAAGTAAGTACGTACGTAAAGCTGAGTAGTCAGCGACGTGCTGGGTATACACTAGGTAGGCACCCGAGGACCAAAAGCAGTAGCATTGATATTGTAGCTGGGAGCAGGTTTGTGTCAGTCCAGATCTTATTTTCCAGTTTGTATGGGTAGTGTAGTGCGTTCCGATACCATAGAATCACCTTCCCAATCGATGAAAGGGGGTATAGGCTTTGCAAGAAACTTCATGTATTGCTGGAATATGCCTAGACGTGTGGACTAGATAAGCAGCTTCTAACGCTAGGTAAGCCATATGCAAAGCTACTATGCGCATCTAATCATCAGTTGGATCAGTGACAGCCGGCGAACTCCTATGTGCCTTTCCCTCTATTTCTTTTCTTTTCTTGTAATCAATCCTTTCATACACCGTAAGTTTGAACTCCAACGTACTGACTCTTCCAGTCCTTGTATGGTCCTAGCCCGGTGTCCCTGGGTTATCCAGCTGATGTGTTTGAAAGTGGCATGCCCATTCTGCAATAGTAGAAGTGTCTTCTAACTACAGTGTGTTCTTGATATCTAAACCTGCAGCAGAAAACGTGGAGGATGAAGTCAGGTCGACAACAAGAGAATTATATGCATTTATTCATCCATAGGCATTATCAGACAATACTCTTTTGCACAGACCGTTATATTGGTCGTTCTTGATACGAATCGTAATTTGAACGTTACTATTGAGGTATTTTCCCAACGCCGGATGGTTACGCCTTTTCGTTACCGCGCATACGCACATCAAGTAGCGGAGGTAAAATAAAAAGAAACTAGGTTCCGGTGAATTCCAAGTTCGCAAGGGGTGGGGGTAGAGGCCGAATTATGAAGACTGTCAATAATTTCAACAGCCAACGCCCACCGTCCGTTGTAATGGTATGTGCTCCTAAACTCCACCAAATGTCTAAGATCCCATTGTTCGTGTTGCTTCTGCCCAAAGTCAAATGTCATTTCTTTTATACATCATGCCTTCCTTCATGGCTTTGGCTCCGTATGGATAACTGGCGTCGGAGCTATCCTTCGTTTCTTTGGCTGGGCACTAGTATCTTCTTTTTCATCCTCTGCTGCGTTTCTCTTCGCGCCGACAGCGATATTAGTGCTGCCTGGTGTCTCTGGTGGAGTTGCGATTGGGATTCCCGTCACTTTGCCTGAATTAGTGGCCGTAATGCTAGGTACACTTCCGCCGATCAGAGGTGGATTATTCATGACAGAAGCCTGCGTCGCCACTGACGATGTTGAGTTCGATCTTGTTGGCGACGGCGGCCGAGCACCCACGAAAGACGTCGTTGGTGGCGGTGAAGGAGCTGTAAACGAAGCGCCTGAATTCCGATGCTGGTGATTAGGGAAGGGGGAAGGTGGTGCAAAGACTGAGGTTGGAGTGGGGATCGGTGTTGCCTGGTTGGAGGCAGTACTAGCTGCCATCGACGAAGAGTTTTTGCCACTCAACAACTCCCCCTTGTATTCTTGGCCTAACTCTCCTGGGGTAAAGGACAAAGTTGAGCAAAATCCATCCGATGAGGAGATCAATAGCGTGGAGCCATCGCTGGACCTAATAAACTATTAGCTATGGGTGCCAAGAGAACAAAGTAAAGTGCAAAGCGCTAACCAAGTTAAATCAGTGAATGTAGCGAGATGTAAATTGCTAACAACGCAAATGGGAGTCGTCTGCTGTGTATCATAGATAAGAACGGCATCTTGGGTTGCCACAGCATAAACAACTCGGTATGGCAACGCAAATGTCGGCTTAGGTCCAGGTGTAGATGCATTCGTTTCTATGTTGAGAGGGTTTGAAGGTGTGGACTTTTCTGGATCGGGTGCCGAAGACGTTGGTGGTGGAGGTGGGTCCATAATGGTAAGAGAAGGTTTAGATATAGGCTCAGGAAGTGCTGGGATTGGGTCTTCAGCGGAAGAGGTATCTATGGTAATATGTTGGGTGGTAGGCGGACTTTGTCGCAGAGTGTAAAGGATAGGAGAGCATCTGATAGCAACAGAGGGCTTCTTATGACCAGGCAAATGGGCAATGGGAGGCTTGTTGATACCGCCTCGCGTATAGATATAGACGGTGTTAATCACCTCAAATGTGGGCTTCAGGCCATCTGTTTGATGCTGGACTTGATATTGACCAGCAGGTGTGAGGAGAAGGCTACCGTCTGGTGTAAATGTCAAACGTCTGAAGAACGACGTCAAAGTCTCATTTGCGTAGAGGTTCGCATTTTTCATCCCCATACTGCCGCTATAACCTGGCTTAGGAGAAGCCTCGGCCGCCATGGGCATCACCGCAGGTAGTGGCAATGATGGTGCTGGTGATACGGAACGACGGGAAGAAAACGATGACCGTCTACTGTGACTAACTACACTAGGTGGATTCATTGGTAGAGGTACAGACTGTGGTGTGCCCGGCGCCGATAACACCGGGGAGCCAATAGATGTTGAAAGAGTATCTGCAGCAGCTGCAAGCTGGGTGCGGTAATTCATATCGGGGGGTGCTGGACTGTTGGATGAGATGCGGCGAGGAGGCAGATCCATTTTGGCGTGACTGGCTACTTTTGGTGTCTCGGCGCCGTGGCTTGTCAGCGTATACTGGCCGTCTTTCGTCTTTAGGGAGTATATATGGACAGATCTATCAGAGGATTGGGTCGCGATATACTCATTCAAGGGGTCCCAAGTGACGCCCTGAACATAATGACTGTGTTCGGCGATCTGGCGGACGAGCATGCCTAGGCCATCATTAGTCTCCGCTGTATGTGGATTTGATTCGAGGAAACTTACCTGTACCAGCGTTGTAAATGCGAGCAACATTGTCCATGCTGCCAATGATGAAGTAAGTAGCATCCGGGGACCAAGCGAGGTCGTAGATCTCGGAACCGGTAGGGCGGAACATGTGCTTGGTACGCCATGTCTCCTTGTCCTCTATGCCCTCGTTACCAAAGGTTGTTGGATTATGAATCTCGGACGGAACCCATAATATCACGTTGCCATCGTCTCCAGCGGATGCAAGGGTCTCGCCTTTGGGAGCCCAGCGAACCACGTTCACGGCCTGGGAGTGTTTTGCCAGCGTGGAAAGGTACTCAACGCGACGGTCCTCGCCGTCGCCCTCGACTTTCCATATGCGGACGCTGTTGTCTCCGCCTCCTGTAGCCAGCCTCCCTTTTCCATGTGGCTCGAAGTGGGCGGAATAGATGGGGGCATTCTTCTCATGCCAATTGATAATGAGGGGAGTGGACTTCATGATGGCAACGCCTCAAAAAAGTGTAGGCATGGGATAAATGACCGGTGGGTTGATGCAGCGGTGCGGGAGGAGGTTGAAGATTGGGAGATGCTGGAGTCGGCAAGAGACGAGAAGGGAGGTTGGATATGGAACCACAAGTTGAGTTGAGTTGAGTCGAGTCGAGTCGAGTCGAGTCGAGCCGGGCCGGGCGTAGTCAGGTGTCGTAGAAGAACCCCAGCTCGATTGAAATAGCTCGTGCGCCTCGGGTACGTTTTGACGTCGGTAGGAGGTGGTGATGGAGCCTGGTGCTCTTGTAAGCCCAGGGACTTTGTGTGGGAAACGGCACTGTAAATGGAGACGTGATACAAGAACCCTGCCTGGTAGATAGGGTTTTCCAAGGGGGGAGGACGAGACAGAGAAATGTGCAACCGCAGCGTGCTTGGCGCAGTTGAAGTTTGGCAAAGCACCCAGGGTCGAACTCGAGGGGTCGCGAAAACAAGTAGGCGTCGTCAGGATTGCGGGTGGGAGTGCGGGACGAGGCAACAGAGGCACGGCGATAGAGGCACGCACGAGCTTCACGATTATAGCGGGTCGCGGGTCGGATAGTGGTTAGAGGCGGGTAGGTAGGTCGCTGGCTACATGTAGACGATGAACATTACCGACTGGGTAACAAGAGCAGGCGGGAGGTGATGAAGTTACAATGATGAATACCGATTGAAGCAGGAGATCTGAATTGATGGACTTTCTCATTTTCGTTCTGTCTCATTTCCGTTTGTTGATCAGGTACCTAACCCGGCTCAGAGGTACCTAGCCTTTCTGTTGGCTGGAGAATATAGGTAGGCATCCCCTAAGAGGTAGTGCTATACTTGGCTTGCCTCGCCTGCCTATGTAGGTACCTATGTAGGTATGTTTAGGTAAGGGAGTTACTGCCCTACATGCATGTACCGTAATGTAAGGGATACCGGTCGAAACCAACTTGAAGCATCACGTATAAGAGCGTCCCGCAAGCTTCTGGCTCGCATGTGGCTTATAGCATGAGGTATTCACGCCCTCTCTTTCGTTCTCTCATCCCATCTCGTCTAAATCTCACCTCTTTTGAACCTGCCGTGGCTTTAATTTGCTAAAGGAAGCTATGTAGTCGCTGATTGGAAGAGTTCTTAGGAGAACTCTCATGAGTCTGTCTCACTGGTAGACTTCCATTGCTTCCAAAAATGCCATTCAATGCAGTGTTAATCCATCCCCTCCCAATCACGTCTTCCCCAGCCAACATCTTCGTCGGATGTTCATGTAATAGCTTCCTGCCGGGGACTCTTACTGAGCCAACCCCTATACACACATTTGACCAGAATCCATGCTAAATCAATACTGTAGGGTTGTTCAAGTCATCTTGCTACCTTTTCACACGATAGGTGCCGCCGCATTGAAAGCTCTAGTCTGTTGCAGGATGATAACGCCAATATTGGGTTACCAATAACCGGCTTATCTATGTAGACAGACGCTTGGTGAGGAGCTACTCTGCCTAGATACTGCCAGGCGGGAGGCAAAGCACAGCAGACCGGTGAAAATAGTTAAACTTTATGACTGCGGATTGCTGCAACGGTGTTATTCCGTCGAACAGTTGCTGACTGGGAAGAGCGCCCGTTGTATACCTTTGAAGAGTTACCGAGATAAACTCAAGCTTCTTTCCCGTGCAGCGATACCATGCTTCATCGACGAGCTCAATTATGGATGAAGAAGACTACTAGACCAGGTACTGACTCAAACACGTTAGCAACCCATGCTATAAGCACTCTGTACAAGAAACCCCATCGTTGAACAGTCTTCCTCAACTGCAGACGCGGTATGGGGGCTTTGAATCAGATGATCGAGGAGTTAAGTAAACAGTAGGTATGCTGACTGTCACCCCCTACACAGAGGTCCTTGGTTCCGGCTACACCCACCTCATGACCGATCCAAATTATACTTTCCTGTCAGCTCAACCCTTTTGCGGACTTCGTCTTACATGTCTGCGGAACCTAGTACAACTCCAAGAATCACCTTGACCATTACGGACGCACCCGGGGAGAATACCTTTCTCCTGTGCTGGACTCAAAAGACTACTCTCTATATGTCTTATATGTGGAAAGTCTGTGCCTAATAATATAAGAGAAATTGCGTTCTAAGAGGTGCTGCGTGCTTTCCCTAAGCATGATATAACGAGTCTACCTGAGCGCTGGCGGTTATAGAAGTGCATCCATCAGGCATACCAACATACTGAGGGTAAAAAATTCCTAGGATGTATCTGTAGGCACTACTCATACCGCCATAACCCTCAGACGGATGGCGCGTTTACCGAGGTCGCATTCGTACAAATCAGCAGTGTCTTAGACTATAATATCCCCCAGCTTGTTGTGTATGGCTGATAACACACTGCTATGTGGAATGGCTGAGTGGCGTGTTCGAGGATTTGGTCGGCAAACACGAAGAGCTACAACGGAAATATGACAGTAGAGAAATTGGTTCACTCTGGTCACCCTTCTTGGATCAGCAATAGAAACGAGCAGCATAAAACCTCTGGAAATTTGCCCATGATACATCAATCAGGGTGTTGGCATGGCGCTTGTAGATTTTCGGTAGAACTACCTGGGCAAACCAAGCACCTCCGCTTGAGGTTTGTGCTCCTCACTGCACCGTTGTTCTCTGACCTCAAGTCAAATCAGCCACTATAGGTAGTCACAGGTAGTCATGTGAGATGATTTCTTTGAGTACCGGTACTTTCCGTATCACTTCAACAGACTGACGCCACGTATGAAACACATCTGCCTACCTAGGTTCTCGTGCCATTGAGAGTCTCCTCTTTATACATAGTTGATAAGATGTTTTACAGAGCAACATCGACGTTGAAGCCAAGGCAGGGGGGTAAGTTGGTCGAACGACCAAAGCTCAACTCAATATCATCAAAGCTCTCTAGGTACCCTCTCAGCCGAGAATGAACATTAATGCCGCAGTCAGGTGGCCTTCGTTGCATATTTTGCCTCAATTCATTGCGACTTCGACTTTATTTTAGTCTTTCTCCCTCTCGTTCTGTCCCTCAGGCCATCGTCTTCCGATGCCTACCAGGTATACTATCAACTGCTCCATGAATCAAAGGTCTCCGTGCGTTGAGTCACAAATCGCACGGTAGACACACCGCAGATTAGATGTACTCCATCGTGCACGTCCACAGACTTGGGCCATCTGACTGGCCGAGATATCACGGCGAAGCTAAACTGCTCCACCGTAGGGCGGTGTATGCCTATATATCCAAATTCCCCCTTCGATCTGCTGTGGTGGCATAGCATACCGGACCTATACTTACCATTTACAGTATGTAACATCCCGCTATCTTGATCATCATTGGGTCAACAGCGCATCAGACAATGGCAGTGGTGATGACGTTGTTTGAAGAACTAGTTTCGAACCTGCACTTGGTAAGGAGGAGCTCGATTGGCCCGGCGTTCGGTCTCGAACCGGCGGCTCTCGCCTGCCCGCATCGAGAACGCCTTCACTGTAACCATTGTTGCGACTATTCTCGCCATGCATCTCGTCGAGCAGTCTCGGAATTAGCCAAGGACAGAACAAGCATGTATGTGGTCAGAACCTATTGCTTTTGTACTTACCAAGTACATGTATGGATGCAGCGATGATCAAATACCTTATCTAGATGGGTATAGCATCTACCGGTAGTGTCAAAAAGCTTTGACTCGTCTGCCTGCTGTACACTAAGAAGCCCATATCTTAGCTTGCCAAGAAGAGGTTAAGATACTGTCATACTTTTAGTTCAGCTCTTAGGCCCAGCAGCAACAGGTTCGCTCCCTCAGAAAGCCAGAAGTCATCTACATACATGTACGTGTACTACCTCGATCCCTCAGTTCTGCTTTGGGGGGAAAGCAGACAAATGAGGTTGGTTGTTTCTACCCAAGAATTCATCCCATCTGCCGTCGTCGCGGGTAGCCACAGGTACACTACAGTAGCAACGTGGGTGTTACTGCTACCTGAGGCACCCCGTCCCGAGATCTGGTTCTATCCGACCTGGCGTTCGATAATCTCCGCACCACGCTACCTGCCCTCGGCCGAAGGCTCCGTCATGCTAACCTAGTGCTGATGATGCTGCCAAGCGCCGACAGGTCGTGGGTTGGCTGTTCCGGTGCATCTCTCATGTTTGTTGGCTGTACTGACGAGGACAATGCTAACCTACTAGCTGCCCATTACTACCTAACTCGATGACATGCGTGTGCATACGCGTAGGTGGTAGGTCGATACTGTGGTAATCTGTCATCCGTCCTACCCAATTTCGAGGCGTATACTCGTAGTATATCGACGGCTGGCGGCATAGGGTAGCAGCAAGTAGGAATGTCAGACTGAGTTGCAGAGGGAGAGAGAGAGCTTTACTGTAACACTGCGCCGATGCAAATCTCCATCGACATTGCTCCTATCCATGCCCATTATCAGCACTAGAAGAGCCAGGGATGGGTAGTATGATAGTGACATTGAGCAGACAACGAGCTTCTCGTTCAGGATTTTGCTTTGTAATATGCTGTCTGAGTCCAATGCGCTAATGTAAAAAGTCATAGCTAGTCGTGCAAATAGTCATAATGTATTGATTGCATGTAGTTTTTTTTTTGTTTTTGTTTTTTTTTTTCTCACTCCCCTTTCAACTTCGTCATTCTCAATTTTTTATCCTGCAAACTCTAGTTGCACTGTGCAACCATCTCCAGCTACCTATCGAGCTAGGTATTAGAAAAGATCAGGCCGCGAGCCAATGAACCCCTGATTTCCGCCCTGGTTCAGTTCGCGATCAACCCTGGTCACAAGAGACCCTGGTCGTGCCCAGGCGGGCAAAAAGCGCCCACATCTATCGACATCTACACTACTGAGCAACTAGCACGACTGCACGTCGAAGCTGAGTTTGCCTCTATTGGAACCGGTACATTGGAACCCAAGCTGCTTGGCATCCTGGTCGGAGCAGAACTGGTGGCAAGCTGGAGCTGAAGGCGGGCGCTCGAGGACTAGCAGACACGGTAATTTAAGTCGGGCGAGCTCCCTCCCTCGCCCAGCACGCGCCCAGTGCCCGCTCGTCGTTGGCACTATGACTCAATCGGCGACCAGGTATTACATGTAATTCGTAGTACGTATATGTATGTACGTGTAGGTGGGAGGCAGAGGTCCTAGGCGACACTAAAGATCATCGTTTAGCAGACTGTTGGTTCGCGTCTTGAAGTTTGCGAGTCATATCTCGAGTCATATCTGCTTGACTGTCCCATCATCGCAATCCTTCGTCGCTTATACTCCCGCTTCCTGCCCACAATCGTCCCGCCAAGCCTGTGATTCACGCCGCCCTTTGCTAAACTTGGGCCTCGATTGCGTTACCCCGTCACTGAACACAGTCAGTCAGTCAGTCACCCAGTCGGTCAGTCAGTCAGTCAGTCAAAGTTAGCTCGACCGTGGTGGCCTTACCACGACACCCGGTTCTGCCTGATGGCTTAATATTGCAAACACCCACCTATCGAACAGTCGTCTTTCGAATTCCCTCGAATCAATTAGTTGAATGCCTTGCTCTCGCCAGGTCTCACCGTTAGAAGCTGCCTAGATCCCCGGCCTCTGTTCCCCTTCGGGCCCTGTCTCCCTCGCACTGCGCATTGCTTGGAAGATGTCAATCGCCATGTCCGACGATAAAGAACTGCTCGCTTATTCCAGCCTCGGCTTGGGCGTCGTGGCTGCATTGTCAATTCCAGCCGCGGCTCATCTCGTCAAACAGATAGGCAACCGATCCCTTAAGACTGAAGGTTACGAGGACAAGGATGGCCAAAGCACCGAAGAGGCTGTCAAAGCCTTCAGCAACAAGCTTCCTAAAGTGTCGATATTGGTACTTTCAATAACCGGGTTTTGTATTTCAATCGCCACCGCCGTTCTTACGACACTGAGCCCTCGAGGTGAAGGCGATGGTTTGTTTCTGGAAAACTGGCTGGCCATGCCAGCTTGGGTAAGGAAAATAAATGCAACGGCCCAATTTCTACCAATGGCCTGCTGACATGGTTTGGTAGGCTCTGTTGACCCTTCAGGCTGTCTGCATTGCAGCTAGCCGAGATTCGGTACAGGCATACAACCTGGGAATATATTCCATGCTCTCTTGTGTAACACTAGCTACTGTCTTGGCTTTCCAAGATAACCAAATCGCCACTCGTCTGTGGAAGCACGATGGGCTTGCTTTTGCTATTCGTGCTGCTGAGATCTTGACTATCATCTGCCTAGGTTTTGTGAGCTTGATGCTCCCTCGCCGGCCTGACGTTTACTATGAAGGCAAGCTTGTCGACCAACTCTACACAGTCTCCGCTTGGAGTAGATACAATTACAGTTGGGCAGCAGGGATTCTACGGCTAGCAACAAAGAAGAAGAACCTAGATTTGGCCGATCTCCCAAGACCCAATCAGTGGGTGAGATCCAAAGATGTCACAGCTCACTGGGAAAGCCATAATTTCAGCCATTCGCTATGGGTATCTATCATCCTGGCACACAAGTGGGCATTCGCAATACAATGGGCACTGACTCTAGCATGCGCTGTATTGAACTTCGCACCACAATGGGTTGTACTGCAGCTGTTACATCTCCTCGAGAACCGGCACAGCACTGAGCGTATTGGCTATGAGGGTTGGATGTGGGCCGTTTGGCTCATGGTGGTCATTATTGCTCAGTCATGGGTCGAAACACTCATATTCTGGCTTTCTTGGGCTGAGCTTTGTATACCTATCCGCGCACAACTATCGTCTCTGATTTTTCAAAAAGCAATGAGGCGAAAGGATGTGAAAGAAGCAGCCAAGAAAAAAACACCAACCTCTACGGAACCGACTGTGACCGGACCTGCGGCACAATCTGGCGGCATCGAGCAGCCCCCCGAAGCTGAGAGCGGCGAGGACGAAGCCGAATTACTGAAGAAGAATAAGCAAAGCACTGTCAACCTGATTGGCGTGGATGCGAAACGTGTTTCCGACTTTGCAAATTTCAATTGGTTTTTCCCTTCTTCGTTGTTTAAGCTTATTGTCTCCCTGATTTTCCTCTTGGATCTGCTCGGCTGGAAAGCCCTTGTTGCAGGATTCGGCACTATGCTTGTCATTACACCCGTTAACATATACTTCTCAAAGCTGTACTCCGATGCACAAGATAGGCTGATGGAAGTCCGCGATGAGAAAATGGGCGTTGTTGCTGAAGCTTTGCAGGGTATCCGACAGATTAAATTCTCTGCCCTAGAGCCGCAATGGGAAAATAAAATTGGGATGGTGCGAGAGAGGGAGCTGAAGTGCGTTTGGGATGCTTTTAGGTTCGATGTCATGCTTTTTGCCTGTTGGATTACGAGCCCGATCCTGCTTGCTGCAGTGTCGCTGGCCGTGTATGCTGCTATTCATGGATCACTCACTCCTTCGGTCGCGTTTGTCAGTCTCAGTGTCTTCAAAGCTCTTGAATTAACTTTATCCATCATTCCAGAATTGACCACCGATCTGCTTGATGCTTGGGTGTCAATCAAGCGAATTGACGCCTACTTGCGGGGGGCTGAGATCTCTAAAATTACGCAAGACTCTGATGAGATCTCATTCGACAATGCCTCAATTGCCTGGCCTTCTGATGCTGAACCAGCAAACAGTGAAGAGGATCCCGATCGCTTCATCTTGCGACACATCAGTGCTACTTTCCCGAAAGGTGAGTTATCTGTCATATCGGGCAAAACTGGTAGTGGAAAGTCTCTCATGCTTGCCGCTATCCTTGGAGAGGTTGATCTTTTGTCTGGTACAATCACTAAACCACGAGCGCCTCTGCTCCATGAACGTCACGACAGCAAAGCAAATAAAAGTAACTGGATCCTCACTGGTGCTGTCGCATATGTCGCTCAGATTCCCTGGATCGAGAATGCCACGGTGCAAGATAATATTCTATTCGGCCTGCCGTTTGATCCCTACAGATACGCGAAGACAATCGAAGTTTGTGCCTTGACCAAAGATATCGAAATGTTCTCCGATGGAGATGCAACCGAGATTGGTGCAAACGGAATCAACCTCAGCGGTGGTCAGAAATGGCGAATCACGTAAGTCATCCTTTGCTTCCTGTTCCAAGTCGGTTGGCATTTCGTCTCACAGTACTCCCACGAGAACACTAACGTAGATTACAGACTCGCTCGAGCCATATATTCTCGTGCTGGAATACTGGTGCTAGACGACATTTTCAGTGCTGTTGATGCTCACGTCGGTCGACACATCTTTGAACAATGTCTCAATGGTGAACTCGGAGTAGGACGGACTCGGATCCTAGTTACTCACCACGTTGCCCTCTGCGAATCGAAGGCGAAGTTCTTGATGGAACTAGGAGACGGTGGTGTTCTTAACGCTGGGTTAGTATCGGAATTAGAATCGGCGGGCACTCTTGAACAAATCAAGAGCCATGAGGAAGGAGAAGGGGGCGGTCTGTATGAACAGGTTCGAGACGAGGAAGAGTCGACTGCCGTGAACTCTGAACAGATATCCCAAGTCGACATCGAAGCACCAGAAGAGCCTCTCGCCAAAGTTCCCTCTAAGGCACACCAACCGCGTAAATTCGTCGAAGAGGAGAAGCAGGAAGAAGGTGCCATCAAGGCTCGGGTCTACTCGACATATCTCAAGCACAGCGGGTCGTGGCCATTCTGGACCGGCGCCGTGGTTTTATTCCTCGTTGTCCAAGCTCTAACTATCGGTCGGTCGTGGTGGCTTCGTATTTGGACAGGCACATACGAAGAAGAGGAAATGTCCAATCTGCAAGCAAACGTCCAGACATTTGCGCACCACTACAATTATCAGCAATCTGCGATGCAAACTATCATCGAGCCCGCACCAGGTCACTCGGAACGCGGTATTGATTTCTACCTAGGCATATATATTGCACTCTCTGTGGTAGCCTCGATTCTATCCACCTTCCGATGGTACTACATCTTCACGGGCTCCATTCGCGCATCAAGGGAACTCTTTGCGCGGCTCAACTTCATCGTTCTGCGGGCTCCCCTGCGATGGCTTGATACGGTTCCAGTCGGCCGCGTCCTCAACCGGTTTACCGCTGACTTCCACTCCGTGGACACGCACCTCGCTTATGCCGTTGCCTTCGCCGCAAACGCCTTTCTCAATCTCCTTGGTGTCGTTGCCGCTGGCCTGTTCGTATCGCCCGTGATCATCGTCCTAGCCTTCATCCTCCTTGCTATTTCCGTTATGTTCGCCCGCCAGTATCTGCACGCCGCCAGATCAGTCAAACGAATGGAGTCTATCACTAAATCCCCTGTCTTCGAACAATTCGGGTCCGCACTCACAGGCGTGCTGTCCATCAGAGCGTTCAACAAATCGCAGACGTATATCGAACGCATGTATACTAGGCTAGACGACTGGACTGTTGCGACGTGGCACTTATGGCTGTTCAATCGGTGGATGGGCTGGCGCATGTCTGTCGTCGGCAGTCTCTTCGCTTTCTTCGTAACCATCTTCATCCTTCTCAGCCCAGATATGGACTCCGCGCTCGCGGGCTTCGCCCTCTCTTTTGCCTTGGAGTTCTCCGGATACGTTATGTGGACGGTGCGACACTACGCCAACGCTGAGCTCGAGATGAATGCCGCGGAGCGAATCGTGGAGTACACGGAGCTACCAACCGAGGATCTAGGCGGTGTGCGACCACCCGCAGCCTGGCCCACTGAAGGCCGTGTCGAAGTGAACGATCTGGTCGTAGGTTACGCAGATGACCTCCCGCCTGTTCTGAAGGGCCTTAATTTCTCGATCAAGAGGAACGAGCGCGTCGGCGTCATCGGGCGCACGGGCGCAGGCAAGTCATCACTAACGCTTGCGCTATTCCGCTTCGTCGAGGCGAGATCAGGCAACATCCTGATTGACGGTGTCGACATCTCCAAAATCCGCCTGCATGACCTCCGTAGCCGGCTGGCCATCATTCCTCAAGACCCGGTGCTCTTCAGCGGCACCGTGCGCTCGAACCTCGACCCCTTCAATAACCACACGGACGCAGAGCTATTCGACTCTCTAGCACGTGTGCATCTGATAGCCGAGGCCGAGACATCCCCAGGGACCCCCGTATCCGCAGTCCCAAGCGACGCATCCCGGAAAAACACCAACATATTCCGCGACCTATCAAGCACAATTTCGGAAGGTGGATTGAACTTATCTCAAGGCCAGCGACAGCTTCTCTGCCTCGCGCGTGCCATCGTCTCGCGGCCTAAGGTCATGGTCCTCGACGAGGCAACGTCGGCTGTCGACATGGCAACTGACGCGTTAATTCAGCGGTCCATTCGCGAGGAATTCGGCGACAGCACGCTTGTTGTAATCGCGCACCGGCTAAGCACCATTGCTGACTTTGACCGCATCCTCGTGCTGAGCGACGGCCAGGTCGCGGAGTACGGGACGCCAAGGGAGCTATGGGAAGCAGGTGAAAACGATAGTAATGGTGAGAAGGGTATTTTCCGCGCCATGTGCGAGCAGAGTGGTGAGAAGGAGGTCCTGAGACGGATCGTGTATGGCGAGGATACAGCGGTTGCGCACGAGGCATAACCAGCTAGCATACACGTTTTTGGGTATTAATCTTTCGCCCAGTATTGATATTTCGTCTTTATATTATCAGTCATATACAAGCATGGGGTGGGTAGGCATTCAGTCAATCAAATTTTAAGCATAGGGATGAAGATCCGTGAGATCTCGAGGTCGGAGGTAGGGCGGAGAGGAGGAGAATCTGGCACAATGGTGTACAAAATTGTAGTGCTAATAATAATAAAATCTGTTGCATTATCACGTTTAGGGTGCCTGAGATATTGAAACACAGAAAATTTTATTGAGAATGTGCTATCTCAGAATGACCAACCCAGCAGCTGCATCACCCATCTTTGATGTCTCCTCCGTCTTCAGTGGCATTTTAAGCAGAAACTTTTGGAGGGAGTAATCCTATCTGGTGAGATAAAATGAGATTAAAGTGCCATCTCAGAATGATCAACCCAACAGCTATATTCTCCATTTTCAACGGCCGTTCCGTCTCACATCGTTTCGGTACTTATTCATCTTTAGAAATTCATCCATCCTGTCTCTTAAGTATAGACATACCATCAAAATCAATCCCTATTCTATCGGACAATGGACAAGCGAGATCACCAGCTGCATATGAGTGAAGTAAATATTCTCTAAGCCATTGCGCGAGGAGGCCTTCCTTTCACCCGAGAAGATCACTGTGAGACGTCCTTGTTAGATAGAGCAGTTTAAATAAAAGTTAATCAAGACGTACTTCACATATGATTCTTGTTTATTTCTTGCAAGAAGTTGGCACGCGATGCACTCTATAGGCTGTGATTTCACCTCACTACCGCCAGCAGCAGCGCAGAGGATAGCCCCTAAAGCTGCCAAACGAGCTTTCTTCAGTAATTGGGAGAAGTCAGTGGGGTGTTGAGAATTTTGTCTACACCTAAGGCCAACTCCCATATGCGGCCCGAACCAAATGCCGCTCTTCCACTGGCACTTGTGCTTTGGTAAGCCTGCAGTCTCAAGAAATCTGTCAAAGCTGAGCTCCTAGCCACAGATATGGCAATGATCCTCGCAAGGTTGTGTTGCCAGAATGCGCATGCAACCGGCTCCGGGGCATATATTGTGAACTAGAGGATAGTGATATTCTTCCATCGAACATCTCCGGCATGCTCGGCTTAATCGCTTTATCTTACAGTTCTTCGTCTTGTGACCTGGCTCAAGACATATATGACAAATAATGGGACACTCTGAAATGTAATGGGGGTTGTGATTTGCCTGTACAGCCGCACAGTACCAGCATTCATTCTTGCAACAATCTCTGCTGTGTTTGGGATATTTGGAACAGAGGCATACCCTAGCTCTATCTTCGCAGAACATTGTTACGTGCTTATCGCTCCCACAAAATCCGCAAAGAGCCAAATACTCGTATACCGAATGATATATTTGCCCACAGTTCTCGCATGTGACGTTTTCGTCGACTTTATGCTCTTCCTGGGTCGTCCAATGATGATCTTTAAGGGTATGTATAGCGCGACCTAACGATTGGCCGTGACGCGCGAGTTCAATAGCATAGCCGGTCTCATCTTTATTCCGCCATTGTCCGACTTGCATAGAAAATGCAGCCGAGTGTGGCAGAGCAACAATGTCGGTGTCTACATACAGTGAGTCGGGCCGATGGAGTTCCATTAGTATAACCTGTCCCAAATGCAGTGAAGATTTGACGGGGCCAATGTTTCCTCGGTTCAAGATGAGATACGTGAAATCTTCATCCTGCTGGCGACGAGGGCAACTTTCGTAGGCATGCTCTTGACTGTCACATTTGCAGCACGCTTCCATCCAGCCACTTTTCCCAACTGTGACGCAAAATGCTGCCTTGTGATCAATTTCACCACAATTGGCGCAGGCGTTAGGATTAGCCGTTTGGATAATATGAGAAGCTTCCTTGGTCTGTTGATGTTGGTCTGATGCTTCCAAGCCTCCATTCTCCCTAGCCGTGCGCCGTCTCTTGTTGTTAGCCTTGGGGTCATCGGGGCGTAATAGCGTGAGTTCCACGCCATAGTTGAGGGAACCCAAGGCCTCTAAGGCCTGCGACAACGCACCCAAGCACCCGAAGACTTGAAGCTCGGCATTATATCCCTTGAAATATGACTTTAGTAAGGGGATACCGGAGGGGAAGAGAATGGCATTCGCTTTGGTACTTCCGCAGTATTCTTGGGCCCTAGTACGAATGGTTTTCCAAGTGCCAGTAAATGTAATCCGGTCGTCGTGGGTTTCTTGGCTGGTGTCATCATGTTGCGTGGACGAGGTGCCTCTATAGATCACAAGATCAAAGCACTCTTGGTTTGGTAGAGTTGTCATATTGCCTACTTTGTCAACATATGGATTTTGTTTCTCTCGTCTTCGTGAGGATTGAGTTACTATGGCCGCAATGGATGATATGGGTGTGCTGGATAGCAGGGTTAGTACGGATGGTGGAAGCAGTGCAAGTGAGAGGGGTAGAGATGAGGTTAGTAAAGGGCGAAATGATCAAAGCGCCAACTGAGGCAAGTAAAAGATGGCAATAACAGATGGAGCGGCAAGATAGAAGGAAGGTGCAGGGACTGTACTATTACAGCCTTGTCTGGTTGTATTTATGTACCTCTCGGAGAAGTTGTGGCTGAGGAAGGTACTTCAAGTCGCTATAATGCTGGAAACTGATATGTACATAGTACAGGCGTGCAAGATCACTAGTTGATGATAGGTATCTGTTCTCTAATGCAAGTGCCTATAAATGAGTACCTACTTTTTAACTCGTAAAAGACGTAAGTAGCCGCTACTCATAAGGGGGGCCATCGAGGACAACGCCCAGGCTTTAGAGCCGCCAGGTATATGTTGTACAATGTCAAGACTGAATTAGCAAGCTAAGAAATAGAAGACTATAGGGATAAGATGGATAGAACATATACGTATCAACTTCGAGATGGTGTGTATAGGAGTGCGAAAAGAACTATTTCTGGAACTCAGGAACACGAGCAGAACCAAACGTCACAGATAACCCGCGGAGAAACTCGGCTCCATGTAGGTAACCACTGAAACGTTCACACTGGCTTGTACAGTACATACTTATAGGATAAATTAATATTCCAACACAGATTGTGCACACCGTCTGAGCTCATGGATCCATAATTACTGGTTAAACCCCTGTTGCGGATATTGGGGCGACATGCAGAAAGGATTGCCTGGATCATTCGGCATCTCACTCGCTAGGATGCTGTACATGAAATCTTTTTACGCTTGCTGAAATTCATATTGAGTTTGCACCACGCGATGACATACATAGATGATACGCCGGAGGCGCAGTAACCGTCCAGGAGGCTTTGTTCAAACAATTTAGGGATGAACGAATCCGTGGCCACGTGATATGCAGAACGCGGCACTGGCCCGTGTATTTGGAGAAGGCTCAAGCGAACTGATGCAATTGTAGCCCATGGTTTGGCTTGAGGCTCAACTTTGTTATCGCTGATGATATATGCCTTAACAGTTTGCATCTCGTTTGCAACTTCCCACGCTCGGTTGATCGGGGCTTAACGGCAAGACAATCGACATTAAGCGCTTCGCTGCCAAGCGTTTGGCTTACATGAAATTATTGATATATGTTCCTCTTCGACATGTATTAATGGGCGTCTGCAATTCTCTCCCTTTTTTTTTCGGTGAATAAGGGGAGTAGATGGACAGTTCTTGGCTTCCCCTGAATGCGGCCCAACTTGCACAGACTTCTCCAGTCCCGTTTGCACTACTACCACCTTCCCGAATAGATGCGAACAGGTTGGATCATATTAATCTCGACGAATATATCTGGCATCCATAATTCAAGAGAACGAATAACACAAATGAGAATACTGCGGCGATGAACCTCCGGTTAGGCACGAGTCTGCAGGCATGGAGTAGGTTACACTGGTCTGCGCCTGGATGCTTGTGTGCTGATTCTGCTAGAAATTAATCCTGACATGTCGTGTGGGTGCCTGCTTCAGGCTTCATTAGTTTAGCAAAAGCTCGCTGGTCTGGCACTCACGTAAGTTTGGGCAGCCTCATGAGCTGCTGAAATGGCACCACACTACCTTGACACGTTTTATCTACGAGGTTGAGGAAGGGTTTGCAGTATACGCAATGAATCCATATGTCACTCTTTGCTTTGATGAAATTTACCGCTTGAGACTTTGCGTAACGTGACAAAACGACGCTTGGAATTCGATTCTTTTCACCGGGTGCTACACCAATATGATGCTTACAGGATTCGAAAATCTATATCGCCGTGTTGTGTAATGAATGACAAAAAGAAAACTCAAGATGTCTTGGAGCCCTAGGTACTTAGGCATTAGAGAGACAGACGTGGCATGCGCTGTATAGACCGGGAATTGCGGGGATGAAATGAAGGTGATCTGTGGTGCCAAAGAAGTAAACTGTCTTGCCTCGAAAGATAGTATAATCACGGACCACTTTGGAGCGCACCGCAATCTAGGACTAACAGAATTATTTCCGTGAATTAGGTGAGGACTAGTATCTAGTTGGTTTGACTGAGCTGGCAGTAGTTTGTAGCAGCGCTGTCAACGTGGAGATGGACATGTCAGTGTGGAATTTAGAGTCCCATTGTTGAAACATGGGGCTACCAACGAGAAGTGAGGGGCTTCTGCAGGAATCGGCTGCGTAATGCGGTAATGTGCGTCGCATTCGGCAGAAAAATCATAGGGCTGCCGCCGATTTGTCGATAATGCCAAATCGGCGCGGAACCGAGGTGTGGGTGGCCCAGCGTGAAGGGGGCTCGGAATAAGGTCAGTTCCCCGGGCCGGACTGGATGCGGCTGGCACCCGATAGACGTGGATCGACAATGAAGCAATCTATTGAAGCGTTCGATTAGGTGTAGAGCTATCACGAATCTTTGGACTAACCCCTATCACCACTCCAGGGCGAAGTAATTTAATTAGACCAACGAAAGGCTGATTGCATACACCATCTATGACTATTCAATCCCAGAGTGATAGCCGCTTTTTGCGATCCATCTGCTGAGGTCGAAGCAACATAAATGAATATCAAGTTCGATACAAGAACCTAAGGATCCCATCATTGAACACTACATGAACAACAAGCTTGCGCATCTTTCGAATCTAGTCTATTCTTTTACGAAGTCAGCTTTATAGTTCAACCGCAGCATGGCTTCCGTGGCGAGTCCCCAGGAGGTGGGCACGCAAGAAGTAATAGACTTCTTCCAACTCCTCGGTACCCTAGCAACTAATGCATCAGCGACTTGCGTCGAAAAAGCTCTCAAAGAGAACAAGGAACTGAAGGGTGACAAAGATTCTTTAGTTCGAGCATTAACGAATCTCCAGATCAAGCTTGATGACCAAGTGAAGAGATCTGAGGACGCAGTTGCCCAGAGCGAAGACGCCAAAGCGAAAGCTAGTGCGTTGACGAGCGAGGTCGAAGGGGCAAAGCAGACAATAGCCGACAAGGATAAAAAGTCAGAATATGATGCTTCAACTATTAGTGGCTTGCAAGGCAAGGTGGCGGCACTTGACGACGAGGTCAAGGCACGCGAGGAACAGATAAAGAAGCATATGGAACAGCAAGTGAAGGATGCCAACCGCATCAGTGATCTAGACGCGGAACTTGGCATGAAGAAGACCGAGCTGGAGATCACGTCAAACCAACTGAAGGAGCTTCAAGACCTTTCTTGCAAGGTGATCGACGAATCAAAGGATTTTGTGTAAGTTCTATATCATTCCTTCGATCACATCTGGGTTGACTAGGCGCTAACACAGCATCCATAGCCTGTCAGAGCTTGATAAGATCTACGGCTATGCCAAGGTTATAGCCTTTAAGTATTTCACTGGGGACTTGTCAGACGAAGTTCTTGCGGAAACGGCATTCTTCGAAGGGATCGGTAGGGAGGTCAAACTGCCTTTGCACCCTTCCAACTCCATCCCCGCCAAAAAGGTTCGAATCGCAGTGTTTCTAGCTAGCCTTGGTACCAGGTTAGCTGACGAGATATTTGTTCCCTTCTACTTCTTACCCAACGAGGACCAAAATCTTCCAGAAGGTATCGATACCATCACCATGATGCTATCGAACTTATCGCAGGTAGATCCCAAGAGAGAGCTCCATCTTCGTAGTGTTCTCCTCGCCATCTACCCCGACGAACAGACGAAAGTCGCCAATAATAGGGCAATCGAGATTGCTGGGGACATTTATCACGTTCTGCGCTTCCTAGTCATCGAGGATCAGCGAGAGAACTTTCACAAAGAAATCATGCAGCTGTGTCGCCTGGCAGTAGAAAGCTGGAACACTTTGCGCCCTCTTAAGGAGAAAGTTGAGCCGTTCACAGCGACGGAAGATGACACGGAGAAGTATTGGCTTCCCGCAGAGTTTGACTCTACTAGTCAAACTAAGAAGCTACTGGCCAACGCCAAACCTAACGGACTTGGCTCAAAGCCTTCGCTGAACTCTCTCAAGTCGGCCAAGGGAATCAAGCTTGTGTGGCCGGGCTTCTCCTATGGAAACGAAGTTCTGAAGCAAGGGTTCATGTTGTTGGATTCTCAAGTAGCTGGTGCTAGTGAGGAGGCGCCGCTAAAACGAAATGTGAGGGCCATGCAGAGAGCGTCAACTGGGTCTCCCGTGCTTTCACAGCGACGTTCAGTCACGAAGAAATCGAAATTCTTGCTGACTGCGGGGGAGTGACTCTGCATAAGTGCCACCGTCCTCTCGCTGGCTGCACTTGTCCAGCACCGGCGCACGCGATTACTCCAGGAGAGACAGTTATTGCACTTACAGCGCATTGTTCAACAGAAACCTCGGGCTCAGATTGGGAACAAAAAGGGCTGTTGATATAACCTATACATACACGGACCTCGAAGGGTATTATGATGGGTTATATTTCTTGGGTATTAGGGTGCAGATTGCGATATAGTCAGTTATCATAGGGTCCAGGGTTTCATAAAGAGTTCTATTCACTCTCTAATGTATGGGTAGCAAAATTAGGATTCCGGGACGGTATATCGGAATTTGATTCAATTGTAAGCGTTGATTTCCGGCCATACGTCTTCTTCAAGTTTTAAAGGTAATTAGAGAATATTAGCACATTTAACAGCGTGGCTGAAAAATTTAATAGTGACACGTTGAAAGTGAAAGTTTGCTAATGGGTTTAAAGATGTTGAGTGCTCACATCTGATAAGGGAGATTGTCATGCCCGATGCAGCCACAACACCTTCGTATAGTACCGACTTGCATGATCTCGTCGTATATCATTGGTTGCCTACACCTATCCCAATATTCATACACAGGACTCAACTCCACCCAGTTCCCGCCCATGGCGAGGGACACAGTAACAAGAAGAGAGGGAAGCTGAAAATAAACTATAAACAAAACATATCGACTTGAAAAAGAAAAGATTTATCTAAATCTACTGGGGTGTGGAATAATACACAATGCTTGAAGCACGCTCGTATTCGAAGTATAGCGTAGACAACCTGACACTCAATTCTCATTGCTAATTTGGAACCCTTTTAGATTACCTTATCATTTCTGTATATCCTCATCTCATCACAGTAACCGTGTGTACGTACTTAACCTTACCGCCTTCAAGCCTAATCTCATGAGAATCTGGCAAATTACCAAGAGAATCGAACGAGCAAAGCACATCGACAGACCCGACAGTCTCATCAATAACATACCGCCTGTTCCCGTTGTTCTTTGCGCTACCGCCTCGTGGCAAAGACGCACCGCATGGCCTCGTATACTGTGAGCCCTCGACGCGCTCGCAGTCTGTGCCCCAAGGAATAGAGTCCGCTGCCTTGGCGTCTGTCCACATGTCTAAGTACGCGTCGCCGACCCTCTTCAACTCTGTGCGGTTCGCCCTTTGGCTCTCATCCAGCGTGCTCCAGTTCTCCTTCTGGATGTATGAGAGCGTCTTCGCAGCATTGAAAAATAGCGCACCCGTCGTTGCCACGATACTGTCGATCGTGGAAATCGTGCCGACATCGCCATCTGCGTGATGAATCTGGGTTGAGATGACGTAAGGCTTAGACCCCGTCGATGAGATTAACATTGTGTAACTCGCACAAGCCACTGTGTCTGCCGTTGTTCGGTTGAGGTCAATCTTCAGTGGTTGGCTCAGAACCCCTGTTTTGATGTCGGCTTTCTTATTGTTTTGCTGATATGTGAAGTTCGTTGCGGAGATTTTCAGGCCTGTGATACTGCCACTAGTCTGTGCGGCGAGGTAGCTACTAGCAGCTGCTAGGAGCCCTTCGCGCGTGCATTCTGCATGGCCGACGGTGATGTAGTTGGCTAGAGCGGCGACGACGCCAAGAACTGATCGTGAAAGCATCGTGAAGAGTGGCCGTAGCTTGTGGGTATTACAAGCGCAGAATGAACACATCTATCATGCGCTATGCTTTGGCGAGTTCTCGGCATCAGGTACATATAGATGAGAAGTAAGCTGCGTTTGCTAATTGTATTCTTATGTGCCGTGCAGTGCGGAGCAGATATATACCCATATTGACCTCCCCGCTTGTTATATGAGCGGGTGTAACCTTGTTCCGCGGACTGTAAGCGTACGAAGTAAGAGATCGTGAAAAGTATATACCACTTTATCTAGTTAGCTGCGACCCCATGCGACCAGCTGTTGGGTACTAATAAACATCGTGATCATGGGGATCAGTGGTCAAGTATTGTGCTCAATGCTAACAAAACACGACACGAATTGCTGGTTGGGCAATGTTGTTCCTAGATCGAGGAACAGCTCCATCGTGACCCCAGGACAGCCGCCATTGGAGACCTCCGGAATAGCCCGGTGAACTCATAAACTCGGATAAACTGTTTGAGTTCCCCTCATCGGTGGCACCTGTTAATGCGGATTTATGCTTGGTCGGCATCATGCTGCAAGAGTAAACGCATACCCAAGGATTCTCAGCAAATCGCATTGGAGTAGAAGATCTCCGGATGCTACGATATGCGTGACTAGGACCAATGTTAATGTAACTGACGTAATGCAACCGACCCAAAGAGCTTCTTGCTACAGACGCCAGAGTTCTTACGGACTGCCGCTTTCTTTGATCTTCTTCGAGGTTGACTTTCATCCTGGTAGAATGGTGAAGATACAGCAAACTCACTAAGTAGCTGCTCAATTACTCGACACATATTTTGGAAAACCCAATCATTGAAACTTGAATACATCGCAGAGGTAATGTCATTAAGATATGAAGCGTCTAAGCCAAATTGTCGCGTTCCCAGCATTCCTCCCCGCTTTCGCGGCAGCGACCCTCACGTTCCCAGACTGCATCAACGGTCCTGAGATCCTTACGTCGAATTTAGTCTGTGACAAAAAAGCATCTCCTGCAGAGCGTGCGGTGGCATTGATAGGTGCCTGGAATATTACAGAGAAGCTTGCCAATCTAGTCAAGTAGGCATCTATCCATAAATCTTTCATCTCATATCTAACAGTTTTATAGTGGCAGCCCTGGCACAGCGCGACTAGGTCTGGCCCCTTACCAATGGTGGAGTGAAGCGTTACATGGGATCGGCTTCTCTCCGGGAGTCGCATTTACCTCGTCGGGAGAATATTCCGGTGCTACTTCTTTTGCCAGTCCAATACTAATGTCCGCCGCATTCGACGACGAGCTCGTCTACGCAATCGGCGATGCTATTAGCACAGAGGCACGGGCTTTCAGCAACGCCGGACGAGCTGGTCTGGACTACTGGACTCCCAATATTAACCCATACAAGGACCCGCGATGGGGAAGGGGTTCGGAAACACCAGGCGAGGATCCGTTCCGCATTAAGGGATATGTGAAGGCTTTAATTGACGGTCTTCAAGGCCGTGAAAATACCACCAAGGTGATTGCAACTTGCAAGCACTATGTGGCATACGATCTAGAAGACTGGCATGGGATCGAGCGTTTCGAATTTGACGCGATTGTCCCGATGCAAGACCTTGTCGAGTATTACCTTCCGCCCTTTCAACAGTGTGCTCGTGACTCTAAAGTGAAGTCTCTTATGTGTTCGTACAATTCTGTTAACGGCACCCCTGCCTGCGCTTCGACCTACCTGATGGAGACAGTCTTGAGGGATTTCTGGGAATGGACTGACGAGAATCAATACGTGACTAGCGACTGTAATGCTGTCTTAAACTTCCACCGAGATCACAACTACACCAAAACAGCAGCCCAGTCAGCAGCAGTTGCACTAACTGCCGGGACGGATACAATATGTGAAGTTTCGCCCAACACTGATGTTGTTGGAGCTTGGAATAAGTCTCTTATAGAAGAGTCAGTCATCGACCAAGCCTTACGCCGTTTATATGAGGGCCTCATAAGAGCAGGGTATTTCGATGCCGCCGAAGAAAACCCATACCGATCTCTTGCGTGGAAAGACGTGAATACTACAGCAGCTCAAGAACTGGCGCTTCGATCAGCCGTCGATGGGATCGTGCTGAAAAAGAATAATGGCGTGCTCCCCATTGTCGGCAATAACGCATCCGTGGCTTTGATAGGATTTTGGGCAGGTCCTCAGTCTTCGAGGTATCTCACTATGCTAGGTGGGTATTCCGGCATGCCCTCGTTTTATCACACGCCTCTCTATGCGGCCCAGAAACTGGGTTTCAATACTACTACTGCTACGGGGCCAGTCAACCAATCACTTTCAGACAATGACACCTGGACTACTGCAGCACTAGAAGCCGCTGGTAAATCAGATATCATAGTATATTTCGGCGGCATCGACATGAGCGTTGAAGCGGAGGGTCTAGATCGGGACGCTATAGCTTGGCCGGGCGCTCAGTTATCTCTCATCGAGACACTGTGCGCACTCGGAAAACCATGTGTTGTTGTTGAGCTAGGAGACCAAAACGACGATACACCGCTACTCATGAACTCCAATGTTTCTGCTATCCTTTGGGCGGGCTTCCCGGGACAGGATGGAGGAACAGCAGTGTTTGATATATTGACTGGGAAGTCTGCTCCTGCTGGCAGGCTTCCAAGTACAGTATACCCCGCGGATTATGTCAATCAGGTACCGATGACAGATATGACCTTGCGACCGAGTAATTCAAGCCCCGGGAGAACGTACAAATGGTACAATGAATCTGTCCTGCCGTTCGGATTTGGTCTTCACTACACAACTTTCGATGCGTCGTTCAGCAATGATGGCATAGCCAAAAAGCAATATGCGATTGAGGATATTTTACGAGGCTGCACGCTGCGTTACTTAGACCTATGCGACTTCAACCCTCTTGAAATTTCCGTAAGAAATACTGGCAACGTCACATCCGACTTTATTGCATTGGCTTTCCTAGCAGGAGAACACGGGCCAACGCCATATCCAATCAAGGAACTAGCTGCATACACCCGGCTCAAACGTATTGGTGCTGGAGAAGTGTCAGAGGCAAGGTTGAATATCAAGCTAGGAGAACTAGCTCGCATTGACGAGAATGGAAACACTGTGCTGTATCCTGGGAAGTATCAGGTCTTACTCGACGTCCCAACGCAGGATCAGATTGAGTTTGAATTGACAGGCAACCCCCGGACCCTTATTGAGTTTCCACAGCCTCCTAAAGATCTTGGTGAAGGAAATGGACACGATAAGCTGTAATAAGACTACCAAGCTGAACGTAGCCACGTGTAAATTGAGATTGAAACCATTCTGAAGTAATTGTTGGCTGGAAATTCGATATATATATTTGCATACTCCCTGCTTCAACTGTGTCCTAATCTGTTCACGACAAAGTTTGGACATCAAGCTCTTGAGAGAAAACAAAAATATTTTCGCAATGGCGACGTTACAGAGAAGGTCACAGCTTGAATATCTCGCAGACCGAAGTATGAGGGGTGCTTTGGCGGTGCGGTTAGAGGAGCGTAAAACCCTATTGTTGAGTTAGGAACATAGATAAGCATGATGTGCACTGTCGCTAGATGGAGGCCTCCCTGTTGACATGCTGGGAAAATAATGTTCTTGATTGATCATGATATCACAGACCGCAGTATTGTTAGTAAACCTGAGCTGGAAAACCACCTCCTTCCAGGGCAATTGAGGTACCGGGTATGGCCCCAACCCCTATTCTTTCATAAACCGCATCATACCCTGGGCCGACTTTCTGGGCTACAACTAGGACGTAATGTATATGGACATCGCGAATTCCAGCTTTCTTTTTTCTTCTCCCCACAACCACACACCTGACTGCCCGGTTATCTGGCCTCTCTCCCCTATCATATATGATGTGAGTATCCGCGGACGCTAAGAAATCCCTAGCTATCACTTTAAGATCGATCCTCTCGTTTCTATTCGTGGTATACCAAGCTGTATTAGAGCTATGATTTGGGGGTGACGACGAGGTCAAAACCGGGCTTTGAGGGCTCCATGGTGAGCGGATTTCCTTCTCTTCCCAGTCTATCTCGCGAAATGGTAGATCCATGAAACTAATAGCACCCTCGTACGCCATCCATGACCAGGACGGTACCTGGTACCTTTGCGACTTGGGGAATTGAATCGGTTTCATGAGCTGTGGTGCCAAGGTGGGATCTCGTTGCCAGAGAAGACCCCGGCCAAAATACCTCGTGAACACCCCATATCCGCCTTGAGTATCGAATGCGCGGATCAGCCGTTGTTCCAGTCCAGAAATTGCCAACGGTCTGTCGTAGATTCTGGTAAATTGTAATCTCGAATACTGTTTGTATAGGAGTTCGTAAAGGCGAATTCGACCTCCTTTTGTTGAATCGGTGGCCACCTTTGGGAACTTCGGATCACCTAGTAGAGCGGCTTGATTACTAGAAAAGGTCAGATATAAAGTTCCAAGGCAAAGTAGAGCTGCTTACTTTGTCATTTTTGTGAGCGTCTCACATCGCACACCCTCACCACATTCCCAGTAATTCTGCTTCTCCCCGAAATAGATTGTTCGTCGCGCTAGTGCTCTTTCTTGGAGAACCCAGCCCCTTTGATTGAGTGGTCCATCGATAACGTCTCGTTGGAAATTGTCAATTGACTCGCAGACGTAAATGGAATTTTGTCCTGGTCTTTCTATCTTCACAAATTTCCTGGCTGGTCTGGGGCCAAGAAACCCACTTGATGAGCCCTCTGCGCGAGTTGCAGCAATCACACAGTATGCTGTTGAGAACACTGTCTCCATGTGCACTGCTTCTTCGTTGAAATCGCCATCTTCGCCCTGTACAATACAAAGCGAGTCAATCCAGAGGTACCGCACACCAAGTTCCCGTGTAACCTGAATAGCGTGTTTCAAGGTGTTTGGAAGTACATCCATATCAATTCCAACCTTGTGATTGTTGATGTTCTGCCTGGTGGTGAAGTAATGCCTATGCTTTGCTTTATCTCCCCATGGGTGGGATAATGCAATGTATCTGAATTGCTGGACTTGGTTTCTTTGACTGTGCTGAGTTTCGACAAGACAGATGTTTGGCGAGTCTTTACCTCCAACATCAATCAGTCTGGTTGGTAGCCTGAATGTCGTTGACTCATCCCATCCTATATGACAACCTGGATGGTTATCATCGCAATCCTTCAGCCATTGGCGCAGAATCTCGAAAAATACTGGACTTGAAGTATTTGTGAGACTCGGTAGTCCCATCGGAATGTTATGCTCACGAGTATCAGAACTGCCATCGATGACTGCAAAGATTAATCAGCGTTGGAGGGTCTAACTTTCTGAGTCTTCTACTCTACTCACCTGGTTTTCTGTAGATAGATAGGTCTGGCGGCCCTCCTTTATATTTGCTCAAGCCACATTCGACTCTCCATATCTCTGTAACTGTTGTTCTGCTGCCATAGAAAACTCTGAGCAATAATGTGCATAATGCACACGAACTCGCTCTTGGTTTTAGTAAAGACACTTCTTCTCGTGCAATCAGCCCCGGACTTTCAAAGTTCAATGTCAGACATCGCTCGCATATCGAGCTTGCGTTTTCGGGGAAGGCACTACAGGTGCTGAACTCTTTGCTCGCTATTATCCGTGAAGCTATCACCGCGTCTGTAAAGAACTGCCAAGTAGTGTCAAGCTAAGCATGATTAGCTTTATTCTGGTCGGGAATATAATTCTCATACATTCTAAGCGAAACTCAAGTTAGCTAGTGTATTCTAACATCCTCCCAGACCAAATCCAGGAGTGAAGCTTACCACCTAGTAATTATATCGAAGAACAAAGAGTTAGTCTACACCACTCCATTCTGGGTCACAAATTTCACATACATGCTGTAATTACGTCTTTCTGTCAGTAAGATTCGGAATAGTTTTTGTCGCCGCAGCAAACTTACTCTCTATTGTTCGGAAGCCATCAATTCTGGTTAGTTTTGGACGCACGATATAGGAGGCCTAGTTAGCACAACTTACATACTATTACCACGTCAGCCGCTTGTTTCATATGACCCCAAGACAGGCTACCTTACAGTCTTCAAACCCAATCAGGTTTTCCGTTAGCGAGTGGTCAATAACAATTTGGAAGGTTATGTCTGACATACATTCTACAAGAGATTCGTCAGTCATGCTGAGTTGGTTGTTCAAGTTTAAAGTTTTGAAATACATATAGAGACTTACAAGTGCTCGTTGAGAAGATCCGTTAGTCAAAGGAACCTCAACCGCTAGACGACTTTGAGGTTGTACAGTTATGTGCTGAGGGACAGTTTCACTGCGGGCATGTAGGGGGGGTGGGACTTTCACGTTTCGCCGGTTTACGCCCGTATATAAATAATCTTCGTCTCGTTTCGCGGCTGTCCAAATAATCCCTACTTCCCTATAGAGCTCAGCAGAAGTGGCGCGATATACTGCTTCTATAGGCTTCGATTTGCTAGGGATTGGGACAACGAGGAGTCTGTCTCTGACCAACACAAGTAACTCACGAAACGCAGTGTATTGCTGGCATTCGGGGTCATTCTCTAGCATTTCCCTAATCCAGTGTGTTGCAATGTCGCTTACAGTAGCAACAAGTTCGGAGCCATAGTCCGTCGGCTGACTCCTAGCGGTGAAGTAGAGAGTCTGTCGAGAATGATCTGTGAGGCGACTAACTTCCCGATAAAATTCGTTGAGGCCTCTTGAGCCGTATAACAACCATATTATTGACTCAAGAATAATACATCCCATTGACCACACATCGTAGCGACGGGACCTTGGCTCTTTCATATTGGTAATAGCCTCTGGTGCCTCGTAATGGAACGTAGTATGCTTCGTGGATGTGACTTGATGCCGGAACTCCGTAGCAAATTGATGCTGTTTCGCTAATCCAAGATCTGCTATCTTTAAGGTTCCGATCCAGGTTGAGTCTTTAAAGACAAGAATGTTCTCAGGCTTAATGTCCCCGTGACGCCAGTGCTTGACATCACTGTCTCTATTACTATCTTGAAGCATGATCATGGGCATATGAGCTGTGCCTGGAAGTACACCACTCCCAGAACCTTTCCCTAGTTGGATAGCCCGGGAGGCGACAGCTTCGCTTGCATTAGATCTCGAGTTTGACAGTCGATGGCCGCTGTTGGACGAGGATGCATTCTTCCTGTCGGCATCTGCAAGGCCGGTGCTTGTTTGCGAATTGGTACCATGTAATTTTTGGAGAGCTCCGGCCAGGCCATAGAGCTGCTCTAGAAATTCTCCAACTTTTGGCCTATCAAGATGAAGGTGCACGTCGCTTGTCTGATCCCAGAAGTGTCGAAGTGTACCGCCATTTGCCCATTCGAACATAATGTAGTGCGCTTGAACAATCAGTGTTAGCTTAATTCTTAGTGAAGTAACAAATCTGAGGGGACAAGTCCAGTCTTTCGATAGTAGCTTAAAGTTTAGAGTAGGTTCTATTCGGGTTATACTAACTTTGACCCCATTTGAATGCCGCAATGGGGTTGATCAAATGGTTATCCTTTAGCTCGCCAATTTCTTTCAAGGCAGTTACTTCAAGCTTCCATGCTGTCTCTACATCGTAATCTGTTTCTTCTCCCAGAGCGTGCCTAAGTTCCTTGACTGCAACATGCAAGCCATCGGCTGCGTTCTGTTCGAAGCTTAGTACATACAGGTAATAGACGAGGGATCCAGGGTTACTTGTGGGTACATACCAGATCATGCCCATCTTGATGTGCGGGATGGACAATTGTGTGAAATACAGTGCTGAAGTGGCCATTACGCGGGTTGGGATCTCTGAATATGAACGGCAGAGCTGTCTCCTTTGGAAGCCCCTTTTTGAACTGCTGAAGGTTGTGTTTCTTAAACACAGGCGCACAGAAAAGCCACTGGTTACGGCGAAAGCTATCAAAATTAAGTTTGCTCCACTCTTTCATATGGAATGAATCCAAGGCTGTGTGATGAGGACACTCCGTCGACCCTTTCTCACGTGCATAATCACACTTACTGCACCTGCATCGCAAATAGCTATCTGGGTGCAAGCACCTGCTAGATTCGGTGATGTCCTTGATAGGGAGATGCTTATCCGTCAAGTTATTCGCTTGAAAGCTTTTGGCCACCTCCACAAGTCTAGGTCCGGTGATATCAATGGACAGTAATGCCGTCAAGAATACTTTGGGTGCTCTGGTCTTAATGAAGTCAATGAGGTCTTCAGACGCTGCGGGTAGTAGACGGCCAAAGTCTATCTGATGGACTATCTTTGGCAATGAGCTTTCCGGCAGGAATTTCTTCCCAAAGCTGTTTTCAATTATGAGGTGCCGTATATTGTCTTGTATCTCTCGCGGATAATCCCAGTCTTTGTCAGTTGCTGATCCCTTTAGCCCAACCTGACTGATGAGCAGTTGATAGAGTCGATAGACAAACATGGGGTGTGTGGAAGTTGGGCAGACTGGTAAGGCTCAAACAAGAAATTTGCACAATGATCGAGGCTGATTCCAATGAACGGTTCATCGTATTTTTTTTTTCGCGCTCAAGATGATGGAGCTGGTCACATGGGCAAGTTACCTACCCCGCGTGCAGATTGAGATGCACACTTCTTTACGCATCAGACAAATTTCAATACGCCATTTCACACCGGATAAACGATTACTCTCTTACTGAATACACACCGATCATTCGTATTTTGCATACCAGTCTTCATATTGAATTTAGCATAGAATCGCACACTAACATGGTGTACAAGGAAGCGCAAGCACTCGGAAACGGTCAGCAGCATGTTGGCGTGCAGGAGCCAAGCCTCCAGAGCCAAAGAACCAGGAGATATGGCAGAAATGCAGCAGGGCACTACTCACAAAGATAGTGACTAATATTGGTACGAGAAACGAGACACCAGGTGTAATAATTGGCTCAGCAGAGCCTCAAGTGGAGGATATTGCTTCCCGAAGATGAAGTCTTACCCACCCAGAAGCGTGTCATGGCACGATCTGTTCGACTATACCGAACGCGACAGAGCCCCCTGGTCGTGATTGAAAGCGATCGAAGGTGACTCATTGGACAGTTCGAGTGGGCTAGTCACCTGCTGCAAGCGCTACAGGCTCTGAGCGTAAATAGCAACTCCTGGATAGAGTAACGAGATGTAAGCTCTTATCCAATTAATTGCCGGGGTGTCCGTCACCGAAATATGAGTGTCGTGCATATGAAGAAACCGGGTTACTGATTGGTATCGTTACAAACGTAGCCAGTAGCAATTGGGTACAATCAGTACAGGGCCGGAACTCCGTGTGCGCAAATTGTAGACAGAGCGTAGGATTCTAGGCAAACCATGAACGATCAGATGTCTACGCGTGCGCCTGTTTCCCTACTACTTGCAAAGTAGACTTGTAGCCAGCCAGATAGATTTTGATGCTTAGTCAACCTAGTGTTGCAGAATCTTGGGTGTTTACCCCAGACCTAGGAACGATAATATTACAATGCTAGAACAAGCCACACCTTGTCAACTTCATCGCCTAAAAAGGATTCAGAATCCACTGTTACCTCGTCTACTTAGACCGCGGGCGCCTCATGGTAAGCAGGGAAGATAGGTCGACCCCCCACTCTGTATGAAATGCAGATATGGGGAGGGGTATCTGCCCAGACAAGAGAGCGACTCTGTGAACGGATTGACATGGGTATGAAGTTGGAGATCCGAAGTGCGGAGGTAGAATGCTGCATTCTTGTGGCATACCACAACGCAGGGTCGATTGTTTAGGCTTAGTTTCCAGCCTTAGCCACGGCATCGCTTGCATACTATTGCATACATTGGCGATTGAAGGTCAACGATGATGCTGGCCGATCTGAGGTGACTGGTGCGTCATCATCAGCCGACGTAGTACCTTCAAAGGTGGCTGCGGATGCTGACCATTCTCTCCAGGACCGGCAGTACACTGATGTATGTATACTACACACCAAGGAGGCCTACATGCTCCCAATCAGCCCGACCAAGGCAGAACAACAAGGCAACCGTCATGAATGTGCTGTGTTTGCCCGGCGCTGTCTGCCATGGCGCGGATGAGGACTGGTTCGCGCTCAGCCACGGTAGCCTCCTTTCACTAGTATAAGAGGGTATCGCGAATACCCTCACTTTCCATTGTTTTGACACCCTCCAATATTTGCCGCATCAACGCACGATACTCCCCAACACCAAGAACTCGTTCTACTGAGCCAACAATGGATCCCCTATCCCGACAGTCATCGGGAATATCATCCCAGTATTCAGATTCGTCCAGCGACTTATCTCGACAATATTCAAGCCAGTCGTCTCAGCACTCGAGCCCATCCGTTTATGATTCACCCAAGTCCGGCTTATATAGTATCCTTCGCTCGAGGCTCGTGGCGTGCGACAGAACAGATGAAGCTCAACATTTTTCTCGTTTCTCATTCCTGCCATTGAGCGCTATAGACGAGGTCGTAACTACAGACGTAGTCAAAACCGTTTCAGGCAACCGTGGTTGGTTCACATGGCGTCGAGGTGAAGATTACTCCCAGATGGCCAAACAAGCCAAAAAGGTGTTTGCGATCCTTGGGTTCTTCGAGGCTCCAACCCTTATCTCGACTTTGTTCGAGGACGGACTTAGGGACAAGCATCTCCCTCTCACAAGAGTGGAGAGGTCTAGGGTCTTGGTTGGTTCTCGAGGCAGAGAATTCACGTCGTTCCAGAAACTGAGCGATATGGATGTTGAGAACTTTCTTCGCTGCCAGTGGTACGCTCTCGCACCGGTGTTTACTGCACTTAGCAGCGACGTTCATGTCGACAGGGAAATATGCGTAACAAAGGATAACCCTTTGCCATTCTTTGACGTTAAAAAGATATCCTCAATCCCTGGACGAAGCACTGTTTACCAAGGCACGCTTCATGCAGCGCACATAGTGAGTATTCGTTCCGAAATCCTTCGGGGTGCCGTTCCACCACGTGCTAACAAACTTGCCTAGAAACCTAGACCTGACGAGCATGTCAAAATAGCTATTAAGGACTTCACCGACAAGACTGATTTCGACAAAGAGAAGGGCAACTTAGTCAAGATCCAGAAGCTCAACCACCCACATCTGATACGGCAAATCGCTACCATCGAACAAGGGAAATCATATTATATCATCTTTCCTTGGGCAAGTGGAGGAAATCTCTCTGACTTCTGGAAGTCTCCCCGTACACCGGAGACAGAATACCTCAAACCTCTCACGTGGTGCCTTGAGCAAATGTTTGGCCTCGCGGATGCTTTATTCGCCCTGCATCATAAGTTAGGTGATCACAAGTTAGACGGCATGCATTGTCGACATGGTGATCTGAAGCCTGAGAATATCCTCTACTTCGACGGGACCTTAGTCATCGCAGATGTTGGTGTGTCCAAAGTGCACGTTCTAGGAACAGATTTGCGACACGACCCAACGAACACAAAAGCCACCACACCATGCTACGAGCCGCCAGAAGCTGAAACAGATACTAAACGCCCAAGGAGATACGACATGTGGTCGCTTGGCTGCATATTTATGGAATTTATTATCTGGCTATTGGAAGGCTATGGAGCAATCGAGGACTTCAAAAAGCAGCGCAGAGGCAACGACGACCCCTTTCCCCAGAAAGGAGCATACTATCAACACAATAAACCGGAGCCCGCAATTGTCCATCCTGTTGTAACCGCCAAGATCGAGGCACTACGGCAGCACCCTCGATGTACAAGTCAGCTGACATCTCTCCTGAAATTGATTTCCGAAGACCTTATTGTAGTTGACCCCCTAAAACGTGCAGAGGCAGGGGAATTAAGAGACAAACTCAGAGGAATCGTTCGCCAAAGAACGGGCAAAGACCCAGGCTAGTTGAAGTGCGCGGCCCGCTCCTCAGAGCACCTGGTCCCGTCACGCTCGGCGATATGGTGGCTGTTACGGATGATGGCGTTGGGCCGCGCCCTACTTACATACTTCATAGTACAGAATATTCTCACTCGTTTCAGGTTAATGCAAGCTTCGTGCCCAATCAAGCCCTACGATATAAAGTGCTTCCCCATCGGGAGGGCTTATGCTGTGAAGGGGGGTGACACCCCTATGGTAGATGCCTCTAGAATCAGCAGGCTGTTCTCTCACCCCACGCATTGCGGCGTGTGTAAAAAGCAGGGGTAGATGTATATGACTTCCCCGTCGAGTGGCGATGTGATTCACGCAGGCTTCCCCGCACTCTGCCCACACCATAAACTATGACCCCGAAAACGTCGGACATTGTCACAGGCACAAGGGAAAAGGCAAGAAAGCTTTACGATAATACAATAAATCCAAGTTGCCATTAATATCAAATTGATAAACAATCTGGTAAGAGTTACGTGATCTAGGCCAAGGTGCGAGGGTGGGATTACTTTGCTGTTTCAGCCACTGGTAGACAGATACCTCGGCATCTATCCCCTGTTCGCATCACTACTGCATAACGGTCCAGGACAAGGAGGGATCCCTGATAGAAACTGTCGAAGTCACATTGACACTTGAAGTGATAACTTGGTAGGCTAGGGAAAATACAAACATACCGAATTGAGCACATTTTAAGTGCGCATTAAACCAAGATCGGTTAATGTAAGTTCATGTATGAAATGGCGCATGTGTCCGAACAGTCGGGATTTTAGGAAAAAATGCCAAGTGCTGGAGAGGGTTAGCTATAAGGAGGCGAAAGTTGACGATTCCTGATGCGAAATCATATAGCCAAAGTACTACTATGCGTAATTTATGCACGCCTCGCCTCAACTGTCACTAATCAAGAAATTACTATTGCATTGCCTATTAATGATGTCGAACGCCTAAGAGCATGTTATTTCGATGACTCAAGATGATGTGAGCAAAAGGAAGCACGTTCTGGACAGCCCATGGTGATTGGGTGGAATTGCCAGACGAGATAACAAATGTCCGAGCGCAATGTGACCGCTGATTGACAGCAGCGATGACGAAGCAAGACATGATGAAAGTGCAAATTTGGGGGCGAAGCTGTAGTCTTGCACCACATCCCCTAAGGTGTGGCGTTCCTACATCGGTCTGCTTTCATGAAGCATTCAAGAATTAGTAGTAGTAGTATTGAAACTATGAGTACATTTGGATCAAGAATAAAGCAACAACACAGGGGGATAGGTGTAATTTATAGCCGGTGCACATCAATATAGATGCCATTCTTTACAGGGCGGAGCTGGGAGCCCTTACACTCTATAGCTTGCAATGCAGTGAAGCGCATTACCGGTGAATTTATACCTTAATGTGTAGCGTCGGGCGCGTCTGCTCAGCCTCGACGAATATTACCAAAATGCCCAGTCAATTTGCAGATTACGAAGACTGAATGTAAGGATCACTCTGGCCCCGTACATCTTGGTTTGAGACAGGTTCTCAATCAACACTGGTTTCACAGAGGATAGATATTGCATACAAATGTTGAAGTGTTGGTAGTTGTGACCCAAATGAAGGATGTGCTCACGTGACCTTCTTACTGGACAGAGACTGGATCACTGAATTTCATCACTCACACAGCCATCAACTTAAGCCAACCTATATGAACTGAGCAATGTTCTTATATAGCACAATGCAACTCCAGATCTACCAAAATTATTTTATGACTATAGTAAGAGCGATCAGAAGTATGTTTCGTAATGGCTCATCAACCATAGTTCAGAGGGGAAACGGCGCGGCGGCGCGCGTAGCAGAAAAACGTCACCAAACGGTCTAGAGCTGCTAAAGGCTGGACTTTACGGTTGTTAACAGGGCAAGCGAAGATGCTCGATGACTCGAAATCCTGGTTATTACTTATGGGCTCCCGTAAAACAGCGATGGATGCCGGAAAGCGACGCTAAGCCCTAGTGTAATTTCACAGCCACTTGGCAGGAGGTAATGCCACGATGGACCAAATAATAATGAAGGTCGTCGCATGCCTGGTGGCCCGACAAAAAGTACCCATGTATAGATGCCACGAATATGTATATGTAGTACGCAAAGAAAGTGGACTGCCGTGGGCTTCTTGCCTCATCTGTCGCATCACTGAGCACTAACCAAGTGAATGTTGTCAAATATGGTAAATATGGTAACAGGCCAAGGTTGGTCTACTTCAGCAACACACGATGCCGACAACGGAACTGGCGGACGCCAGCCATTGCGTTACCTAATCTTCGGGAACTGCAAGGAAGAAAGCCGATTATTTTCACCTGCTGTATTTAACATCGCACTCATTCGCTTTGTCCTGCTTACTAGGAGACCCTCCTTTTAGTATGTTTACCGCGCTTTTGCCAAGTTTGGCCCATCGTGTTGACGTTTCCAGAGTCCCACGAACTTTATGTGGGAATTCTTGGCAGTACGGAATCGCTCGCGACCTCCTCGATTAAGGCAGGGAACAAAACTTCTCCATTGCAGCCACAATCCTCCAGGAGCAGTGATCAGCCCTGATGATGCGATGGACGTGAAAACTATAAGGAAGATCCAAATCTCTGGTTCATCTACGGTAGTTGTATTAGTGTACATTCCTAGAGGATTCAAAAGATACTGCACGTACCTTCTATGACTAAGGTAGATACTCTAGACACACTTTGACCTTGAGGATCGACATCGAGGGTCTCTAAGCACAGCAGAGGCTATATCATAACTGAGAGATTGAGAGACTAGGGCTGCTAACGTAATCTTCTATATAAAGATGCTTAATTATCCTGTTCTCCCATTGCACTTCCAAAGCCATCACCACACCACTATCCAGTCTGTTTGGCTCTAAATCTACACTACTTTACACTACAAACATGCAGTTCAGCTTCACCACTATTCTCGCCGCCCTGGCTATGGCCACGATCACCGAGGCGCAGTCCGCGTGCGTATACATAGAAAGCCTCGGCGGCGCCTGCAATGGCTATTACCCTATCCAGTGCCAGGTTCAAGAAAGCCCATTCCCTGGAACAGGACCGGTCACCAAATGCTGTGTTCAGGGGACCTCTTGCTCATAAACGGTATTACTACCTTAGCAACTCGAGTGTAGTTTCGCTTACCTAACTATCATTATAGGTTGTCGGCAATGCATACGTATCTCGCTCCTCTGAATGAACTAGCCGCAATTCTCAGCCGTGGCTGTGGTTCGCCTTGGGACCTACAACGCGGGAATTAGTCGGGAAGAAGATGGTAGCGGCGATTTTCTATGTTGGAGGCAAGATAGTCTTAAGGATCGATGCAATATTGAACACTCAATACGGGGGACTCCATTTCTAGATGCTAGAACTTCCGCTTCTTAAGGCTCCCACACCAATACTACAAGATATATATACGACATTGGCGCATTCATCGATCTTCCCAAATGTCTCCAGTGTCTTGTCAATCGACGCCTTTACCATGACTATGTTTTTTATGTCTATAACGCATAGTAATAAATGCTACTCGGACTCGGGCACATCTTGCAACTTTGTTCTCCCAGCCTCCGATAGCTCATCTTCCGAGGTCACCATGGCAAGCATCCTTGCTCCGCGAATCAAGGTGTCGGCCCAAGTCCACGGCTCGCTCTAGCCACTGCGGCATCCTTAGCAGCACAAGAGTAAAATTAGCCGGTAGCCCTAAGGTGCTCCGCGAAGGTGGAGGTAGAAGGAGGCATAACCTAAGTAAGTACGGTATAGGTTAAAGCAGAGGGAGCCGCATGCCCCGGCGGCTCAACGGCTCCGTTTCCGTGAATACGGTACACCGGCAGAATTAACGTGCCGTTAGCAAAACGAAGGCCCAGTACAGCGGCCATGTGGTAGGGCCGCACGACCAACATGATGAGTCAGCATAAGCAGTTGAGCCGAGTTCCTAATATTGCATACAAATGTTGAAGTGTTGATATGGAAGGCTCCAGGACTGGAGGTTCTGTCATCCAATAAAGTTTTAAATAAAATAAATAATTATAACTAGTTAACTAACTAATAATTTTTATAATATTTATAAGGCAAGCGAAATACCTATGCTCACTATGGAGGTTCATCTAACTTGTACAAACCGGCCGTGTTTCCATAACCGTAAGCGCAATCACCATGTGCGAGGAAGTTTGGAAACGCTGGAGCTACGGGCGCTTAACATTCGCAACATATTATGCGTGCGATGACTGGAGTGAAGCGCATCCTGGGGCAAACGAGGAAGGCTCAGAAGATTGTGAGAACTACCAACCAGGTGTTATTCACCATACCGACGAAATGGACGAGAGATGCGAGGATTGTGCACACCTGCCAACGCCGCCCAATAGCGATGAGTGAAAAGACGCAAGAAGCATAGTAAAAGTAGCCAGGTCTATACGATCAACACCGCATTTGTCCATCACTAGAGTGATACTCTAGCAAAGTCATCGATCTGGTTCCAGAATCTTGGATCAACCTCTGCCTTAAGCAACGCTACCTGGTCGGGATTTCCAAGAAGCTCAAGCTCCACAGGTGCAATCTTCATATTGGAACGGGGCTTGTGTCGAATCATTTGACGTCTGGTCGCGGGATCTGGAGGTGATGATTCCTTGGCCTGTGATGGTTCTCGCTTTGGGCGAATGAACGGATAATCTTTAAGTTTGGCACGCATCTGAGGAGGCAGAGGGCCTTCGATGAGTTCACTATTGTTATATTGTCAGGACCAACCGCTATATCGAATGAGCGTGCTAGACATCTTACAATGAAGTGCCCGTCCATTTGTACCAAAGCACCGGGACATTATTACTACTAGACTGGCCGTGGTCAAGGAGGAAGTAACAGCGACGACCTTCGTAGGCAAAGGCAGCCCCGTACGCTTGCCAGCGGTCCTGCTCGTAGTCAAAATCTCGATTCCAGAGGTGTTGGCAGAGGAGGTTCTTCATCCTCCTGCATCGTTCCTGATAATCACCGCCCGGGACTTGATGTGTTTTGGTTTGTAGCACAATTCGCTGGGGCGCATTCGAGTTTTCATCTCTGGTGGTCATGTTGTCAGCTTCAACCTACTGAGAAGAGAATCTGGAAAGTTGACAGGTTCCAGAGTCGTACCTATTCCAAGCGGTAACGATGATCTACCTAAGAATGTCATTCTTGATGCACCAGGCTAGCGATTGGTTACCTGTCGGCCCTCGCTGTACCCCACTAACTGGAAGTCGCCCACATCCTACCACACTCCCTCCCCAAGATGAATCAAGGAGGCGAATTGGTATGCATTTTCGGTTCTGACTGTCTCCCAAGCTAAATACAAACTACCTAACAAGAGTTGGGCTTGTTAGGTTGGCCCAATGTAGAATACACAGAATCCAAAAGCATCGCGGGAGCACTACAGGTACACGGTATTTTGTATCGAAACAGGAAGCTCGCACGTCTTGTCACTGCGTAATAGCTCTGACCGCTATAGTAACTAAGAACGTTATCACCGATATGAAACATAACTTGGCTATCAATATATGTCAAAGTTTCTCCTAGCAATCCATAAGGTTGCGATTGATATCTAGCTGCTAGAAACTGTTCTAGATAGCGGAGCTAAAAAGGTTGGAAAGGCTGAGCGCCGTGTGATACAGGAGTTCCAAACACAAGCAAAGGAACCCAGCAGCCTCAACTTGCAAATGGGCGTGCCTTAAACTTTTCCAGTTCCCGGTTCACATTTGCTAAAAACTCGCGATGATTCCAGACCATAATATAACCCTCTGGCTTATCCTCTTGAATCCAATCGTATTGTGAAGACGAGGTCTTATTATTAGCCTGGCAATCCTCCAATCGTCTGCGTTTACACCTTCTTTTGTTTCCCCATGGCGCCGCTTCAGCTTCCTCTATCAAGCTACTCTGCCTAGAAGTGTCTGTGGGTTGATTTTGGTCGGACGGGGTCGGCCGCGATCTCCTAGATGGGTCGCCTGTCCTACTAATAACGGTCTCTGTTTGCATGCTTCTCGAGCTCGGCGTCGCGGGGAGGTCGTATCTTGTATCAAACAGCGTGTTTGTTCCGGATCTAGCTATCCTACTCATGCTAAGCGAGGTGACATCCAAACTCGGCCTCTCCGCCGCCATATTCTCGATGCAGGACATCTCGTAATGATGTCGGAGGGCCTTGCGATCGATAGTCGTGGGCACTGGTGCTCTCCGCCCATTGAACTTAGCCAGGACGTCGTATGGTACAAACACGCGGACACGGAATGTGCGGGGATGGATAGAAAAGAGCCGTGCGTCGCAAAACTCGTGGAGGTGCGAGGATGCCGTTCCTGGGGCTCCAGGTGTTTTGCCAGGCTTCTTGAAGCCTGCGCGGACTCTCCTCCACGGGCCCATCTTCATTGTATTAGCTGCCGATAATGGGGTAAAGATAGTAATGGTGTTGAGGAACGATGTGGCAGGCCTGGACGCCAGGGCCGATAGGCGGACCCGGGCACCATGGTTCGCCTTCACCTGAGACGGCACAGCAAGTTGCTCTGTTCAGGCATGAGGACCTGAAATCATTTATAACCCTCTTGGCCTCGGTGACGTCTATGTCCATACCAGTCGGCGCAAGCATGTTGTCCAATTCATTGTTGTCGGCGTCGTCCGAACCACCCTTCCTCGGCGAGATAGAGCCGGATGCGGATCGTTTGGGTGGGGGGATTGGGAGCGGGCTTTCATCTTTTGCCGGAGTGGCATAAGCGTAAGCCTAGGATCGGAAGGCGTCTTATTCGGCGGTAAGTATTGAGGATCGCGACGGCGGACGGGGTTGGGAAGGTTTCGAGCGCATCTGGGTGGAGGAAGTAGGTTAGTAATACAGACCGGGAGCCAAACGGACGCGACGTGCACTAACCGACCTTGAAGATGAGTATGTAGGGGTGAATTGGGAGGTAGATGGCAATGCTCGTGGTAGATAACATGGTACTTGATTACATTCTGCTCCTTGGGACGAGATGACGCCACACTCGGTACGAGTTGATCTAGCAGGTCTCCTGTTACGAAGGACGGACAGAGCGGTGACGAGCTCTGCAAGTTGGGATGGTCAGCCAAAGCGAAGGCAATGCTAGCCCACGGATTGTTGTTGTCATCATCGTCGTCCTCATCGCTCTCGCTGCGTGCTGTATCGTTTAGGAACTAAAAGCAGAGGCGCAGTTCGTCGCAAACGTGGCGAAAGGTCACCAAGTCACTCCCTGCGGCCTGGTAGATGCCGGCAAAGACACCGGGATCCTCTTCATGTCCCCTATGGTGAAGTGTACATGCCGCCCGACAGCTCGCATAGAAGGTGTAATCGCAGCGCTGGACATGGCGTTGCCGCTTCGAGGATTCTGTATGTTGATGCTGAAGTAGAGAGAATGACGGCTCTAAAGTGGGCCACAACTGTAGCATTTGGATGTTGGCCCAGCAACATCGAGCCTTGAAGAGAAATTAAACTACCGGCCGGCCTCAATCTACATTGTGTATTACTACGTACAGCACCTTTCAATTTCCGTCCTTTGTATTTTCATCCCTGTTACTCCTACATTACACCCCAATTTTCTCCTCTTCATCACTATTGACATGTCCCCGCGAATCCGCGCTCTCCATTTTACAACCTGTGCAGATGTAGCCCATAGGGGTGCGCAACATGTTCAGTCTTACAACGTACCGTTAGCCATTCCAGAACGAAAGCAGCCGGATTAGCTACGATCTTATTGGAGTCATTAGCAATGCCCATTATATACTCCGCCACTACTTTCCACTCGTCTTCATCAACGTATAAACAACCAGCCAAAATCCCAAGCTTAACCTTGATCTGCTTAGGAATATGAAACCCGGTAGGCAGCTCAGGGTAAGCGTAGAAGTCAAGATAATTAAATTGCACCATCGCTTTAATCACCGCTGCTATATATATGATCAGGTGAACGCGTGGCTTACCTTGCTAACTCCGCAGGTAAGCTAAGAGATGCTCTGCCATTTTAGGAATGACGACAAGGCAGTTTCGGTTTGGGGTAACTATATTATCCATTCTACGGGACGCTGGACTATTGTCAGCGTTTGCTTTTAACTTAACGGTTGTGATCTTTTACTTACCAAGAAATTGTCGTCGTTGTGAGAATTCTTAACGATTAGTATAGTCCTTATGAACTCCTTCGAGATAAAAAGTCTTTACTTTTCTTTTTAATTTAATTAACTTTTTACAATTTATTAAGTTATTAAATTATTACGTGATAGCGCACCGACGTTTTTCATATACCTGTAGAGGGTGGCCAGGTTAATTAGGAGATGCGTTACCCTTATTATCTTAACCCTTATTGGGGTTACATTGTTATGCTTATCGAGCAACAGTAAAGATATAACTAGCATTTAAGATTTTAAACCTAGTTAATGATTTAGCAGCTAAGTACTCCGAAATAATCGCGCCTTCCACCTGACGGATTGAAGCTCTTGAGACACAGGAACTGGGAGAGCATCTTGGATATTTATCATGTGGCATCTCAATTAGAACTTAAATGGAGAGCTGTCCAAAGCTGCGTTGTGGAGGCTGCTTTGTATCTAGGGACCATTCTTTCTCCGGATACCTAAGGAAGGGAAACAGGTAGCATTTGCTAAGAACGGATGACATCGCAGGTTGACGGTAGCAAGTTGATTGAAGTTAGGGCTGAGAGCTTAGAGGTGTATATGTCAAGGTTGCAATTCTCGCTCTTCAAATTGATGCTCAGATCACGACCTGCCTTCGCCAGAACAAAGATAGAGAACACTTGATCACTCCGTGAGCTCCAGGCACCACTACCGACAATGACCAATAACAGATTCGAGTGCTAGCCACTTGCAACAGTCCTTGAATGTCTGGCGAAAATCGTGGCTGACGTGGCATTTCTATGTATGAGTCAGTGACGTTATCGGTTTTGGGGACACATTGGGGTTAAATACTAGATTGGTTGTCTTGAGTCCCATATTGGCACAACAAATAGATGTGGGATCCTTCACTACACTCACGAGTTAGCGATGCTGTCACCTTCTAGCTTGCATTTCCAATGAGAATAAATTTATTTGGTCATGCTCAAGAAGAATGGTAATAGACAGCAGAAAATGGCCAGCAACAGAATACATACTATTCGAACCATTCACACTATTCATGCATATACAATCATCTGGATCAAGGGCCCATCTGCAGACATCGGTCTGCCTCTCAAAGATGTTGAGCCCTTCAGCGATGCTTGATAGCAGACCGACACTGACGAAGTAAAGGAATCTCATGCTGACCGAATAGTATCGAAATTTTGATATACGAGCTGTAAAAGCCATTAACCTGGCGCACGTTTTGGGAGCGGGAACTGAATGTTAAGTATGTCAAGCTAGATCGTATGGTTGACTATATCCTTGAAAATGTCGATATCAAGCTCGTTGATCTCCGGCATGGCGAACCGAGGTCTGCCATGTGCATTATTACCCGGCGTGGCGCAGTTCGTAATAGGGCAACAGCGCAAGTTAATATAGGATAGTGAAACGCTCCCGGGTGCTTGGAACCATGGATAATGCATCGCTTATGAGAGGGGAATGAGTTCGCGTGCTCCTCTCCAAGCTGATGAGTGGCGTGATCCGGTACCGAGGAGCTTCGTGGGGGTGTATCCTAAGTAGCTCTTAAATAGGCTGAAGATATACATATCATCATAGACCCCAAAATCGGGTTCGGCCACAAAAGGACACCTAAAAAAAGAATTCGCTTAAATGAACAAGCCAACAGCGAAGTGTGACGTTACCATGGAACCTCGGTGTAAATGTTCATAGCTCGGAAGGATGCTTTCTTGGGCACAGGACGACGTCTCAATATGAAGTGGTTTTGCCTATTTGTACTCTTAAATGGTATTATCTGCCAGTCTAGATGTTGCGATTCGAGTCTAGACGTCGAAGTCATACAAGAGGCGAACACGCCGCAATTTCCTATTGGTGTATTGTGTAAGCTTTGGTAGCATCGCTAAGGAATACCTATCGTCATCTTTTCTTCACATCTCCAGACAAGTTAATATAGGCCATGAAATTGAGTGCCACATATAGGTAGTGTATGTAATACCAGGCGATAAGGACTAAAACTCGGTATGCTTAGATGAGATGTGATTAAGATCTAAGAGAAGAGACTTGATATATGATATGCAAATGAGCATCTAGGCCTCAGTCAGCTGGGATGAGAAAGTTGGCTTCAGCGTGCGAAAGCTGAAGAACGGGGAAGAAGACGAGAAATGCATTGGACCACCTGTGCGCGTTCGACGGCTACTGGGAACATGAACAATTCACCATTCTAGACTTTTAGGTCAAAGTGGCCGCTTATTTAATGCAGATTACGCTTGGTTCGATGATAAGCTTAGAGTCGATATTTGAATGTTTAGGCCTCGGCAGCTGTCTCCTGGCTCGTGTTCGCGTCGTTGCGGCGGTCGTGATCGTATCTTACAACCCCGCCTCCTCCTTTCACCAAGTGCCAAGCCTTATGCGTGGTCCCTTTCATTCGCAAATATCCAAGCGAGAAGTACATAGCTTCTGCTTATTTGTCGAGAGCGAGTGTTCGTTCTTCTGTAAATGCTCGTTGATGGTGCGCCGTGGTGTGGTTGACGAGAAAAATCTCGTAGAATGAAGGGGGCAGCGGAACAGAGAAAGCGAGAAAGCAGAGTTAAAGTGGACAAAGTACGGAAAGGGTTAACGTAGATAAGTACTGACACTAATTACCTGGTTTCGTAGAACAAGAAGGGTAGAAATATAAACATGCCATTTAAAGTTGAAGATAGATAGACTATATAGAGTTTGCGGTATCGCTGATCAAAGCAAGCCACCATATCCCAGAAACCCGGGAGAATAGCGGGACCACTATGGTACACACATATGTAATATTAAAATTCTTAAGCTGATCAAGCCAGTATAAAGTTAATATCGAGCCGAGGGCTCACACACCACAAGAGTCTAACGTCAGACGGCCCTCTGCAAATCTCCGGCTACATATTCAAAAGTTAGGGTATTCCTCGCGGATGTATTTATCCAAAATAGGATGCTCTTATACCTATAGTATATAGTATACCTCAGGTACAGTGATAGTATAATATGAAGTATAATTACACTTCGGAGACATGAGACATATTCAATTACACGAGCAAAAATGTACATTGCAAAAGGGCATGTCACAGCACACTGACTAAGAGTAAGAACTAGAAAAATAAAGAAAAGAGATGTAAGAGGTGCACTAGATTCTTCAGCTCACGAAACAGGTCGATTAACGCATCTCGTAAATAATGAGTATAATTATATAAATGCGGGTTCGTAATATGAAGCATACATCTATATACAATGAACCAAGCCATCCGATATGGAAAGATTATTCAAAACAACCAAGTTAACCAATGATTTAGGCGTTATGGGGTAATTCCAACTAAAAGTCCCTCGTCCTAAGAAGAATTACATATGTGCTCAAAAGAGCCTTCGACAATGATACTAGGGCTCCAACAAGCTAGACATTATGTAGCGATACCACTTGCATTCTAGACAACACGTCCGGGTGCGGACGGATGGGCCGTAGGATGACCAGCGCCGGCCGCCGCATGCTCGCCATCGCTAGCACCAGCACCATTTTGTTGATACTTTTCTGCCGTCTGGTCAGGCTCGCGGATATTGCGACCTAGAGCACGGGGAGAGATATTGCGGTGACCCCAGAGGAGCAGACCGGTGAACACGATCTTGGACATAACATCAAGAATGCCGTAGAAAATAGCTTCGGAATCAGGATGAATGACATTGCCACCCTCAGATAAGCCCCAGGCGATCGGGTACAAGAACCAGAGAAGTAAGAGCCACTGGTATACGCGTGTCAGAAAGTGACATGTCAAGTGTCAAATGAAGGGGATGACCAGAAACCAGGAAGCTCTGAGTAGGCAAGCCTGGGGAAGAGGCATTCTAGTTGAGAGCAGTCGTGACAAGGAGCACAGAATATCAGTAGGGAAGTCCACTTACAGGGGTGCATATCCAAAATGTCTTTTTAGGAGCGCCGCCTAGTACGTTCGCGTGACGACGAGCGTCAAACAACAGCTCGTAAGCAATCCAAAAGAGGGCCGCCATGCCAAAAGCATAGAAACCCCATTTATACCTTGTCGAAGTGAGCGCACCAATGAGACCGCAGACGATCATGAATAGGTCGGCGAAGATAGTCGCCAGTATGGTAGGTGTACTGACACCTGCAGTGAGTAGAAGGTCGAGTAATAACAGTGGTGTGGTTATGGCCCAATCGATATAGCGAGCGTAAAAGATCTCTCGAGTGCCGGCGGATCTAACCCAGCGGCTTCCAGGACGGGCCCATTCGACTAAGATGGGGAGCTGACCCAGATTAGATCCCATAGCGAAGTAGGCCACACTAGCCACAGCGGTGATCGCGGCAGATATGTAGTGGAATAAGCGGTGGGTTTGGGGCTTCCTGAGCGCCAGGGCCATTATGATGAGAGAGGTTAACCCCATCATCGCGCATACCGTGTAGTACCAGTCAGAGCCGTGTCTTGTGATCTGCAAGTTGGCTTGCTGACCAACATATCTGTTGGTATTGAGGGCCTGATTTCCCGACATGGTAATGGGAACTGAGGAGACAGTTCTGGAAAGTTATCGCTGGATTTGATGCAGGGGATATGATAATTAATTCTACGAAGTGAGAAGGATGCGGTGTCAAATTTGGGTTGGAGGGGGGACGCTGCTATTTGAAACCCTACCATTAGATATCAATGATCAAGCACTTAGGCTTTTGCATCATATATTGATTGGTATATGACTTCATCTCTCTCGCATGTCAGGGATAACGACGTCAAGCCTTGATCAGAGTAGAGAACAGCCAACTTCGGGGATTCTCCTACGATGTAGAATAGGACTATGTCATCACTCTGTTAGATCCAACTCAAACCTCAAGCCTAGGTCACTTTAGACCTTGGCTTTCTCGGTTTACGGCCCTCGCATACAAATAACACAAGATTATTGAGCGAGTATGATCGCTTGAGTAGGATCCGGCCCAACAGACTCACGTCTAAAGGAACGGTGATTCTCAGCGATGGCACATGCGCAGCTGATATGTTGCCGCGCAATGAAGGCTCGCTTCCTGGGCAATGACGATAGCAATTATTATGGCATCTGGTCATACAACTGACCAAGACTAGGGGACATAGTCGAAGCTTGCCAGAGTATGGTCGATTTAATTCTGATGTCACCACTCTATATTCCATAGATAGATCCAATATTAGGTTTGGTGTCGGTGAGGTGAAGGTCTTCTGGTCCCTGGTGCTAGATCTGGATTGGCTGCCTTGCAAGACCCTGGTATGGCACAGAAAGCCACAACATAACCATGATTTCTCTTCATCAGCTAAGTCTATGACGAGTTCATTGTGGTGTCAAAGACAACCTCACGTTCAGTGTCCTCATGGTCTAATTCTCGCAAGTAATGCGTGTTGTGTAACAATTGCATCATAACCCCGACACAGGCAGATCTAGCAAATTACGATTAGAAACACGAGAGTGCCAGACAATTGGGGATGAGCTCCAAGGTGGGATGCTAAGATTCATCCGCGTGTATTTGTGTAATCGGTTGCTGCGATGATTATGAGGGGCTGACTTTGATTATTTGTGTGCCTGAAGCACACACATTTTGGAGGTCGCATCATCTTTATTCCGAAGAGTTTCCCTATTGATAAGCAACCGATATTAACACGATGGAAAAAGATCAACCTGGGTTACCTCATCCGTAAGACATTTGTATCCGACAGAAGAAAAAACGTCTCTGACTGTTGCGCAAAGGTACTTATCGGGGAATTTCGCTCCTATCAAGCGTACCCGACCCCTTACATGGTGTCCACAGTTAGTTTCCTGAATCACCCTCTTTAGCCGAGCTTGAGATCTTACTGCTCTACGTGATTTCGAGGCATAGGATTAAGTCTCAGCTTCTTTCCATAATGATTGATATTAACGCCTAAACAGTAGCGGAACTATACCACCTGAGCTCGCAGGAGGTCAATATGTTCGGAACGGAGCAAACCCACTTGCTAATGAGGACCTAGCACGACATGCTCATTGGTTTGATGGCGATGGGATGCTTAGTGGGGTATTGTTTCGGCGGGAAATGGGGGAGAGGATCGAGCCCTACTTCGTAAACCAGTACATTCTTACAGATGTGTATTTAAATGCAAAAGGGAGTCACAGTTTACGGAGACCATTGCTTCCGAGTATCTCGACGCTCATTGGAGCATCAACCTTCGCCGTCATCCTAGCTGTTGCGAGAACGATCTTCCTCATTCTATTATCGAGGCTTCCCGGCTCCCGCAAGGCCGTTAAAAAGATCAGCGTGGCAAATACCGGTATGATTTATCACGATGGCAGAGCTCTTGCAACATGTGAGAGCGGGCCACCCATGAGGTTTCAATTGCCTGGTCTGGAAACAGTCGGGTGGTATAATGGGCGGAAAGCGGAGAATGAGCGTGGTAACGATGAACGCGCAGGCTTTGGCGGCGAGGGTCATATAAGCTTCATGAAAGAATGGACTACGGGACACCCGCGAGTCGATCCGGTCACGAAGGAGCTCATCTCAATCCATGCTGTGCTTGTCAAACCATACGTTTTCTACTCGGTTATCCCACCAGGAAGCAGGGTGGCTTCGAAGCACGAACGTGCACGAAGACCCATCTTCGGTGCCTCCATTACCGGGGTTCATTCTCCGAAGATGATGCACGATTTTGGCGTGGCCGCACATCATACCGTTATCCTCGACCTTCCTTTATTGATGGATCCTCTACGCCTCGTCTCGGGGAAGCCTATGATCGCATTCGATCCGGTTGGACGATCACGCTATGGGGTCTTTCCGCGTTATGAACCGCACAGGATTCAGTGGTTCGAGACAAAACAATGCCTCATTTTTCATACGGCCAACTGTTGGGAGACATACACGTTCCAACCATTTGCGGAGACATGCGTCCATCTCGTGGCTTGCCGGCTGACATCGGCCTCGGTGTTGTACAATGCTGGTGCGCTCTCATCGCCAACTCCCAAAGCAGTGCCACCAGAGTATGTGGAGGAGGATCAGTGCAGACTCTACTACTATAGCTTCCCTCTCGTCCCCGATAGTTTAGACGAAAAGCCAGTGATCCGCAACCAGTGGGCGTTGTCAGCAATTCCATTTGAGTTTCCCACTGTATCAGCCCAGTGTGCCATGTCGGCAGCACGCTTCGTATACGGCTGCAGCATGGGCTCGCAGTCGCACTATTCAACAGCCCTAGGGAAGGCAGCTAAAATGGACTATTTGGCCAAGATTGACGTCGAAAGACTCATCGCTCGAGGGACGGCTCATCCGCCGCAGCAGATTACAGGGTGCGTCGACAAGCGAACCATCGACGAGGTGATGGACAGCGATGATGCAAATGATCCGATCAAGCTCTTCCGCATGCCAGCAAACTGGTACGCGCAAGAAGCACGATTCGTGGCACGGAGAGGGGCGTCATCCGAGGATGACGGGTGGCTGCTCACGTACGTGTTTGACGAGTCCCAGCTGGATAGCAGGGGCGAGTGCGGAGAGGAGGCCACAAGCGAGCTTTGGGTGATTGATGCGAAGAGCATGAAAGACGTGACTGCGAAGGTCCGTCTCCCACAACGTGTACCATACGGTCTTCACGGCGCGTGGTTCCCGGAAGAGGAGGTCCTAGGTCAAAGGCCAGTTGAGTCTTTCCGGCGTGAGGTTCCTGAGGAAGCGCTGGATCTGTCGAGCGCGTTGTCACGGACACGGGACGTCATGGAGAAGTTAGTCGGCTAAGGAAGCTGAGCTGGGGTAGGGGTAGGTGATGCGGACAATGTTGTGAGTGATGATAAGCGTAAGCGACTCGCGAATGATACCTCAGACACTGGATGGCGAGTCCTTGATTCTCTTTTCTTTTTTCTATTGTCTGCATTTATACGAAGTAAGTAGGTATAGTAGCATCTTAATATACTCGTGATACTACTACCTAGTATTGCCGATGGTCGATCTCCGCCGAGACAGGTCTGAGCTGGGACTCGGGCCTAACCCCACCTGCACGCACACTTTTGGGGCGAGTGCTACCCTAGTCTACTGTAAGTACTATATAGTATATACATATACCGAGATGGATGGCAGGGGGGATCTTGTATGTGTACTCGACTCGAGAGGTCTTTTCCCTTGTACTTACATAGCAAGTAAAGTACCTATACTTATGTGGCATGATGTGGTGTTAGGATCTCGGTACTCTTCCCTGCGTGTGTTACGTCGTCGGTCGACAAACTGGGACGGAAGGCTTCCACAACATGGCAAGCGAGCACTTTTCAATTCTTCCGAATTTCCTCAACTTTGAAGGTTTGTTTGTATTGAACCGTGCTATGATGGCATAATTTTCCCTCTCCCTATCAGACCAATCTACGAAGTACTCAACCACGGCTTTCTCACATCGCTGGCAAGCGCCACGCTGATCCCTTTGTCTCCCCTATCGCATGTCATGATCCGACGAATACAAGTCCAGATGTACAGTATCATGGAGAGCGTCCGCAACTGTCCTTCGCAACCCTTGCAGTCCGCGACTTGAAACATCGTCCCAAACCAAGCGACGACGCCCGTAGTGCCAGGCAGCCATGGAATTGATACCCTATTCATCGAGGGAGGGTCAAATAGTTCTGTACGTGTCTTCATCCCATCGCTTGCTCACCCTGCCTTGCCTTGGTGCCTTTCATCTTCATTGTTCCTACATGCCTATGTACCCCCCATCTCGAGTCGGAGGTGGCGATGAGGATGGGATGAAAGCGATGAAGAGGAAGATGCAGACAGAGAGCGAGAGCAAGACCATCGTGACCATAAACCATGCATGGCATACAACAAGGTAATGATAGCTGACTACTGAACCCCGCCTGCCCGTGGATTAGTCGCCACCGCGATGCCCTTGTCGTTCGTGATCACGCCTCGCAGCGCCTTGAGGTTCGAGGTGCGCCTGTCGCCGAATGTCCCACCTGCAAACGACCTCTACGCTCCTCGTCCCCCGAGCGCCATTTCGATGCGCCTCCTCAGCATCGCGAGTCTTGGGTGGATCCCCAATACTTCCGCATGCTACAGGCCGGCCATCATGGACAAGAGGATCCCCAAGACGCCCAGCCTTCTTTCAGCCCCGTACGCCGCTTAACTCAACCTGCCCTGCCTAGCGGCGATGTGAACGTTGGCGTCCAAGACGATGCCGAATTTGTTTCGAGCGCGTCGGCGCCCCAAGAAGGTGCACGCATCCGCCGAGAAGCGTTTAGTCCCAACTACTTCACGACCTTTTTTGTCGAGGAACGTGAGCTCGGTCGCGGTGGGAAGGGGGTTGTGTTGCTTGTCCGCCATGAGATAGACGGATGTCCCCTTGGACATTTTGCCTGCAAGAGAGTACCCGTCGGCGATGACCATGCTTGGTTAGAAAAGGTGCTCGTTGAGGTTAAACTTCTCGCTGCCCTCTCACATCCCAACCTCGTGTCTTATCGCCATGTATGGCTGGAAGATGTCCATATTCACCGCTTCGGCCCAAGCGTTGCGTGTGCTTTCATACTCCAACAATACTGCAATGGCGGTGATCTCCTACGCTACGTAGTTGGCGATCAACCCAAGCAGACTACCAAGGAGCAATTAAAGGCTCAAATACGGCGCCGTTCCAAAGGCCAAGGAGAACGGCCATCTGAAGTGACACCGTCGCAACGTCGATTGTCCCTCGAAGAAATCTACTCACTCTTCAAAGACATCACCTCGGGACTTGCTTATCTTCACAGCGCCAACTACATTCACCGTGATTTGAAGCCAAGTAACTGTCTCCTGCACCACGAAAATGGCAAACTCATATGCCTGATCAGCGATTTTGGTGAGGTACAACCGAGGAATGCCGTACGCAGCTCAACGGGCACCACTGGCACTATATCTTACTGTGCTCCTGAAGTTCTGAAAGTAGATGTCCGCGGTCAGTTTGGAAACTTTACCGTGAAGTCAGATGTCTTTTCCCTGGGCATGATTCTGTATTTCCTCTGTTTTGGCCGACTTCCCTATAGGAACGCCAACGTCGTCCAGGAAGAACTAGAAGATATCGATGAACTCCGTGCTGAAATTGCGGATTGGAAAGGTTTTCTAGATGAGCGGCGAGAGCGGCCAGATCTGCCTCCAAAATTATACCAATTGCTTAAGAAGATGTTGGCATTGGACCCTGGTGAGCGACCGACTGCGACAGAAGTACTGGATATGCTAAATCACGAATCAAGTCAAGGCGGCCTACGCGGGCCACGGCCTACAAGCCCTCCGGCTGGCATACCAGGTCGCAGGATTCAGAACCTAGATTCCCCCATGCCTCCCAGCACACCCCAAGCCGACCCCATGAAACAGCAGTCGTATGGTAACGGGGACTCCGCACATGATTTTATACCGTCCCGCAATCTGATATCTCCTATTGACCATTCTCCGCAGCCTACATCAGCCAATAGCGTGCTCAAATACCGAGTGCCCAATAGCCCCCGGCGCCAGTCCAACGTCATGATGTTGTCTCGAAGTCAGGAAAGGCATCAGTCCTCAGATCCCATGTATACCTCAGGATCTCCCAGTCCACAACCCTCGCCAACCGTCCAAACTCCGCTCCTAATGCCAGCCCCAGTCGGCCCACTAGGTAGCTTGAGCTACTATGCTCTCCTTTGTCAACACCATATGACCGCATTCTCCCAGGCAAATGCTACAGTAATCCTGCTTTGTTTCAGACTTTCTTTATTCTCGATCAAATTCGCATCACTCACAAGGGTATGTTGGCCTTATATGACCAACTTAGGCATTGGGATCCCGCTCGTTGGTGCTGCAGGCTTAGACTTGGCCATATCCTCAGAAGTAGGCAACGGTCAGCTGAATAGTGGGCGAGCGAGATATGGTAATCACACCCCATTCGCGTGGCATTGGGGCTGGAGAGGCAGCTTATTGTTACTTGCGCTACATTTCTCTGCGTTGTGGATAGCTTCTCGATGGGGCGAACTTTGTGCTCCTGGTCGAGGAGGCTGGGCCGACTGGTGAATCATTAGTACCCAAGTAACCTGCTACTATCAAGCATCCTGTAACATTATCTATAGTTTCCCTCACCCGTCGGCTACAGTTGAATATGGTAGAGTGTAAATATCCAGAGGAATGCACTTCATATTACCAATCACAATGATCTGGTACCCCCGGTCAACACAATGCTCATACCCGTGTCAGTTTTCAAAATGTAATTGATTCTTATTGATTATCCGAGTCAGGTGTGCTATGAAAGATAAATATTTCAGAATTCTCAACTTAGTCCTCATGCATCCGCATCTCCAATTAAAAGGCCCGAAGCCGCCCACCCGGCCGTGCGATCCCGAATCCTCGCCACACTGGCATCGGCCGCTCTAGACGCCGCCTCATAGGCACGGCGATACACAGGTAAGCTATCCGAGAACAACGGCCTCCTATCCGTCCAACCCGTCAACTTCCTAATCTTGGTACTATCGACCCAGTGCGTCTGCCCAAGCATAACGTGGAGGACGCGCAGTTCCGGATCCGTGACCTCCGAGGTCCGCGCCAGGGTGATTCCGACGCCGTACTCGGCGCTCAGGGCCGCCACGATGTCGGAAACCGTCTCGTATCGGTACCCCGAGACATTAAAGCATTCGCCGCGGACCTCTGCGCGGACCGGATGCGCCGCGAGCGCGACGTACGCGTCCGCGCAGTCGTCGATGTGGCAGCCGTGGTAGATGTTATCGGGGTGTCCTGGGAGTTTCACGACGTCTCCGCCCGCGGCGACTTTTCGCAGTGCTTCGAACAGCACGCCGTAGTAACTCCCGCCGTACCCGTACACCGCCGTGGGACGAATCACAGCTGCGTCGAAGAGATCGCTGTGCTCAAAGACGCCTAGCGTGCAGAACGTGCGCGTCTTCAGCATATCCTCTGGCTGGAGCGGGGATTCCTCCGTGTGCGGCGCCAGTCCAGCGGTGCCGTGACGCCCTGTCTCGCCGTAGTCTTTGCACCCCGAGGACATGAGCACGAGGGGCTTGGCGGCATTGCAGCTGCGCGCGTGACGGGCTACTTTTGCGAAGAGAGAGAGGAGGTGTGCGAAGTGCTCGTCGAAGGGAAGCTGTTCGGTGCAGGAGGCGACGACGTCAAAGGGGCGTGTCGTAGTCTCGGAAAGCAGCTCGTCGACGAAGGACAGATCCGCTGATATAGCCCCGATCACAGGGGTGATTTCCTCCGCCAGGAGCGTGTCGACTGCGTCCGCGCGACGCGCGAGGCCGTAGACGCGCCAGCCGGCGCGCACGAAGGCCCGGGATACGGCGAGCCCGATGTACCCGTTTGCCCCTGTGACGAGGACTGTCTTTGGGGCAGGGCGCGCGGCGGCGATGGTCGCTTGGGCGTATGACATTATGATTTAAGTACTAGTTACTAGGTACTTGCTGTCTTCAATGACATCTAGTGATACCATTGATTCAGTTGCCTCCCCAACCATCGTGGCCCCCTTTCTCTTTATACAACACCAGCGATGGAGCAACATCGTTCCTCTCAGTGTGCACGGAATTCCGCGATTTGCGATTTGCAGCTCTGTTAGTCAGCTAAGGGGGCTGGAATCATAGCGCCGGCATTTATAACATGGCCGTCTTGCATGGCCTGCGTATTGCTTTTATCACTTGCAGATCTGGATATCTAGTCTGCATTGAATTGGTCAAGTATCGTCTAGGTTAACATGGGTCATCATTGCTACCTGACTTAGGCCCAACCGGCTCAGATACCGAAATTGAGGGTGGTACCCGAGCTTTGGCGTAGCCTAGTTCGCCTCGTACCCTTCTTATCATGAAGCTGTTGGAAGCTACGAATGAGCAGAGGTCGCAGGAACAGGGTAATGTACTGCATCTACGTGGAAGTAATAAGGAAAATCGTGAACAGAAAGCTCTTTGAACTGCTGAAATGATATGTTGGTATACGGCATCAACGTATGTTGTCTCCTAAAAGGAGAAACACTAACCCATGTGATAATTCGCGACGAGTCGACTGTCGTCGTATAATATTGATCTCATAGCTAAACCAGGCACCGGAGGTCTTTCGGACATATAGACAGCAAAAGCGGTGTATAAAATAACACTTGCCACAACGTCAACGCCCAATATCAATGCATTTAGTAGTCTGAAAGCCCAAACGCACGTTAAAGTGAATTTCACCGCAATGACACCCGTACTCCGAAGATAGATATCGCCGCCACGCTTGTAAAACATCAAGAACGCCTCCGCAGCCAAGACTCCTTTGTGTATATGAGCAAAACGTGGAATTCATGCACTGTCCACTCATCCCAAGGGATCGCGCCATCAATTAATTCCCTAACCCAAACCCGCAATGTCATGTCTCATTAAATTTAGCAGGCTTAGATCAGCACAGCCAGTTACTCATGCCCCTTGCCCAGGATACGGTATCCTTGGCGACATTCGCAGATCTAGACGTTGTCCCCGCACAGCTCAAGCATCTCCGTCTCTCACCAAGATGAGTGATAGAGCAGTGTGAGCAGACATGCTTGCCGCAGACGCCGCAGCTCGTCGCCTGCGAGCCAGACAACGCATCATCGACGTCCATCATATTTTCGTCGTCACCACATAGTTTCTGTCCGCAATCCTCGCATTCCGTTGGCGTGTCCACGGCTATTGACGGTAGGCATGCAGCTGGGAGAGCCGATGGCCGTGATGGGAGATTCCAGAAGCTGTGGAGGTTTCTTTGATGGGAGGGTGCTAATGATGATGATGGGCATGAAGGGGCCGGCTGTACAGCTGTAGGTGATTGCTGCTGTTGATTACTTTCTGTGCTTGTTCCTTGGGAATGTTGTCGCTGTGCTGTGTACAGCATATCAAGGGTGCGTTCTGTCCATGTAAAGATAAGTCATGGTTTCATCTTCGGGCTGGTTATGGGGCTGCCACGTAGTGATGACTACGGATTCCGACCAGAGAGGAACTTACGATGCACTTCATGTTCAGAAGGACGATTGTCCCGAAGCCGTTTCATTGTGCGTCCCGGGACATGGAGATTCGTATTGCTGAAACGCGACAGGGGCGAGACGGGATAATGTGCAGTGAATGTGAAGTCGTCCATAGACACGTCGGCAGACTCGGGAGAAAAGCAATTGACTCGAGGAGGTGAATTGAATGTGCTTGTCGTAGACGTCGACAACTCGGAGTCGGAGCGCTTACGTTTCAGCAGCATGACGACGAAATGTCGATGATGAATAAGACGATGATGATAAAGAGAAAAGTATGGTTTATGAAGAGTCGAAGCTCCTACGAGTTACGTTCCTTTGATGCAGGCGTTGATACTGCGAAGAGCTAGACAATACGGATAGTCAATGAGTCGCAATTGTTGTGGATTGAGAAGCGCCTGTTGAGATATAAGGAATATGGTACCGTAGCAAGGCAGGGAGGGAAGGAGGCTGAATAAATGGACCGGGCAAGGATGTCCGTGCTAAGAGGTGGTGTCGCGACGGGACGTGCCAGGGACGCGACCAGCCCCGCCAACACGCGTTAAGAGCTTTTTCATGAACAAACTTGGTCCCATTCTTAAGCCCGTGATACTTGGTCAATACTCAGTCAATACTACGTACTCAATAGAGGATACTTAGAGAAGCATCCACACCTTGACCAGGTTACAGTAGCCCTTACAGCTGAATCAGAACAACTCCGAGATTACCTACCGAGTGGTCAATTCACATACTGCCGCCCGCTCTCTCATTTCTCACGAGACCTTCACGCGCAGTAAGCTGTAGCATGTCGGAACACCATCCCCTCGTTTCTGCAGGGAATAACTCCACAGCTGAGAGACATGGTTTCAGCATTCGATTGGGAGAGACTGTGCTTCCGCACCGCTCTGAGCACGTTGCAGATTTCCGCATTCGGTAATATTACAGACACGTAACAGCAAGCTTACTTAGGTATTTGGCCTTAACACCCCATGAGCCGCACTAAATAAATTGTCGGCGTACGAAATTCAACATATAAAAAACTATCTTGACATTGGACAACGGTCAGCTCTACCGTACACATACATAGGATGCACACCATCGGCTAAGAATAATCTTCGCAGGCCACTGGAAACATCCTTGGCCTTTTGAGTACATCCACCCACCCCCCTTCGCTCAGAACCCCCTCTTGCCTCTTTGGAGACGTTCACTTTTGTGTCATTACCATACATATGGCAGTATCAACGGCTAGGATGAATCGCTCTTTGCCTCATCCTCAAGGAACCGTGGATCCTGTAGAACTTCGGTAGCAGAGCATCGTACTGCAGAATTCTCCGAATAAGTCATTTAACTTTGCGTACTTTGCGTACTTCTTCCTCGTCGATCTCCAGCTCTGCTTGATCGATTGCCTCTTCCATGGACGGCTCTTCCAGCAGAAGCGGCTCCCTACCTTCAGGAACCCCACCAAGTGCACAATGGTAGAGCTTTCTCTCCGGTATGAAATAGAACGAGGATGTTTTCCAATGCTGATAGAGATGATACAAGAGATAGATTCACCTTAAATCATGAGCCTTCGCGGAGCTTTCGAATGACTTTGTATTGGCCATGGTGGAAAATATCACCTAAGACCACGGGATGATAGTCTTCCACCCACTCGCAAGGCGATGTAATGGTCTTGAATCTCCTCTCCTCATCCCTGATGAATCCTAACACTTACGGTGTTGATGGTGGAGATATACTCATAGCTATGATGCAGTTAGCATTGTTCCATCATGGGTCAAAGCAGCTCAGCTGCTGAGCTAGTTTGTACCTATTTACACCTAGACTTAAACTAGACCTTGCATTGAAGAAATCTGTTCACCTTAGCAGTTCCAGAATTGAAGAAAGAGTGCTTACTAGTGAACTACATGGACTTCTGTTCTCACAATTGCTGTTATATAGCTGTTATATAGTTGTGAAATCATTTTGAACCAAAGAGATAAACCGTGAAGCTCGGTGTGCCTCTACCCTCTAGGTACCTGCTTGCTGGTAAACCACAACCACATGCAGCTGTGTGTACCCACTTCGGCAAACATAACAGCATTGTACATGGAGTAGATTTAGCTGGCATCTGGCCTAGGTACCAACAATGATAATGCTGGGAGGTACCGAGGCAGCTTAATGACAGCTTCAAAGAGGGTGTATAGTAGGTAATAGAATGATGGTATGGCTTAGGCTGAAAACAGAGTTAGCCATGTTAGCTGATGCCGTAGATAAGGTAGGTACATGCTTAAGTATCCAGGTACATTGTGGTGGGGCCCTTCTGTCCTACACATGTGGAGATAGGTACTCCTTGGCTATCATGCCCCTAGAGCTATGGCTGAAATGGCCATAAGGTACATATATGTACATATATGTACTTACCTGCCAGCGGACAGATACTTACATGTGAGTAAAGCAGTACTTAGCTACTTCTCCACTGGTGCCTCGTGCCTCTGGATAATTGCTTGCTTGCTTGCTTGCTCAGGCTGTCAACTTCATGCACAAAGCTCCATCTTCTTGATCCTCGCGGGTCACTCTTCTCCTCCTCTCAACAACCTATCTCTAACTGTGGCTTCCACTGAAACCCTCAGATTGCGGTCTGTAGGCCCAGGCTTTGTTCTCTCTGCCATCAAAAGAACCGATAGCGCCGACGACCCAACCAACCCTCATCACCGTTCCTTCTAAACAACCTCTGTCGCATAGCAACCGATCCATGTCATCTCGAGCACCCATCTTCTCTCCTCGAGTCGCGTATATTCTATGACCACACCGCGCGCACCGCGAAGCCCGCAGACAAACACATGAACCACTCCATTTTGTACAACCGAGTTCCTCCATACTCTATACTCTGCACTCTACACTCTACACAATCAACCAGCCCTTCCTGTGTCGTCCGCCCAGCCAGTTCCCTACACACTGCTACCTTTGCGCCACACAGGATTTCACCATGTCATCTCAACAGCGTGAGCTTGAGAGCCGCATAAAGGCCCTCCACAAGGCCCAGGCCGAGAAATCCCCGGCTGCTTCCATCATCTCACTCCTGGAGGGTCTTAAGAAGGATGTTCGTCCCACTGAGGAGATGTTGCGGGTATGTGTTCCCTACAGTTTTTCTTTTCGGCGTGTTTGCCTTTTTCCCTCCACTTTCAACGGTAGTGGCAATTGCTATTGTGCTGTATAGTAATTCTTGCTTGTGGGGAGCTGGATCCCAGACCTGGAACGTGCACAGCAATTTCAGATGCGCTATGCGTTGGGCTTAATACACTGACTACTAGTTCTCGTAGACTACCAAGGCTGGTCTTGTTGTGGGAAAGCTCAGAGGACATGCGAATAAGGATATAGGAAAAGCCGCCAATGAGGTTGTTGCGAAGTGGAGAAAAATTGTTGAAGAAGAGAAGAAGGCGAAGGGCCTGCAGGCACCTGGTGGACGACCCCGCGACTCTGCCTCTCCCGCCAGCAAGGCTGCCTCCCCGGCTCCCAAACCCGTTCCCAGCGGTGGCAGTAAGAAAGCTTATGAAGGCAACATCGAGACCCGCAAGTTCACCACCGACAATGTGGACATCAAGCGTACCGACTCTCAGATCCGCAATAACTGCATCGGCGTTCTGTACAACGGTTTAGCCTACAGGTCGACGGAACCCGAGGATACGGTGCTGATCAAGGCGATGGCTGTGGAGGCTGCAGCGTTCAAGGCGTACAAGGGCGAGACTCAGGCCTACAAGGAGAAGGTCCGGTCACTGTTCCAGAATCTCAAAGTGAAGAATAATTCGGACCTAGGACGCAATGTTATGTCCGGTGCCATTCTTCCCGAGAAATTCGTCGTCATGACATCCAAGCAGCTTCAATCTGCCGAGCAGCGAAAGTTGGATGCTGAACTTGAAGAGGAGAACATGAAGAAGGCCCAAGTCCCCATGGTCGAGAAGAGTATCAGTGATTCCATCGAGTGTAGTGGTTGTAAGAAGAAGATGGTCAGCTACACCCAGGCTCAGACCCGCAGTGCTGATGAGCCGATGACCACTTTCTGCGAATGCATGAACTGTGGAAAGCATTGGAAAGTAGGTTTGCTGAATATATCTCATTTCGCTACCGAGTTTCATACTGACTATCTGTCTGTAGTTCTCTTGATTTATACCCTCTTCTATTGGTTCTGTCTTTGTAAGACAACCACTCTTTTGCAATGATTCATGAGGTTCTTGTCGGGAAACCCCGTCACATACGACAGGCGTTTGGTTTCCTTGTGGAGAGCAATGTCTTCTCCAGGTAAGAAAGACTTTTTCATGGGGCATTTATGGCCTTGTAGGAGCACAGGTCGAGAGGATGTAAAGACATCTTCGTTGCGTAGCTTCGGCTCGCCTTGACAGTGTTCCTGTGGCCTGTCTTGACCTCTAGGCATAGCCTTATGTTATAAATCACCTCAGGAGATAGGCGTTTCGGCGATACCAATCAAGCGAGGCAGTTGAGTGAAACTCTGAAATACAACTGATCATCACGTTGTCAACATATATGCCAGTCTTTAAGTGATACTATCTTTGGGCTGCTCTATGGAAAGAAGGGTAAATAGGTCGTCAGGCTTTGGCTCATCCTCTAGTCCCATATCCCCAATCTTCTTCCATAATTTGCTTAGATGTCTTGTACCCGAGTCGCACAATACGGTGACGACACGGCTGCCCTTGGGCAAAGCCATCGCTGCCACAACAGCACCAACACAGTTCACGGCGCTGCTGCTCCCCACAAAGATGCCATCGTGCTCAACCAGCCAACGCGCCATCTTGCAGGCTTGCTCATCAGTAACCTTGACCGCGTCGTCGATCAGATCGCGCCCGGCCTCGAAATTTTCAGTCACACGGTTGATACCGACGCCCTCGACAATCGAATCGACCTGTTGCCGTCGCCGTGTGCCCTCCTTTTCCGTTGGGCTATACATGACGCCATGTCGAATTTTATTGTAGAGGCCGCTGCCCTGAGGGTCGGCTAGGACAACCCGGACCTTAGAGAGCTTGGCGTCGGCTTTTAGATGACGCGCAACGCCGGCGATTGTACCGCCCGTTCCAGCACCAGCAACAAATGCATCGAGGCGTCCGTCGGTCTGAGCTACGATCTCCGGACCCGTCGTGGCCTGATGTGCCTGATAATTGGCGGGGTTCTCGAATTGATCCGCGAAGAAGCCCCTGCTCTCGTCATCCTGAGAGGCCGTATGCTCGGCTGCCCTGCGGCGCGCTAGGTTCACAAAGTGCTCGGGTGATGCGATGGGTGCTACAGGAACGCGCTCCACTGTCGCGCCCAAATGGTGTAGCAGGTCTGACTTTTCGAGGCTCTGGTCGTCCGGCATACAAATATGTGCACGATATCCCTTAGCACGGGCCAGGGCGGCGATCGAGATACCTGTGCTGCCAACTGTGCCCTCGTAGATGGTGTCGCCTCTACCAGGTACCAATAAACCTTCGGCCTCGGCGACCTGGATCATGTGCAGCGCTACACGGTCCTTGGGGCTGTTGCCGGCCCCGTTCAAGAACTCTGCCTTGGCGAGGATGGTGCGCCCTGTGGCTTCGGAAAGACTATGGATTTCCAAGAGCGGCGTCCCACCGATGCAGCCCTCTATCCCAGGCTGTATGCCCGAACTCCGCAAGTTGAGCGCGTTCTCAGCCGTCTCGTGGTCCTCGAGTGACACAGGGCCCCAGAACATGCTCGACCTGCGGCTATCCTTGTTTGAAATTGAATTGCGTCTATTTCTTTGTGCCCATCTGCGTTTTTGCTGGTATCGGCCTTCTAGGTCCGGATACAGATCTTTGAAACCTAGTGTGATGAGCACACCAGCCGTGAAGGCGATGGCCACGGCGGCGGTGCCGTAGGCTCGTGGGTGTTCCTTCAATGACATAGCTGTAGTGTTTGACAAATCAAGAGTGAGAACATGATTTCTAGGATTCTATCTATGCGAAAACAGGCATGTGATGGGAGGTAGAAGCAGATGCTGTTATATAGGTACCTGCATGCTTAACATGATACTTTCAACGATGAGTCCCACGAAGCTTAAAAATGTCCGAGTGGAAGCATCCATGGGCCTTGAAAATGGGTAGTTCCGGTTTAACGATAAATGTATTTAATGGTACTTGATAGCAGCTTATAGTAGCTTCAATATGCATACAGATGCCCATTATAAAGCGGGTATTCGAATACATATTGAAATATGTCGCAATATCCAAGTAACAAAGGTATACTTGCTGCAGCTCTTCATTCCAGGAAAAAGAGAAGGCTCCGTCCGCTGTCGCAAGCTCATGAGACCCCAGGCCCATACGAGCTCTGACGTGCGATGGGTCATGGAATGGATTCTCCTGTGGTAGCACAGCTCTTCCGGAAGCTGTTTCGACATGCAGCCTGCCAATCGAGGAGGTATCTATGCACGGCCACTTCGACAACCCAAGCTGCCACCTTCGGCGCATCATCCCCTCACCATGACCGTCGAACACGCCAGCAGCGCCAGCAGCCGCAACAGGCTGGGCACAAACAGCAAAGGAGGACGATGGCCACTCGGGACACGGCCCGTGGGCAGAGGCCGCTGGAGAAGAATAATGAGTCCAATTGGCAGCAACGGACCGAGTTGTTCTCACTCGACATGTCCGAGGAATACAAGAAATACCCTACCGTAACTGCCAACGAATTGCGATCGCGGACGGAACGGCCCAGGAAGGTCAAGATGTTAATGCGGGACTTTATAGAAGGTGTGTCCAGGTCTTGTTTGTCGAGATGTATCCGTGGCCCAGTTGGCTAACGTGGCCACGGTCTACAGACAGTTTATATAATCCCCATTATGGGTACTTCTCCAAGCAAGTCGTCATCTTCAGCCCTGGGGAGCCCTTCAACTTCAATTCTTTTCCCGACGAACCGACCTTTCATGCCGAAGTAGGACAGCGGTATACGGAATTCGAAGACGCCCTCGATGCAAAGGAGCACGATGATACTCGCCAGCTCTGGCATACGCCAACAGAGCTGTTTCGCCCTTACTATGGAGAATCCATCGCACGATACCTCATGTCAAATTACATCATGTCGACATATCCCTATCACGATCTGATAATCTACGAGATGGGTGCCGGGCGAGGCACGCTGATGCTAAACGTCTTGGACTATATCAGAGACGTCGAACCATCCGTCTACGACCGGACAAAGTACAAGATCATCGAAATTTCCCAATCACTAGCCACTCTGCAGACATCGCAGATGATGGCCGACGCTGCAAGCCGGGGCCACGCATCCAAAGTAGAGATTATCAATAAATCGATATTCGACTGGAACTTCCGCGTGCCCTCTCCATGCTTCTTCCTTGCCATGGAGGTATTTGACAACTTCGCCCATGACATCGTGCGCTACGACCTGACCACCGAGGCGCCCCTCCAAGGCACCGTACTGATCGACGAGGTGGGCGATTTCTACGAGTTTTACGAGCCTGTGCTCGACCCCGTCGCCGCGCGATACCTGCGCGTACGACACGCCGCCACCGGAGGCCGATACGCAGCCCCCTATAGTTCGAGCCGTATGCTGCGAACGCTCAAGAGAAACCTGCCCTTCTCGCCAAATCTAAGTGAGCCCGAATACATACCGACGCGGCTCATGCATTTCTTCGACATACTGGAGAAATACTTTCCCGCACATCGTCTCGTGACGAGCGACTTCCACACCCTGCCAGATGCCGTCAAGGGTCTCAACAGTCCCGTGGTGCAGACAAGGTACCAAAGGCGCATGGTGCCTGTGACTACGCCTTTGGTAAGTATCTGCATATAACCTCTAATCTACTTTCACGTTCGGCTGTATTGACCATATATGCAGGTTCACCAGGGATATTTCGACATCCTATTCCCTACCGACTTCCGCATCATGGAGGCCGTGTACGGCGCCATAACCGGCAAGTTAACGCGTGCCATGTCCCACGAGGAGTTCATGCGCTCCTGGGCCTACATCGAGGACACGCAAACCCAGAGCGGCGAAAACCCTCTGTTGAGCTGGTACAAAAACGCCAGCATGATGCTCACTGTATAATACCGTACTCCATAACCGTCCACGTAGCACACAGAAAGACAACATTGCCCATTCGCAATGTCATGTAGCAGTACAATAAGAGCAGCAAAATTGCAGCACCAGCGCATCCTTGCCGCCATTTCAGACGACGGTCAAAGCTGGGCTTAGGATGAGGTGGAAGAGACGTGATAGCGAGACTACCTACTTCCGACATGTATAAAGACATGATATTAGCACTAAGCTCCTAGTATCTATAAAATTTATATCAATGTTCACAGACTTCGACTAGATTTCAATGAAGATCATTCACCACACACACACAGATAGCTCTGTATATATATCTGTCTGCTATGCTGCTAACTACTAAAATACACCCTTGTTCGTATACAAAGACAGCGATTAAGTATCTAGAAACTCGACCGATGTCTTCCTGGTATTATATACTGTACTTACTGCCTACCTACTCGATCCCTTAAGGCGGTGTAGCATTATAACTAACATCTAAATACATACCACAAGTCAAGTATTTTCAACTGCGCACTTGAGCGTAGTGAGCCGACCCGTCTCATTCCCTTGACAGTACTATTTGGACATAGGAAGTAAGTTTGAGGTGAGTAAATGTTCAGACCGTAGATGATTCTATTGTTATGCCGCGATGGGAACCCCTGACCGGCAACACTCTAATTCAAGCGATAACTCGCATGGCCATCGGGAAGTCTAATATAAAGTATTACAGTGAAGCTTTTCTCAGCCAAGCAACCCCAGAAATTACGAGTTCTTTGAAATTTGCATGAATATTTTGGGCAGGTGGCACATTTGTAGCCGCTACTAGTACAAGTTGATCCCCAAGACGCTTCTGGCTAGATAAGCCGAGATTCCGTCTCTTAAGATCTACCAACTCCACTGTGAACTTCTCTAATCAAGCTGGCATCAACATAGGATTGTTGAATCCTATATCTTGAGCTTTTCCGCGAGCCACTTCTCAGCAACAGCGACGGCCTCCTCAATCTTGTCCGGGTTCGTGCCCTGGCCTTGTTGAGTCGGCTCCCTACCGCCAGACTTACCACCGACGACGTCTGTGACGGCCGCAGCCCACGCCGATGCAGTGACACCTTGAGATGCGAGATGCTGCCATCATATTAGTTACAGACGTGAAACAGAAATCATACCAAGGATGATACTTACGGTGCCTACATATAGACCGTGGACCACGGCACCTTCCGCCTGGCTGCCACCAAAGACGTAGACCGTCCGCTCTTTATCCTTGCTCTTGAAGTGGTTCATAACATCCGCAACCGCCTTTGCATTGGCAGAAATCGGCAAATGTGCGATGAAATGTTTGGTGTCCTTGTTCTCGTCCTTGGCGAAGTAGCCAGTTACCGTGTCAAGTGCAGTCTTGGACTCGGCCTTCTGCCTCTTCTTTTGTTCATCGACAACGGATTTGACGATCTTGGCAAACCGCGTCTTAAGTTCTTCCTTCTGCAGTGTGGATATGACAAGTTGATTAAGTTCGACCGTAGCCTGCTTAACCTCGGCCTCCTTCCCTGGGCCGAAGGGTAGAGCACCAATAACATCGAGTCGTTTGGAAAACTCTTCGGCTTCACGCTGAACGCGGTGAGCAGTCTCACCAGTGTAAGCTACAATGCGGCGGATGCCCTTGGCGATGCCACTCTCCTCAACGATGACCAGGTCCTTGATCAATCCTGTTTTTTCAACATGAGTACCCCCACAGAATTCCACGCTATACTTTCTCCATTCGGGGTTATCGGGCGTCGCAAGGAGTGTGTCAACATCAATACCGACTGATACTACCCTCACAGGATTAGGGTACGTCTCTCCAAAGACAGCACGAACGCCAGCAATTTGCTTTGCTTTCTCGAGCTCGACTTCTTTAGCGTAAATTTGTCCGTTTTGCCTAATATATTCATTCGATAGCGACTCGATCTTCTGCAGTTCGGGGATCGTGACGCCGGCCTTGTGACTGAAATCGAATCGTAGCTTATCTTGGTCCACTAAAGAGCCCTTCTGGTTGACCTCCTCACCCAGTACTTCTCTTAACGAGTGATTCAGAATATGTGTTCCTGTGTGGTTGTTCCGTATGGGTTGCCTCCTCAGTTCGTCATATTCGCAGATGACTTCATCACCAGCCTTTAGTTCACCGTATTTCAGATAGCCATTGTGAACTATGTAACCGCCGAACTGTTGCACGTCATCGACTTCAAACTCAGCCACATCGTCAATGAGAATACGCCCAGAATCAGCGACTTGTCCGCCTTGTTCAGCATAGAAATTTGTACGATCCAGAAGCAAACCGAAAGGTGTATGTGCTGGAAGATCTTTTGTCGACTTGAGAAATTCTAAAGTTCGATGGAGTCAGCAATTAATCCTTGAGGAAAAGGGAGGCAGGGTTTGAAGATTTCTATATACAATCCAGACACATTTGTCACAATGATAGACAAGTATGGCCTCCGCAAGCATCTACGTTTAGATGGAAGGAACTCTATAACGTACCGGTTCCTGTATAGATTAACTGAACCTTTCCAGTGATGTTGCCTTTGGAGAATTTTGGTTCATCGTCAGGGAGGGGCAACTGGGAGTCTTTTAATTCCGCGATCTGGTGTACGTTTAACTTGGCAAAAGTCTGAGAAGACTCCTTTACAGCTTTGCTCGCCTCACGAGCCTTTTCCCGTGCCTCGGCGATCTCTTTCTCATCCATCGTGATACCTATACAGCCGTTAGTTTCATGGCCTCAACAAATGTGAGGAGAACTAATTATTGATGAAAAAGGACGAACGTGTCCTAGAACAAATGCAGAAAATAGAAGCATACCTCGTTCCTCTGCCATTAGTTTGGTCAAATCTTCGGGGAAACCAAACGTATCGTATAATCTCCACACATCGGCGCCGGACAGCTTCTTTGTCCCGTTATTTAAAGCCTCAGCAGCGTATTTTTCGAATTGCTTCTCTCCACGATCCAATGTCCTTGAAAACGCCTCCTCTTCCTCATCCAGCAGCTCTTTAACGTCTTGCTGTTTTTTGACAATTTCTGGAAATTGTGCTCCCATTTGCTCCACAAGTGCAGGCAGGATGCTAGAGAAGAAGGATCCAATCTCGGCATTGAAGTACTTTCGAGCATATCTAACACCTCTGCGGAGAACACGTCGTACGACATACCCTCTTCCTTCGTTATTTGGTGCAGCGCCGTCGGAAATCGCGAAGGTAAGGAGTCTTATGTGATCAGCAACTACACGATAAGCAGTATCGATGCCATCGGCGTCGTCCTTGCCGTACTTGTCGGTGTACGGCCGGGCACCAGTGACTTCTTGAATCCTAGCAAATAGAGGAGTAAATATGTCGGTAGCGTAGTTTGAATCCTTGTTTTGGAGAGCCGAAACCAGTCGCTCGTATCCCATACCTGTATCGATGTGTTTGGCGGGTAGTGGCTTGAGTGATTTGTCTTCCTGCCTATCGAATTGCATGAAGACGTTATTCCAGACTTCTACGACCATTGGGTCATCAGCGTTGACCAGATGCGCAGCATTTCTACCACCGCCAACTTTGTCGTAATGGATTTCGGAGCAAGGGCCACAGGGTCCAGTCGCGCCCATCTCCCAGAAGTTGTCCTTCATGTTTCCAGGTAAAATATGGTCTTCAGGAACACCAACAGACCTCCATAGCTCTTTTGCCTCAAGATCTGGTTCGAGGTTCATTTCCGGGCTGCCTTCAAAGTAAGTGACGTAGAGACGCGCAGGGTCAAGGCCGAAAACCTTGGTGAGAAGCTCCCAGGACCATTCGATAGCCTCCTTCTTGAAGTAATCGCCAAACGACCAGTTCCCAAGCATCTCAAAGAATGTATGATGGTATGAATCTAACATGAAGTTAGCATGGAGACAATACAGGTGAACAAGGTCCTAATTCACCTTTTCCAACATCATCGAGATCATTATGTTTGCCGCCGGCACGTATACACTTCTGGGTATCGACGGCGCGCTTCAATTTGGCTAGGTCGTCGGTGCTCGCAATGGTTCCCAAGAAAATGGGCTTGAACTGGTTCATGCCAGCGTTTGTGAAGACTTGTAGCAAGAGTCAGCTTTTGCTTTCTCGACGAACCGGGAGACATGGTGCAGACGACTTGCGACAAGGCACTACTCACGTAGGGTCGGGTCATTGTGAGGTACGACGGACGACGAGGGCACAACAGTGTGGCCCCTTTGGGAGAAGAAGTCGAAAAAGGTGTTGCGAACCCGCACACCCGTCCACTCGGGTTGGCTCATGGTGGACAAAGTTCTGGTTGGGTTCGGCGCCGTGCGCAAGTAGTCGCAGGAGAGCAACGAAGGCCGAGGACTAGTAAGAGGGCGTCGTAGCCGAAGATTGCGCGTCTGGGGCACAAGCGTGAGCGAATGCGCGGCGGCGATGGCAGTGGCGAGAATATTCGGCGAAGCACTCAACTGGGGTGGAGGAAGAATATCGGAGGTGATTCTGCTGGCGTCGAGAAGGGTCGCTGGTGCGGGGCACTGGGACGTTATAGTGAGGGGCAGCACCGCCGTCTGCTGCCGGGATGGAGGGGCAGCAGGCGAGATGGCAGCTGGGACGGTGGCGGTGATGCGCGCTATAGCGGGTGGGCCGCCGGGGCGATAGAATCTTCTACGCAAGTGACTCAGGCAGCCTATAACGCCTATAACTGGCCTATGTCCACCCCTTCCTGGCCTCTGGAGCATCCGCATTCGCTCTCCCTTTCAATGGAAACGAGTCATCGACAGCTCTCCATCCAATTCCCTTCCAGATCCTGCGTTGCAGTGTTGAACTCATAGACGTGCGCAATCGGACCTCAGTAACAAGGCGATATCCATTCGCCGCTCTATTGGATCTCGCTTTCCGTCGTGTGCCTAGGAGCCCGCGCAGCAAGAGTCATAGCCTGCTCCGATAGTCGCAGCAGCCGCTGTCCGAAGTGTTTGATCCTACCTACGATCGCTCACGCGCATGCGCACGTATGATTCAGCCCTTCGTTCGTAGGACGCGGCGGGAGTTTGCTTAGGTTGGAAGATTTGATTTGCAGGGCTTCGGCGGGTAAAAGAGGTGCTGAGGCGAGGCATGGTGCGGCACCCAGGTAGTCTAGGAGTCTAGCGCTGCCTATTAGTATTCTACCATTTGCTGGCATATCGACCGCACCCAACCACAAGTACAGTACCCATCCATCCATCCATTTCCATCTAGACCAACCAAAGATGGCAAGCATGGAAGTGCAGCTTGGACCAACCAACCGAGTTGGAGTGGATTCGTCTGCCGCCGCGGACCCGCGCTATCACGACCCCTACGACTTACATCATCGTATTCATAGTAATCCTCACGCTCATGCGGATCGTCCTGGCTATGGCTCTCCTGCGACCATGTCCCGGACGCGCAAAAGGAAAGCTGAATCACAGGATAACCAACGACTGTCCAAGAGGCTGAGTCTGCTCAACTTGGAGAGAAATGGCCCCAAATTATATGTTCCAGTGGAAACCCCCAGTCTCAATGCACTCCCCGAACACCCTGTGCAGGATAATCTCGCCCAGGGCTCTGCATCACCCGTTACCGCCAATGACGGGATGCAGTTAGACGATACCAAACATAAGGTGTATATTTACGACCTCGATGCTGAGCTCTCGTCTGCTGATGAGAATAGCGAAAGCGAGTCATCTCTGCCTGGCTCACCCACATCCGGCCGCGGTCGTCTTGTTTTCTTGCCCGATATCGAGAAACATCTTAGTCGGTCCCGGATCCCTCATGCAGTCTTTGCGAATAAGGAGGGCGATCTAGCGGGCCATAATATTAATGACATGCAGATGGTGCTTTACAGCGAGCCCTCTTCATTGACTGTCCCACGCGAACACGACTCGGTCCGCAAGGCTATATTAGAAGCCCGAGCGCGTGCCAGGCAGCGGCAAAAAGACGGCCAGAGTGAAGCAAAACGAGAACCTTTGGAGCCAAATATGGTTATTCCCGTAGTCCCTTCCTCGACCCCTGACATGCGGAACTTCAGCTCCAACAACGTCGACATGGCCATAGATAACCCCAGTGGCCACCATCTTTCTCGGAGCACAACGCCCTGGCACGATGGTTTAGCCGTGGACGACGACGTGGATGCGATGGACATGGATTGAAGCAATCAGGTACTGAGCCACCAGCCCGCCATTGGTTCCATTGTTGAATCCACGTCCTGGTCGTAGGAATAGGTATACAGCTCAGGCTCTCTTCTATATAGGATAGGTGCAAACACGGCGTCGGGATTTACAGCGAGTGACTCGGAGTGAAATGTTGGTTTGGTTTGGATAGCCTGCTGTATTTTAAGTTTCCTCCTTTTACCAATGGCTGTCTTACTATTAGAAGTTGTAAACAGCGAAACCAATGCGTTTTTCTTCTTTTTTTGATATCATACAGAATTGTAACCGACATTAAATTCCATTGGCTTTTTACTAGTGACCATGCTCATTTGTGCTACCTAAAAAGGAAGCTGCTTCGTAAGCAATATACTTGTAAGTAAGCAAAGATGGCTTGTGAGATCGCCGGCACGGGAAAATCAAAAACCGTTCTTGTCATCTCATCTGATCATCAATTATTCTGAACGTTGCGATGTATTACAGCCCGCAGCTTGATACTAAGAGGAATCCGAGTATATCGAACTTACAAACCCTCGAGCGAGGCCAGTAGCCCTTTGATCCAAGTAACCCTAAACCAAGTTACGACAACGACAGTAATCCCGGTCCATTCTTCCCAAGAGACTCGCGTTCTACAATTACCACAATGCCGACTTCCAACACGATGTCTAAGGAATAGAACAACCGAGCTCAAGCCCGAATCGCCCCCACAGCCCGGTGTTTTCTTCATCTTCCAGGAGGCGGTCCGGCCGGTGGCGTGTATTCATCTACTCCCTGTGTCTGCATAGGAGCCTGTTGTCCCTGTCTATCCTGCACGGGGTCGACTTTCGACCCCACCGGGGGACCGTCGTACACAGGTGGTCTGGTGGGATCGTAGACAGGCGGCGGCATCGAGTGCATGCCGTAGTAATCCGCACCACCACCACCGCCGCCGCTGTTGTTTCCGTACACGGGACGATAAGTGGCTTGTGGGTAGGCATAAGCAGGATCGACTTGTGCGCGTTCATACCGGGAGAGAAGCCACTATGAATAGGATAAAATTAACAAAAATGAAAGATGCGATGAAAGCAGTATATGAAATGGAGACTTACAGCGTGGTATCTCAGGGGTTTGAGTCCTTTTCTCAATCGCCGCTTTGCGTGCACCCGGCCGCCGATCACCCATCCGACCAGCAGGAGCAGGAAGGCGAAGAAAATGGTGTACTTGATGATGACGCCGGCCTGTGGGAGAATGTCAGCGGATGGATGAGCAATGGATATCTAGATCTGAGAAGAATGCATCAAGCAAAACGTACCGTCGTGTACCAGAACCACACATATCCATCATCGGTCTCGACGTATTGTCGTCGCGCCAGCGCAGGAGACGATGAAGATGAATCGGTACTACTAGAGGGCTGCATCGGGGTACCGAAGCGCAATGGTAATATCCCTCTCATCGTGTCTTCTGTGTGTCGTTGTCCGTCCTGGAAAATCGCTTGCTCAAGACGAGGCTTGGTTAGGGAGAGAAGCCAGCGGGCAAGTAGGTAGAGCTAAGGTAGGTGTCAAGTTGACCCAGCGACCAAGGAAGCCAGCCCCCCAAGAAAGTAAAAGTCACAGTGACCTCCCTCTCCAAGACCAGAAAGTAAGGCAATGCGCAATAAAAGAGGGCAGTAACTGCGACAAATGCAACGCTATACAAGACTAGGACGAGGCAGAGCAAGAAGAGTTGAATCACACGGAAAGCAAAGCAACTGCGACAATGTTTACGACGCAATTAATTCCAGCCAGCGCCATAATGGAGAAGTCGAGCTCCTGACAAGGGAGAAGTGGGCGCCTAGCCCCATCCCCGGCACTGCCCGGTCCAATCGCAAGCTCTCAACGATGGCGATTTACATACTATGTACGGCTTCTGAAATTATAACCCAATAGGACGGTAGTACAATTACCAAGATCGCAGTGGCCGTTCAATGTTAATGCCAGAGATGATGATCTCGAGAGACAGACTCACAGACTCGAGTGCTGTGTGTAGGTACATATGTAGGGAGTGGCAACTCTGTAAGTACCTAGGGAAAAAGATCATCTTAGACACGCCGCGCTTTGGCCATAGGCTGATTCAGATGGTGAGCTGAGAATAGGAGAGAAGAGACTTCTGAAAGACCTGCGGCAAATGTGTGACATATCCACCACCCCCTCCTGTTTCAAAAGGTCAGACGATAATTCGAAGCCGCGTCATAAAACATACATGTACATACACTCTACACTAGGTACCGTATCAACTTAACTTGCACTTCAGGCAAGATAAACACTTCAATAATCAATCACCAAGACAGTGGCATGAAACCTGTAAACGCATGTTGTAGGTGAGAATGTTTGTCTATGTATAAGTAATGTGCTTGATCATCCACTATCACAGTAGTAGATGTCGGCTCGTGCCTGAGCTGATTCGATCAAAAGCCAATACCTCCAGCTCCCCACTGAGCGAAATTCGGGTCGCCCAGGCCCATCGGAGGGAACCCCGGCGCTCTGGGCTGCTGTTGCTGTTCCGGTGGCAGATCGTTCTGGGCTGCCTCGGCCGCTTGTTGCTGTCGCGCCGCATTGTCCTGTGCCTGTCTATGGGCCTGCTGTCTCTGGGTGCGGTACCACATGAGAAACATGATCGATGCCACGAGCGACAGGATCAGAAAACTCTCAAGTATGCCATCAATGTCCTCATCCAACTCATCGCCCATCGGCTCTCCATCGCTCCCGGTAATCGTATCGTCATAATATTCTGCATAGGGATCTTCGTAATATACATTTTCGTCTTGTAGGAAGTTTTGGATCCACTCCCTCAAGGACCAATCTTTCCTTGGCGCTAAAGTGCATCTTAGTAGAGGGCGCGACGTAAACAGTATCAAGCCAGCATCAGAACTTACCAGGCTCGTCTTGTATTGAGTTGATTCTGCCATGTGTGAACGTATTCCACGCGCTGCGCACCCGCAGCTTTAACAGGCTGAGAGTGACAGGGAGGTAAGCCTCTTCGTTCGTCTCCAATGCTTGGTCGTAGTAGCGTTTAGCTAGATGAAAATCTTGCGTAAGGCCAACTCCATTTTCATGCATCCATCCGAGGTTGTAAAGAGCCTGAGCACTTTGAAAGTATTCGGAAGCTCCCGTGTAGCACTGAGCTGCCTTGTCCAAAGCGACTTCGGTTCCAATGCCACTCAAATAATAATCTCCCATCTTGACCAACGAGTCAATGTTGTTTTGAATCGCCGACCTCGTCCAGTATATCAGTGCCAGCGCCGTGTTTTGGAGGAGACGTGGCTTAGAAGCCTGCCGTTTTAACCAATCCGGCAGAGAAAACACGGAATGCGTTGGGTCCAGAAGGAACGCAACGTTGTTCTGAGCCTTCTCATATCCTTGTTCAGCAGCCATTACGTAGTCTAAGAAGGCAAGCTCAAGGTCGCCGTCTTCATATGCTTGGTTAGCCTCTATCCACGAGGAGACCAAGGCTTCGGACCGCTCAGCCACATTCTTGTAGTATTGCATGGCTACGCCACAAGTTTTATCTCGTCCAACACCGTGATGGATCATTTCTGCGAGGTAGTATTGGGCCTCCAGATTGTGCCATCGAGCAGCAGCTTCGAAATATAAGTTAGCTGCTTTTAGGTCCTCTGGCTGACCCTGGTCTAGGTGAAGAGCGCCTAGAGCGACATGGGCCAGGCTGAAGTCCTGGTCTGCTGAAGCTCTGAAATAGTTGCTCGCTTTTTGGACGTCCTTACGTACTCCATAACCATGAAGGTACATGAGACCCAGCCCCCATTGAGATTGTGCGTCTCCATGCTTGATACCACGGTCGAACCATTTATGGGCAATCTTAAAGTCTTGAGCAACGCCTTCTCCTCGCAGCCACATACGTCCAATATATCCGGCAGCCTTGCTCGCCGTTTTCTCGAGCTGCGGTTTTGCCCCATCGACAGAACGGCCGTCTTTAGAACGCCAATACTTAGTTGTCACGCTGAGGAAGTACCGTCGAGCTAGGTCAACATTCCTTTCTAAGCCTCGTTGTCCTTCGTAGTAAAGCCGTCCTAAGTTAAAAGATGCCTTGAAATCTCCTTTTTGGGACATCAAATCGAGGTACTCAATTACATCGTCAATTGACGCGTAAACATCAGAATTGGGACTCGCCTTGAGAGCATTGATGCCGGAGCTGACAAAACTGGCGCCTTCACCATAAACACCACCAACTTCGTCAGAGAGCCGATATGCGTCGGGCACAATAGTCATTCCACCTGGGGGTCCAGACCGGAACCAAGCCATGGCCTTATCAGCTACCCTCTTGTAATACTTGCAAGCGACCTCACAATTCTTTGGCACCCCAATCCCATTCATGTGCCGGGCAGCTACGGTCATCTCTGAGCGCGTGTGCCCCTGGTCGGCGGCAAAAGTGTGGTAGAGGAGCGCCTTAGCCTGGTCTCGCTGCACCGCATCGCCAACACCGGTGGCGTACATTAGACCAACCATGTATTGCGCGGAACTGTTGCCATACTCCGAGGCCAGTCTATGATAGTGATCGAAGGCGACCTTGAAGTTCCTAGGATGAGAGTAGTTTCCGTAAAAGTTGAATTGGCCCAATAGATAGATAGCATCGGTATTGTTCTGGTCGGCTGCTTGCTGAAGCAGTCTGACACTATCAACAAGAGGACCGGTGATGACAGGGGACGCATGCTCGTGGCCAGACGGAGCGGTTGCGCGCAAGCTCGGAAGGGCTTTCAGCGCGAACTGGAACAAAGCAGTAAAGAAGCCGGCCTGTTTCTTTGGGCGTCGATGGGTAGGCGGGCGAATCTTTCGCAGTTCGACCATGGCGTCGCTAACGAGCTCCCATCCTGACCTAGTCAGTCGTGTGTTCATATTGCCCAGCTCTCCAAGGCACTCTCGACCTACCATTTTGGTAAGGATTCCAACCATGATGATCGCCTGGACCGATGTCGGTTTCGGCGGGAGACTCGGACTGAGCAGTTTGCGTGGTATCATGGTCTGCCGCCAGGACTTGCTGGTCTGCAGCACCAGCGAGCGCTACAGCCTGTAGAAACACTATATGCATAGAAAGCGAAGAGTTAGCTATACCTAATGCTTTGCGCTGCTAGGTCAGTTGATCAAGATGGGACGTACGGAGCGCCAGAGGGAACCACCGCCTCATTGTAGCCAAATCTGCTATGAGCAAGATAAAAATAGCTGTAGAGATACCATGGTACCCTTGGGAGAGGTAGAGGAAACCAAGAGAGAAGGCGGTTGGTGAAGTGTGAAGTTTGGGAAACGAAGCCTCTTTGTGGATGAAGGGGCATATGTGTAAAGTACTAGGTACAGCATGACGCCGCTGTAGTAGTAGGGACCTAGTGGTAAGCTGTCCAGATCGGCAAACCCAAGGCGAGGGGGGGCCGATGTCAACTAAAGTCACCGGCTGATTTGGTGCCCCTGCCCAAGCAAATGGGTACACAGATCTACATCGGCATATATGCACATACAGGCATAGATGCTAGTACAGCTGAGGTAGTCGTGGGGCTGGTCAGAAATCAGCAGCCAAATCTCGAATTTTTGTTCACTGCCCGTTTTGTAAATTTCATTTGGCATGGAAGAGAGCACCGTAGAAAGCAACCTTAGGCATATCAAACGTAGGTAGGTAATTAACCATATATCTTATTTTTATCAAATCTTTTTCTAGTTTTATCCATACCTACCCTACCTACTTTACAACTAGCGACGAATCATTAACCCAACTTTGCAGCTACGTCACACTCCCTAGGTACTCATCCATCGCCTCATGTTATAGTCTTCATCCAGCAGGTAACGAGCAATTATGTATTCTCTAAATTGCATAGACGAGTACAGAATCCCTACCAGAGAGGAAGTCTACGTTCTAGACATAATTCCCTTCACCTCGGGGCCTGCTACGATATCGTCGGACCAGAAGCTGTCGTTATTCAACCCATTAAGTCTCAAAACGGGACCAACAGTAAACCTTGTTACAAGCCATGGAAATATCACTTGTGCCAGGGCATTCGACGACGCCAACTCAGTTGTGTGCACAGCCGGAGAAAACGGCACCATCTCCTTGTGGGATCTGAGGCAAGATGTGCGCCAAGCCAGATCTGCTCAGTTTACAACAGGTAAGCGAAAAATGTTGAAGCATCGTGCACGTAGAACCTTTCTGAGTCGTCATAGAAGGTCAAGTGCCTGTACTATCCATTGCATGTTTGAATATGGGATATACGATAGCCGCTGGAACCGAGTTACAGAATCATCAAGCTTCAATCATAATATGGTATGTAGCTCTAGAAATGTCTCGTGCGATGTCATCTCATGTTTATCCAGGGATGTTCGTTCAACATCAGCCCCGAAACTTCACTATAAAGAGGTCCATAGCGACGACGTTACCGAGGTCCGTATTCTGTTATAGCCCCTGTAAACTCAAAGCTGATATGAAACAGTTAAATTTTCACCCAAGCGACCCGAATATCCTGTTATCGGGGTCGACAGACGGCCTTATAAACATCTGCGACACTCGTATCACTGATGAGGATGAAGTCATAATACAGACCTTCAACCACGACTCCTCAATACATCACGCGGCCTTTCTGAATGACACCGAGGTGTACGCAATATCGCATGATGAGAGATTAGCCTTGTATGACATGGCCGAGGGGGTTGAGAACGGTGCGGCCACAACCGATTTCGGAGATATGAGAGCTGTCGTTGGTTGTCAATATATCGCCAACATCTTTGCCAAGGCAAACGGCGCCGGAGCTGTGATTGGTGCGGGCGCTCACGAGTGAGTAAAAATGAGAATTTGGCCAAAGTTGCGGCGGATACTGACTTGGTACAGGCAACAAGCATTCGAGTTGATCCACTTGACGAAAGGCGATACTTGGGGCCTTGATCGAGCCAACAGTGTCGGGTTACCGGGTGCGCATTCCGGGGAGATAGTCCGAAGTTTTTGCTTTTATGACGAGGCACAGATGGTGTTCAGTGCGGGCGAAGATGGATTTATCAAGGCCTGGAAACCCAATGTATAATGGTACAATTGCGATAGTACTTATCGCGAATATTCCTTCAACCATACTTGTCGTGCTTGTTTTTAGACTTGAGGTCCAAGAGTTGTTCATGGTAATCGCCTTCCCGTCTAGCCTTCTTCAACCTCTTAACCTCATCTTCGTCCAGACGCCTCCCGACAGCATCTTCCAGCTCTTTGCGGCTTACTTTTGCCTTCTCTTTCAACTCTTTCAATGCTTTTAGTCTGGGTTTGAATCTTGCCTGCATGCGAATCCTCAGAGTTGACTCGAAACTAATATCGGTCGCGTCTCCCCGAACTTCAGGGACACCGTTCGGTTTCTTAGATTCAGTAGCTGTCAAGTACGTCTCGTGTAGTGTCTGCAATTGGAAAGTTCCAGGGGTATCGGTTGTCGCAATAACATTCCACGTCTCAGGCGGTGCAATAGCTTCAGAGGTTGCGGCGAGGATGCCATGTTTATCACAGGCTAGATATCTGAGGGCAGATTAGCATGTTGACGATTCATGCTCCCAGACGAACATTGAGGCGACATACTTTCCATAACGGCCTTTAAACCTGAAGTTCTCTGTGCCGTAAATCTTGTTCGCAACCCAAACCTGGCGAACGTTGTGAGGCTCGGCGGTTAGGGGATTCCCATCGATGATATTCTCAATAGGATCGGTAAACACTTTGCCATTCGCATCGCAAGCAAGACAGGTAGGGGGCGCGGTAGGCAGAACGAGCATCACGGGTCCCACCACATCGACCAAGGATTCGGCGGATACCCAGCTGTCATCGTCTCCCTCTTCCTCTAGTGGCTGCGCAGTTACAAGCTCACTTGGGCCTGCGCCTTCGGGGGCTGATTCCGCTTCGGTGCGCTTCCTCTTCTTAGGCTTCTTGTCGCCTTTGAATGTAAGTGGCTTAACCATTGAGTCAGTGGATGTGCTTGGCTTCGATGATGTGTAGGTAGTTGCTGTGCTGTCTGAATTTCACAAGACGGCCAGGTAGTAGAGCTTCAGTACTTAGCTTATGGAGCTTGAAGCGTTTTGACTTTATGCAATTTTCTAGCTTCCGAGGTTTACAAGGGCCTGGGCAGCGCAGTTAGGCACCTCCTGTAGGCTATGAGTACCTATAGGTACCTTGGTATAGGTACCTGAGGTAGCGAGTTCGATAACTGTCCAGGTGTGAAGTGAATGTTGGTGATGTTTTCAACATTAAAAAGCCAATGAACAATTAAATAGACAATTAAAAAACGCGTATTGCTTCTTGAATTATTATTTAAGCATCGATTTCTCTGATTCGATATCCGTAATTATTTTTCAAGTAGTTTATGGAAGGATAATTTTGCTATGCCTGCTGGTGGGAAAACCAAAGCCATACTGGTCAGAGTTGATGGCCCCGGACAGAAGGCTTGAAAACTAACGGACGGATGTGTCCGGCAAGCTCCAAGAGCCCATTAAGAATTTTGGAATGAGATCTGGAAAGAAAAGGTGAAGCCTTTGGTAGACTTCTCTGAGAAAGATTGGCTACATACCACAGAGAAGTCACGTAACGCTCTCAATTCTGATAAGCAGTTCACTCTACCCGACCTACCTGGTAAGATAGTACAGCAATTTTCATATTACAACGAAACCATGCTTTGTATGGATGCATCTATGAGCGTAATGGTTATTGATTAAATTCTAGATTAGGGGCTCCCTGTTGGGCAAAGGATTAACAGCGGTGATTGGCCAAACCAACAGTTCTATAGCCAACTTAGGTAGGTAAAGAGAAAACCCCATTGCGGGAATCTCCTACAGCAACCCACGGTATCCTCCGATTGATTTATCTGCACTAAAAGTCTTGAGCTCCCAAGGAAATAAAGCCGACGGTTTCCAGAGGGTTTGTCGAATTAGTTTCACTTCCAGCCACTTGTAGTCTGAACTCCGGCTGAGTGCTCCTGCAAAAAGGTTCCCTATTTGTCTTCGACTATTTCAGAACTGTAAATTGACTAGCATTCTTTTTTCATCATGGCCACAGCACAGCCTGTTGTTGTGTCTTTGGCAGATCTCAAGAGTGGTAAGAAGAGGTCCAAGAATTCCACCATGATTGTCTAATCGCTGACGAGTAAAGGAAATGTCTCTATTGAGACTTTACAAGAAGCATTTGGCCCAGAATCATTGGGCATACTCGTAGTAAAAGATGTACCAGCTGAATTCGCAGCTCTACGGCATCGCCTCCTCTCTTATGCTTCATGGATGGGCAATCTCTCCGAAAAAGAATTTGGTAAGAGCCTGTGAACATGCGGCTTGGGACCAACGAAATGCTGATGTCATGCAGAGACGTTTACAAACGAAGCCGCCAAGTACCTTGTAGGATGGTCAAAGGGCAAAGAGAAGCTAAAGGACGGCAGCGCAGACGAGTATAAGGGGTCGTTCTATGCCAACTGCGCATTTTACGTCGATCCCTCGTTGGAATCAGCGGAGCCGACCGAGCAGTTCACCTTGGAGGAATTCCCGGAGTATCTCGCACCGAATTCATGGCCGCCCAAAGCGATGCTGCCCGGGTTCAGACCCGTCATGGAGCAAATGTGTACCTTGATTATCGACACAGCTGTCCTTGTCGCGCGAGCCTGCGACAAGTTTGCAGAAATGGAAATCCCAGGGTACCCTAAGGCGTATCTGGAGAATGTAGTCAAATCCTCATCCACAACCAAGGCCAGGCTTCTCCATTATTATCCCATGCCAGATGAGGTTTTAGCAAAGGGCATGGAAGAGGATAACTGGTGCGCGGTGCATAAAGATCATGGATGCCTGACTGGCCTGACCTCGGCCATGTTCGTGGACGAGCTGAAGACGAATGTCAAATTGCCTAGCTTTGAAGGCGGCGAGCTGCCAGAAACCCTGCCTACACTAGAAGAACTCTCTGCATCCCCTGATCCTCAGTCTGGTCTGTGGATCAAAGATAGAAAGGGCGTCCCTGTCCAAGTCAAGATTCCCCGAGACTGTATCGCATTTCAGACGGGTGAGGCTTTGGAACGGATGACCAATGGCAAGTTCAAGGCTGTGGAACATTCAGTCAGAGGTGCTTATGCCAAGGGGATTGCACGGAATACATTGGCCGTCTTCACGCAGCCAAACCTGCAAGATGAAGTCGACCTTGAGCAGCATATTAACTTCGGCGAATTTGCGAGAGGTATCATAGCTAGGAATACAGTAGGATGACAGGGACTAATCTAATGCAAACCGATTCACATATTGGTGTTTCATGTGAATGGAATCAGAGCTTCTTGACAAATACGAATTTCTAATTTCTTTCCTGCCTGACTATGTGTAGTCAAGTAAGTAGGTACATACCTAAGGTTAGGTGATGTATCACGTATGTTGACCATCTGACGCTGTGAAATATCTGAGGGGAGGTGGAATAGCAGATGTCAAATCACTTGAATATGGCGCAGATGGCGTCACTAGAGTTTCATATGCGTCTACTTACAAAATGCATTTTGTACTTGTTATCCTGCTGCACCTCCCTCAGCTCCCCTCGGCGCGGGGCTACTACGTGACGTCGGATTCTTCTCTCACCCCTGTTGCTCTTGAAGTTAAATAGCTTCCTTTGTATCCCTCTCTATTTCTACTTGCCTAGGCCTGTAAATCCGGAGAATTGCAAGCTCATCATTAATCAATCGATTGTCCAAACCCAATTCTATTGCCACCTCATCTAGACCAGAAGACGACAACAGCAGTCCCCACGGCCTTTATTGTAATCCCAAAATGGCCCTCGCCCCAAAATTCGCTGGTCAGAAGCTCGTCTTCGCCTCGCCCGCCACTGCCGGCGCCGTGGCCCCAACTCTTCACACCGTAGAGCTGTTCCTCGACTATGTCTGCCCATTCTCGGCCAAACAATTCAACACTGTCTACAATGTCGTTGCGCCTTTGATCCGCAACAACCCCAAATGGGCCTCCAGTGTCCAATTCATCTTCCGCCAGCAGATTCAGCCATGGCACCCGTCCTCGACACTGACCCATGAAGCCGCCACCGCTGTTTTGCAGCTCAATCCCGACAAGTATTGGGCTTTCAGCGATGCTCTGTTCAAGGACCAGAAGTCATACTTCGACGTCAACGTTGTAAATGAGACTCGCAACCAGACGTATCGCCGCCTTGCCAAGCTTGCCGCCAGTGTGGGCGTGGATGAGGCCGCTGTATATGATCGCCTTGTCATCCCCGACAAGGCCGCCGATGACGGGAGCTTAAATATCGGGAACAAAGTTACGAATGACCTCAAGATATTCGTCAAGACAGCCCGCCTGGTCGGCGTCCACGTCAGTCCGACCGTTATCTTTAACGGTGTGGTTGCCAATGATATAAGCTCTAGCTGGACCAAGGAACAGTGGGAGGAATGGTTGACCAAAAACATTGTCTAAGAGGGTACCCGAGCCTCAAGCGATATGGAGAGGGTGCGATGGTTGTGTAATAGGTACTTATGGCAATTTGCATATTATATGTCTTCGTAACGGAGCAATAACCAAGAGATACTTTACCAATGCAATCTGAATCCCGCAAGGCATGCTCAACAGCAGCAGCATGATTATGACAGCTGTGCTCAAGTACTCACCAGGGAATATATACACATTCGACTTCGAGACAGTAGGAAGTGCTATTATTGCCGACTTCTGCATATTCAAGAAATATAGAGGTAAATACGGACTGTTGTCATGTACATGCGACCACAATCACTACTCTAATTATCATAATGGACGAAGCTCTAGTCAGCCAGCCGCCATCAGCTGTGGGTCGCCTAGGATGCAGGGATCTAGATGAGAGCAAGTCAAACAATTAGTCCTAAAGAAAACGAGGACGAAGACGACTACTTCTTCACCAGCTCGGGCATATAGTGAGAAGATGATGCTAATCAAGCCGTCGAACATAATTCGGCTCAGCCTTGTTACACGCCGCCATATTGCAACCTCAGGCACCACGTCGATTCGTCCTCTGCTCCGACTCACAACGCGACCACTGCTTTTACCAAGATTCAAGACCACATCGGCAAAGACAGAAGGTCCTCAGACCGACCCAGGGCCTTGTACGATACCACTTGTGTTACTAGATTATATGACTCCCTATAACTCACTCTTCGCTAGTATTGCGCCCGAATCACTGCATTTACCATGCGGGCGCACTTAAAATCACGTTTCTTGGGTGGTTGAAGCTAACCAGTCTATTCCTCTGCGCCTTCTTTGGCTTCGTCGTCACGCCAGCCTGTTATAACAAGGAGGGACTGTCTCCGACCGTAGCACGCAGTCAGTTCAATACCCTGTTTCATACCCAGGCCTACTTCGCCGCGGTTTCTTCTTTTTTTCTACGTATACATATATATATATATATTATATTTACTTCCGGACCACTGCCGCCGAAACATCTATCTCACTTTGACTTTCACGAGTTGCTTACATACTGGTAGTCGCATTCTGTGCTGTGGCGCCGGTGGTAGTGGTAGCCTATATCACGTCGCCATTTGTCACCTTCATTCGAGTTCGCCTGCCTCCCTTCGCGCGCCAGTCGACAGAAGCGGCGAGAAGGTACCTTCAGAACTCAACGAGCAACCCAGTTTTGGAAATTACGACGATGAGTTTCATCGCCAAACCACGGACTAGCGTCGTCAGGATCTCTGACCTGGTGCCCGTGAACAAGCGATTTGGCCTTGTGAACATTGCTCGGGATACAGCAGCCGACAATGCGGCAAGGAAGTGGTATATGTTTAGGGCCGTTGGCAATTTCCACGTTCCATCACAGAATAACTCAGAACGCTGGCTCTGGCGTTCCACCTGGGATAACGAACTCGCCAGAAGACAACATTGTCATTAAAGAAAAGCTTGAAAGTCGACGTGGAGGAAGGGTCGCATGTGTCGATCGTCAATTAGTTTCTCAGCAGTGGGTATATAGGGAATACTTAAGGCCATTTTTACGTCGCGGTTGGCATCTCTTTGTGAACTGGCTGGGCCATGGTCGGTTGGCGACTTGTGCTTATTCGAGGTCGACTACCACACCCTCGAGCTCAACGAGGGCAAGCACTACCATGCTCTAAAATATCCAGGGCCCAGGCAATCAACCGACAATCTTATTATACGGATATGCCAAACCGTGGTTCAGGACGAACAAACCTCTTTCGCGAGGACATCCAGATAATAGAACCACGCTTAGGGGAAGCTGACCGCTGCCCTCGACGATGTTCATCCGTGTGACGATTTGAAGTCGATATCCTATTGAAGGTCTTGCTCGACAAAATAAACAGGTTAGCCATTGCAAACAGGGCAGACGACATGTCCATCAATACAACATCTTCATCCTCAACACCTTCTGATTCACGAATCCGTCCGTACGGCGGCGGTCAATCGTATCAGTAACTCATGCATATGCCGTTACCTCAAAATAGACAAACTAGGTGAGATAGAAGCATGTAGGGGCAGCGTCATCAACGAGAGAAGACAGTCAGGTTTGGAACATGAGAACTCTGAGACGGCAGTTTCGTCGTACGTCACTTCCATTCCTGCTTCATAGCCCTTATGTCCTTCCCGTAATCACGACCACCTCTCGAGATTACTTGGGACGTAACTTCGGCGGAACGGACATAACAATCGCAATCCTTCGTACATATGACTGGACGGGGGACTTTTTTTCTTGCTGGTGATGCTGCCTGATGCACAGGCTACTTCTTTGCTAATTGGGGTCTATGCCATCGATTTGGATGAGATCAGGATGGGAAGTACCCCCGAATCTCAACCAAGAGATACCCCATGCAATGTCACAATCGAACAACTGCTCCTGATAATTGATTATAGGACTATCTGCGACCAACTGGTCGAACTCGGGCAGATAACCGCTGTCACTCTCAGGTTGAGCGGCTTCCCTAGCTCCAGAAGAGCCACTGACCTTAGGAAGATCTACCGACTTTAGAGTTTCGTCTAAGTCAAATGGAGAACGGCTGCGAGAAAAGAATTGAGCATTCCCTAAGGATCGTGTTGGGGCAGACAGGACGGTTGGAACCATGGTCTCTGTCGCCTGTTGCGAGTCAAATGTCCGGGGGACATGGATGCCTTTGTCATAATAAACGCTGTCCGATCACGATCCAGCTGGAATTGCACCATCTCACACTTTGTAAGAGGTGATACAATCACACTATGAACGCAATCAATATCAAAGATGTGGCCAATCGAGGCTAACAGTTAGCGAGTTCTACCACTGTTGACTCGTACGTGGACAGTGAATACGGTGCACCCTTGACCAAGCCGGCACTTAATCACGGCTAGACGCACAGTTCAGTCAGTGAATGGATCTATGGGCGGTAGATCAAAGCGTGTTGGATTTCCAACACCACGACAATGCCCACTAACTTCATCCCAATACATCCGGACAGCACTCATGGGTGGGAAGAGGCTCAGGGCTGAACTCGTAAATACTGCGTTGGTCTTCTCCTCTCAGTAGGAGGCGCTCTGAACTCATAGACATGGCTCAGCACTAATTGTTTGGTCTCTACCTGTGGTATCATGTAGCACCGATAGAGACGGCATTAAAATTATGTGGCTGTTCGCGACTACTGTCCTACGCTGGTAAGTTTGCTTATAGTCCATGCTACTAGTCTCGGCCAGTTAGCGATGCCCATCCTACCCTCAGATAGCAGGACGGATTCCAATATTGCCCATCTACCGTGTTACCTTTACGAAGGCCATTGCTTCGCAGAGTAGCATAAATTGCCTCCTCTCCCCCCAGACCCCCCTCTCCTCTTTTTCTACCATGGGCGCTTGTCGGCCATCTTCATTTATTTGCGAAATAACGGTATAGGGTTAGTATAAGTGAAGATCCAAGGGTGTGCCAAAGGGTCTCAACATTCTCTCTCTACGCAGCATAACAACAGCCAAGTAACTCGAGACATTGACCGACTTCGAAATTGAGACGCTCATTTGACAGTGACATACAGGAGCCTCACGGGTTGTCTCTTTAGACAAAAAGGCCCGGGGAGCATTCTGGATGAAGCACTGAATCATCACCGACCCTGGAATCCTCAATGACTGCCTCAAAGAGCTTCAATGTTGCATGCAGCAATAGAGAAGGGTTAGAACCGATCCATCTCTGATCTCGCAAAGGGGAATTGACGGCAGCTGCCATGTACTAATCATTAGCGGACAGTTTGCACGTCGCCATATGACTTAGCCCTGTCCTCTCCAACACCAATTCCGATGGTTCTCGTTATGGTCGATGTGGCATAGGATGCTGCGGACTGTCTCTGGTGTTCATTCCAGGTGTCAAGATCAACGTCTTGTTGAACCATGTGATGCTTTCCACTTCTAAAGTCGTGGGCAAATGACGATGTACGCCCTAGATGTAGACATGAACCCTAGGTATCTAGGAGGAAAGCAGCTCAACCGATGTATGGCTGCGGCAGGAATCGGTAGATGTAACTGCACCACCCGTTTGAGCCGTGTCCGCTTAGCCACGCATTCAGACCCCATTACCTCGTCCAATGTATACCTCTCCTTAGGTTAGTCAAACCAGAACATACACGTACTCCTCGAAAATAGGGGCTGATAGCTCAAAGGGTGTACTGAGTTTCAGCCAAGCTTCTTGTACAGTTGAAAGATCTTGTGGGTTCTGGTCCCCGTACCGGCCATTACCACTGCCAGAGTTATCTGATTTCGGATCCTAGGATCACTCATCCAAACTCACAACCCACTCTCAGATCTTCAGAGTCCACATGAAATGGCGTGGTATATGAACGCCAGTGACGTACTTATTCTTGACTAGATAGTACGTAATGGTGATCGTTAATACCCTCTTTTCGGATCTGCCAACCGGTTCGAGAAGGACCGTCTGAAGTCTGTAAGCGACAGTTATGCTTATGTTATAGGAAAAGCCATGCAACAGGCGTTCCTATCACATCCCCAAGATTACCTTCACCCCCTTGAAAGATAGCCTATAGCGGCCAATTGGACTCCTCCAGTTGAAATCTAACTCTACTCAGCGTGGCGCAGAATATTAGTACCTATATAACTACTGCCTGCCTAGGCAGTGTTAAACCTTCGAGAATACTTTGACAACCGTGCTCTTCGTTCCAATATACATGACTATGCGCGCCTCATGGCTCCTGAATGGGTTGACTATTCCCTCGATGCGGTCTACGACAATATGACTCTACTCAGCGTGGCGCAGAACATTGGGCTGCAACCTATTCATCAAAAGCCCTCACCTCCTGAGGCTATGCCGGAACGTAAGATTCAATTTGTCGAAGCCTTCCAGCAGGCCGCAGCCAGAGTGAGGGATAGTCAAGTCTCTGGCTATTCCTTGCTAACGAAAGTTGCGAATGAGTGCGCTAAGGGCACATTCAAGAATTGCCCACACGCAATCGCGATCTGTCATCAGCTAGGCTACTCATGGCTGATCACCTATTTTACGGAGGGATCTGGACGGGCTCGTTCATCGTCAATGGGAACGTAGTACTCATTGAATACTATGGGCTAGCAGCAGCACGCCCCGACATGAATGAATACACTTCCAGCTACTTAGGTATCTTAGATATCTTAGACTCATACCACCAGACTCGTTATGCCAGATACCATGAGTATACAGGTACAAAGTCGTTGATGTCTGTCGTCTGGCAGATTCGGGCAGACACATCTCGGATTCCCACCCCTATGGTGGCCCAAGAGATAGTTGACTGCTACGTAAAGCCGCGTGAGTGCACAGAACCACAGGCGCCTATATAGATCAAAAGACGTGTCTGATGCAGACGTCAAGCTCTACCTTGTTCCTTTTCTATTCTCTGTTTGTCCTAAATTCTGTTTCTGGTAAAGCAAAGGGAGGATGTAATATCCCCCGGGGGCTAGGTTAGATAAGATATCAATATCAGTTATAGCGCTTGGTGCAGGCAGGTAGGTGGCTGGATTCCGTCTCGCGCGCGATATCGGACGGAATCGATCCTCCAACCCAACCCTTTGCGACAACTCTCGTCTACCTGGGCTGTTTCTGTAGGAGGGTGATGCTGATTACTACATAACTGGGGGGATGCATCATGTTTTCCGACGCATCCGTTACTCGCCCATACCCTCGTCCACTTTAATCGTACCCAAGAATTTGGCTCGGTGCACAATGGCGACCCAGGCCGCCCGGCGATCCTACAATGTACGCCCTCTTCTTGCCCCTCTTACACAACGACCCTCCGACCCCTCTGACCCTTTCTCTCCTCCTCATCGTCGTCTAGCATAGGCGTGGAGTTGAATTGACCTTCCCACCACTTGCTAGGATGCCATCGATGCGCTCAATTCCCTTCAGTCCCCGTATGCCATCATAGAGGCCCGCCGCAAGGCCGGCATCCGCCCTGATGCCACCTCCATCGCCGAGATGCGCCTTTACCTCGGGCGCATCGGGTATTCCCCTTCGGACCTGGACCGCCTCAACATCTTACACGTAGCGGGCACCAAGGGCAAAGGCAGCACCTGCGCTTTCGCCGCCTCCATCCTCGCCCACTACCAGCGCGCGCATTCCATACCACGCAAGGTCGGCCTCTTTACGAGTCCCCATCTGATCGCTGTCAGGGAACGGATTCGCATTGACGGAGCCCCGGTCAGTGAGGAACTCTTTGCGCGATACTTCTTTGAGGTTTGGGATCGGTTGGGTGAGACCGAAGCTCGGGACGGGCCGATGACGATAGATGAACGGCTCGGCGTGCCCACGCCTCCGCGGCCGATTTATGCTCGTTACTTGACACTTATGAGCTACCATGTCTTCCTGCAGGAAGGCGTAGACGTTGCTGTTTATGAGACAGGCATCGGCGGCGAGTACGATGCGACGAATATAGTTGAACGGCCTCTTGCTAGCGGTATCAGTACCCTCGGCATCGATCACGTATTCGCTCTCGGTAACACCGTGGAGAAAATTGCCTGGCACAAGGCCGGCATCATGAAACCGGGCAGCGCCGCCTTCACGATCGAGCAGCTCCCCGAAGCCGCTCAAGTACTACAGGAGCGGGCCGATGCCAAGGGAGTGCCGCTCAAGGTCTTGAATATCGACCCTAGGCTCTCGGGTGTCCACATACGTCCCGATGCATCGTTCCAGAAGAGGAACGCGAGTCTCGGAATCGCACTGGCCGAGACGGCGTTGCAGACTCTTGACCCCGAGTTTAAGCGGGATGACTCAGCCCTCCCCAGGGAATTCATTGATGGCCTAGAGCAGGTCGTCTGGCGTGGTCGCTGTGAAGTGAAAACTGAGGGACAAATTGTCTGGCACATAGACGGAGCGCATACGGTGGATAGTCTGAAAATGGCTACCAAGTGGTTCGCAGACGAGTGCCGCACGAAGGCTGGGCCCAAGGCTCTCATCTTCAATCAACAGGGGCGCGAAGAGGCCGTACACTTTCTCGAAGGCATGATCACGGCGCTTAAGGCTCACGACCTGGGGGTCGATGACGCCTTTGCACATGTCGTCTTCTGCACAAATGTCACGCATGCTGAGACGGGCTACAAGCGTGATTTTGTCAATTACCAGTACGACCCGGAGGCCATCAAAGCCCTTACAGCACAGCATGGATTTGCTGAAAAATGGGCGGCTCTTGACCCTAAAGCCCATATTACTGTTGTACCCACCATCGAGGACGCCATAAACCACGTGCGTGGTCTAAGTGCGTCCGTAGTCGAGGGTCAGACGGTGCAGGCTCTCATCACAGGGAGCCTGCATCTTGTTGGGGGAGCGTTGGCTATCTTGGAGGGTGTGGATGCATTGTAAGATAATCGGGAGGCGACCATTCATGATATCGACCCGAGATCATAACGAGGACGCACTTCCTCAGATAGGCACATACAACACGCGCACACACATGTATATCTATGCACATCATTCATATTTGGATAGGCAGGAAGGTAAAAGATATATTACGGTAGGCAGGTTCATGCATTCAACTTTGGTAGGAGTCGGGTAGGTAGAGGTAGACAGGATATATACCCTACGAGATCCGCATTGGTTCAACCCCGGATCTTCTTGCAATTAATATCATTATTTTTATTAGAAAACTAGAGATTCCGCTGTGCAAGAGTTAAGGGAGCGTTAGATGTAGGCACTTCATGATAAACTTCGATAGCATCTGTAGACCCCGTGCGTCGAATCACACTGGCGATGCGCTGTTGCTAATGAACCTCAATAATACCTCATCTGAGGTAGCCTTCATATTCCCTGTCTGCCAGTGATTGATTCATATAAATCTCAGCTCTTTCTTTCTTAGTGATGCCTTGATCGCGTTGCTAAGTTTTGTTGAAACTGTTCTTCAATTCCTTCAACCTTCACGAGGTCCGACGAACAGCTGCCCTCAGCTGCTCTGTACTATAGATCTATCTGCCTACTCAAACTCCATCCATCCTGCGTCCTCTATCTCGATATTCCGCTCACTCTCGCAATCTGTGATAAAAGGTATTCTATTCCGATAGATACTTCTTTTTCTTCTTTCTTCGTCTTCTAGAGCCTCTTTTTTTCCTTTTCTTCATCTTCATCCGCTTTCGTATCAATCCCCTCCGCACTTTTCTATATGATTATACTCTAACCTATCACTAGAGAAATCAGAATCACAGGCGTCCTAATGCCCTTCAAAGTAGAATAACCGTATGGCCACTCTAATTCGTCACACATCAGACCCATCGTATCTCATATCTTCGCTCAGAAGAGGACCATTACATCTGAGTCATATTTACCACCATAAGCTTTCTATCACTCGCCTGGACCGAGCCTCGCGGCACTCATCGACCATGGCTCGCACCTACGAGTCCGCGCTCTCGCATCTCGCGGCGCTGCAATCCAATCGCGCCGTCACATCTCTCTTCAGTCCTCCCGCAGACGCATCTGTGCCGAAGCGAGATCTCAACGCCCTCGCTATCCCAGAGATGCTAGCCTGGCTGCGGCGCGCGGGTCTATCGCAGGACGAGCTCGCCGCCAACCTCCGCTGCATTCACGTCGCCGGCACCAAGGGCAAAGGGTCCGTCTGCGCATATCTCACTGCTCTGTTAACGCGAGGTGACGAGGGAACACGCCGCGTCGCGGGAAAGGTGGGCACGTACACATCGCCACACCTCGTATCGGTGCGCGAGCGCATAGCCATCGACGGGGCCCCGATATCGCGGGCCCTGTTCGCGCGATACTTCTACGAAGTCTGGGATGCATGTACGGAAGCAGCGCGGGCCGAACTCGCCTCCCGGCCCACGGGAGAAGGCGCGGAGATATCAGAAGAGATCCAGGGCCCGTCCACGAAGCCTTTCTACTTCCGCTTCCTGACGATCGTGGCGCTGCGGGCGTTCCTGGGGGAGGGCGTGCGCAGCGCCGTCATCGAATGCGGGATCGGCGGCGAGTACGATTCCACGAACGTGCTGCCTGCCACGTGTGTAACGGCGTCCGTCGTCACGCAGCTGGGGATCGATCACGTGGGTATGCTGGGCAGGACGCTGCCCGAGATAGCGTGGCATAAGGCGGGCGTGTGTAAACCCGGGCGGAAATGCTTCACCAGAAGGCTTGAGGGAACCGGAACTGCGGAAAAGACTGCGCAAGTACTCCGACAGCGAGCCCAAGAGAAGGGCGCCACGCTTGTCGAGGTTGCAGACAAAGATGTCGAGAAATGGGGCGGTGTCAAGGCTAGTGAAAAGGGGGCCGCGGGAAGTCTCGAGGGCGAGTTTCAGAAGTACAATCAAGCGCTCGCCGTAGGTGCTGCGCGGGAGCATTTGCATGTCCTTGCGAGCGAATATCCCAGCGAGAGAATGCTAGGAGCGGACGTCACTGCGCCCGAGAAGTTAGAATATGTCCCATCGTCATTTACATCAGCGCTCCAGTACGCACGGCTACGGGGTCGCTGCGAGACGCGCGAGGACGAGCACGCGCCCATTACATGGCTCATAGACGGCGCGCACACGGCCGAGAGTCTAACGGAGGTTGCGCGGTGGTTTTGCAACAAGACATCCCAGGCCGCGCACAAAGGAAATCCAATCCTCCTATTCAACCAGCAAGACCGGGATGCCGCAGAACTCGTCAGCGGGCTCCTAGAGGACCTCAAGGCGAACGCACCTGGCCCAACAGGAGCACCATCGTTCGCGCACGCGATTTTCTCGCGGAATGATCTGAGACCCCGCGAAAGCGGCGAGCCCGAGCGCGACCTATCTGTGCAAAACGCCGCGGCCGAAGCCCTGCGCGCCAATAACGGTATCACATCGACGAGTATCCGGGATAACGTCGCCGATGCCGTAGCGGAGGCCCGAACGCTAGCGACTCGCGATAGCGACGGGGACCGAACGACGGTGCTCGTCACGGGCTCGCTGCATCTCGTGGGGGCTGTATTGCGTACTCTGGAGCCGGATGCCGAGGATTGAACGAACTACATGCGATGGACCGACCGGAAGAAGCCCAGGGCTAGGATTCACGGGGTATCTGGGATAGGAGTGGCGTCGTGGAATGATGAATGCATCAACTTCCGAGTGCGATAGAATATTCAACATAATTGATATCATAGAGAAGTTCTCGTGACCGACCGAACACGCCTTATTTATGTATGCAGAGTGTTTATAAGTCGACCTGAATTCTAAATTCTCTTTATGTTCATACCTACGTAGACAATTGCGACGAGGACTATCAAAATCCAGTCTAGACGAACCCGGCCCAGGGTAAAATCCATCATAGTAACCACAGGCACAATCAAGCTGGAAGTGCCAATATTAACAATTCACAAATCTATTTTACTATCTCATACACAGGCGCGTCGGCCCCCCAATGAACTGTTCCCAAGACGAGAACGTGGTAGATGACAGACAGACAAATAGAATATACAGAGAGGACACAAAAAAGGAAAAACATGGCAAAATGCTATTCCTCCCGTTGAATATGGGCTCTATGCGTCTATAATATATTTTGGGTGAATTACTCTACCAACAGGCTTTGTAACCGAGCGTGTGTAGCGATAACCTGGTGGAAGTTCGTTAGTCCATGATTGTTTATTAAACCAATGAGTTTGAATTCGAGTCTTACCTCAAGCGCCTGCTGAACCTCCAACGCCTTTCGCACCTCGCTTAACCAGTCTCGACTGAGGGTTTTAGCCCAGCCCTGTAAACCGTTCATCTCTCGTGCTGCGGCGTCCAGGTTACCCTCTTCTAGGTATGTTTGCGTACGAGTCAGGATACTCTCGACGTCGTCGCCAGCAGCAAGACCCTGCTTCTTGAACATGACCTTGCTCAGCACCCAGCTGGAAGCATGACTAGCCACGCCGGCGTCATCGGGAAGAAGCGATGCCTTGCGCACTTCCGAGGCGACTCGACGGAAACGGTCAATCAGTTGCGATGGGGTGGCGATGCCGCGCTGGTAGGCTGAAGGGTTGATTGAGCCAATGGCTGCATTGACAACAGCGTCGTCAGCAGCAATCTCCTTGAGAGCGATTAGCTCGCGGACAAACGGCCGCGGGTGCTCAGCATCGTCGAGGCTGGCGCGCACCACTTCCACAGCGACATGTAGTTGTTGCGTTCGCAGATTTGTGTCGACAACGTCGTTCCAGCCGGTGGTGAGCTGCTCCAGCTCTTTAATGGAGGCACTTAGCTGATCCAACCTGCCAAGTCGGCCTTCACGCTCCACCTCAACCTGCTCCCGAACGTCGTCCAGGAACTTGCGCTTGAGCTCTATAGCCTGCTCTAACAGGTCATTCTTCAATTTCTCCTCGTTCACACGTTTCTGCTGGTCAATCTCGGTCTTTAGCCTCGAGTCGTAAGTAGATTGGATGCGTTTCATCTCTTCCTCAAACTCAACCCTCCATTGACTCTCTTGGGCTGCCATGGTCTTCTCAACGCGGCTGACTAGTTCGTTTGCTGCCGCTTCAAACTCCTTGACCTTAGACTCAACTTCGGCGGCAGCATTCTTCTCAGCTGCTGCCTTGATATCTCGAATCTGGGAGCCTACACGGCTTAACTTAGACTTGGCCTGATGTATAGTGGATGAGAAACGTTCATCAGCATTGTCAGCGTTAACTACAGTGATGATGTCATTGAGCATCTTAACGAGCTCCTGGATCACAGGCTCATCAGCATCCTTGACGTTCAAAGGGTCAATTGGAGAAGGCGGTGGAAACCGAGAAGGCTCGTCAACCTCGGGTGCTTTGAAGTCGGACTTGCTTTCCTGAGACTTGGGCTGCTTCTTAGCGACGGCAGATTCGGCAGCGGAAGTTTGGTCGGTCTTGGGGGACTCTGTAGCTGGTTTCGATTCAGTTGCGGGAGGGTGTGTTTTGGTTCCGGATTTCTTAGATCCGGGAACGTCAGTTGTGGCACTCGACTGACGCCCCGAAGGATCACTACTGTCGGCAACTCGCCATGAGGCACCACTTTGCGGTGAAACCTTGACTAACGCACCGGTATCTTTGCTCCGCGGGCCGGTTCCAAGAGTTCCAGGGTATCGCTTCCGGAACTCCAATTCCTCGAAATAGAGAACAGCTTGCTCGCCAAAAGGGACGTATTCAGTGAAAAAGTCATGGAACTTGTCGTTGATGAGCGAATACCATACACCACCTCCAAAGGATAGGGCGCCCAGTAAAGTGAGAGTGAGTACAAAACGGCGAAGACGGCGAAAGAATCCCCTCTTCTTGACAGGAAGTGGCTTGGGAGCAACTTTCGTCTCGGCCACGGGCTTAGCTGCCGGGGGTTCTGGAGGGACATCTTTGACGGGGATTGCAGAGTTGATAATGTCGGCGTCAGTCTTGGGCACAACTGGGCCGCTCGCAGCCGCCGTGTTCGTCTCACTCGCGGGCAGCGTTGGCGGCTTCGAGGCGTCGTCAATTGAAGGCTTTTTGTCGTCAGCGAAGCATCTCTAGACAGGGACTAAGTCAGCGCTATCCACATAATGACCACGTGCCTTGTTCTCGCCTATAACCACATACCCTCGCAGCTGCGCCGGAAGATCTCGCGATCGCGGGCTGCCATTGACGGGCGGCAGCGGCACGGACGGGCCAGCTGCCTACAGCCCGGACAGGTCGCAACGAGTTGCGCAACATGAGGGCATCGAACAGCCGTCAAGCGTCGCGGTTCGGGGGGGTGAGGATGGGGGAGGGAGGGAGGAGGATCGCGAGAGTGCGAGGTTATGAGGTAGATTATGGAGACTTGGTCTTGGACTTGGAACTGGAGACGTAAAAACCTCGGAAGCTTTCTGAGCCTTGATCCGGCTCAATCAGCTAAGCCAAGCAAAGCCAGCAGACAACAAGCCAGGCCCGAACCCGGTCCACCGGCGCTAACAATGGCCACTGACGGCACCCTATGGGTCTACCTACAGCACCTGGAGCTATGGCGAGCATGGGTCCCCCAAACCCCCAAACCCGCGAACTCACGTTCTGTACAAAGGAAGATATCATCGTTTTGCCCAAGTCTGGCAGTCAGGTAGGTACTCAAGTAAGCACCTGTAGGTAGATAGGTATAAATGGAAGATTGAATGCTCTTCTATTGTGATATTACTCGTCCTTGACGATTCTTCGGCAGCCCGTAGCACTGTTGTAGCCTAGATAGACATGCTCCCTATCTGATCATCTGATCACATCCTCTAGATAGTCTAGCTAACGATCAATATTCGGCCAATGGCCTACTTCAGAATCGCATCAAGAATCCCAAGTACCGACCAGGCAAAAATATAAAAGCACGAGAAACACGGAAAAACAAAACAAGACGAAGAACCCCGTACTGCCATCCTGCCGAGAGAGCCCCCTATGGAATGAATATACATCATATTTGCAATTAGTCTCTCATGCTTCTTCACCCCCTGATATATCAATCTCCACTCCTGCACGCCGCGACGTGCCGACTTCATATCTCAGTTGCTCATTGCCTGCGCTGTCTTGAGAGTCTCCGTGGATACCTCTCTGCCCTGGAACGAATGTGGAGTGTCCGCTTACGCTGTATAAGTAGCACGTATACTACGATACCGAGTGTACTTCCCTTTCACTATATGACCCCGAACGCTGCCACGCTTACAAACAAGCGCTTCTAGCAGCTGCAAGGCCCTCCTGCCTGTGTGTCCCTGCCCTCGACTGGTCCTAGACTGACACCACCGGGTCGCTGGCCGGGCCGCGTGTGACGAGGCCCGACTTGGTCGAGCGGAAGCTTCTTCGCGATAGCAGTAAACAGTTCTTGCACGTTTTCCGCCGTCTTGGCCGAGGTTTCAAAGAACAACAAGCCTGCTTCGTTGGCATATGCTTCCGCTTCCGCTGTTGGTACGGCGCGCTTGTCTGGCTGCTCATTTACCAAATCCAATTTGTTACCGGCGAGAGCAATGATAATATTCTCGTTTGCTTGTCGTTGTAGTTCTTTCACCCATGCCTTCGCCTTATCCAAGGATGTCTGTGATCGCCCATAGTCAGTCAAGCCGTAGAATGTATGCGACCAGGTTAAGAGGTAGGTGACGTACGGATTGGGTAATATCATAGACAACTACAGCACAGTTGGCGTTTCGGTAGTACATGGGCGCCAACGACTTATATCTCTCCTGACCGGCAGTGTCCCAAATCTCGAACTTGACGGTAGTGTTTTCGTCGAGGGATATGGTCTGTGTGAGAAAAGCAGCACCGATAGTCGATTCTCGATACGAGTCAAATTGATCCTAGACGCAAATGAGCAAGGCTTTAGACAAGGGTACGGAAAGTCTGCCTAAGTACCTTCACGAATCTTAGTACTATCGAGCTCTGACCGAGGGAGGTTAGTTTTTTCGTTGTTCATCAGTGTAGCATTATCGGTGTCGGATTTGTTATTTGTTACCTTTCCTACAGCAGACTCTCCTAAAAGTACGTCAGTGTCGGCCAGAGCTACACACCCAGCAGGGATTGAGCTTACCTAGCAAAACCAATTTGAATTGTGCAAACCGGGTGTTCATGCCACGGCCAGCAGCAGGCCCTGCCCGAGAAGCCATTGCGATAGTATATGCGGTGCGGGTAGTCAGGAGGGCGCAGATGATCGCTGCACGGGTGAAGCGGATCGAGAGACAAAGGAGGCCGATTGGGGGGGCACGGCGTATCTTATCGGGAAAAAGAGAGGTTGAGGGATGTTGATATCGAGAGAGGACGCGTGCAAGAGTCGGCACGGCAGAGATAGACGAGGCGACAATACTAGGTAGGCGGATGGTGAGGGGTTGTCGTTGTGGTGGAAGCGAAACAGTGGTGACGAGAGAAACGGTCTCTGCCTAGAAGACGTTGGATGAATGAAGTGAGTTGGAAGCTTGATGGTCCCAGTGTGAGCTGAGCAGGCGGTAGTGGGTAGGTACCTAGGTAGGTACTTCAGCGAGCCCCAAGATTGTTGAGTGGCTGAGTGCCTAGGATTGCCGCTAGGAATACCTACAGTGGGTATGTAGGTAGGTAACCACCTGCTGTACTTAGGGGAGGTATGTACTTACCTAAGGGAGCAGAAGGGGTGTACCTAAGTAGGTTGGTAGGTACTCAGGGCCCCCAGCAGACCCCCAGGCAGACCTAGGCTCGCTAGGTAGACTGCCAATTGTCACCAGTGCTACCCACTCTAAAGTCCCAAATGACCTAATTTACAGGGCGAGGTCAGATGGTGGCCAATGTATACAGTGTTGTTATTTTGTTTTAGTAGTATATACACTGTATGAAGGTCATCCATCTGCCTAAGTACATATGTAAGACTAAGTAAGTACAGATTACAGATTACATGGCAAGTGGGGTCCGGAGAACGGCCCATGTGAAGGTACCTACGTACATACTAATACAGTAACTGTGTAAATGGAGGCCAGGTCTGCAGAGGTTCGTACAGATATGCATGTTGTGGAGCTCTGCGATTTGCTGTTATATGACGGATGGGTTTGTCGAGAATCAGGAGTCCGCTGAACCCAAACCACCAGAGCCTGTCTGTCACGTACTGATATCGCGAAATTAATTCTACAATCACCAATTCAACTACAACAACTGCGTTCGATCCATGCAAACTTCCAAGGCTTGTGGGCCCTTGAGCGTATAATTGTCCCTATTTCCAACCGTGCCGACAACCAGCATTCGACAATCGACAATCAACCATCAGCGATCAACCGACTTCGCTTAACACCTGTCTGCTCGTCCTCGAAAAGTTATGAACGTGCGCTAAGCTGCGCTTTCTCCTGAGCCATCATGACGCTTCCGTATCGAGATATAAATGTCCATGTAGCCGCCGAGTCCTACACTTTCACCTCGCCCTCCTCGCCCAATGCTCCAGCCCTCGTCATCGATCGTCCAACGGGCGACGTCCGTCTGAGCGAAACTGCCTCTGTGAACACCAAGCGTGTTGCTCGCGTCTCTAGCATAGCCGGCATTCTTGGTCTCATCCGGTTGAGGCTTGGTAAAAGATCCCCTCCCATTACAGACTCGCAGCTTATCGCTAACCGGCTGGGAATAGACAAATATGCCATTGTTATCACAAAAGCCCAGCCCGTGGGCCGTCTCAAGGGGCAGATGGTGTATAAGGTTGTTTCGACCGACTTCTTGCCGATGCGCGAACGTCAGATTCGTGACCCCGATGAAGACCAATTCCTATTCCTCCTAAAAACCTTCATCATGACTGGTCCTATGTACTTCTCCTATGGGATCGATCTTACCAACAGCTTTCAGAGACAAGCATCTATGGATAACTCTACCCCATTATGGATGCGTGCCGACGATCGCTTCTTCTGGAACAGGTTTGTCCAGAGCGACCTGATTGCCTTTCGAAAGCTGGGAAATCGGTCTCAGCAGGGTCCACAGCCAGCTGTCGACCCTTTTATCCTTCCCTTGATATGGGGCACACTAGAAATACGACCGACTAAGCTTAAGGGCACCCCCCTCACTATCGTTCTTATGACAAGAAAGTCGAGGTATCGCGCCGGGACCAGATATTTTACGAGAGGTATCGATGAGGACGGACATGCCGCCAATTACAATGAGACTGAGCAAGTTGTCATTCTAAATGATACTGGTGGTGGTCTCGGAGGGTTTGCAGGAAGTACCGACATGCAAAGTGGCAAGTTTGGGGCTTCTGATGGGCGAGAAATGCAGATCATGTCCTACGTCCAGACTCGAGGTAGCGTGCCCGTTTATTGGTCTGAGATCAATGCTCTGAAGTATACCCCAAAACTCCAGGTTCGCGGGATTGAAACGGCCTTCTCTGCCGCCAAGAAGCATTTTGATGAGCAGATCCGCATATATGGTGATAATTACCTCGTCAATCTAGTCAATCAAAAGGGCCGTGAGAAGCGCGTAAAGGAAGCTTATGAGCAAATGGTAGAAATGCTTCTGAGCTCGAAAAGGGAGTCAGTCAGTAAAGACCTCCTCACCGACGAGAAATTCCACGTCGTTGAGCCTGATACTCCCAAACAAGAATTCGACCGCCTACACTATATCTATTTTGATTTCCACCACGAGACCAAGGGACTCCAGATGCATCGCGCGATGATGCTCGTTGATAGAATGCATGACGCATTGATTGCCCAACAGTATTTCCGAGGTGTCGATATGCCGGCCAATGGCGGGTTAGAGACGAGGAACTTCCAAACCAGCGTTGTGCGGACAAATTGCATGGATTCACTCGACCGGACAAATGTGGTACAGAGCATGTTGGCCAGGTGGACTTTGGACCGCATCTTTGTAGACCTAGGCTTACTTCAACGAGGCGAGACTTTCGCCACGGCGGACCCAGCCTTTGAATTCCTCTTCCGCAACCTTTGGGCCGATAATGCCGACACGGTATCTAAAGCATATGCTGGCACGGGTGCTATGAAAACAGATCTTACGCGCTTGGGCAAGCGTACCAAGCAAGGCACACTTCAGGACGGTAACATCGCCGTGACCCGATACTACCTCAACAACTTCCGAGACGGGCCGCGACAAGACGCCTACGATCTGTTCTTAGGCGCTTATGAGCCCAATACAGCTAACATCGGTTCATCGCTCATATTTGCCGACCGCAGACCCATCCTAATCCAGAGTATCCCCTATATTCTCGCTTTCAGCATTTTCTTTGTTTTCCTGGGGTTGTTTAGCAAACGCCTGCCGGACTCCACTGTTCTGCCCATGCGTCTTTTTATCTTGTTCTGGCTGGTTGTAGGCGGCTGGAGTCTGAATTTTATCATCCAGAACGGCATGCTATTTGTAAGTACTAGGCAATTCAACAATCATCTCTCGAGGACACACTTCACGGATCACCCTACAGATATGCTAACGTTGCTCTGCAGGTAAACTGGCCGAAGCTAAACCCAAGGCCATGGGCTATAGAGGGTTACCAGGAGACAATCGGGAAGGTCAGGAAGGGCAAGGTTATAGGCCCATTCGTCGCAAGACACGAGCGTGGATTAAGCACAGCGAGATATCTTAATGCAGAGGAAGGGAAGAAGAGGATTGAGTAATACGCTGGCCGGGGGTTTTCTACTTGTGGAACTCCCGGAATCACTAATGCAATGCCAAACTTATGTCAACCACTAAACTTCTCATTCTTGCATGTCTTATGTCGGTAGCAGGATTCTATACTCAATTCGTTGTGGACGAGGCATAAAAAGATAGGTTAGACATATTAATGAAGAACTTAATATTGGTATTTCAAAGACTTAGAATTGCCAATTATATTATCCATGCCTACTAGAATGGTATATATAATGATCCTCCTACAACGTCCATGAGATATAATTGAAATATTAGTTAATAATTAATAAAATAGAGCAAAAGTAAAACTCTCGATCGGGGAATCGAACCCCGGCCACCTGCGCATGGTGAATTCGATGACAAGCAGGTATCCTAACCACTAGACCAATCGAGACTTATAGTTACCCAGAGATGAGCATGCACTGTTTCAGGATTCTATGTGTATATATTGTTTGGTGTTACGCCTATAGGGTATGATAGTATAATATAATAGCAAGCGGCCGCAAACTGTATCAGTGCATGTTGCTTAAGGCATAAGCGAAGTTCATCATTTAACTATAAGGTGGTGGTGAGCTGTTTTAGATTTTCCCCTAAGTAAGTCCGATTTTCTTTACACTGTTGCGGTCCTATGCATCAAATATAATCTTGGCCTATTGAGGCAGATCCAACTTTGCTTATGCCAGCCCTTTGGCTGCACTGCACAGATAATGTTTGTAGCGCAATCTAGGTAATGGTTTCTACAACATATGCATCGATATTACATAGTAAAAATCCCCGGTTAAGTCCGCGCTCATGTGTACAGACAGATGGTTTATGACTTGTTGGACCAGACTTGGATGAGCTGGGCTCGGTAAAGCATGTTGATTACAGGTTCGCTGTTCAACATATTATTGCCGCTCTCATATTTAAGTTGAGCTACGATGCACAATATCTTTACCTAAGAGGTTGGAAATGAATGATGTAAACTTACCAGTGGTTCAAGATGGTTGAAGAACCAATCCACAGATCAATACTTAATGCATCATGTAACAAAAAAGAAAATGCTCTATATGTGCAGACTTGAGGTGTTGCTAAAACATCAGATCTGTGGGGCGAATACTGCAAAAAATAAATCGACCAGGGCCTGATTCGAACAGACGCTCCCGAAGGAACAGCATTTCAAATACTTGAGTTGATTCGAGTGCTGCGCGTTAACCACTCCGCCACCTGGCCAATGTTATGAGGCTTTCCTGAACTCATCGGTATTGAAACTGGCCGCAAATTTGACCTTTTATAAAATAAACAAGCCAAGTATCTTGCAAACAACATACATATCATGACACAGCAACAATTCTGAAATGCGGCGGCTTCAATGGTAATAGCAAGGACGTGCATGCATACAGCTCCCGGCAGCTCGCAGTCAGTGGATGTCTCAGTACAGTGTCAAGCCAAGTCTAGAACAAGAACATGCAGAAATAGTCAATGGCGAGACTCGTCAGCTAGGCTCGGTAACTAGTAGAAACCATACGACGTGGCAGGCGAGGAATCTCTCTACTGGGCAACCAAATATTTGCTTCAATCGAGAATAGTTTTGAGGGCCGGTAGACACTATGTGCTCCCACTCAAAGTCATCAGACCCGGATAAAGACCTGCTATCATATAGCCTTGTTCAGCAAATACTTTTTCTCATGTCAGGTTGAGAGATAATAGAGAGACATTAGCAAGAACGTTGCAAAAGGATTGTTCAATTCATGACAATAATAAGAATAGCCTGTAAAGTAACATTAATAACAGAGTCCCAACTCTAGTACTAAGAACTACAAGTGTGAAGAAAATCTAGTCGACAGTAAAGGAAAGCCACTCGCCGACACTACTCATCCCTGATGATCCGAGGGCTGGAGGACATTTTCTTGATTGCCACCTAGCTCCCTAGCTTACAAAGTTCCTCTTCTTTTGAGACCAATCTCAATCTCCACAATGCCATTATACCGTCATTCTTCCTTTTAGAATCACCGTTGTGGCTCTTCAATAACGACGGAAAGATCGAGTCGATGCCCGATGCCTTTACGATGTGTACTGTAGTAGTAATGGCCTGGTCTACGAAGCCGTTGTCGGCAATGTAAGGAATCTGCAGAGTACAGCAAGTAGTAATATGATGCTCGCATCTATCTCAATCAATCAGGGTCTCTCTCTCCCTTGCATTATTTTCGATCGGTCAGTCGCGTTGCGTTTCTTAAAATGTGACAAGTCACTGAACGCAAATTTTCCCAAGCTCTGACCTGTGCCTGGAAATGGTTCAACTTTTAACCTTGAATGCGATTTCTGCTAATGACAATTCTTAGAACTACAATTGACTCTATGTTAGCTATACCATTTACCGGAGACTTTGATGAGACTCTACTGACTACCTAGGCACCTAGGTAGCAAAAGAGCCAGGGCGGTTACGCGCTCGAGCCGTAGCATCAACCAAGTATTACTTCGTACAGGTAACAGCAAAGTGCAGCTACGCATAGGGATCGCCAGGCGGCAACTGGATGAGAGGAAGGAAAGGCGCCGGGTTAAATAAATACAAAGTATGTACCTAGTTTCCCCTTTTCTCGCCATGCCGCCCACCGATTTAGACACATAGTACTCTGAGAGTGGTAATGCAGCTCCCTATTCGAGGTCATTTTAATAAGACTGTCTTGTAAATTTTCATACTAGGTATTCAAACCCAATGGCAAGGTTGTTTGTTATCTGACCAACCATTCGTTCATTAACAGCACAGAGATTTTTTTTAGCTTCATCACACAAGCCGCTTGGACCATGTCTGTGCCACTATAGACTCGTACCCATTGAGCAGCTGATGGTTTGCCATTGAGACACATCAATCAATGCTTGCTCAAACCCATTATTCGGGCTCCTACATTTTGCCGTTTCAATGATGAGGTGCCCAGCCATAAACATCCTATCTAACGATAAAAGTATATAAATACCTTTCACTTCTCTCCTCGTAGCACCCTATCGTTTTCCTGAATCCAGCAGCATATTAAAAGCAAATCTTGGTTTTCGGTCTTCCTTCGACTGGCCGTTGAAGCAGCTCCTCTATTACTTAACTCGACAGTACAGGTATATGCCCTATACCACATCGCCCTTCAGCCGGCTATTGCTCAGTCAAATCCTTATAGCGCATCATTATCTTGACTTGCCTCGCTGGTGTTATCTCCCTAGATGGCATCACCAGCGCCTCGCTTCCATTAGAGCGCATGTTATTATTATTCACTACAAACGCTGATTCAATCTCCAACCATCTCGTGGTTGGTGGGGCGTGCAATATCGGCAGTCGCCGAACACATCTCTGCGCAACTTATCTTCCCTTTGCGACAAACGGACAAGCTTGTTCAACCAGCTTACCTCCTTACTGAATCGACTGGAGGCGCATGGGAGAGATAGATAAACAGGCGATAGAGAGATGTGTCAACAGATCTACCTCCGTTTCCGCAACTGCCCCTGCCAACTGCAAGACCGGTTAGACGAGTGCATTTACGGAAAATCAGACCCACGGTGCCGTGAAGTCAAGGCATCTCTGCTGTAGAGCGGCAGAGGCTACTGCCATTGGCACCGGAGATGGAACAGAATGTACGAGAGCGGGAAGTGCGGTGGCGCACCGAGCAAACGCCGGTCCCAGCCATGTCGACAGGTGTATTTCGTTTCCCCTTATCACGACAACCCTGTGGATTTCGAAAAATATGACGACGAGGTCAACACGACCGACAAGTCGAGTGCCAAGTCTATTGGCGGCCGATGCTGGTCGGACGACTGCGAAAAGCGCGAGACCAATGTGGCCAAGAGAAAGGGCCATGGTAAAGCCCTACCTCGACCTCTGGCTACAGGATGTGCGGCGGACTTTGAACTATTCGGCACGGATGGATAAAAGACACCTCTTGCTTCTTCAAGTGCGAACTACGTTCTCGTAGTCGACCGTGTAGCGTCATCGTGGTCTTTGTCTGACACACACCAACACCAAAGATATCAAACTGGAACAAGAACTTGTCTGACTCGCTCTCTCTGCTTATCCCATCCCGTTATGCTCTCTCTCCACCGTTAGCTGCGAACGCCATCTAGCTGGGCAGATTGGTGAGAGGTAGCGTTGGAACAGCAAGGAATATATACTTCCATTCCAAGATGTTAGTTAGTCCTTGTGACTGGGTTTTGAAGAAAGAGGGAAGCAACAAAAGTGCGTTGAAGCGGTGGAAAGTATCATAGAATCTGTATCATCATAATTCAGCTATAGAAATACACCTACTTATCATGCTTATCATGATTATAGCTTAAAGGAAGGAACATGTGCGGAGGGGCAAACTAGAGGGAACATTCGAGGCCTATTATTATGCGACAATAGAATGCGTGGGAAAGACAACTGGAGCAAGTCCGGCAATGTAATTTTCAGCAAGTAAATAGCATATAGATCGATGGATTTCTCGATTGCAGAGCAGTAATAGGACTACGAAGCCTTGAAAAATACATCATATGCTGTCCCGTGATGTACCTGGCGAGCCTGGGTGACAAGTACGTAAAGTATCGAGGCACCGATGGAAGTGAGGCGGACGAATGTTTACACTCCCAAGTACATGATCTACCTAAGTAAGTAGACTAGGTACACTAGATGCACCCCGCTCGACAGGGATTTAAATTGAAAACTCGTCTCCAAGCACTGGCTGTTTGTACATACCTATGTAAGTAGTGAGATTGCCTAGACGTCGATAGTGTACAGTAGGATGTGTTCAGTTCCGGAGTTGTTTCTCTGTGTCTGGATACTGTTCACGCGGGACTCGGCTCGCTGATAGTGTCCAAGTAGCACCGACGGTTCACGTTTAGCAATATCCGGAAAAGCTGAGCTTTCTTAACGCCCGGGGGTACCTCTTATCTTAACAGACCACCGAGTTTGTTGTGCAGTGTGATTGGGATCCCCGCTCCACGTCTCTCAAGTGTAAGACAGCCCGGAAGCGAGTCCTACTGAGGTTAGGGAGGTAGCAAATACCTACACCACCGCTGATCCCACTCAGAATCAGCTGCAGCAGTGAAGACATGCATATGCATGGCGAGGTTTCGGCATTTTGGGGCTACCTACCTAGATTATGCAAACGTTCTGGAAAGGCAGCGAGAGAGAGGGCGAATCCAATTCAACTCTTGTGTGCCTACATATGTAGTCGAGAAGGCGACCAATACTTTCGGCACGTTAACCTTGAGTCTGCCTGCAGTCGGAAAATATGGCAACGCGACAGACGCCGCTGTAGAAGAGGAGATGCGCTGCTTACAGAATGTCACCACATAAATCGTACAGTACCTACATATGTAGTAGGTACGGTACTTACAGTACTTGGATCAGCCCCCTGAGACTAACAGTAGAACCCATGGAGCCATGACTCTCCAATGAGACACTACCCGGGGTAGGTACTCGGAGCTATTTTTTGCCCAGCCATGAATGACGATCTGAGAGTATGGCCGACGGCGAAACCAAGTACACAGTTGTAAACTGGCCTGTTATGCTTGGCAAGTCAGCTCATGCCTACCGACTTTATCAATTGATTGTAGTAGGAAAGACTCTTGGAATTGACAGGCAGCACGGGCATGGCCGCCGTCAAAAAAGCCACTTGATAGCGAAATGAACAGCATTTGTTTTGGAGAGAGCAAAATAGCTTAACAGAATGAATGCATGGTTGCTTCTGGAGCAGCTTGCATTTATCCCTGTGAAGGGCTGGCCTTTAGCTAGCTTTGGCCCTGAAACACCCCGGTCAGATAGCCCTGTTATCCATTAAACCCCCTGGCTAGCTCGCTAACCAGCCCACTACGTGATTCCTCCGGGCTCCGCTATGCACTACTATGCACTGCTATGCACCACTATGGCGCCCCCTAGCGAGATCCAACATGCGCCCACCGTAGCCGTCTTGGGGCAGTTTTGGGACAGTTTTGGGCGAGGCCAGACAGGCCGGGAACACGCTAGTCCTGTTCCGGGTCCGACAGGGGTTTAATGAGTCAGGTGATTTCGTGGCAGTATCGGGTTCTGCCAGACGCGTGGGCCAACGTCCATCGTCAACCAAGCGTGTTTGCCTGAAGATACCGGCTGCTTCTTATTACTACGGCTGCTACATACGGTACGGCCACAGGCATTCACGCAGCAGCGTTGCCTCTGCGACATGGGTCGCCCGCTATATAATGAGCCATGCCCCCGAAATTTTCTCCTCTCCTACTCCTTCAAACAGAAGGGGGCTTCAACAGGTAGGCAAAATCATCTCGTTTCATCATCGTTGTCATTTGGTCTTATTGTTTCCATCATCATAATCATCGTCATCATCATCATCACTACCCTTCATCGTATTCTTTGCCTTCAATCGCATGACACTCTATCGCTTTACTCCAGTGCCGGGCTTGGACTTGGTTCTTATCCAAATAGAACCAGTAACCATCTGCGACCGAGCCATATCTTAAGAAAACCTTCCAACTCTAACTGCCAATCGGTCGGAAGTTGAAGAATTACACATCTATCACCACTCACCCTCTCAACACATATAAATAATTATCAACAACATGCACGGCAAACGCCATGATGCACCTGCAAACAAGAGCTTCTCCAAGAGTCACAGAGTGAGTAAATCAAGTGCTTCTTTCAGCAAGAGCCATGGCATTACCAAGACTCGGCACGATTCCCGCCGTCGCTTGACGACGTCAATGTCCCAACACATAGATGAGAACATGTCACCTGAAAGGTAAGAGAACTTCATCTTTTCAGCCCTCTCTCAAATTTCCAAATTCTGACGTATCGCTCGCATGCAGTAACATCACTCCATCCATCGTGACCCTCATCATCGGTCGGGACCAGCGAATCTTTGCAGCTCACGAAGACGTACTCTGTGCATCGCCATGGTTCCAGCAGGCTCTGACTGAACAATACATGGATCCGCAACATGGCAAACGTGTGCACCTACCAGACGATGAGCCGGAGATCTTCTCGTCCGTCCTAGAGTATCTCTACAAGGGGGACTACTACCCGCGGTTAGTCCATAACAAGCGTCGCAACTCGTGGGAGATTGAGCAGATTGATGAGGATCGGGGATCTACTGAATCTACCGTCTATCACCATGCTGTTGATGGCGATATATTGAAAGACACCGTCATCTATTGCACGGCGGATAGGTATGGGCTAGAAGAGCTCAAGCGTGTGGCGCTACGCAAGCAAGGCCTTCGTGAGTCCACCTCTGCACCTCCACTGCGCTCATAGGGCAAATACTAATGCTGGCCATCATAGAGTCTGGAATCCAGTGCAGCACCATACTAGCCTCAGCTCGCTATGCATACGCTAATACGCCCGACACTGACTCTAAGCTAAGGGCGCATTATCTCGCTCTCATTATCCGCAGTCGCAGCACTTTCAAGCGCAGCGGCACCATGCAACTAGAGATGTATAACGGCGGGACACAGCTGTTCTTTGATCTCTTCGTCGCTCTATGTAATCATGTGGACGACGTCTCCAGTGCTTCGTAAGTCACCCTTGCCATCTTATCTCAGCACTCTCTCGTGGCATCTGCTAACATCCATGTTGTAGAAACACACCGCGGAGCAACCGCCACTTCTTCTAGTCGCTCATTTGTCCATTCCCTTTGTCCGTGTGATGTCGTATTTCCTTTATCGGGTTTCATTCCATCTAACACGGACCTATCATCGCCATCTATGCTGCTGGCGACAAACTTAATGATCAACGTTATGCTCTTTTCTTCCTTCTTTGCCCTCATTCCTAGCTTCTCGTTTTTTGAGCTAGGGTCGATGGGACTTGCTTGTTTTTTATACTCTGGACTGTTGCACACACCACTGACACAAATACCACATTATGGCGTTTTGGTGTCGTTTCTGCTTGTTGGAGTTATTATCAACTCGCTGATTTTGTCTTTTTCCCCCCCTTGACGCCCTGTATTATTATTCCTTCTTGACGTCGTGTCGGCCAGACAGAGCCAGGAAATAATATCGCGCCGACACGGGTCTGTATGGCGTCTTCTTCTTCTTCACACGTCTTTCGGGTGGCTGTTTTGGCTTTTCATGTTTTCCTCCTGCTTGGAGGCACGTGCCCTGGGTATTTTGGCGAACGAATCTTAAAATACGCCGCGGGATGGGAGAGGATATTTATGGGGATATCTGGGCACCTAGACTGCCAGTTCGGAGGATGCCCTCACGCTTTTAGAACCGGTTTCAGGCCATTTTCATCATTGGGGTGATGCCGACACATGTACTACTTTCTAGACTATCGTTCACTTAAGGGTTCGCGTCCTTCCTCCCCAATAGAAGGGAGGGAGGCAAGGTCTTGTTTAGCTTCTGAAGCAATGAGATGAAAAAGAGACAAGAAGCTTGGAAGAAGATGAAATGTCGGTTGGTTACGATTACGATACATTACTATTCTTGTATATATCTTGCAAACGAAGTCTTGGTGTCTTTACTGTGCTGTGCCGCTATGATCGCCATTTACTCCCATGAGCTGCTATTCTCCGACACCACAAGAGCATTTAGAACCTTGTAGGTTTGATTGAAGATACAGAGTCATGATTTGTTGTCTACAAGTTTATTTAACAAGCCATTTTCAACAACTTGGCCCGATGGTCTAGTGGTATGATTCTCGCTTTGGGTTCAGCACTTGAATGCGAGAGGCCCCGGGTTCGAATCCCGGTCGGGCCCGCCAAATAACTCTTGTTTTGCTCCAATCCACTTGCGTAACTTTTCCTCAATGCAACTTTGGATATCAGCTATCTTTCTTTTGTAAGCTGTAATCTTTTGTTTCTCATGTTGACTGACGAATGTTCTTGTTGTTAAGGTCAACTTGCAAAGTGAGGGTTTCATCTCACATGTCACACACTCACGCCAAAGTCCTACACTAGCAATCCGTCTTCGTCTCGCTTGTGCCACGGACAAACGGCATCGCGATCTTTGTTATCCTTGCCGCCTGCGCCTGATTCGCCAATCCCGATCTCGGGTAGACGTATGACAGACAGACACTGCCGAGATGATTCTGGTCCTAGCCTAGTCAAGTCACACCCAGGCTCCCGCGATGCGATTCGTTAGCTACCTACGATTGGTGTACCTATCTGGTGGTACATTGCGCCATAGGATCACATACAGTACCGGGGTTGGGAGATAGGGCTCGGCCCGTGATGACTCTAGATGAGTGAGTCATAGTTGGGTGTTGGACTTATTGCTCACTTGTTGTGCTGTTCTGTGAGTCTACTTATGTAAGCTAGTAAAAGCCATCAATTCTACAACGCGTCTTTTTATAGCGATAGTCGCGATGATTTGAATCTTGTATTCAAGGATTGGGTAGCCTTGGTACGTCACCTGGCTCCTCAATCAGGCTGCGTAGGGTATCTATAATTCTCTACTGCGCCTCGACTCCCAAAGCTGAACCGTCCGTTATCAATATTAGGGGTGTTAGCTCTGTGGCAGATCTGGTTGATCTGTAAGCACATGTTAGATAGAGCCTTCGCGAGCCCCCCTCTCCTACGTTATGTTCGGTGAATCCTCTTCGTAGGCCGGTTAGATGGCTGTACATCTACTGTATGCCGACCACTTAATCTGCTTTTCCAAATCAACAGTGTTGATTTCTATTTACAGTGACTCCATTTACTCTGAGAGGGCTCGGTAGCGGTGCCTTAAAGCTCGATACTAATGCCAACTATAACATGCTACTTGCATGATAGCTCCCGGATTGCCCCTAACATGCATATTGACGCGTCCGATGGGCACGTCTGTAGCTGCTTGGTTGGTAATGGCAAAACCCTTGGTTCATACCTTTGTTCCAGGGAAAGCGCCGGACTTGCTCAACACTACTATCCCACGTTCATGGGCGATGTAGCCTTTCATCAGATTCTGGTATGTGTCAGTGGAGTATTATGAACGAGGACGAAGTATACGTCTTGATCGAATGGTGGAGACAACAATGCTTTCAATATATGACCTGTCGTTGCGACATACCTTGTATATCATGTTGGCCATGAGACATTCTACTTCATCGGGGTCGATGGGTTCTCCACTGCTCATTTGCACGGCTGCGGTGAACTCGGTCAGAGGGATTCTGGTCCGCCGTACGGGCGCTGCTCCTTCCTTAGGTTCTTCGAACCCCCCGGCTATGAACACTTTGCGTAATAAGTTACGCAATACAATGTCGCGTCCGCGCTCGAGTGTCAGATACACACGTCGCTTAATGAATACGTCTTCTCCGTCGCGGAGAGCGATGTCAAATGCTCGCAGGTCAGACTTCCTAATAGCACGCGATAGTGGGATGAATAGTTTTTGTAAGCGGGGAAATGGCTCGAGTAGCTGTGAGCTGGGAAGGGTATGTGTTGTCAAAAGGCGGCATGGGATAAGGTATGTGAGAATAAGTCTGGACAAGGTTAGAACACAAGTGCCTAGTACCTGACGTCAATTCAAAATACCTACTCGAGGTTCCGTTGGGCATCTTTGTGGCACATCAGCCACGCCATCTCAAGATGTTTTTCAGCCTAATATCTCGTTAATCGGTCGTAGGCTCAGACTGGGGATTGTTCAGTTCACTTACCTCAACATAGTTCTCCTCAAGAAATGCCAAGACACCTTCATAATATTTGAATGTCACCTGTTGTGATTTAGGAAATTTATCAATTGGGGGAATGTCAGCCCGGCCAGCTGATATTGCTTTCAAGATATTCTTCGAAAGCGGCTCCGAGTTCAGCTTGAAGTATGTTTTGAATAGTAGATTGACAGCATAATAGACGCCCCATTTGCGAGATTCTTCCAATGGCGCTCTTCTCTATATTAGTGAAAGTCCCTGGTCGCGGATGAAAAAATTCGGGAGAAGTCACCTATCTGAAGCGCAGACCTGAAATATTCTATTGAGATGTCTTGCGCAATCTTCAAGACTCTTATGCTCCTCCGCCTGCGGATCAAAATCGTCTTTCAGGTCGTCAATGGCCATTTCATCACTACCGAGACCCCGCTCGGCATCGGCTCGCATGGCAAATAATCTCAAGTATTTGCCGGTGACATAGAGGCAGGGTATGGTCCAGTTTTCAAAGTCATGGTTCGTATAACCACGGACAGTGAGCAGTGTCAGCTCTTTCCATGCGGTATATACCTTGGCCCACGAAGACTTAGTTCTGTTAGCACGGGCATTATACTTGATTATGAATGGCGGGCAACGAGAAATTCGGATTGGATGAATTCAACTATTCTTATGCGCTAGGACTTGTAACATCAACTTACCTGGGCATCACTTCGTAAACCTTCAGCCGCTAAGATTTCTCCTATCGCTTTCCAGTAGGCGGTATAAATAGCAAGCCACCCGCTCGTCTCCTCTTTGGAGAGCCTGATGCTGTAACGAGCCTGGTCTTGATGGAACAGAAAGTTGAGATCGGCTGTCATGGACCGGAAATCACCACGGCCCCATATAGCTCGGAGTTTGGTCGAATGGGCTTCAGTATCCGGAATCAGAGTCTCGGCTAGTTGCTCGCCGTTCGTGGCAGCGTATGCCGCCCGGAACTGGCGAATTAGGCCATCCATGGCCGAATCGGGTACGGGACTCTGGATAGCAACGCTGTATTTGGGCTTCTGAATCTACAATGTATCTCGGATGTGTCTGGCGTGAGCAACCTGTAGATCTTCTATTATGTCGTTCCCGTTCCCTCTTATGTGGAAAGTCCAGGTAACTCTCTCTCTAGCCTGACCAGGCAACCCTTCCAGCACAAAGAGAGCTCATGATGAGAATTGGATGCCGTTCTTTGAAGTTGTCCGTTCTGATTGGCCATGTCCGGGAGCACCTGCCCACAGCAGGTCGCACTTCCCCCTCGCCCCACCTCCCGTAATTGACCCCACCTAGAGACCCCACTATGCGACCAGGAGTGCTCCAGCCACTCGAGCCACTCCATTCGCCACATAACCTTGGAAAGTGGCCCACGCACGGCCACACAACTCCAAATTGCTTGCTAGGGCGGGAAACCCTTAGCACAGAATTTCGCAAAAAGTTCTGGCAGCCGAAGACGTGCCCCAAAGCAGCCTCCACTACACGCACGCACCCGAGCAGACCTGCCCTTCATACTAACCTCCAACGACAACAGGACCGGATTCAAGTCACAGTAGGTTTATCATTCGTCTTGATTGTGTGTATTTTCTCAGTCGCTGACAGTTATCAATTCTAGATGGGTAAGCAATTTTCTTTTCGCTCAATGATGCAATTGCGGTCGGCGGCCACACGAAATTCGATATCGACGAAGTCCCGATAGACATCTCCAGGAAGATCTCGGCAAACGAGCTCAGGTTATGACACAGCCAGGGCGACCGGTTGCTCGTCGTCTAGATGTGGTCTTTGACCAGAGTCGAGTGGGATTAGGGATGGGCAACCAAACCGTAGTGGAAGATTCGATCATGCATGGGACTCTACAGCGTTGCGACCTCTTTTGTAACTCTGTGATTTCCACGCCGAAATATCGAGTGCCCTGACAACGAATTCTTGGCTCCTTACTCGCCGACTGTCGATAATCTGCTATCCGGAACCACTTGCTGCATAATATCAGATAGCAATCTACAGACGCTAACTACTGCTATCAGGTCGCCTTCAGGAATACCAGGTCATCGGGCGCCACTTGCCCACAGAGGCAAACCCCACCCCGAAGCTGTACCGCATGCGCATCTTCGCTCCCAATGAGGTTGTTGCCAAGTCCCGCTTCTGGTACTTCTTGATGAAGCTCAAGAAGGTCAAGAAGGCCAACGGTGAGATTGTTAGCTTGAACAAGGTATGTCCAAATCTCTAGCAAGATCTAGGTAGCAGACGGCCGTGAGTACGGAGGCTAAGACATTCTTTATAGATCAACGAGAAGAACCCTCTCCGTGTCAAGAACTTCGGTATCTGGATCCGATACGACTCTCGTTCCGGCACGCACAACATGTACAAGGAGTACCGTGAGCTGTCAAGAACGGATGCCGTTGAGGCTCTCTACTCCGACATGGCTGCTCGCCACCGTGCCCGTTTCAGGTCGATCCACGTATGAACTCCCAAATCTTTAGTTAAAGTAACATGTAGACGAGCCTTAGCTTACACAAATCTAGATTCTCCGTGTCGTTGAGATCGAGAAGACCGAAGATATCAAGCGCCCCTACATCAGACAACTCGTCACCAAGGACCTGTCTTTCCCTCTGCCCCACCGTGTTCCCCGTCTCAACAACAAGAAGGTCTTCAGCGCCACTCGCCCGTCCACATTCGCATAGATTGGGGGTTTCTCGTATTATGTGTGTGGTGGGAGGTTTATAGGAAATGGTCTTTGCCTGGAGTTCACTATGGAATTGTGGGAAAATGTTCGTCACGATCAATTCAGCATGACAGCTCTCAGAAGATAACGAGCTTAAATCAATGAATGCAACCCCAAAAAAAACCTACACCGCAAAATCTTCTGACGGCTTGGTGAGCATCAGAATAGTGTAGGGCGGATGTTACCGTAACTTAAGTATGACGCTAGAATGGGAGTCGCATAGTATTCTATAATGTATATGGCGAAACTATCCTATAGAGTATATGCTGGCTAGCCAGAGCCAAGCAATCAAGTATCGTATGAATACAGCTAGGCTCCGGTGGACCATAGGTACTTCAAGGTGCCCATTTTCCGATTAATCTTGATTTTTTTTTTTTATTGTTACATGGCAGTAAATTGAACTTCAAGCCCAATTTTGCTAACTCCCTTCGCTCCCTAAAGACCCAGACCGTGGTGCGGAGCCCGCATACGTATCTAGCACGAATTCATCCCATGTGGACCAATTCATACCCGGGGGGTCAGGAAAGCCCTGGTCAGATGCTGTGGGTATGTATCCAGTGTCCATCATTTCCGATGCTGGCGCTTGCAATGGTACAATCGCAGGTTCGCCGGCGGATGGTGCTGGGGGTATGTCGAAGGTCAGGTCCGGCCATCCAAGCAGCGCTTGGACTATGGATTGCCCCGGATCATTGATGAGGTCGTCCATGGTGGATGGGGCGGATCCCATGCTCGTATCCATATTTCTTCTTGAGTTCTGAGCATGTGTGTTAGGGGGCGTGGTGATATCTGCCTTCCCTAGCGCCGCGTAAGGTGTAGGTGATCCCGAGGTTAGTGTATGCGCCGATGATTCCCAAATGATCATGTCCGTTATGAGTCTTGGCTGGATGCTGCTCTCGCCCTCCGGTGCGAGGGCTGGGTCGATGGCCATGTAGTCGATTGTAGACTCTAGACCGCCGAGATGAGATCTTGCTGCTGATGTTGACGCTGCCACCTCTGAGATTGGCTGTGGTCGTGATCGTGACTGCGGCAACGAGGCATGTCCTGCGTTCCCCAACGCCTGCGTCCTCGCTGCCTTCGCCTTCTTGTAAAGCTTGCGAAGAGGGCGCCACAAGCTCCCACGCTTCGTGTCCGCTATTATGGCGCTCGACCGGGGAAACACGGCCTCGACAACTCGCCACTGTAATACTGCAAGTTAGTATTACTTTGAGCATCACATGCAAGCGTGTCGTAGCGTGCGATGAATTCCTTATCGTGTTGCTTCAGATGAGAGAGAGCTGTCCCTTCAAGGGCGTGGGTTGAAAGATTACTTACAGCATGCTCGACGGTTTCTCCCTGCGTCTGCGTGCAGAGCTCTGCGAGCGCGACGGCTAGCGGATGCCACTGTACGTACGTCTCTGCCCACCACTATAGTTCGCTGGCGTCAGTGATGACTCTCTTAGGTAGAACGAGAGCAGATTTTGGGATTCACGTAAGATCCTGGAGAGATGTTTATGGCTCTAATAGGCCATTACGGCCTCCGTGAGAGGCTAGAATAGGAGGGAAATGGCTCTAAGGGGTAACATACGCGGAAGCGGTCCGAGTAAGGACCTGCGGCTACGGCTTCTGACAGCTCGATAATTGAGATGGCGGTGCGGAGCGTGGACTCGCGAGACACGGGCGCCGCTGCGTGCTGCGAAGGTGCTGTTGAGGCAGAGGCGGCTGCGGTGGACTGGGACGGCCCGGCGGCTTCAGATGCCCCCGTGCGGGAAGTTGAGGCCTTGCCTATCCCCGGCTGCCCCTTCCGCGGATGCAGCGGGTATCGCGTAATTAGCCACATCTTCATGATGATGAGCCGCGCGGTGGCGGAGGCGAGGTACGAGCCTGCATGGGTCGGATCAGCGCCGTTCACAAATTGTGATTCCAGGTGCTTTGCCCGCAGTAACCTCTGCTCTTCGCTGTAATGTTCTTGATGATTGTATTCTCCCCAGAGGAAGATTCCTGAGCTCTGAGCAGTGAGCAGACAGAACGTTGTGTCCGAGGGGCCTGGGCGGTCCTGGAGTGACAACGTAGTGTCCGGGCCAAACTCTATGTCGTCGATATTGTGTGGGAGGCGTGTGTTATAGCTTCCTCGTGAGATGATAGTACTGGTACCACGGTCCTCTGCCGCACGGATGTCGAGCACGATGAGTTGCCACCACAGACGCCGGCGTAGCTCGGCCTCGTACGGGCTGAAGCTAGAACTTGTCCCGTCGCCGTCCTGGTGCATGTTGAGAGCTTGCGCCAGACGAATCGGAAGACCCAGGAGCACCCAAGAGGCGCGAGATCCGTTATGTGACCGTAAACAACAAGCATATAGCGTCAGTGCTTGGAGTGTTTCAAGACTAGTGTTGTTGAGATAGTCGGCCCGGACGAGAGCCTGCTCGATGCCTGCTTCAAATAACGTCGCCAGATCAGCGCGCGGCCGGCCTACGACTTGGACGCATTCCGCAGAGGTAAGACTCGTGATAGCAGCGTAGTATATGGCGAAGAATAATGCAGTCAGCTCGTGACTTAAATCCGATGCTGTTTCTGGATGGTCGGCGAGCTTGTGTAAGGCGCTCATGATTGTTGGTTGGTGTAGAATCTTCAAATACATGTCGACATTCCTGAAATACACTGATGCTAGGTGTCGTATGTGATTTGGTGACGGATGCTGGATGGCCGGCGAAAACCTTGTGTATGAGCTCCCGAGCAGCATCCCCGGTGATGTTGAGATGACACTCCCACCGCCGCCAACCGACTCAGGCGTATTTCCTTCACCATCCTCCTCGTCATCGTCAGAATCCGTAGACTGTTCTAATGCCTGTTTCAGACCCCCAACCTCATCGCATAGCGAGGACCAGAACTCCCCGGATAAAAAGCGTGAAGCGGTGCTATCCTGGGGTGGTCTCACTCCTTTGATACCGCAGGTAATGTTTTCGTCATGCGCCCGCGAGTCAGTCTCAGTAGTTGGATGAAGCTGGTGCTCAGGAACCTGTGCATGTGCATCTGTACCATCCACATGCGCCGACTCGCTTTCATCAAGATCTGCGAGTCCAACTCTGCCTACAATAGACTCTAGCCGCTTTAATCTCTGCAGCAGCTCGGCATTCTTGGTCTTCCGGGGCCGCTGGATTCGCTTCCGTGCCGGGAAAACGCATTCTGACCCGCTGCGCTCGCAGTTGCCGCACGGGCTTTGCTTGTCGCATTTCAATTTTCGCGTCCGACAACATGTGCAGCTGAGCGGCGGCTTTTTGGGGGGCTCGCTATCGTCAGCCATGGCTTGGCTTACCCTACCTATTCAGACGAGTTAGGTATGTCTACGACGGCAGTCATGTGGCCCGCTGACGGACCAAACTCACGGCAATGCCGATGTCAATAAGAAGGGTGGAAATGAGTATACCGGCACTTGGATTTTTGGTCTAGATTTAGTAAGTGTAGTCACTTAGTCTTACCTCGCATTAGGCAGAAATGTCATGGGGTTGAGACGGATGAAGCGTTTTAGCTGACCCTTTTGAATAACTTACACTAGGTAGGTAGGCCCACGGATCCAGGTCCATTATAGCTCTAATTGGGCATTCCGAATTCTCACACATTAAATGCATATATTCTGTTAACTGCCGCTCTTACCAGCTCTCGAGCCCTGCCCTGAGTAAGTCTTTGAAATTAATTCGTAGCTATAGCTCTTTTGTAAAACAGGAAATACGGCCCCGCTCTTGTATAGCAAGAAGTGGTTACTCTAGACAATCATAGACCATGGGGGAGACGGCAACTCGACTTATCACTGTTGTTTCACGGGGCCAACTACCGTATTCTAGACTCGCTGACAGGCTCCATCAATAAGACATTAAGATGACGAGTAACTTGCATTGTAAATATTTCGCGAATTGCCCGCGTGCGGCACGCAGTCCATGGGTAACCCTTACCGGGCGAAGCTGAAAGGGATGACTCACACATCACGACACACTGAGCCCTAGGAAGAAATCAGTGGCACCATGAATGCGAAATACGAAATGCAATAAAACCAAAGACAGTTGCCGCAATCGAGTGCAAGTAGAGACACAAATCTTTCCGAATCTTCAAAGTCTATTTACAAGAACGCGAGTTAAAACCTGCCTCGAATCTAAATTTGTTCACGATGGCTTCACCAAATTCGTCTGCGCCCCCACCGCCTGCTCCTTCCAAGGTTCAGGTCAAAACCACAGGGCCAGTAGTAGTACCCCCAAATATCAATAGGCTACCTATTGTCACGGAGCGTCTACTACTACGCCCCTTCGACATCTCCGACGCTGAAGCAGTTCATGTGCTCCGAACGCAGCCCGAGGTCATGCAATGGACAGCGGTCGGCACAGCAGATAAGGACATGGATGAGTCACGAACCTGGCTTCAACGGTATCTGCCTCCAAACGACTTGCAGGCCTACAACTTCGTAATTGTGGATAGAGGCGACGGTACCAACGGCGACACAGCCGGTGAACTGGTCGGCGTCGGAGGCGTTCATCACACACGCAATGGCTCCGGATGGCCTGAGTGTGGGTACATGTTGCGCAAGGAGTATTGGGGCAAGGGCCTTGCTACTGAGTTCCTACGGGCGTTCACCAAGGCATGGTGGGCACTACCGCGAGAGGAGATCCGGGTCGAGGTCAATGAGGAAACTGTGGGAGGTAGGGGGGAGAAAAACGATAGCGGCGAGCTACAAGTGCCCGAGATACTCATGGCCGTTATTGAGGCAAGCAATGTAGGGAGCAGGAGGGTTCTCGAAAAGTCTGGATTCCGAGAGTACAAGCAATGGACAGAGCCGGACAGTCGCGTGGGCTACGAGGGGTCAACCGCAACACTTGTTGCACTTTTGCTTGAAAAGGCGCCGGACAGCTGAAGCGCTCCGATATAACTTCAAATGAGCGCGGCTACCTAGTGCGATGACCAATCACTTTAAGCTTCGATGAAAGCATAGATTATTAATTCTATTGTCTCCGAGCACGAGGTTACTTCTCGCATTCGCGTGGCGTATGTTGATTAAGCACGCAGTGGCTGCGTCGTTCTATGCAGGTCGCTTTGTGGTTTTGGCCGCACTAGATCCTCCATGCGTTCTGTTTAGCGACCTGCGACGGCTTCGGGACCGAACCACGAGCTGACAGCGCCGCCCGTACCAAGATCTGTGAATCCTCTATCTTCAACGGGCTCTAAACTATCCGCTTCCCGATTGCGACTGTGCTCAATCGCTCAGTACGGACTTATAAGAAGAAGAGTATGAAACGAAATCTAGGCCAATGTATCAAGCAGTCATAATTTCCCCATCATCTACGCGCACATCATTGTCAGATTGAGACTACATTCATCAGCATTCACCAACCAACCAGTTCTTACACCTTCAGACCTCGTAAAGGACTCAACAATGGCACCAAATTCAACACCGCTCGCCGTAGCCGCGGGTATCTCTATTCTTGCCTCGGGATGGGCCGCAGGTAAAGTGCGCCCTTTCCATATGACAGATCTATCTGCCTGATCGTGAAGGCGAGCAGCTGACATGTTGTCTTGGACTAACGGCAGGTCTGAGCACGAGCCTCAGCGTGTTTGGAATACCAACAATCCTGCACGGCAACGCTCCAAGTGAGGTCATGGTCCGTCAGTGGCGATTCCAATTTCTTCGCGGGCAATCCATCATTCCCGGCGTGGCGGTCCTCAACGCAATCAACTACTGGACCATTGCGTACCTCTGTTGGTCGCGCAGCCTCGAGTGGCGTGGGTTCGCGGCGGCCGGGTTGTCGACCTTTTTCCAGGTCCCGTACACGCTTACGTTCATCATGGAGACCAATAGGCAGATGCTTCCCGAAGGAAAGGAGAAGACGCTGAGCGAGGATTCGGCCAGGTCACTGATCAAGAAGTGGGGAGACCTGAACGTTGCCCGTGCTGTTGTCCCAATCATCGGGACGGGCTTGGCTTTGTGGAACTTCTGCCTGTAATCATACGTTGATGTACAGCTATGATGGTATAAAAGGGAAGACAGCAACAGAATGGGACCGATTGGAGGCCTTAGCTGCCTGAAGCTTGGGAGGGGCTGTGTTTGATGCGTGCTTCGAGGACACAAAGTTCTAAGTACGTAAGACTACCTGCGCAACGTTGTCTCATACCTTGGATTTCCTTGCGGTTAATTCGAATTTGATACTATTCTACATATCCCATATCATGGGTACTTGATGATGACACTGGCACGAAATTAATGTATATATATATACCTTAATGATATGTATTTGGTGCTCGGTTAGTGTCTAGATCTCGGGGGCACAGTGACGGCGGGGATCAGACGGGAGGGGGAGGGGAAGGGGAGGGGAAGAGCGGAAACTACCTTGAAGTGCCCTGAGCGAGTCCCTGAACTCTGCCCTGACCCATGAATACAGTGCCAGTGAAGTAGAAAGCACGGTGCAAACTGGGGAAGCAGATCCGCATCTTCGGGGCGCAGTTGAACTGTTAGGAAGGGCAGGAAGGGCTATCGAGGCTATTTCGGTCACAGCAAAGGCCAGACTCGCCAGACTCTCGTCTGTTCCCGCCTGCTCTAGTCTGGAATGGCACGGCGCATTCGCGGTGCACATAGTGCTAGAAGTGTCGAATTAGCACGTGGCAGGCGGTTTATGGGATTACCTGTCCCACTCCGTCCCACTCCCTGTCCCGACCAGGCGACTCACGATGTGCCTAAGGTATGTCTTATGACGTGGGGGAAAGGAGCTGATGTTGCGACCATCTCTGCACGAGCGTCCATTTCCTGCGCCCATCTGCAACATCCGCAACATCTGTTACGACACTACAGCCTACAGAGCGGGACTGAGCAGACAAGCGGGCTGACTGGCTGAGTAACAGGTACCTAGATACGATGCACCAAGTACATGATCCGCAGCGAACAGCCTAATACTAGGTAAAACCTCAACCTCAACCTCACACTCACACTCACACTACCTACACACATATACTTCCTATATCATTCTATTGCTCCATACTACCCATACCTATCTACTTTGCATACCTCACTCACCTATTTATTATTGCCTTATTATTTACTGCCTTTGCCTGCATACCTCTCAAGGTGAACAACCCCCCTCCCCACAGGTTGCTGAGTAGTAGGCAGCAAATCAGCAGAATCATCAAGCCATCGGGTCATCAACCATCAGCTCCCCGGCATTTATTTATTTATTTATACCCATAGGTAGACTGCTCAACGTAAGCGACGTGCAGCATACACCTTGGACATATCCGTTCCCATCCTGCCTGTCTACCTGCCTGTCTGACTACCTGTCTGACTACCTACCTACCTACGTCTCTCTATTTTTCTGTCTGACGGACCGAACATCCATCCATCCACCCTGCCTGTGCCTGGCAGGCCCTGTTCCTGTCCCTCCGCTGTCCTTCTCCAAATGCGAATATCTTTGTCACCGTCACCCTTCGCAACTCTTTGCGCCCTACTGTTATCCAGCATATCGCCGACGTGCACTTATGCCGCCTCGGTTTCGTGACACGGCAGAAGCTGTGCTGCCCAATACATCATTGTATTAAGCCTTGATTCTCGTCTAGGCACACATAACCAGCGCCCAATTATCTGATCTCGCCCTCTCTTGGCCGCTGGGTCACCACCCTTAGCCAGACTTCTTTTCCGAGCATGATGATTGAGCGTTCCTTGTCACCGTAGAATTCTAGCTTTGATAGAAATCCCTTCCGACCCATCTTTACATAGACACCGTTGTCTTATCTCTGTTATTTCAGATTTCTCCAAATGGCGGCCTCGGTCACATCCAGTCCGAAGATACCCTCTTCTTCGTCTTCTTCCTCTCCCGACACGCATCGTTCACGACCTGAACCTCAGTCTCAACCTACACCTCAACCTCAACCTCAACCGCAACCACAGTCTCGATCACGAAAACAGTCGCAGTCGCAGTCGCAATCGTATTCGGAACCGCAGCCGCAGCCGCAGTCGCAACAACAACAACCAGAGCCGGAAAAACCACAAGCCGATGGAAAATCGTATTATGGCTACCTATTCAAGGAGGACAAGTCGCCAACCGACAAGTTAGATGGCCTTCTCCGTGCTCTTGGACAATATATTGTCAGTTATTACGGTCTATTTGTATCTCTTCGCACAATGTCTTGTACTGACCACTAGATATCTAGATCGACCATATCGGCGACACAAACGACAAGCAATTAAATCCGCGGAAACTTGCCGCTTTCTACCATGCCGTAGGTGGTGATTACGATTCGCTCTTTCTTAAATCCCCAGATAGGACGATATCATACATATGGCAGGCCTTAGGCGTTCAACACGCTCTTCAGCCCATTCCAGACAATGATTATGCTCCACCATCCGTGCCTGCCCTGACATTGCGGGGATTTGTGAGATGGCAGTCTCTCCAAATTCTTCTCGGACCTGAAGAACATGTTCCCTACCTACAACATGCTGTTGCAAACTGGAGTTTGAAGGATCCTTATACAGGCGATGCTTTCCCGGTTGATTTGCCAGCCTCAGCCTTCCCCTCCATGTGTGACCAAGCCGTTGATGAATGGCATAGGGCTTGCGGACAAAAGCTTCGAGAGGCTGCTACGCCCCTTGACGAAGAGGAGCAGCCACGACGACGCCACAGTTCTGAAACTCGCATCCCCTCTACATCTAATCACCAAGCTCGTGGTGTGCCGACTGGAGGTGCGCCCCATCATCGACCTGAGTCTGACTATTTTCGGCGCAGGCGGCCTATGTCGTACGTCCACGTATCGGAACACCGGTATCCTCCACACGCTGGCCATACTAGCGTACCGGAGGCCAACCGCAGGGCGGGTAGTAGTAGCGGGAGTTCGTTAGAAGATCTTCCAAGGAGAGGTCGACGACCTTCGGAGATTAAAGTCCCACCCGTTTTTGTGAGGGAAGATACGCGGACATCCACACACTTAGACCCCCCTCGTCCACCTAACGTTCGCCGCCATAGCCACAGTTATCAGTCACCTTATGTCGCCTCAATTCACGATTCAGACTCAGATTCAGATACGCTGCGACCCTCCCCACGTCATAATAGTTCCGCACCTCAACCACCTCCAGGTATTCGCCGTGTGCCCGTGCCAGCTCCCATACCGGCCACAGCTGCGAATCGAGTCCGTCGCAGTGACATTCGAACTGAAGACCCCAGGCGCATCAGCCTACCTGCCGAGCTCAAGCAGAAGTTCACGTCATTCTTGATGTCTTCATCTGGTCGACAGCGGAGCAATTCCAGAGAGCCTGGTCCCACTCCACATTCCAGTGTACGATATCGGAAGGAAGTGCCACGGACCCGCCTGAGTCGCAGTCTATCCGGTGATTCCTACACAAGCGAAGGATCGTTACCAGAAATGGCCTCAAAATATTCACCGCGTGATAGTCATGAACACAACCGTGCACGGGAACATGTAATAGAGCGCGAACGCGAACGTGAACGAGATCATGAGCTTGACCGAGAACGGGAGCGTGAGAGAGCACAGTGGGAAGAGATGGAAAGACAGGCTCGTAGAGAGAAGGCTTATCTACGCCCAACGATCAACAGGAGAACAAGTAGCCATGCAGATGTTGATCGTCGACGACAAGACGTGGTATGGGATGCGAGAGATCGACGAAGAGAAAGTAGGGACCTAGAGAGAGAAGTCCGACGAAATTTGACGTCTGATGAAATGGACAGACGAGACCGTCGAAGATACCAGGACCGCGACCCAAATCCAGTTATGACCGGCGTTGGCGGCAGAAGATACCCCCGTTGAAAAGATATTTAGATATGCGATTCTCGATGGGTTTTACGCATACGGACAAGGAGTTTATGGAGTTTGAGAACGGCTTTGCTTTCATGTATAGGTCTGTTGATGGAGCGATCCATGGTTCGCATGACAAGCAGATGACTCTTCAAAACACACCATGTTGACCTCGACCAATTTGAAGCAATTCTTGAACATAGGAACAGCGGGGGGAGCACACATATAAAAAGGATTTTGTGCAGCTATTTTCTGAAATACGGTTCTGCTATCAGTGCAAAAAGAGGTAGTAAAAAGCAATAGACGCAACCCGGTGAAAATCACCCCTCTCCTTCTGCGAGCCATGTGGGCTCCAGCTCAATCATTTGCGAATTAGATGAGTTGAATGATTTACATGAAAATAGAATAAACCAGCAACTTCTAGCTGGGAATGTGGCAGTCTCGCCAGATACTTCGAAACAAACAATTGTAGGCTGCTAAGATTTTCCTGAAGTAACAGTAATACGAGATAAAAGTCCAAGTGAGTGCGCAAGTAGATATATCTATCTATGCTTACCGTGCTTCCTCAATCTCATAGGGTAAGGAACCATATATGCAAGAGAGCAAATAGTTCCAACTATCTACCGGGTCTACGATCTACTTGATAAGGTTAAAGGTATTGCTAGCAAGAATCGGAAGGAATGCATGAGCGCGAGAGGCTCTATGTCTGTAGCTAAGTTATATCGAAAGTCCTTTCTCTCGAATATTTCCTATTCTCTCTACTCGTTATATCTTCAGTGCGTGTTTCTGAATGTTGATTCATGTTGGCATATTTGGCAAAGTTTAATTACTACATAATCACTATCGCTATATAACCACTGAATAACTGAATGATAGTGAGAGCATAATAAAATTGTAGCTAACGTATAATCATGGCCTGACTGATAAATAACTATAGTTAACGCATCTCCCACTTGACCTGGCCACCTAATTGACCTGGCCACCCCAATAACCTATATAAAACCCTATTATTTCAATCTTTAATAACTTTACGAATACTAACTGTACGATTTAATAATTAGTACCTTTGAATCCGTTATTTAATGGGGAATCCAAAGGTATTTTTTACCATTTTTTATAAAATTTATTAAGCAAGATATTAAGCAATACGCTAAAGGAACGCTAAGCAAGGATTATTTTAGCGCTTACTTTAGCGTATTGCTTA